TAGCCCCCGGGGGGTGGAGGAGGCTAAACACCGGAGGAATTCAAGGCGGGTGGGGGGGGGGGGTTGGTTTTTTTTTGCCCCTTTCTTAGAGGGTTTTTCCCCCCCCCCCCCCCCCCCCCCTCCCTTGTCGCGTACATGAAATAGGAAGCCAAGCTCGCCAATCTTTTGGGTGAGTTCGAGCACGGAAAGAAATTACACCGCGATCGAGGGGACAAGACAATGTTTCATGCCGAGTCGGCGCAATTCACAAACTGATCACTAATCTGACCAATAGGCGTGCGCGGAATCATCGGAGGCAGCCTCGGTAGACCCACTACGACCCACTGTGGAGAGCACATGTACAGATCTCTTTTATATTGCAGAACTTATATTGCAGAACTAGCATATCTAGTCTATTCCAAGGTTGTTTGCGTTAGCCCCTAAGATCTAATACAATTCGCACTGGGCATACCCCTTTCTGGGCCTCGGAACCTTGGAATCACTCAATACCTCGCTTACCTGTAACACTGCCCTCATTTCTGTCTTAAATAGTACTGCTTGTTGTAGGGCCATTGCGCCAAGAAACTGTTGGAAACCCAGGAGTACCTCGCAGGCGCACGCGCCAGCGCACCGATGGCTTTAAGCTCGCAAAGCCCAAGGGGACGCCTCAGCATCCAGACTTGGTGGATCTTGTAGCCGTATCGTTGTTCCGCCTCAGCTGCAAGGGGCTCTGCGTCCTCGTGCGAGATACATATCACATACTCGATGACGTTCATTGGATGCTTGCTATAAAGCCAGATCCGCTCGACCGTCTTGGGGAGTTCGTATTGGCGATATTCGTGGGATCGGCGCCCGCGTGCAATCTCGTCAGCATCCTCAGCCTCGATGCTCATGAAGACGTCTGTAATGGACTTTCCTTTGGTTGGAGTCTCCATGATGAATGATTGCTTCTTGTGTCAGGTTTGAAATGCCCAGTTCTCCAGATACTAACAAGGTATATATAGAGACCAGTGGAATTTTGACAAGAGGATTCCGAATGCAATCGATGGGAAGAATGCTCTTTGTCCAAAATGAGAACAAAGTGATCTATAGCCGTTGCCTCCATCCAAAAAGATGATTCATTGATCAATCAGCGGAATGTCAAAGACAGAACACCTTTGGAACCTTAGGTAGACAATACGAGATAAAGAAACTAACCTTTGAGACCCATCTTGGCAGGAACAAACAAAGCTCTCAACAATTTGATACAGCTATTGACCATCACATTCTAATTCCAGCGCTTTCACTACCTACTGAAGGCCCAGTCCTGGAGGTCCACAGGTGTTCTTCTGATATTCTCTATGCCGACTCTACCCGACGTCGCTATCTTACACCGGGGGATCCACGGGAAATCCAGGGCCCCATCATATAGTCCCAAGGCTCAACGTCTGGAGGCTTGGTCCGCGGGAACCTTGAAATTTATAAATTTGGACATTTCTAAAGTTTTCGCTGCATAGGGACGTCCGCTCAGCATCCATGGGCTCATACATCGAGATTTCCAAGGTTGGGATAGGCTCCTACCTCACGAAAGACAACCTTGGAATGTATTATCCCATCGAGAAGTCTACTATTAATACCTCTGATGTCGTTTCCAAGGTTCTTTCCCTATCCTTCTCTGTCTCCCCCTGCCCCAATAAATTCTAACTCACATCAGTGTTCCTCTCTTCAAGCATGGATCCTTATCTACAATTTCACGTACTTTTTAATTCACTTTTGAAGTGCTTTCCATGTCTTTCTTACTTCACTTGTACGCTATCGAGTTTGAAATGAAAGTTGCCACCCATTGAGAGCTGCACTCCCAATAATCCAACTCACCGAAGGAGCTTCACATGGGCGCGGAATTACATTGCCCTTTCCATCAGATTTCATTCACCAAAGACTACTACGGAACAAGAATGGCTTACGACATGAATTCACCCACACAGGAATGTGCCAGCTTCTGGAATATTTTTGATGATTGGGAAATAACTTCTCAATCGGCATCAACGCCTTTAACTTTGGGGCTCATACCTATCAGCCTCCCCAAAGCAATCAAAGAGCACATGGAATCAACCATGCTGAAGCACAACTCCGTCACTGCAAATTCCCTCCATGGGGTTAAGGGTCACTTGACAATTTCCATGGAGGAAGCCTACGACTACAAAATTGCTCACGAGGAATTTGATCCCGAAGTTGTATACCCTGAAGTGGTTCAGCTTGGAAACCAGATATCCAATATTCTGGAAGCAGAACTTGCTCCAGAGGATGAATATGCCTTCGAAGAACACATCGTGGGCTCCCTGGCTGCCATGGTTTATGGCAGTTACCTGATCGAAAAGGCCGGCGGAGATTCCCACATTACTCTGAAGCTGTGCACGGTAGTATTTAAGGGCGAAAACGCTCCTGAGCAGCTTGGCGAAGATTCGGAAGAGTTCCGGGCTTTGGAACATTCGATCTTGCACAAAGGTCTCCCGACATCTAAATCTGCTATTCTCCGCTCCCGCGTGGAGATTATTCAACATGCGAAGGCTGCTTCTTTCCTGATCACTCAGCTCTGCCTCCATGATAAGGATCTCTCTGAGCGCGCTATACTTCAAAAGCATGGCATTCTTACCTACAAGGTCGATGCCGATGAGGTCTCTGCTGGCTTCCACACTTTCCCAGCACCCGCACTGGCGCCTTCGAAGATGAAGGCAATGATATCAGACCTTGAGTATGACTTAAGTCAGTGCGTGAAAAGGGGGACGATAGATCCCATTTCTCTGGCGGGAAAGTACGCCCATATTTTCATCAACATTCACCCATTCATTGACGGCAACGGACGTATGTGCCGTCTGATACTCAATGCGATGCTGCTGAAGTTCGGGGGCTTCCTGGTATGCCTCGGAGCTGGGGAGGAAGAGCGTCGGAAGTACCTTGAAATAGCTGCTGATGGTAGTGCATTGGAAGATTTATATGAGGATGCAGAGGAAGACGAGAAGCCAAAGCTTCACAAACAGCTGTCCAGCTTCGTACTGGATCATGTCAAGGAGGACATGAAGAAGCTGATTGATTCTGTTTCTGGGCCTCGCTAGCTGTTGTTAAGGAATTCCTGGCGGAATTGGAGGAACAGCTGGCCAAGAAGCATTCGAGTCATCGTGGTTGAACATGATCAAACCGTATATGTCTTTTATCTTCGTGCTCGGGCAACAAGCACTTTATGTTTTCGTTTTCATTCTTCTTCAATCGAAGCCACGCACCTAGGTAGCACTAAAAGATTACCTAGGTACCTAGTATATACCCACACAGAGGCGAGAGAGATAATCATGCCTTTGCCGTTCACGGTTAACATCTCTTAGCTTTTCGTAGACCCATCCCAAAGACCTGTCGTATCCAGTCAGGACGTGATCGTAAAAGATGACTGATTACAGAGAGATACCGATCAACCATTTGATATCAACATATGCAATTACACAACGCTCCCCAATAGTCCGGACTATTCCTCTTTGGAATATTAACAGCCGCGTACCTAAGATATCATGTTGCCACGGAAGAAAGACGCCACCATTGCCGATCAGAGCCTACTCCTGTCAGAGAGCGTACTTATGTTTGTGATAGGTACGGTTTTGCATGCGAAGTCCCGTTAACTAGGTATTAATGGGGTTACCACCGTCGGATGGGTGCGCCGATTCTAGACCGAGCACGGCAGAGCGAGGCTCAGTTGTATCCACTCAAACGCAAATTTGACTAATGCAAACCATATCTTCCCGGGCCGTTGCAATCGAAAGGGTCGGATTGACGGTTTATTTTTTCCGTTGAACTTTGGTCTACGGAGTACGTGGGGTTGACTTACGACTATCGCTTCCTTGAATGTTGGACACACACCAACAAGCAGTTAACACAAGCTTGGTTTAGCCTACGTATTGAAAGCCTCCAATTTTCAAGTATTTACAGGCTTAAATGACAGAGTGTAAACTACTCACGATTGAGGCTATGGCATGGTGCCCAGGTGGTTGGTAGCACGTCAGGTGGCCAACAGTCCATCATGCAGATTGAAACCAGGCTTTTTGGGCCGACAAAATCAGCGACACACAATTTTTCGAAGTTTGAGAATGGGTATCAACTCAGAGAATGCAGTATGATCTGGTATCTTTGTGCAAAGAATGCCGGATCATTCCAGGCGTGATAATTGGACCCGATGCCCCGCTGCACAGGCGCTGTTGCCGCGTTAAATTGAAAGGAAATGGGATTACTACAACCTTCGAGTATTGAATGATTGACTATAAAATTGCCAGCTTTAGGATCAAAAATTTGGCCTCCACACATTGCAACTACTGTACCGCAGCAGTGTATGTTCAAGTTCGTCTGATTGTGTTCCTTTTATTTGAGCCGTTGAAACCCTTTGGCTTAGTCCAGATACCCAAAGAAAGCAGCCCAAGAGCCCGCGAAGATCACAGAAAAAGTACCATGGCATCGGGTCGCTCTTCGGCTCATCAGTTCCTGAATTTCCCCCGGGAATCGTGCCATTCTTCTCAAAGACAGCAAATTTGGTCGCACTTCGTGAACACTACATCTCGTGTCGTCACCCTACCGTTTGAAGGCGACGATGACCCGATAATGAGCCAGATAATCTCGAATGGCTTGCACGATACGATGGTCGCAAACTCTGTGCTCTGCTTAGGTGCATCGCATCTGATCAACGGGTCTACTCCGGGCTCCCCCAAAGTGGAAAGTTTGATGCAAAGCAAAGAAAGCCTGCTTCGAAAGGTTAGAGAAGATTTGTCTGTGCGAGTGACTACATTCAATGCGCCAAGACAGAATGATTCGAGCGACCGGACAGAACATGATGCAATTCTTGCATCCTTTATGCTACTATATCTATACGAGATCTCGGAAGGGACTGGTATCAGCTCACGGCTGGCTGTTTTGAACCAAGCAAGATCCTTTGTCTATGCCATGCTCAATACACATGACCATGATGATGGCAAGTCGGAAATGGAAGCAAACTCGCAGGCCTTTGAATTTTCGCATCATTGTCTCGAACATTCCAGAGTTGACAACTCTCTGCTACAATTTTTCGCATACCACGACATCCTCGGAAGAATTCTCAATTATGATGACGGAACAAATCAAGATCCAACAACTGATCGGATCCCTCTACAAGCCTTAAATGCCGGCTATCTCCATCAAGATCTTATCCTCCAGATGCATCACGGACTGATGGACATTATCTTGCACGTCCACATACTTCAAAGCGAAGCATCAGCTGCCAAAACACCTGGTGGTGAAGTCATAGCACGAGCAGTCCAAATTTGGCAAACTGTGAGCGACTGGGATACTCCTGAATCAGCCTTTGAGCTCAGTGATTTGTACGAAGCCTATATTGCTGCGATATCTATTTGGCTTTTACTCATCATATACTCGGATAATAAGCGATCGGACAAGATACAGTCCATGGTCATGAGGGGACTCATTGTTCTCGCGGAAATGGACAGCTCAGACCTACAAGCAACATCGATCTTTCCGTTCTATTTCATCGGTCTGGGTTGTACTAGTTTGTCCGATAGAAATGTCCTTTTGGGCGAGCTCACCAGATTAGAGAACGTTCAACGCCTGGGCTACATTCAAGAGTTTCGAGAGATCCTGCGTGACAGATGGCATAAATACGACGAAGAAAGCGATCAGTTGACATTGTGAAGCTGCTCTAAGATTGTTCACGGAATTTGACTTTGTTTTCGACTTGGTCAATTTTGCATATTTGGCAACTAAAAATATCACAAGGGAAATGTTTACGACGAGGCCAAGTACTTGTGATATAGAAAGTCCCTTGCATCTATTATAAGAGAAATACCTAACAAGATGTAAATATAATTCGGGTCTGTACGAAGTCAACTGGACTCAACATGCAGCCCAGAACGCTGCTTTACAATATCAACTGGAGGCCCAAGCGTCATGAACAAGTTTCGTGGTCTAGCGGTTATGATTTTCCGTTAACAATTGTCTTACAGACGAGTGTGCCGGAAAGGTTCTGGGTTCGATTCCCAGCGAAACTATTTTTTTTGCTGAAATCCGGCTCCACATGGCGGAATCGCACGTATCATGGGAAAGGAATATATAGTTCCAAGTTGACGTTGAGAATATTGAGCCCTGGAGCATTCAAGATATCACTAAGCCACAGGGCTAGAGCTCAAATTGTAGTTCCTATCCCTGTTCAAAAAGTCCTCCAGGGAGCAGATTAAAAAAGCACCACTTGGCAGTTGCCAATTCATTCATGTCCATTCTGAGGTTCGGCTCGCACGCCGCCATACAATTTGGTAGCAGTCCCATTTGGGCCTCCCGACGTTGAACCACTTCTTCCTCGGGTCAAAGCTTATATATAGTTAAAAACTCTCCAAAGAACCTTGCAAACTCAATGCTCCCATGGCTTCTTTGTCTTTGGTATGCCCACAAGGCTATTGTTATTTCTTTGTGACTGGGTACTTGACCCCGACGCCCTTTCAGTCAAGGCACTTCGGTCTGCTTATAGGCCCATTGTGACTCCTTTGTTACCATGGCCTTACCCCCCGCTGTCTCTTATGCTCAGACATATAATGACCTGGATCCAATTAGATTTTGTTCAGATATACTTCACCAACTTTCAACTGCCTCGCCCGACACTGCAAATGGACATGAACTAACTGACTTGGACTAGTCACCTCCCTACAGAGTGAGTATTTAATCCTCCCCTGCAGCCCATAACTTGAATTTCTTTTTTCCCTTCTTCAACTCTCCAAGCATCAGAGAGCATCTGCATTACTCTTCATCAGGCATCAACGCCTGACGTCATCCATATACTTCCCAAAAGGGAAGTATACATTACCTCATACGAGCTTCGACAAATCAAACAAACATCAAAGCCTCATACGGTCATTGACACTGGCTTTCAACACTCATCACAACATCGACATCGACCTGCCACGCCGCCATTTGCCCAACCTGCCTCGAACCTCGTCAACCGTTCAGATCGTACCCACTTTATACCCACGTTCCATCAAATCACCCAGCTCCGTGGCGAGGGGTCCGGTCCAGGAGGTTGACTCTAATCGTTGGTCCTTCGACAGGCGCATGACTCCCAGAAAACAATTCCCGACACAGGCTTATACCACAAGAACTCCATCCCAACCAAACAAAAAAAACTTCTCCACGGGATCTAAAACAGCTTCAATCGGTTTGAAAACGCGAGTACCGGACGAAACACCTCCAAGGTCTAAATCCAGCTTTTGGGAGCACAACCGAATGGGCATCCTTGCACGAGATTACTCCGGAGTCTGTGGTAGTCCAAATCAACAATTTGGCAGGAAATCCGCAAGAAAGATGACACAAAACAATTCCTTTGTCCCTAAGGGTCCCCGATCCAACATGAACGGAAGCTTCCAATCCAACGGCAACGGCAACGGCAACGGCAATGGCAATGGCAACGGCAATTACCGCAACCAAAACTACAACCGTGGGAATCAAAGCTACAATCACGACAATCAAAATCACGACAATCAAAATTACAACCGTGGGAACCAAAGCTACAACCACGGCAATCGATTCCACGGACGCGGGAATCAGAATAACAATCAGCACAACGAAAACACCAATTACGGCAATGGCAATTTCAATGGCAATGGCAATGGCAACGTGAATCCAAACCCGAACTACAAGGGCAAGAACTTCAATCCAAACTACAAAGGGAAGAACTACAATCCCAACCATCAAGGCCCTCGGGGAGGATCTGTTGGAGACGCTCGCCGCAGTCCGGAAACTCATCTGAATGGACAAGGGCCATTCTCCGGTCCGCGAAACAACCGTCGCAACCGCAACCGCTACAATAATTATCTGCCGGACAAGTTCAGAGCTCAGGAACAGGATGTTATCATGCTGGACGCCCCACCAATGCTCGATGAGCCAATGGACACTGATATGCCCGATGCTCCACCTCTTTCTGTCGATCCAGTAAGTAGACACGAGGATGCGGAAATGTTCATGTATGACGTGCTGATGTGCTAACCTTCAAAAAGAGAATTGAGGTCTTCAATGCTGGCTCCGAAGCCGTGCAAGAAGCTGTACGCATCCCCTTTGCGCCACTGCTCAAGATCCTTCCAGTCGTTTTGGCATAGCATCTGATCACTGTGAGACCAATTCCTAACCCGTGCACAGGCCAAATGCATCATCATGAAGATGGCTGCTGACTTGAACATGCGCTGCATTCCCAATTGAGTGAGCGTTGGAAAAAAAAAATTAAGAAAAACAAAGATCAAAATATGCATCAACGGTCGTCCACGGACTTGGCCCAGCTTTGCCTCCTGGGTTCCTTAAGCAAGTTCGTGTCCCCACTACGGGTAAATCCACACCCAGGGCAGGCCATGCATTCATGTGACATTGAAATCATGTACTTGATTCCTCCAAAGGAGGTGGTGGCAGACAGAGAAGAAGCTCCGTGGAGGACCAGCCCGGGACAAGAGCCCACCCTTTGTCTGGAAAGCCTATGTACAACGGACTGGAGCAACAGGGGACCTGTACTGAATTGTGCTTTCATATGACATTGAAAGCATGCACTTGATGCCTCCAATGGAGGCCCGGTCAGACGGAGACGAAGCTCCGTGGAGGAGGAGAGTCCGAGACAAGAGTCTACCCTTTGTTGTGAGTGATTTTGTGCAATGGACTGATTCCAAGGAACATGTATTCGAATCATGCGAGTCCTGGTCATGGTTTTGCCTGCCCAACAATTGTTGAGGACAGGTTTTCCATGATACACGCCTGGATACATCAAAGTCCATTGAGCGGCCCGAATGGGGGGACTGTCTGCAATTTTCATCTGTGCCCTGTCATGCATACTTCATGTGTTGAGATATTTTTCATGAACTCTGATTCATTCAGATGTCTCCATTTAAGGAGAACTTCAGCCTGTTTGAAAATACATGTATATAACAGTTGAATCTCACAATCAATCAAGATTCAATCAATGACTGTCTATGGTAACAGGATTGATCCTTAGTGATTTTAACAATCCAGAGTAGGACAGGCAGGCGAGTGATACTACTCAGTTAAGTCCTACGAGGTAGTGCATTGTATTCTCATAGAAAAGACAAGTATCTACAGGTTTGTGTGACGGAATTATGAGATTTCCTATTTGGGAAACGTATGGTTCGATGAAGGAGGTTGGAAATAAGTGATTTCATCACCTCAGGTTGAGAAGGGGGGAAATGAATAGAATATGAAAGGATTCCAAGGTCTGACTCAAGACTTTAGCCCCATAAGAGTGGCGCAATAATAAGCATGAGTGCAATGTGTTCTGCGAGTAATAATTTCTGTCAGACTCAAATTTGCCCCGAGACCTTAGAAATTGCTTCTCCGCCGGGTCAAGTGTAACGAAGGCATATCGCGATAGGCATGAACGTAGACGGACCCTAGCAGCAGTCCTCGCAGCACTCAAAGCAGAGAAGGCCAGCGCAGCTGAATAACATTAGCTAGATCCGAAGTCATCATTTCGGGGTCAACTTACACGCCACAACAGATATCACCCGCACCACCGCCGCGGAGCTTCATCGACTTCTCGTGCGAAGCCTGCAAAATTTGATCAGCCTTAACGAATCTCTCGGTGTTTGGGATCGCACATACATCCTGTTCGGTGGCAGTTCTCTCTGCTGAGGGAGCCTCGGGGCTGCTTGGTTGCTGACTTTGGACAGCTGCGGTGGAGGCATTCCAGACTGCTTCAGGCACAGGAGCAGGCTTGAAGAGCCAAGAGAAGAGCCCGCTGGTGGTCATTTTGGTTTGATTGAAACCAGAGATGAGCATACGGTTGTTGGGAAGAGATGAGGAGATATGGGGAGAGGAAAAGGAAGTGAGAGAGGTAGAAAGAAAGAAATACCCCGAAGAGGGGAGAAGGTACGATTATTTTTACGAGACGTTGGGTGCCACAGTTTCAGGAGTATGTACTATACCTCGAAACAACCATTTACGCTTGTACCTGATTCAAATTGATAATCAGCTGAGCCCACCTGGGCAGGGCTGGGCGCCAGATGTACAGATCTTGTCGATGACGAAGATACCTAGGTATTTATCACTCCAGAAAGCGCCAAGTTGATTCAAAAACCAATTGAAATATGAGCTGATCCCTGCCATGGAAATTCGAACGAGATACGCCGCAGATGGATAAGGACCTCCAAGCTTATCAATGGGGGCCAACTCACCCTGTTGCTGGCTGAAACTCCATGTCACCAATAGTACAAGCACGGAAGATTGTAGCCGAAGGCTGAACCATATCGCGGAACTGGAAGTAAGAGTCAATATTTCGTACTCAATGAGATCAAGTATCAGGAAGAATGTAAATTTTGGCCGTGTCACCCGGCTGAGTAAGATTGGGCGTCTCGAAATGCCGACGCCAGCTGGCGATGCTTGGGCTTTGCCTTGGTCAAGCATCGGCCAAGCATAGGCCAAGGATTAGGCACAGCTTGAACTTCTTAAAAATCCGATCAACCACGCAAAGAAAGCTCCTCGCCAAGAAGACAAAACATCAAAGAGCGTAGTAGTACCTCGCATGCTCCGCACAGAAAGAGTCTGGACCGCCAAGAAAGCCGGGGTAAGTCACCTGATCTGCACAGCTGGCACGCACGGCCACCCGTGAAATTTCCCTCTATCAACATCAGCCTCCAAGCCACTGCGATCAGCGAATCCGCAACCCTAAAATGACCACTCCTTCAGAAATCCAAGCCAGCCGCGAAGCCGACTACAAGCGCTTCAAGAACTATGCCGCATATGCATTCCTCATCGGCGCCCCAATCCTCGTTGCGCTTCCACCCCGCAAACTCGACCCGCTCACCGTGCTAGTCCTCTGCTCATTCGGCGCATCAGCAAACCACATCGTCGGAGACCGCACAGGAAAAAGCATCATTGACCGAATCGATGCCAGGATCTCCCGCATTCACAATCCCATGTCATCACTACCCAGTGAACGTGCACAGGAGATCCAAGATCGCCTCCGCGCCTCGCGCGATGCACAAATTCGCCAGGCCGAGAATGAGAAGCTGTCGGCCCGGATTCAGGAGTTGTCGGAGAGTGGCGATTCTTCTGTAAGCGCGGAGATTGAGAAGCTCAAGGCGCGTCAGCTTGCGGAGAAGGGGGTTGTACAGCGGGTTTGGATGGGCGGGGAGTCGGAAGGATGGAAGGAGCGGAGGCTGCGGGAGGAGCAGGAGGCTCTTGCTGAAGGGAAGGGGTATGGGGATCTGATTCAGGAGCATATCTGGGATGTTTGGACTTGGGGAGGGAAAGATGGGAAGGGGGGTGAGGGTGTCAAAGATGAAATGAAGGGCGAGTCTGTGAAGAAGGATTAAGTCTTAGCTGCTTCAACCTTCGATCATTGGGTCCTTGTACAGCGTCTTCTCTCCTTTTTCATCATGTACATTATTCATTATGTGACCCGGCTTAGCATGGGGATCAGGCGTTTGGTTGCTTCCAACGGTTTTATTTAATTCCACAAGGTCGGCTATCGGGCCATGAAACCATACGTGTGTGTATTGGGGATCCTCCAGGCTTGCTAACTATGTGGCCAAGCCAGTAATTGATTGCATGCTAAGAAACCAAGCCTTGTCTTCCATACCGCTCGGCATCAATGGATTCGGTCAAGACTACTAATTTTGTGGAATTATCAAAGCGACATCTGCATCCTTCTTTTGTGCCCTCGACGTTCGATTCATGCCCCATGGTTTCGAATAAATTTTCGGTTCCAGACTCCTTCCCACTGGGACTTGTGCTGCTTGTCCGTTAGGTCAATTGCTGATATTCAATACTTCTTTATCTTCTCATCGCCACGCTGCTTGGCGGAGAAAACAAGTCCCTTCATATCCCGCGCCAGGGTGCTATCCAGGGCGTCATCACCTAGCTCTTCTGCTATGTAGTCAGGCGTGCCTCCCAGGGAGCTGTCATCGGCTGAGCTTTCGGCAGGCATGTCCTCGAAGCGCTTGGTGTCAGATTCTGATTTGAAATCTAGTCTTTGACCGCAAGAAGGCTCGCGAGAGGTCAAGGTTGATGATGAGCTGCCTTCCATCATATCATCCAACAGCACCTGTTGATCATTTCCCTTGATCTCAGCAAAGCCTCGGGTAATATCACTGAGCTCTTGATCTAGCACAGCGCTGCTTGCACGGACTGCACATTTCGAGAATGGAGCCTCCACATGGGCGACGTGGGCGACGCGAGTCTTGAACCGCTTGCCGCATCGGGGACAGCTGTGTTGCATGTTAGAAGAAATGACAGGGAGCGAGGGACTCATGAAACAAAACTCACTCAAGAATTGAGTCATCTTCTGCTGCGATGTGACTCGCGAAACTACTGAGGTTGGCGAATACTGCCTTGCAGTTGCAGACGTAGCGTTCACGCACTGGATCCCAGAAGTCTGTCGGGCTAATAATTGTGTCGGTTGCGTGGGCATTGGGTCTTGGATCTTCTTCGTCGGAAAATTCGTCTTCCGCATCGAAAGCAGTAGGATCCTCGTCTTCTGCCGGTGGAGAGCTCGATTTGATGCGAGACATCATTGGGGTATCGTCGTCTAGAAGCGAGCGGGTAAAGCCGAGAGGCGCACCACCAGTTGATTCAGTAGAGATGCTACTCGACTTGGCGCGAGAAGCACCGACTGAGCCCAACTTAGGCCAGTCCTCAAGATCAGCATTAAACTCATGAGCAGTAGCAGGACGGGATGTCCGTCTTTTGGAATTCACGGCAACTCCGCCATCAGAATCATCATCACTGATATCGCCGGGACGGCGAGTGTGAGAGGGTCCTAGGCCCAATGTCAAGAAGACCTTTCCAGCAGCCCCTTCCAATGTGGTGTCATGAGTGATCCGGTCTGGCAGCGAGAGGACAGGACATTCGTTCTCTTCAATGTGCTTCATGACAGCAGCAGCCGACTTGTATTTGCGGTCGCAACCAAGGCAAGAGACGTCTTTACCTTGGGAGTGTGTCTATCAAGATGAGTAGTTGTTAGCGTTGCTTTTGCGGGATGATGTTATTGGAGACGGTAATGATAAATGACTAGAAAACATACCAACTTCACATGGTGTTGGAGCCCAGCGTTACTCCGCAGCTCCATATCGCACTCGAGGCAGGCAAAGTGATGCTCACTCATGACCTTGTGGAGATGGAGCAAGGCGTGGTTCACAAAATCCATGTCGCACTTAGTACAGTAGTAGTGCTTGTCTGCATTGGCCTTGTGGCTCTGCATCTCCTCGGTAGATTTGAAGAATCGACCACACGTTGAGTAGGTACAGCCCACTCTATTGTTGGTTGACATGGTGAACATGTCGACGAGCGCTCGGCGATGTAAGAGAAGTGAAGTTTGATGAAAAAGACTGAAGAGAAGGAGGGGGAGAAAGAATCACGAGCCTCCGAAAAGGAAGAGAAAGCAAGACTGGAGATTCCAAGGAGTTCCAAGGTCATTTATAGGGCAAACAAGGTGACCTGCTCCTTCCTACTTTTGTTGCTTCTGGCGGCAAGAGCCACCCAACACGGCGAGCTCCTCATCAGTACCTAGGCACCTAGGTAGGTTTGATGTGTTTGCTCAGTATTCCTCTTGCAACATGCAGGGTAGAGGTCTTGATTGAACTTGTCCATTTCAATAATATCTTATCATCGCCTCGTTTTGGCATGCAGGTGTGCTCAGCATGGCGATGTTCTACGAGGCCGACAGGATCAAATCATTCAAAGGGGACTTTCGTGTATGGAGAAGACACTAGAGTACTGGCCGACCAAACTATGAGATTTTGGAAGCTTTGTGGGCGATTGGATAAATCGTCTTAGGGATGATCACCATGAAGTCCTGGAACAATACAAAGCAGCTCAGTTCATGACTGCCCAAAGCGAGGGCTCTATCACACTGCCCTCGAATGCCACGGCATAATCACAAAAGATGCAGTCCACCCACATTGCGTTTGCTGATAGAAGATATGTGGAGCCTGTATACGTGATCCTTCCGGGGGTGTCCCCGTCGTGACTAAATTCCCTTAAAAACGAGAGAAAGGCAACCTATGCGTTTGTCAGACCACAGCGCCCACGCTGAATCAACTATCCACTTACCACTTCCCACGAAGAGTGATAACAGCCCAGTTATTACCCTCCTCGTCGGTCTCTTTCTCGACCTTAGTAGAGAAAGAGATTGCGCTCATGATACCGTCCCCAAATTTCTCATTCAAAACAGCCTTGTATGCGTAGCCGTAGTTCTGCACAATCTCGTAGAGTCGGTAAATCAGGGGTTTCTTGGGTGGCATTTCCACCGATCGCCCACGGTCGGGGAATCCACCGAGTTGGTCTTCCAAGGGCTGCTGGGGGATTCCAAGCAATGTCGCTAGCCTTTCGATGTCCTCTTGGGTTGCCTTGGCCTGGCCGTAGAAAATGGCGGCGGCGGCTACTTCATTGCGACCGAGGTGCTCGCCGATTTTCTCGAAACTAAGCTTTCGAGCAGCCTTGGCCCGAAACAGCGTTGCTGACGCTGCGGGGAGGTACGGGTGCTGGGACGTCTTGGGCGCTGTTAGCGGGGCTGCGGGGCTCGAGTGGGGGTTGATACAGCTCTCACATCAAGTGTAGCGAGAGACATGGCTGGCTGTCAAAGGTGCGATGTTGATTTTGAATTGGACTCTGTGGTAATTGGAGGTTAGTTTGAATGTTCGAGGGGTCGTGAAGCACTGCGGGGAAGAGAGGAGGAGTCCCACTCTAATATCCATAGTAACAGCTGTGCTTTGTCAGATCAACATGCATGCCACAGGCGCATGAAGAGACATTACCACCTCAGGTATCTATACTGGCACCTGGGAAGATCAGCCATGCGATACACTCCGATATTGATCTCGAAGCTGGTTTTCCTAACGGCGGCCAAACTGGAGTGCATGGATCAATTTCAAGGCAGCCTCGTGATACTAACCCACTCCTTTCACAACATATTTCGAAAGATTTCTGATCTTAGATGTTGATCAAAGGTATTTCCAAGATATGAGGCTAAAGGTAAGCATAATTAAACACGCAGGGTGATATGAAAGACTCCCGGGGTTGAGGTCCCGTACGGGCAACCCTTTAGGTTGCATGGACCCACTCCTCAGGGGTCCCAACTAAACCTGGGGAACCATTGCATACAACCTTGGAAGCCACCTGGGCACGCAAATATGGAAATAAACATCCCAGTAACCATTGGATTTTCAAAGCCAGAGAATATTGCAAATTGCTCTTGGGTGGAATCCGAAGGGTGTAGCAACGTGCACAGCGCAAACAAAACCCCAAACTCCAGAACTAAACCCTTCTAGGCAACCTCTGCGACTGACCAATGAGGACGGACTATTTGCCCCCGTCGGCCCCCGGGGCCGATTCCCAAGGTTATGATATGTACCATTCACAGTTTGGTTTACACGTCGGGAATTCGGCTGATTTCTGAGTTCTGATTTCTGATCAGGTTCCTCACATGCTAACCTCGGTCTTCAGATGATAACCAGTGCTGTCATAAAAGACGGGGACCCTCCATGTCGCACAAGTCCCAACTCACTCATCATGGCCGCTCGCAACCCAATGGATAACATGAAGTCCACATGGCGTACATGGGACCGAGACCAATGGAAACTGCCTCACAAAATTTTTGAGCACGCCGATGTTTACCATGTCGAATTGGATCGAGAAGTTCCAGTCCATTCCAAGCAAGACAAGGTGCCCTACGTCTCAGACTGGTCACTAAACCTCTGGGTGATCGTGAATGCCGGAATTCCTATGGTCATCCACCAGATCTTCACCTCGGTGACGGGGTATAACCTTCACCCGCTTGTCGCCCTGGCATACTATTATTATGCGTCACGATGGTTCACAACAAGGGAACTCCGAAACCTCCGAGAACTCGGCCATATCCACGGATTCCTAGATGGCGACAAACACGAGCGGGACGGGGTGCCTGACGTTGGTGTATCCAAGGCTTTGATATCCGTGCTGTTGGCTGGCGGACTCCGCCCAGTTATGACAGTGTGGCTCACCTACCGCGCGAATGAAGCTCCAGCTTCATTGAACTGGTTCTGGCTTCCAATAGAAGCCGGTCTTTACGGCATCATTCTTGACTTCTGGTTCTATTGGTACCACCGTCTTATGCACGACGTCAATGAGCTCTGGAAGTTCCACCGCACCCACCACCTCACAAAGCATCCCAATCCGCTGCTCACCATCTACGCGGACTCGGAGCAGGAATTCTTCGACATTCTGGGTATTCCGTTGATGACGTGGTTCACAATGAAACTGATAGGAATGCCCATGGGGTTCTACGAGTGGCATGTTTGTCAACTATACGTTTTGTTCGCCGAGTTGGCCGGACACAGTGGTCTCCGTCTGCATGCATCTCCGCCAAGCCCCTTGACGTGGCTGATGAAGATATTCGATGCTGAGCTAGTCATTGAAGATCATGATTTGCATCATCGTCAAGGCTGGAAGAAGAGTCACAACTATGGAAAGCAGACAAGAGTCTGGGACCGGGTCTTTGGAACATGCGCCCCTCGAATTGAGAGCACAGACGCGAATACTGATTACGACAACATTGTTAGCATGCCGCTTTTATAGACTTTCATTGAATGTTTAATGTTAGAGATGATTTTCCAAAGATGTCAATATACTTATTGAACATATCCCAAAAAGTCCATGTCGCAGATTTAGAACATTCATAGATCCCGAGGTCTTTGTAGAGTTGGCTCACCCAGTAAGACCCTGACAAAGGGATAAAGCCAACAATGACAATGTTCAAACATGACGAGGGAATAAAGAGCTCTTTGACCGAGTCGAAAGAGACATCTTCCTACTCTGGAAGGGATCATCTATATAAGTGACTGTGGAGCCGAGCAAGTTCAGCAATATCAATCAAACGGCCAAAAAAATCATCACCTATCACTAACGATCAAAATCCAGGTTCATTACAGATCATACAGCTACTTCAAAATGGCCACTGTCTTCAACATTCCGTTCAAAGACATCTTTCTCTCTCCCAAGGACGCCGGAACCAAGCCTACATTCATCAAAAATCCACAGAAGGTTTGCTATGTCTCGGTAAGCATGCGCTGGATGGAAGAGTCGCTTCCAGATCGTGACTTGTATGAGAAGGTCGTTGCTCGCCTCAGAGCTGGAGAGATCCATGTGCAGCTGGGAGGAGTCCCTGAGCAAATGGATCGAGAGTTTTCGGTCTCATTCCCAGTGCATGGTCTGAAGTTGGTGCCACACAGTAAGAAGCCTGAAAAGCTTGTTTTGCGTGGAGGTGAGGCCGAGAAGGCAATCATCCAAGTCATCAGGTATGTGGAAAGTCAAAGAAAGCTGATACACAGCAAAAAGGTAGCCATTGATCGCGAGAGGATGTTCAAAACGGAGGACATTGGGATGTACCAAACAGCTGAGCAACCGGCTACGAATACCCGCAAATGGTTCTAGATCTAGCGTCTTAGTGGGTTGATTAATGCGATGGTTTTCCGTGTATCATATTACAGGCCTGTGATCACGACTTTGTACGGAGTAGAGTAAATGAAATGATGTATCATGTATACCGTCACATCTGAGATCAGCTATTTTTCTTTTCTTTTCTTTTCTTCTTCTTCTTCTTCTTCTTCTTCTTTTTTGCATGCTGATGTCTTTATGCGAGTAACCAGAATCAAACAGAAATAGCCTCATATTCCAAGTTACGGGTGCTATTTGTTCTGTGCCTTGGCCAAAATCATGACCCTTATCTCAAGCGTCTGAGAGCCCCTGAGGTTCGGGTGCTCCCTCGCCTAGTGGATAGCTCTTTTCTCCTCTTCCCTCCTGAGGTCCTCTTCTCTTCCAAGGTTCCTATCTTACTGGACAAACCCAGTTGATCAGAATCGCTCCATTCCTTCCCAGATGTGCCTTTCCAAGGCCTAAGACAGATATTACTCATTCGCCTTCTAGTCCCTCTCTGGTTAGATCAATGTGTGGGGCCGAGGCAATCGCGAAACTTGATCATTTTCCTCCACTAACTCTTATTGGTATGAGGTTGGTTTCCTCGGTGTTAGCCTGCATTTTAGCCATGCTCATCAGTTTTCGTCCCTTGACATTGAGCACTGCGATCAAATCTGTACGCTCTCGAACACTGGGAATTGCCACGTCAATCCATGCTGAGCTTCGCACATTTTCCGATCACCCAGCCGGAGAGCTTCTTGGTTCAGCCCCTGACTTCTCGCGGTGTACAAGGTCTGATGTTGATACATATCGCCTCATCCGTATTTGTGACGATCAAGAAAAACTCGAATACACCTTTGGGTTGCTCATGAACATTGTGAGGCAACCATATCTTGGTCACCTGGTCAAGAAGATTGAGTATATACATAGGGCGAACAATGTTAGGGGCTACCCTGAACTACCGTATCAGCGGAAGCTGTCGGTAGATGACATGCAACTTCTCAAACGTGCGGTCGGAAATGCGGGCTTCCAGGACAAAAGATTGCAACGTGTCATGGGTATGCTTATGCAGAATGATTTGGACCAAGACTTTGGGTACACGACCTCTGAAAACCGCCGGGTTAGGTATGAGAAACTCGGACTCCTGAGTGACCGTGCTGTATGTCGGTTACTGACTTCTGCTGAATAGTGATTATGAGACTGCGCCCACATATATCACGCAGGCCATTGCTGCCATAATTGTATCCATGGCACCAAACCTTGAATCTATGGCCATGACGCAGATCTTTAACCACCACTCTGATCTTCAACCTGGGCAAGAAGAGACAGAGGAGTACCCCCTGGTTGAAGTCTTCCGATATGCAAATTCTCGGCCACAGGGAGCGCGCTTTCTTCAGAAGTTGCGAGATATGTACCTGATCAACCATGCAAAACACAGCGATTCTCGTTATTTTGCCGACACGGATTTGATTGCTTGCCTCGAACTCTTCAATAACCTTCCATCAATTGAATCTTTGGGCATCGATGTACTTGAATCCAATGAGGACAATGGAAAGCAGACCTGTGAGGAAAAGAGCTCGAATATCAGCAAAATCAAAATCAACCACTCCTCTCTGGATGCCAGCTATTTGCTATGCGTAATGGCGTCGAGCAAGATTCTCACGGAACTTCAATTCACCACGGGAAGGAGGTCGGCCCTCGACGGAACCTCGTTTTTCAGCCCGAAAGCTTTTCTCAAAGGCCTATCAGAGCACACTAGAACGCTCAAGGTCCTCGACCTGGATATCGAGGATTTGACTATCGGATACCCGGGTCAGCCTCAGCCTTACTCTACAATCAATTGGGATGAAGCTGGAGGCCCTGGCGATTATGAGTTAGATGAGTATGACGAATCCGACGAAGATAGCGCAAATCTGGCAAAGTACCGCCGCCTTCTGTCTATTTGGGATCGCAACGTGGTTCTGAAAGATTTCGAAGTATTGAAAAGCTTGAGCATCAACATTGGGTTTTTAATATATTTCGCTCAGGGGGTGGAAACGGATGATTTGCAAAGAGCAAGCATTGTGCTCGCGGACTGTCTGCCAGATCATCTGCGGTCTCTGTCTGTTCGAGGATACAAGAAAGTCGAGAATAAGATGTATGACAAGCAGGTGGACGCGTTGATGGCCCGATTTGAGGCTGGCTTATCACGGCTGGACGAGATCAAAGGGGTCAGTGAGCTGATTCCGAATGGGCGTGCGGTGGAAAATCCAGGTCGGAATGAACATTTGCTCTGGTCATTGGAGGAACTGGGGTATCCTGAATGGTGATTTGGCCAATGGCTCAGATCGAGTGTGCATGCTAGGATTTGGCGCGACGCCCAACTTCGATAAAAGCGAGTCCAAATACCAAACGCTGTATTGCGTACGGGGCGGGTAACTTCCCCACATCACGGGAAAAATACGAATCAGCGCCCCTCGTCGACATCACCTTTTCAACCTTTTCTCTTGTGCAATTAACACAACAAAACTCACAATGGGTGTCGAGAGAAAGATTATTACCCGTGGCACTGGCTCCGGCTCGCCTGCTGCCGGCGACAAGGTCTCCATTCACTACACCGGCTGGCTGTACGATGCCAAGAAGTCCAACAAGGGCTTCCAGGGAAAGCAGTAAGCTCATTCTCGCGCCGAGAGATACTGGGTCTTTCTTTCATGCTTGGAGTAAATGCTGATCACCTACAAATAGGTTTGACAGCTCCAGATCTCCTGGCCGTGGCGTCTTCAATGTCGAGATTGGCACTGGTCAGGTCATCAAGGGTAATCTATACCACCCCATGGTTTTCAGCGTAATCAAGGCATATTTAAGGCTCTTGATAATTTGCAATGCCTGCCTAGCTTACCAGACATATGGATGTTCAATTGCTTACTCTCTACATTTTTCTAGGCTGGGATGAGGGTGTCATGCAGATGACCCTGGGCGAGAAGGCCATGTTGACCATCTCTCCGTGAGTACAGCTCTAACTGACCCAATGACGGATTTCCTAGCTGCTAACACATCTTATAAGGGACTACGGATACGGCGACAAGTATGTCAATTCGAGCGGTCTTTCGCCTGTGTCTTGGGCGGCCTAATTTCTGACTGAACCGATGCTAACGTATTTCTTTTTACAGGGCTGCTGGTAAGATTCCCGCGGGATCAACCCTCATCTTGTGAGTTTTCCCAATGTGCTTACGTAGGTTTACCTCATACTGACTATCCCGTAGTGAAGTTGAGCTCCTCAAGATCAACAACAAGGCTGCCTAGATGATCAAACGTGACGATGAATTCCAGCACTTCCTTGTTATCAGAAAGTAGAAATCTATTGTAACCACTCTATCAAACTTTGGAAGTCATGCGTGTAATTTGCCAATTCAGTCTCAATGAATTGGCGTTACCTAGTACAACCACGTCCTCGACCAGGTCCCCGAGGACGGGTCCACGGGTATGGCCCATCACCAGTCATCGCCCCAGCGAAGACAATATCTTAACCAAACTAGTTCTAGCACTACTTCTTCGTATGATTACAGTGCCAAGCAATATGTAGAAGAGCGAGAGGACCTCCTTCCAAATTCTGGCACAATGTTGAAACTTTCTGTAAGTCAGTAGTCTTGGGACCTTCGGCAGGCAAGCAACAATGCAGGTGAGTAGGTGCCACTCATCTCCGACTACGGAGCAGCCGAATAGAAGCTAATCAACAGTTACATATTTGCTTTGTTTGTATAACTACCTGGTGGCTATTGCTGTGCTCACCAAGTACCTTTCCTGTCCCATGCAATTCCCGAATTCCATTTCAGGTTTCGGGGGGATGTCCTAATCTGGGGCCTGCCAGCGTCATTATGATCACACTTGGGAATAGCATCAAGCGAGGAAGAATGGTATATGTAACAGTCGAAAGTGAAAACAGCTCAGGTCATAGGTAAAAATAGGAATTTAAGCTGAAAGAGCACGGCCATTGTTATCCACGTCTTATAACTGCAAGATACTACGCGCCCGATACCTGCCCATGTGGGTGAATTAAGCATCGAAACATCCTCATAAATCATAAATTTAAAGCTAGCATAGCCCTCACGCAAAGCTTTACCAGTGTTTTCGTTCTCAATAGGCAGGTCTCGAGCCAAAGTCTGTGTGAAGGTCTAGTTTTCACTTTGACAAGGCCCACCATGGAGGGATGGTATTCGTAGCTGCATGTGGGTATAGATGTACATGATTGCGCCAGTAAAGCCCCCCTAGGACATTCGCTAGCTGCTTCCTAGAGAAACGTGCGTGTAAATGCCCGTGGATGTATTCGACCAAGGGATAGCACTGAATGATGCTGCTCACTTGAGAACGAAACACATCTGACAGTACAGAACTGTATGCGAGGACCAGGAACCAAGCGACAAGCCAGTGCCGAGCAATGGATTCTGCTCCTCACACGCAAGAGATTCAAGGCGTCCCGCGCAACTTCTTTCTCGAAGAATTTTCCTCCAACTCCCCACTTCTCTTGCGATCACTGTCTGTCTTCGCTCGCTTTTTTCGAGGTCTTGTAGTCGCGCCAGGCGACGCACCGTCATTGGACGCCAAGCTGTCCCTTTTGCGCTTATCGTGCTTAGGGGTTTCTCGCTTTCGTCTTTGCTCTTCCTTGATCTTCAGGCGTCGCTGGACTTCAGCAGAGATGTCTTCCGTTCCTAATGACGTTGGTGTGACGTGCCTGTCTTGTTCGGGCGGCGGTTGAGAGGGAGCGTCGCAAACTCGTTTGGCGGACCGCATTTCCCTACTTGATTCCGTAGTGACGGCGGCGGCACGGGTCTGCTCTTGTTCTCCAGAAACTCGACGTCTTTTCTTCCGCGTGTTCGCTCCAGCATCCGTGTGGGGTTGGTTGGGGGTCGAAGAAGATGAATTGGCTGACTCTAAAACCGTCACGTTAGGGACCGTCCGTGGATCAATTTATGGGACATCTCTGGTGGCTGTGGGATCGAGGCTTTGGGCACATTCGGGGATCTCTGTGAGCTTACTGTTCATCTGTGAAGCTAAGCGTTAGACTTAGCGAAAATAATTTCAGACAAGGCGCTCACCATCTGTTTCCTGGCGACCTTCAATTGGTTGATCGCTTGGACGGTTTTGTTCACCATGGAGGATACAGTTTGGAATGCATCGACCTCGGGGGCTATCTGACCCTTCACCAGACCGAGCATTTCCATGTGGGAGCACAGCACAGCTTCATGGCGGGCGAAGATCTAACGACGGAGCAAAGATTCACGTCAGTCACAGTTGTCACGCGCTTGGGCAAAAGATGAGACTGGCGCGTTCTTCGCGACCCAGAGACGTACCTCGGACCAGGGAATTGGATAGGCTGCTTGAGAGGCATGGTTGTGATCCATGGCGAGGAATTCGGGGAGTTGAGAGGAATCGTAGGGATCTGCACAGGAAGCTACTCCGCGCCAAGACTTTGATGACGCGCTAGCCCTGCAGACCTGGAATATCTGGGGATATCTTTTTATCGATACATCATTACAATGAGCCTACCTAGTATTTGGGCACTTTGAATATACTTTACTCCGTAATTCCGTATTTACCTTGCCCTTGAATACTGACTGGCTTTCCAAAATCTGTTATGTACATAAAGCTGTAGATGTTTGTATTGTTTGGCTCATCTTTCATCCCTCGATACATATTTCCGTTGACATCGGCTTCGGTAGCTTTCACCTGTGCATGCCTCTGATCCGTTTGATCCATTTCTACTTCCCCGAAATCTCACTGAGTGTTCCTTTCTAAACTTCCCATCTATTCTGTCAACTGCTCCAGCTCATCCACGGCCCTGAGGAGTGCTAGCATGTGAATACGGAGCTCTTGAAGAATCAGTTCTGAAATGCTCTAAAATACCATTGAACTGACCTTGAATTTGAAGTGAGAATTTACGCAGAGCCCCTGTTTCATATCCATGCCGGGCATTCCGCTTTGGGAAAGGCTGGACGACTTCTTGTCGATTGACAATAATGTTCAGTCCAACCTTGGGCTCAAGTCCGACCCAAAAGTCTTGAGCTGCTTGGTGTGTTGATGAGGGCGAATCCCCCACAGAGGCCCTGCGAGTTATCTGAGTGTCGAGTTTCGATCTTGCAATGCGAATAAACCCCTTGTGAAAGGCCAGAGCCCTCCGGAGGCCAGAAGCAGGTCGCTGGATGACGATATTCAGATCAATGCAAATTTGGCCGAAACTCTCAAAATCTTCCAATATTATCTCTCTTTCAAACTCTCGAGGCAAGGATTCAGCTATCCCAAGGGGATACGTACGGTGTGGATCGAGCCGCGAGGTTGGGAGTCCCCGATCTAGCGAGCAAATTCCAGGATCTTTGTACAAGTGCGAGTCCAAATCGAGACAGAGATACTGAGAATGCAGGCCTCCTGTGCCACTGCTATACAAGTCTTGACCAGTTGACCCCAGAACGCGAAGACCAGATGATCGAAGACTCATGTAAGGGCTAGAATTCTTATACTGCGGTGTGTCTAGCGACACGTTGAAAAAAAGGTCGTCCCGGGCGATGATCGGGCTCAATCTAGATTGAATCTCGCGGGATCCGATTGAACGAAGATCTCGACATGTCCCCAAAATCGAAGCCAAGGACTTGATGCGGATGTTTCTCAATATTTGAAAAAGAATCTTAGGAGGTGAGCTGCGATATGACACTGTGGGAGAAGAGATAGTACCTCGTTTGGCAGTGAAATAAGACTTTTCGATCCGCTCATGTCGAGTAAAAAAAGAGAATATGCATTCAGGAATGCTGGTGTGGAACGCTGAGTGTGTGCTATGCCCGATCGATTGTCTGGAATAGGCAATTCACCTGAGATCATTTGGTTGTCGCTCTCATACAGTATCCTGACCTCGGGGTCTGATCTGGCTTCATATAGTTACCGGAAAACAGGGCACAATAGGAGTGGTCGATTGAGGTTTAACAGAGAATGTGGCGATTCTGCAAGGGCTTCTAAGTTGGGTCAAATTGCCGTTTCTTCTGCAGCGATCTGCTGTATTCGCCCGACCCGAGCTAGATGAAGTGGCGGCAAACATTGACGAACTTTGATGAATGACAGACCCGATTTGATGCTTGTGGACACTCTACTGTGATGTATACTCGTGGCCCTTCTCACTCTCTTACTCCACCCATCTGGATTCGCCCAGTGCTCGCCTTTTTTCCACGCCAGTATGATCAACCATTATGATCAGCACATTCCCCACCACTTGTACAACTGCATTCAAGGTTTATTTTGGTTGTGGTCTGATGACGATGCGAACTCTCATCACTTCGAATATTGATCATGGGAATCATCAAGGGATGGGGACGGAGCTGTTATATGAGCTGAATCAATCCGGACCCTAAATTGATGTAAACCTGTGCTTAATCTTCAACATGCACACTACCATCAATCCCCTGACCTTCAACTTAGGAGCTTTGATTTGCTCCTACCTTTCTTTCCTCCTCTTTTTGGTCACGAAATTATGGACAGACCTTATGACCCACGAACCTAGACACCTCCGCTTAATCAAAGCCTTGCATTCGCAACATGCGGTTGCTCAAACACTACAAGAAATGATCACCAATGATGGAGCTGGGTCTTGGCCACCACGAGGCTCATATCGGGAGTCGTGGCCACCGGAACTTCAGCCGTTTCATGATATCTTCTTTGAATTGGCTCATCTGGTTCCAGTTCTGGATCCTTCCCTGGTGCAAGCCGTGAATGAAGCCCGCAGGAATGAGTATCGCAAGCGACTACAGATGATGCTCAAAGAGCGAGTAGATATCGAGGCATTGAAGGCCACGCTATCTGATGCCACCGGTGAGGAGACTTGTGTTACAAATGAAGCATACAATGGCTTTTATGCATGCATTAGTGCTTTAAGACATGCCTATAGGTTCGTGGAATCATTTTCCCCTTCCAACTTCGGCACACACCGCTAATTTAGAAGATGGGCAACTATCCCAATTGTTGAATTGATGCAGCGCGAAAAGATAATTGAGTTTCCCTCCGAGCTCGATATCCCTTGGGGGTTCATATGTCAGAGATACGGAATTGAATCAATGGGAGGCAATGTAATGTCCAATTTTCATTGCAACATGGATTGGGCAAATGAGAAGATTGCGTATCCTATCAATGGAAGCATGCCCGAGCCTATACCTTCTGCTGAGTACAACCTAATATACGCCTTCACAGAGCCCGAAAGCAAGGTGAGCACGGAGTACACGCGACCCCATTGGCTTTTCAGATTCTAAAAGTTCACAGGCATTGCCGGTCTACTACCATGTCGTACAGTCCATTGTCTGTTTCGAAAGCCGCCAATTTCAACAATGTGCCCAACATATCACAGAAATCACGCCCCATCTACTTTCCGCATTCAAGATCTACTATCAATACGTTACCGACTCAAAGATCTCCCTCAGCGTCTTCACCGCCTATATTCAAGGATCTCATGGTTGGGCAGCTGGAGAAATTATCGATGGAACGTATGTTGAGTATGATGGAACCTCCGGTGCCAACATGGTGATGTTCGTGATGCTGGACTACTTCCTCGGCCTCGAGCCTTTTCTCAAAGAGCATGATTTCCCAAAATACTTTTCCTACTCTCAGAGATCATTCCTCGCTTCTATCAAACAGCATTCCTTCAGGGATGAGTCGAAAAATACTACCGATTCCAAGATTTCTGAGCAATTTGAGAAAATCTCGAAACAACTGCGTGTAAGTGTTCACCAGCTTCATGGAAAGTCAGCATCTGATGAAAACATTATCAAGACCTTCCGCAGCGCACATAGAAAGCGCACCAGACAATATTTGAGCGTCGAGCGGCCTGAAAGAGTAGTCATGACTGCTGGATCTTCTCTCGTAGAAACTCCTGGGCGTCAACTCACAGCCTTGGACCTTGCTGACTCGGTCGACGCTGGTCTCGAGAAGCATATGATTCAAACTTCATGATCGCACATCCGAGTCTACCTTGGGGTCCCTCCAAGATCCCACTGGCGATCACTCTAAGTTGCACCTGGGCATGGGGCGAGTCGGACTGACCTTTTTTCTCTTTCTTTTTTCCAGCTTGTTCCTCAAACTCCATATAGGTAGTCACATTGAGGTATCGTGCAATAATATTTTTCCATATTCATTGTATCTTAGTAGAGACAAGTGGGATGAGAGGCGTATCGTAAATAATAGGCAACCGCATCTGAGAGAGCTGCTCCGTATGATATTTCACATTGTACACTATTCCAAGCTCGTTAAAACGCCAACGCCTCATTAATGCTTCGGTCATACTAAGACCTTGCCGTGTCAGAAAATTCGCAGCCAGTAAAAAAAAGGACAAGAAAGCAATACATCATACGCAATCACAAGTCCACATTACCAAGCCCCAGCATCGAGGTCAAATCGCGACAAGTCCTTCTGTGCGTCTTCGACATCTTTCTTTGCTTTCATGCGCATGTAGAAGATCGGGCAATCTCGAGAAGAACAGATGACTTCGCAATGCAGACTACCTTGGCAGCGTTGACACTGAGTCCACAACCGTCCGAACCGGACCTCCAAATCAGAAGTCTTGGTCAGAGTTTTGGTGTAGAGTTCACCTAATCGGGGACGACAGTTGACGCAGACCGCGCCTTCTGATTCCTCGTTGCTTGCGAGAGGCTTTTTGCAACCCATGCAAGTCTGAGTTTTCTTCGCGAATTTCATCAGACCACCTAAGCTGGAGGCTGCTTTGGAGATAGAACGTGTGTGCTCTCCAGTGAGCAGCTGACCTGCCTTCTTCTCCCCCAGAATAGGTTCGAAAATACGGCCCAGCGGATTCGCCAGCTGATTATCGAGGTAGTATTTGGTATCGATGGGAATGTTGTTCTCCAAGACGAAGATGGGGTCTTCTGCGCGTTCGTAGCCCTTGGAGTCACTGGCGCCCTTGATCATGACATAGGCCACACGGTCACCGAGTGTTGGTGCAGAACCCGCGTCACGTTTGTGCATGCGCTCAGCAAGTTCGACGTGAGCTTGCTTGCCAGCATAGTCCTCCTTGCGCTTAGACAATGCCTTTGTGATGACTAGTTTCGACATATCGATCTTGTTTTGAAGAAGGTCTGAGATGGTTGCTTTGACGTAGCTTTTTTCACTGATTAGTTGGGAACTTGGACGCGAAGTTGGAAGATGACTTACTCTTGTGCGCCATCAATATCCCGGTCAATTAAGATCTTGTTCAGCACCGTCTCAATAACGTTTTGAACCATCAAGCAATTGTCACGTCGGACTGTCTCAATACCCTTGGTATCCATCTTATCATGCTTGTCGGGATTGGTCCAGTAGAGTCCAGCGTAGCGCTTCTTGTTGATGAGAAGATACGGGAAGTATACCTTCTCGAACTCAAGTTTGATGGGGTTGATGAATTTGGAAGAGACATAGTCTGCTGCTTCCTGTCCAAGTTTCATCGCTTCAGCTAATTCAGTGACGCCAAACTTGACCATGACGGAATCGGTGTCACCGTAGATGACCTGGGCATCGTGGGAATATCCATTGGCGATGGTGTAGCGCGCTTCCACTTCCTGCTTCGTCTTTTCAATCATCTGGCGACCATAACTGGTTGTTGAACTAGCGATGGGAAGACAAGGCAACTTTCCAACTGTGGCACCCGTCAAACCGTAAACACTGTTGGCGCTGACCTTCAAAGCGAGCTGACGACCGTTGAGCACAGCCTTTTTGAAGCTATCAGTCTCTGTAGCTAACTCTTTCTTCGCGCGCTTTCTTGCTCCCAGCAGTTCCTCGAGAATCTGGGACAGGAGCCCCTTGCGAACTTTGGTTGTGCAGAACATGTCTCCGTTTGGTGTGACAATGTAATCTTCGTCTTTTTTGAGGTTGAGCTTCTCGACACTGTTCTTGTTGAGCAATGTTGTATAACAAAGGTTGTGCGCTTGGATAATAGATGGATATAGTGAAGCAAAATCGAGGGTCGCGACTGGCACACCATAGTATCCTCGAATGGGCTCAATGACAGTGGCACCTTCGTAGTCTTGCTCATCCTGGGGCTTAGAGTTTGGAATGACGAGCTGTTGTTCTAATGCTTTTCGGAACAACTGGCTGATGAACTTCACTTGCTGTCCACGAGACAGGAGGAAGTTGAAAGGCACACCCGTGACCCTTGCCATTTCCGTGTAGTTGACCAGACACATCAATTTGTCCATCAAACGTTGTGGGAGATATGCATCTTTCAGACAATACACGGCCAGTCGCCGCCGTGAATCAGGAGTACCGTTGAAAAGTTCAGTAATCATCGTGTGGTGGACATCTTCTTTCTGCTCTTTCAAGAATTCGTAGGATACCGAATTGAGTGTGTAACTTCTCAGCTGGTGATCTCTCTGGACCAACTGAAGAAGATCAAGCTGAATTCTACCGTTGGTGTTTGTGGCTTTTGTGTCTCGGTTGCCCATTTGCTTGCTTGAAAAGTTGGCATCCTTGGCCTCAGTCTTGCAACCCTTCAGCCGGGTCCAATAAGGGAAGCCTGTGCATTTCAGATGCTTGGCGCGGTCAAGTAGATAGGGGAAATCGAAGTTGGCAATGTTGTAACCAATGATTACATCCGGGTCCACCTTCTCCACGAAATCGCGCCAGGCATCGAGCATCTTCTCCTCCTTTTGAAACTCCAAAATCTGGGTGTTGACGATCAGACTGCAGGTATCGAGAACAAAGACATTTCTGATGAAAGGCTTTGACTCTCCGTATCTGGTGACCACATTGGCAATTTGGATGACCGGGTCTTGATTAGGCTCTGGGAAGATACCTTTCCGGCCTGCGCACTCGATATCAAAGGAGAGCACACGGAGGGGCGCCATCTTTGCCCATTCTCCGTTTGGCTGATGTGCGACCATATCATGATAATCAACGGCGGCTTCAAGTTGGCAATTTGACAGTTGCTCGCGCGGGCCAAGAAGGCGGTATTTTCCGGCCATTGCCTCCACCCATGCCATGCCAGCCAGGCCGGTATCAATCATGAACCGGAGGAGGTATTGAATATTGTCAAATGTGAGAATGCCATCTGAGCTGCCCCACATGCCCTTGTAATTCATGCTCCCGCTGCCGCTCTCCAGCGCACTTCGTAGCCGGGCTGCCAACTTCGGTTCCGTGACGGTAATCTTGATGTAATAACTTTTCTGATTTCCCTGGAATCCGTAGATATTCTCACGCATCGTGAGCTGCACAGAAGAGATGGCCGTATAGCTCTGCCCCAACTTTTGTTCGAGGAAATGCTTGTAGGGGTCGCAATCGGCTTTCGTGAAGCTAACGGGGGCCGCGATGTAAAGGTAATGCTCGAAACCGGTAACGTGAAGACAAACGGATTGTCCAACCTGTCACATCCGTTAGATCTTCCGATTATCTTTGTGCAAGTAAACATTATTTACCTCGGTGACACCGAACAGTCGGATGGCAGGCTTTCCCATCAGCACAGATTCCTCAGCATCAATCTGCTGGAAACAAATGTTTTCTTTCGTCTCATCAAAGTTCTCAACAGGTGGACGCTCCCACTGTTGGTCTGTCTCCGAGTTACTTCCTTTCAGCTCGCCGATATCCTGCGTTAACTTTTCAAGGACTTCCTCCTCGAATTGACTTTTCTGGGGTTGCGTAGAGCCAATCTTCCGGCGCGCCGTCTGGGATGACTGTGTAAATGATACTGAGGGCTCTGTGTCAAGCTTTCGTTTCTTGAGCACACTTGGGGACTTGGTGATCCCGGCGGTATTGTTGACCGCATCACCCAGTACCCGCTTATGGGGAGGCATAATTGCTTCAGGCATGATGAAAAATCATAGATTGGGTGACTTCAGAGTGGTTTTCGGTCCCGGAGGTAGAGGGGAAAAGTCGTGCCAGAATGGGTTGAGCGGGCAACTAGGGTCGCGCGCGTGGTGACCGTGACCGTGACGTTGACGCGTTGGTCACGTGTGATAAAATACGCTAAATTGCCATTTCGACTTCGCTGATTGGCCTGTCGAGGGGTTTTCGAATGTTTCACTGTTCACAGCTTGGGGAGTATAAAGAAGTCTGAAACGCGAGGCGGATGTTCTATAATGGAATCTAAGAGACATTCAAAGGGTTTGAGCTGCCTCGGACAACTACGCAAGCCACATACGCCATGGTATATTGCCTTGGAAGGATTTGTAAAAGCGAAATACCCTTCGACAAAGGTACATTTTTAGTGGCATTCAAACTATCCGCATCTCATACAACTTGCAACTCCGGACGAAGTACAGGGAGTCAAAGACAGCCAGATCATCCGCGGTGGAGAGATTCCAACGTTCCGCCGGCAGAAACGGATCACTCGCCTTCCCAGGCTTGGCAACCTCGAGTCCAACCTTTCCACACAGCAGCGAGTACTCGTATACTAGTACTTCGTCTCTCGCAAGGACTCAGGCTTGGGGCCTGGCTCGATTCAAACTTAACAAACTTCGTCTGCCAAGAGCCGTGCGACCCACGCCCTGCCAGAAACATTATAGAACCCAATGGAAGCATAGGTCGAGTCACCCCTCTGGACGATCTGTGGCATGTTTACGCCTTTCTGCCTTTGATCCCAACCGCACGGTCTCATCCCGGAAGGACAACTGGCAATTTCTTTATTTTGGTCACATTCCCTTGGAGTCACATCTGCTGCCTGAACAAAGCCAGCCATTTTTAACTGCGGGGCAATATCCGACTTCGAACTTTCCAGAGCAAAACACTTCAATAAAACCATCTGGTGGAACAACGAATCCCTTGTGGCAGACCTTGACGTCTACAAAAATCAGCCAATGGCACTATAAAGCCACCAGTTCCCTTCCAAGATTGGCCATCGCATCTACTATCGTTGTTGATAAACATCTATATCAAAATGTCGCTGTTTCGCTCCCCAGCCGACATGTCTTCGAGCTCTGATTCCGAGTCAGAATCAGAATGTGAAGAAAGTCAACCACAACATTCAGGGGCCTCCACCCCACGCCATTCGACAAGAAGTCAAACTCACAGCCCGCATAAAGGCAAGGCCAGCCAACCTCCGGCAAAGTCAGAATCAACTGACCCGGATTCCTCGGTCTCCTTCGATGATGGCTCCAGACTACCACAAGAAATGGTAGACCTGAATGTTGACCAGCATGCAAATGTGATGACAGCTGCCCTGTTGGAATTCTATTGTCAAAGTCGGGCAGCAGACATTCTCAATGCCCAAAGCGGCTCAGGGAAACAGTTTAGCCGGCACAGTCCAGAGGCTCAATATCTTGGGAAGAAACTGTACAGATACAAATCAGACTTTTTGTCATCACACGGAGTGCTGGCCGGTGGCATTGATAGAGAGGAGATGGGGCCAAGCAGACAGACTTATCGTAACAACCTTGATTTGCTTGGAATATCTGCCCTCGAAGAAATGAAGTTTCATGACCCCAACGTCCGGTCGCCCACAATCGGCTCAGGTGGCGACCATTCTTTGATCAAAAAATTATCAAAAATGCCAGACTTTGGACATGCCGACACTCCTGCTTTGATCCGGCGCAAAACTGAGCCGAACTATGCATTCGAAAAACATCTGCCTTCTGGCGGAAACTTCGAATTTCTGCCCACTGTCCCTGACATTCCAAGAAATCTATCACACCCTTCAATCCCTTTGTTTGGCAGTTCACCGGTTGGCATTCCATTATTCCACTCGCCAACAACGCAGAACTACAACCACTCTTCGAGGTATTCAGTTGAGTTCAAACAGCTCAAGGTCTTGGGGCGTGGTTCCTTCGGTGAGGTATTCCATGTCACAAATCACATCGACGGCCAAGACTATGCAGTCAAGAAAATTCCACTCAGCCAAAGACGGCTCGAACAGCTGCAGTTTGGGGGTCAGAATCAGCTGGAAGTCATCATGAAGGAGATTCGAACCCTTGCCCGTCTTGAGCATACGAACATTGTTCGGTATTATGGCGCATGGGTAGAACAAGCCCATAATCCACAGTCGTCACCCGAGGATTATCACCCAGGCCATGAAACCTTTGAGTCGCCGCGGAATGACCTACCATCGCCAGGCACGCCGAATGGGTCCAGCATGGGAATTGTCTTTGGAAAGTCCGAAAGCTCAAACCCAGAGTCGCAAGCGAGTTCTTTGGCCGAAGATCATAGCTTCTCCGAAAGCATTCGACGCTGGGACAGCCACGCGACTAGCTCATCTCGGCAATCGAAGAAGAGTTCACGAAAGGGCTTCAATGATGAAGATGAAGATATCGAATCTATTCCCCGCAACTTTGAGAACACTTCGTATGGGGAGACATCGACCTTCGGAGAAACTGATGACATTTTCACCGATGGACTAAGTCAAGATCAGTCCAAACTCCAAGTGCAAACCCAATTCCGACCTGGCCATCCACCACCCGCAGTCATCCTTCACATTCAGATGTCACTCCATCCCATATCACTTGGGTCCTATCTCAACCCCCAAGCCGCCCCCAAACTCGATGAGCATTCGATTCCCAGGCGCCACTGCTTCCACCTACTGCCCTCTTTGAAGTTGTTGATAGACATCGTTTCCGGCGTTGAATACCTCCATGCGAAGGGAATTGTGCACCGAGACTTGAAACCGGCGAATATCTTCCTGTGCGCACCGGAAAGCACCTCGGCCGACATTTGTGTCTCCTGTAGCTCGAACGACGCCTCTCTCGTCCAATTCTGTCGTCCTCGCATTGGCGACTTTGGTCTGGTGGCAGACATATCACATCTCAATGAAGTCACCTCGGGGGCTGTTACGCCATACCGAGAGAGTCCGAAAATCCAGCGGGTAGTTGGAACGGAGTTCTATCGTCCTCCGGCCAATGTCTCCGGAATTCCAAGTGACCCGAACTCTCCGGCAGACTACGTTGATGAGTACAAAATCGACGAGAAGTTGGATGTTTATGCGCTTGGTGTCATTCTTTTTGAGACACTGTATCGTCTGAACACGAAGATGGAAAGGCAATTTCTCTTGAATGATCTGACTCGTGGGTCAGGCCAAGACCCCTCTGAGCGCACCATATTCCCGGCCGACTTTGCTGCCAAAATTGACAATGGTTCGATGATGTTGGATGATGGAGTCACAGTCGCAGAGTCCCTTATGAAATGTATCAAGGGCATGCTTGAACCTCGCTCGCAATCTCGTTGGGGCTGTCAGGACGTCAAGGAGCATTTGCGGAGGATCAAAAAGGCCGTTCGTCGAGCCGAGACACAAGGGATCAATGACAACTAATCTCACCTATATACCCCAAATAATAGAAATGCATAACTCCACTCTGTGAAGATCATGGATCGACACTCGGACCTCGGTTTCGTAGCTTTCCCCATGTTTTTCACAGGCGGCCGAGCTTCCCCGCATAAATATATACCTGACCCTGACGGAGTTCCACAAGCTGAGTAGTCCAACTCATAACCACACCGTCTGGCCAAACTCGTTCCTAAATATCGAACCCAAGAAGATCTTGAAGAATCCGAGATGGCAGGTAACCTTCGCCCACCAACAGCACCATACAGCGAGCCCCTTCTTCCACAACTCGACCTCCGCAACCCGTACTACACCGACCTGCACCACAACCTACGCGCAACCGTGCGCGAATACGTGGATACCTATATCGCACCGTACGCGCACGAATGGGAAGAAGCAGGCCAAGTCCCCGAAGCCGTCCGACAGCGCCATTGCAAGCTAGGCTACGGAATCGTGCACCCGCTCACAACCGAACAGGACCCAGCCGGCCTGTCCCTGCCTGGGAACGTCCCCCGCGAGAAATGGGATACGTGGTGCTCGTTGATTGTCTCTGATGAACTCACGCGTGTGGGATATGTCGGTGTGGTATGGGGACTTGGCGGAGGGAACGCGATCGGGTGTCCGCCGGTCGCACGGTTCGGGACCGCAGAGCAGAGACAGAGGTGGCTGCCTGGTGTTGCGAAGGGAGATGTCAGGTTTTGTTTGGGAATTACTGAGCCGGATGGTATGCGTGTTTGGTATTGCGGCGGCCGACGGTGCTGACTGATTCTAGCGGGCTCTGATGTGGCTAATATTCGGACTACCGCCCAGCGAGATGGCGATCACTATGTCGTTAATGGCGCGAAGAAGTGGATAACGAATGGTGTCTGGGCGGATTATTGTACGGCTGCCGTTCGGACGGGTGGCCCTGGTAGGTCGGGAATTAGCTTGCTCGTTATTCCTCTCGCTGTTCGAGGAGTAAGTCGCAGGCGTATGCATAATTCCGGTGTCAACGCAAGTGGTGAGTGCTTCTCCCGTCAACATCCTCTACCCGCCATTCAACTGACAGAACCTAGGCTCAACATTCATCGAGTTTGACGAAGTGCGCGTCCCTATCGCCAATCTCCTCGGGGAAGAGAACAAAGGCTTCCCGCTCATCATGTCGAGTATGTGATGGAGCAAAGATTGCAAGAAAAAGTGTGCTGACACAAGAGTAGACTTCAACCCAGAGCGCCTCGCCCTCGCTTGCGCATCCTTACGACTTGCTCGCGTATGCGCCGAAGACGCATTCAACTACGCCATCCAGCGTGAGACGTTCGGGTCACCCCTGATCGAAAAGCAAGCCATTCAGTCCAAAATCTTCAAATTTGGCCTCATGATCGAACCGGCCTACGCGTTCATGGAACAGCTCGTCAATATCCTTGAGAGCACCAAGGATCGTGCATCCGACGATGTCAACATCGGTGGAATGACTGCGTTGCTGAAGGTCATGTCGACAAGAGCGCTCGAGAAGAGTGTCCGGGAAGCTCAACAGATCCTTGGTGGAGCGGGCTACAACAAGGCTGGAAAGGGCGCTAGGATTGAGCAGATTAGCCGCGATGCTCGAGTTCACGTGGTTGGAGGCGGGAGCGAGGAGATAATGGCTGGGCTTGCGTTGCGGGAGGAGACAAAGGCGCTCCACACTCGACGGGCTGCATTGGAGAAGAGAAACTCCAAGTTTTGATATCGATTTGGTCGTGAGTTTTGGGGTATTCGAGACACTTTCCGAACTTGTGATCCCAGCCTTTGGTAGCATAAGACAAGTGATATTTGTGTAGTTTTGATTGTCAGTAGGTAATGGTCAAATTGGCCAGCCGCATCCATGCCTAACCGGATATTTCCAAGGTTGGATACCACCCCGTATCTGATCCTGAGGGTCGTGGTCTTGAGGGCCTCTTATGCCTACGGGTACATATAACTTTCTACAATCACCTGGCAGTATGGGTGGAACTCTTTTAAGAAATAGACTAAATGGATGGATCCACGGATGGTCCCGAGGGCATTACCGGCCCAATCGTGTCCAGGAGTGTGGGGAACATACGGGTCCACGAGTAGCACCCAGAGTGGTAGATAAGTAAGTCAGGGTCTAAGAAAGCATAAAGATCCCATTTGGCACAGCGGTAAAACGCAGCTGCATTGAAGACTGGGGTGATGAGCTTGGAAACTTAATTGGGGACAGGTGAGCTCCGGGCCTTTGTACAGGGCCATTTGGGATCGTGGGAGAGCCCTGGTTCGAAACCAGTGCTCGCCCCTTTTCTTTTTGTCCTTCTCTTTTTTTTTTTTCTTTTAGCTCTCTTGGCTTTTATGCCCCAGGTGATTCTGAGCCCTCATGGGCTTTGCTTAATGGGACAATCTATATTCTGTACGCTATGTGGGTCTGCGGGAGATCTGCACCCGCCCCATGTAGTGGAGCACCCCGTCGACCTCGGGGATTGCTGATTGGTCACCTGACCTGTCCCCTTGGGGCCGACCTCGGGAGGCCTCATTAGGTAGTACAGTTACTGTCAGTACACGTACAACCTAGGTAGTATGCACCCATCCATGAAAGTAGTAGATTAGATAGAAAGTCTGCGTTATCCAAATGTTATTTTCCGCCACTTCATCTTCCGGTAATACACTCCAGGGCTATATAATGCGGAGGGTGATACCACCATTGGCTTTAACGAGATCGTACAAGTCTCGGGTGGTCCAGGGCTGTGCTCATGATTCCTTTCTTCGTTTGCATCCCTAACATCTCTTTCATCACTCATATTACTCTAATACACCTACACCTCTCCGTACCATCCATCCACACAATGTTCTCCCCAACTACCTAGGTATGCTTGAGAGTCGAGACCTCACTCCGCGCCCCAGCCGCTCTCTCAATGACCAACTAACCATCAATTCAGACAAAGAAGAGATTTCCGAGGAAGAGATCAAGGTGGGCTCATCTTGAAGCTCCAGCTCCACGATATCCGATTCCAATTCAATCCACAGGCTGCCGAAATCGAGGCATACCGGCAAGTCAAGATGGCTATTGCCGGTGGCGTCCTCCTCTACCTCTGTAAGCTGAGCGCTCGGCATTGGGGGTCTTTTGAGCTTCCACGGAAGCTAGCAGGCAAGAATTCAATGAGACATTGGATGCTAATCACGTTTTGAGAACATGGCTCGTTTCGCCGTCGACTTCGTTCGCAAGCTCCTCTAAACAGCTGACTTGCCTTAGCCTCCTCATTTCCAGCACAGCCGAGTCCCCACGTCAATCCATACCTGGCATCTTTTGATGTGCTCATATCCTCAACTCTGTACTTTTATCATTGATTTTTGAAATTCCTTTGCTCATTGACGCCGAGCCCACGGGCATGATTGAAGATTGCACAAATGACTCTTGCTACAAAGGCTCCAATACTCCAAGGCTTTTTTCTTGTTGTTTTGACTAGCATTTGCAGTAACGAGTCCAAGTACAACACATCTTTCGGAGCCCTGACCAAAATTCTGCGCCCTTTTCGCATATACCCAAGGTGATATCCCGCGCGGCGAGGTTGCAATGGACTCCGTATCCCAGAGTGAATTGATAAAGAGTAAACGGACATTGAGGTGAGGCTCAAGTGAAAAGCCCGCAGAATCGCAGTGAGAAAGTTGTCACTTTATTTCTACCAGTGTAGTTTAGAAACAGCCAGAGCTAGTCGCCAACAATTGTAGGAGAGCAGAGGTCAGACATATCCTTCGCCCAAGAATACACCAAATCTCTTTTCTCTCTTCTCAATTCACTCTGAACATTCATCTCTTTCTGTTCAGATATTCAATCACCTTACCTCACTCTGTCAAGATCCCCTGCAATAAAATGCCTAGCGAGACAACTGGCAGTCCCAATCGAGGGTCCTTCCCTGATCCACTCAGGGAGCAAACTCACAATCCCAACTCGGCATCAATTCCCGATTTGTCCCAGGAAGACCGCGAACGGTCCCTGGAGTCACCAGAGTCTGCGGCCCATGAGCAGGATTCCAAAGCTGCACGGAGAAGAGCAGCTCGTTCAGAGCGAAAGAAACGAAGCCGCAAGCGCAAAAGAGATGAAAACGCGGTGCTTTTGACGGGAACAAAACGCACCAAAATCGAGGATAGTGAGGCCTCAACAAAAGACAGCGAAGTGAAGCCAAACTTTGTGGGATTCATATCTCCTACCCGCAAAGAACAGGCGAAACTGGTGGCGAAGGGAATCCATAGGCTCCCTGTCCCAGAGCAGGTCAAGGAGCGTCTTGTGATGTTCTCGGACTGCTCAATCAATTCTCGCTGTGGCGCTGTTGGCATTGCCCGGAGAGCGAGAGCAGATTCTGACAAGTGGGTAGGTCGTGGACGGTTCTTCCCGATCACCACAAATGCAACGGAGATGCTGGAGATGTTCGGAGTATCCACTGCCCTATGGCTGGCCCTTGTGGAACTCCAAGGTTCGGACTCCGACATCAGTAAACCAGTTGTCACAAAGAGAGCCAAGAAGAACCGCTTGCGCATTGATCCAGGAGGCACACAGTCCCACCAGCATACAATGGAAAAGGAACTGTTTGTGTTTACAGATCGGGTTGAAGTACTGGAAATACTGAGTGAAGGCCAGTACAAAGGGTCAACGCCATTTATGTCGGAGATAATTGACGATGTTTGTCGATTATCACAACTTCTCCATGCTCAAGGTGTACATCTTGAGATACACTACAGTCCCGGTCACTCTGGGATCCCAGGAAATGTGGCTGCGGACAGGATGGCAAGAGAATGCCGAGAGGCACTGCAGGCGCTGGCGACGAATAGTTGGCCCACCGACGATGTCCGCATGCCGCTGTCATTCTCGTGGACCACCAAGCGCCCGATTCCTAGCAGCAGTCTCTCGCAAGAGCCCATCTGATGGTTTTGACCTGATCTGGCCTGGCCTGGCCTGGATTGGGCGACGGTTGATGCGTTGATGCGTTGAGGATGACCTCCAAGCTGGCTTCAGCGAAGAACCACTTGTACCAAAAACATAGGCGCTATGATCTACCGTGAGCCATCAATGATGACGGGTATAGCCCTAGCTGGTGACTTTGTTCCCAAGAAGGCCCGCTCTCTCTGACACTTATGTCTGTACGTATGTGTATGTCGGGAAATATGACTCGAGGCCACTTCGGTCTTTGCTCTTCATCTTCAAAGAGTCAGGTTCATTCCCACCGAGTATCCTGTTCCTGGTAAGAGTCATTTGGGTAATTTGGCACAGACGAAGCATAAGAAGACTTGATCAAAGCACAAAGTAGGCTCCAGAGCTAGACCCAAGCGACCTAACTCCACAAGGCACCCGTGGATCCAACACACAAAGGAAAAACCCCAATAGCAGTGTTGGCAGCAGGTCAATGCACATCTAGCCCATCATTTTTTGCAAGTGGAGCGAAGCGAAGTCGGAACTTATTTCCGCTTCAGATGAAGCTCGGACAGCATCCCAAACGTGATGGATCCGACGCTCATTCTTTGTACATCTTGAGCCCAGATTGGAGGGTTTCATCAGCCGTGAGAAGCGCTGGACTCCAGCAGCCCAACGCCATCGCCCAGGAGTAAGGCGCAGTCTTGACCATCGGGTCACAAGATTCGTAATGCCGCGGTAACGCTGTCCATCAAAGCAATAAATGCCGTGACAACGAGAGGAAAGACGTACTGCATGGCTAGCTTATAGATTAGCTGCATGGAGATCTGGTGGCGTTGATATCTGCCGCAATTCCCCAGTGTTTCATGAGCTGAGGGAGGAAGCGAAGTAATCTGGAGGCCTTGAAACTTCATGATTGTAAGCGATGTTGGACAGGTAATATGCACCTGCATAAGGACACTTGTCATATATCGAAGCTAGCTGGCAGCCACCCACACCGACATGTCCATGCAATGTTAAACGCTGACCCCCTTGCTTCGAATCGATAATCCACATGTAGGAACAGCTTGACAGTCAGATCCCTTGACCAACCATTCCACCACGCGGTGAAAAGATCGGAATCAGTAAATGTAAGCGAAGAGATCGTATTCGAAGGCTAGACATGCATCTTGGATCATGTCGCGATTACGGAGTTGTCTGTTCTCGGTAAATGTACGGAGTACTCCGTACCTGGGCAGTGGAATGCAATCGTAGAAATCTTTGAGATTGCGTCATAACGCCAGAAATTGAGAAAAAACAACGCCTGACATGAGTCATCATGGGTTCGTGTATAACGCCAGAGATGATTCACATTCAATTCCAAAAGGGTATACCTATTAAGACTCCACACCGAGACCAAAACCAAAACCTCACCAGGGGCAACTTTTTAAGATCCAGAATGAAGACAGAAATCAAAATACGAAAACAATCACTAAGCTCATCAAAGACAAGAAAAAAGAATTATTCATCATATGCACGTATCCGCCAGGGGACGCGGTTTCGACAATCGTCGACGTCGAGGGTCTTGACTCCGGCTCCGAGGCCGGCCTCGCATAGGCTCAGAGTTGACAGCCTCAAGTTCGAGGTCATGATCAAGGTCATCCCGCAGGTACCCAGGTGACAGGATAGTGGGTAACGGTGGGGCTTCGACGCCAGGCTTCTTAGTCCAAATGCGGCCAGATCGGCTCTTCGTTCGGGAATGTTGTTGGCTCAACCCATCATGCATGGAGTACTCGGATGCCGATCTTCGGAGCCGCTCGGTAGAGCCGGTCATCGTCTGTTGGGAACTATGTGAATTCCATGTGGCCGAAGAGCTCGAAGAGGACGGGGGACCTTCAGCCAAAGAAACAGAGAGTCTATCCCCATAGAAAGGACCCCGAGTAAGGGCCTGCTGCTTTTGCTGTGGCTGAGAGAGGTAAGGAGGCTCAACCCCACTGGGTCGGAACTCGGTGAAATCACGCGGTGAGTATTCCGTGTAACGCGGTGCACACAGCGTCGAGCGACGGGACCTTGAAGCGGTTAGAGGAGCAGGGTCATTGCTCGCGTCATACCATCGGGTGGCGGTGAGATGTAGCCGAGAGTAATTCTCAGGCTTTGATTGCGCGCTGGAATGACTCTGCATCTCAGCATCGAATCGGTCAAACACGGGGGCACTAGACATCCACACGTTTTTCACGCTGTCGGCACCGCACGAGACTGACGATTGGGAGCCAGCCGAGCTTTGAGTGCGGCTTCGTTGCATGGAGTGAACCGACGTAGCGGAGCTGTAACCACTGTCTGACTTGTTGAGTGACCGAGAGGTGCTTCGAGCAAGACCAGCGCTCGAAACACTCTTCTCCAATTGACCTCTCGTGTCATCAAACAGGATGATTCCCTCATCTTCGGGATGCGTAGGGAATATCGACTGCGTCCTAGGCGCAACAGTAATAGTGGGAGAATTCTCAAACGAAAATGGACTACCGGGGAGATCGTCTGCTTTCTTGAGATCAGGCAGGGATGGAATCTCCAGCGTGGCGGCTCTGCTGGGCGCCGCGACTTCCAGGTCCCCAAGCCCAAGCCCGGTAACTGGAGCATTGGTGCTTAACGTAGTTCGATCGCTTGGACATGGAGACGCGTTCACCACTCGTAGGGAGCCCAGCTTCAGGGCTCCAAGCTGGGTATATCGGGCATCGGTCGGGCTCGTGGGTCGCACTGGCGATGCGGCACGCTGAGTCAAAGGCAACGGCCACTGCAAAGTAGTAGACGCGGCCAGATCATGGCTTTGGTGCTCTGGCTCTCCTATCGGCGAGGGAGCTCGCCGAATACTAGCCGAAGCCCTTCTTGTGGCGACACCCGGGCGCGTCAAGAGGGAACGGCGGCGCGTTAATGAAAATCTTTGATTGCCGACCAGGAAGTGGGTATTTGAAGCTGTGGCTGTGTTGTCATACACCGCACTGTTGTGTCGCTGCAAGGCAGTTCGTGTTGAGCTGGCGCGGGTGGGTGCCTGTTCAGAAACAGGCGAGGGTTGGGAGCTGGTTTCCAACTGGCACGACGTTCTTCTAGATCCCGCGGTCGTCAACCTTGGGCGCGCGGAACGGCGTCTTTCGATGATGGGATTGTAATTTATAGTACGCTCTTCCGTTGGGCTCTCCTCAGGTGATTCTGTCTCGAAGAGCGTGGGTGGAATGTCCGCTTTCTTGGGATAACTGCCCCGTTTCTCCACGGGGGAGCTGATGGTGTGACCCACCCATGGATTCTGCCAGCCTATCAAACCTGAACCAAAGGCCGAATGATCTGGCTCTGGTGGAGGTGGCGGGACACTCAATCTCTTGGTTAAGGGCTTGGAGAGGCGGTTGGCACGGCGGGACTCGTCTTTGGCAGGGCTCGATTGAGAGTTGCCCATGACTTCTGAGGGACCAGATGCAAGGCAGGTGGATTCAGATTTGCTCCGACCAGTTTGAAGGCATGCGCAGCATGGACGATGGCCAGAATGATATACAATTTGAATAAGGGCTCGGTGACAGGCTGGCGAGCACTGTCCCCCGCACACCTGGGAGATGACCTAGGCCAGAGAGTGTCCACCCCCGATGGACAATGGCAGATAAGATCGCACCCCAGACTTCTTGACGTCAAGCCACGCCCTTGTCCACAGAGGACACAATCCGAGCCAGTTCGTGTCCCCGCTCTGTTTGGAACTGAGCGTACGATTGGCGGTTCCAGGTTGCTCAACAGGAGTCCGGAGTTGCTGGGGGGCTCCTGTTTCAGATGGAGTGTGATGCAGGAATTGGTTGGATTGGATTGCTGGAAAGGAAATGAGGGTTACGTCAAAACAGGGAAAGGGTTGAATGTCCAAGTCGGATCGGCATTAAGATTATAGACAGAAAAAAAAGAAAAATGCCATGCAAATAGAAAGAGAAAAGAACACTTAGAGTGGGGAAGAGGGAACATACGATACATAAAAGAAGCAAAGTACACCTGCAACTAGAAACGATCACACGAAAAGGCAAAAAAAAAGAGAGAATATGCATTTGAACACGAACAGTCAAAACAGCTGCATGCGGTAAATCAAGGAACACATTGTACCTGAGGGTACTTGTCAGGTACACGCCGGTGTGGATGATGCACGGGCGCATCATCAAGTACTGCCCGCGTACCTCTGTTGCCCGCAAGCGGGACATTCTGGGGACAACAGGTCAGGTACCCACTACTTGTCCTTTGTCGCATCACACCACCTATTGTCCACCCACTGGCCCCCGTTATCCACACCCTCTGCCGGTACCGGGTACTTCCATGATTTTGAATATCTCGAAACCTCCAGTGCTCATATCCACAGACAATCCCCATTGTCCGACCTCCCCTAACCCACTCTCTCCATCCGGACATCCGCAATCATCCTATCGCCACAGACACTACCATCTCATCCGTGGACGCGTGTACAGCTTGTCCTCGGATTCGGGTCTAGAGCTCAGCCTCTCCGTTGACAGCTAGCTCCAGCCGCATGGCATGCTCGGCGTTTCCCTTCTTGACGCTGTCGGAGTTTGACGGTGCATGTCAAGCTCTAGCCGATCGATGCACTTCGGCCCAAGATGGCTGGTCTATTCGACTCCTCACAAAGGTATCCCTTGTCCCCATGCATGAACCATTAAATCTTATATGGTCCCTTCATCGATAGATTCCCGTTGTGACATCCCTTTTGGGGTTTGGAAATTCCCTTTGGCTTCTTGGATTTTACATTTTACATTTTACATTTTTCTTTCTTTTGCGAGCTCGATGTTTTATGACCGTTACGTGCAAGTTCGATTACTGACGAGGAAATACCACTCAATTGATCTAGCCAGGAGCTGGCTTCAGAGTAACCAAGTACATCTCCGGCTCGGAAGTCACTGACCCAAGAGCACAAGAAGACGATCCGGTCTGCGCATTTTCAGCCCCAAGGGATGTGTCCACTTGATCTGACCCTTCACCGCAGGAAGCTCTCGTTCGCACCCAGCCCAGCTTACAGATAGACTATGACATATTGCTGTCCTCCACATATCAGGTCCCCATCTTGTACTTCGGGGCGAGGTCACACAACGGTCCACTCGGACTGGACGATGTCTACCAATATGTGGTGCCGGAACAGTACAGGCAAGAATTGAAGAGTGTGGGTGTCATGGGTGGGATTAGTATGGGTGTAGGTGCATGCTCAAAACCTCGTGACAAGAGCTCACGTCTTTTTCTTTTTCTCGTAGTACCATCCAGATTCAGGTGCCCCGGCCTTTTTCGTTCACCCGTGCAACACCGCCGATGCCATGGCGCATTGCGCAGACGCAAAGAACGTCACTCCTGGGTCGTATCTCCTCATCTGGCTCGGCCTTGTTGGCCACTGCGTGAACCTGCACGTGCCACGCGAGTATTGTGTTTAGTTCGGTACCAGACCGTCATGCATGTGGAATATTGAAAATGCGAAACGAAGACTCGGAAGACTTTCCTCCCCGAAGATGGGATGATTTAATCTTCATCCGAAGACGCTTCCATCGGCACATCACTGTCCTCATCCATAGGAGCCCCTTCATCGTCACTCTCCTCCTCGCGTGCTCGTTTCAGACCTTGGCCTTCTCCGGCCTCGGTGGGTGGCCGTGCCGGAAGGGTGCCTGGAGGGCCACTGAAGATGGACTTTTGAAGATCTGTCGAGACGGGAACGGGGACATCGTCTTTGGGCGCAATGTAAGTGCCACGGAGCTTAGCGATGACATTTGATTGGCCCTTGCCATACACGATTTTCTAAACGCGATAATTAGTGGTTGGCAGACACGTCGAAGGGTGCTCAGTTCATACCATTTGTTTCCCGAAAAATTCGAATCCTTGTAAAGCCCGCAGGGCTTGCGTACTCGCCTGGACATCTTTGAAGACGATGTGGGCCTGGCCCCTCATTTTGCTGGTCTTCATCGCCACGACATCAAGCACGGTGCCGTAGGTGGAGAAAAGTGTGTAGAGCGAGGTTCGAAGGTCGTTCTTGCAGAGTCGCTTATCGGGTAGGTTGGTACAATAGAGCCTGACGTGAATTAGCGCCGACATGCGACTGAATATGGTGGGGAATAGTTCACTCACGTTTGGTTAGGAGGACCAGTAGCAATGGCCTTGCTGTCCGGGCCTCCACGGGAGGGGAGTGCTTTGGAAGCCATTATTTTCAAGATCCAGGGAGTGTTCAGAGTCTTGCGGTGTCAGTCAATCCGTTGAATGAATCGAGTGTGGGGAATTGAAGCTCAATCGCGTTCTCTGTCGCTAGAGCGTTGAAACCTGAGATCGAAAATGGAGCTCCGGATCATGTGACCTGTGGCTGGCTTACTCAGCACGTCGGCGTCATCCCCCCGGCCTGATCCCCTCCCCCGTCCCGCATCATACAGAAGCAACCGACGGTAGAGAGACCCTCCTGTCGTTATTTATTTCACCATGTCCACTCCTCAGGTCCACCATCTCTTCCATGCCCCAATTGCAGACCACTCTTTCTCCACCGACAAGCAGACCCTCGCTGTCGCCCGGGAGAACAATGTGGAGCTGTATCAACAATCAGGCAACAAGTTTGCGCTGAGCGATGAACTGAAGGGCCATGAGAAGACTGTCACCAGTGTGGATATCGCTCCAAACAGCGGCCACATTGTTACTTGCTCGCAGGGTAGGTATTGATCGGTACATTCGCCCCTCGCATGCATACTAACTCGCGCCATACAGACCGTAACGCCTACGTCTGGGAAAAGACCCCCTCCGGCTGGAAGCCTACCCTCGTCCTCCTCCGAATCAACCGTGCTGCAACCTTTGTGCGCTGGTCGCCTTCCGAGCAGAAGTTCGCCGTCGGCTCTGGAGCTCGAGTGATTGCTGTTTGTTATTTCGAGGAGGAGAATGACTGGTGGATCTCGAAGCATCTCAAGAAGCCTATTCGCAGCACCATTACAACCCTTGCCTGGCACCCTAACTCTGTCCTGCTGGCAGCAGGATCCACCGATTCCCATGCTCGTGTCTTCTCCAGCTTCATCAAGGGCATCGACACTCGCCCAGAGCCCAGCGCCTGGGGTGAGCGCTTGCCTTTCAACACTATCTGTGGTGAATTCCTGAACGATACCGCTGGTTGGATCCAGGGTGTCGCCTTTTCCCCCAGCGGCAACTCTCTTGCCTTCACTGGACATGACAGCAGCGTGACCGTTGTCTACCCCAGTGCCCCGGAGCAGCCGCCCCGTGCCATGTTGAACATCTCTACGCGCCTGCTGCCCCTGAACAGCCTCATCTGGAACGGCGAGACTGAGATCATTGCCGCCGGACACGTAAGTCTTACACTTTGCCACGGTGGCATACCCTTACTGACCCAACATAGGACTGCGAGCCCTTCCGCTTCCGCGGCGACGAAAATGGCTGGCAGCTCGTTGGCTCCTTGGAAAAGAAGGCTGGGGATGCCGGTGGTGCTCGCGAGGAATCCGCCTTGAACATGTTCCGACAGATGGACCTCAAGGGCCAGGCCTCGGCAGACACCAAGCTCAAGTCTACCCACCAGAACACCGTGAACACTGTCCGAGTGCACGAGGAAGCCAACGGGGCTGTGAGCTCCTTCAGCAGTAAGTAAATTCCCGTTCAGTTCAACTTGCAATGCTAACGATGTCATAGCGAGCGGTATTGATGGTCGTGTGGTGGTTTGGTCCGCGTGAGATAACAAGCATATGCATACTGTACGGAGTACAAATGAATAGAACTATGTCGAGTGTATCAAGGCGGTCATGCATAATCCCAGATCTGTGCATGATCTACATGAACCAATAGAATCAACGATGACATAACAGGGCAACCCCGGATTTTCCAAGGTTGGCCTCGCATCACCAGACTTCGCCCTTCTTTGCATTTGGCTGGCCTTTCTCTTTTCTTTAAATATGGACTACACCCACTCGTTACAATATGCACAGCCATGAATAGAATCATTCTCATTCCTATCCTATTATACCTCTGCCTGGTCGGGGTCATCGCCCGAGGTGAAGCAAGCACCCATGTCCCTCGGGATGTCTTCGACTCACTCGAAGAATTGTCTCGCCTAGTGGATATCTCATACTGCGTGGGAACCACAGGTGTCCGACAACCATTTCAATGTCTCAGTAGATGCGACGATTTCCCCGACTTTGAGCTCATAACCGTATGTTTCCACCATCCCCACCCAGGCCAGCAGCTAATCACACTAGACCTGGAACACTGGAATCCTCCTGTCCGACTCGTGCGGGTATATTGCACTCTCCCACAGTACTAAACGAATTCTTATCGCGTTCCGCGGTACCTATTCCATAACCAACACGATAATCGATCTCTCCGCCTACCCACAGGCGTACATCCCCTATCAAGGCGAACCCGACGCCCCAGGCCCGAAATGCGCCAACTGCACTGTCCACGCCGGGTTCATGAACTCCTGGCTGAACACTCGCATCACAGTTCTCCCCCGCGTCTCAGAAGCACTGCAGAAATACCCAGACTATGAAGTAACGCTCGTCGGGCATTCTCTCGGGGGTGCGGTCGCCGCATTAGTGGGTCTTGAAATGCGCCTTAAAGGCTGGGATCCTCTGGTCACGACGTTCGGTGAGCCAATGGTTGGAAATGAGGACTTTGTCCGATTCTTCGACGAGCAATTCGGCTTCGGTGATGCTGTTGGCATCCCGCCTATGAAGGGTCGGCGGCTCAGGCGCGTTACTCATATCAATGATCCGGTCCCTTTGCTCCCGCTTTGGGAATGGGGGTATCGGGCTCATGCGGGCGAGATCTTTATCTCCCGATCGGAGCTGCCGCCCACGTTGGAAGATGTGCATTTGTGCGTCGGTGATAATGATCCAAGATGCATCACTGGATTCGGGGGGCCTGCTCCTTTACTTGAACTTTATCGGAATAAACAGTCTTTTGCATCGACTTCCCGCGATGGATGTAGCCATGTTGAGTCTGGATCCTCTGAAGACCAACTTGTCTTGCGTGGACATGGCGATCGGGATGTTTCTGGATGCGAGAAACGTGTTGCGGATGGTCTGTCTGCTCTTCGGTGGGATTGGTCTCTTATCCCGGAGAGGTATCGACTCTGGGAGCTGTTTTACGCCCATCGAGACTACTTTTGGCGCATTGGTCTCTGTGTGCCTGGAGGTGACCCAACTGGGTAGACTATGCGTGGTCCTCTTGGGTTTTCTGGCTTATTCGCTCGCACCGGTCTGAAGATTCCACCTGGGCACAATAACCTCACAGAATGTGTACCTCGCTGTATCATTCCAAGGTTTATAGGTGATCGGTCCCAATTTGGTGGGAGTATAAGTGTGGATATTTATATATCCTGTGTTGCCGTCTCCAGTCTTCGGGTCATCAATAGAAGGTAAAATAAACATTCTAATGCTAGTCAAACAACGCAGTCTCGTTATCGTGAAAGGCTCTAGTAGCACAAATTTCGAACACGCCAAATGACAATTCAAGTAGTTCTGAAATATAGATAACAAACGTACATTAGTCTCATAATAGCCCAACTAATGAATGAATCACTTTCCATGCTCCAAGCTCGGTACGATAACAGGACCGAACTTGACCACATTTCCCAGAGCTCCCTCACCCTGTACCATAAAGTCCGCGGCCAGACTCAGCTTACTCTGTGAGCCAGGATGCAGTTGTCCATAGGGCGAGCTCACAGTCTCCGGGTCATAAGCAACAATGGCAACGTAGTTCCGACGACCCATGAGCTTGCGGTGCTCGCGAGCTTGACCGTTGACATCGGTCTGGAAGATCTCCATCATGTCCTCCTTGGTGTCACTAGGCTGGGGAGATGATCGATGACCGTTGGCTGGGATGTAAAGTGGCTTGTTATGGCTGTGCAGGAGCTTAATGATGTATGAAGGGGGAGGGGTGTTGACGACAGGGGATGCGATGAGCTGGTACATGGTCTTGTGGTCTGAGGGGTTTGAAGGATCGTGGACGAGACCCGCGCCGCACACATTGACGGCTCCGGAGAGGAAAGTCATACGAAGAGACTTTTGATGAGCGATACCCTGGAGAGTGCGGATGAGATATGTGCGCTCAAGATCCTGGGTAAATTAGTATCTGTATATATGCGGGGGGAGGTGGAGAACGAACCTTGGATTCGTGGGTCCATTGGTCTCGCAGCTCGTCCATGGAATTGAATTCTCCAAATGGACTCAAAATACCGCCCATCAGGCCTGATTTACCCACAGCCCGCTTCACCGAGTCAAAGCCAGACCCGACAAAGTCCTTGGCACCTACTACGCCAGCCACAGAGCTTGTGACTTTACCCAGGACGTTGTAGGCACCAGTCACGGCCCGCTTTCCGGTAGCAACGGTTTGTGCGATATGTTCCGCTGTTTCTAGTCGGGGGTAGATGAGCGGCACTGCCACCATCCAGAGACAATGCTGCACACTTGGCGGGAGCATTGCGATTTTTGGGAAGAGGCCCTGGTACGTGGGACCAGCCATGACTTGATGAGGGTTTCGCTCCGAACGGCAATCTGGACCGACAACAACGACGCCGGGTCCAAGGTACTTCACAAAGTGCCAGCCTGTTCCGGTGATAGTAAAGAGGTCCATGTCATTGTTCACATTGCGGAGGAGATCAAGTGTGGTATGATGCTGGAACAGAAGATACATTTCGATTCCAATGCGGCCAATGTTCTTGAACATGTTTGAGAACTGCATGTGCTCAGGGTAAGAGCCAAAACCGTCAAAGCTGGCAGGGGATTAGTACTATTTCCGGATGTCAGAAAGGGCAATCTTACATATCGTGATCGTCAATCTGGCAAATGTAAGGGATTTGCGCAAAGGATTCCCTGATGTAGGGCTGATCGAAGTGGCTCGTGTAGTAATGGAAGTATGCATGTGAAACATCTTGTTGATGAGCTGCAGTCCAAGGAGCATTCTTCCTAGCCTCTTTCCCACTGAGAGTCAGCCACTGCTTGAGCGATGGAATGTCCTTCCACATCCTATCGGCATAAATCTGACCACCAAGACATAATTGGGTGTGGAAACCGCCAATCTCATTATGCTTTTGCATGATGTCTTTCCACATGTAGCCGGCACCGCCCAGGCGAGCACGCTCGTTGGCATTTACATTGAGCGAGAAGTCGTTTCCAGACGTGGCAATGAACCGCCAGTTCGTTTCGTGTCGACCAGCGACAAGGAACTCATAGCGAGTGCAACCCAGGTGGGAAGTGATAGCATATGTCCATTTCGCAGGGCCAGCGTCATCCATCTGCAAATCAATGTCATATTTATAGAATGTCCAGCGCTGGTGAGCGGCGATGTTGTTTGCTTTGAGCTGACGCGGGTTTGGGGACAGATCCATACTTTGATGCATATGAATTGTTGGTGGCTGTACGGCATCTGTCACAAGTAGGATGGAACCCAACCAAAGGCCACGCTCGAGGTCCATGTTGGTGTAGCGAAGATAAGGTCCAAAATAGACGCCGTTGGTGGGTGCGGTCTTGTACAGGTCCATTCCACTACTCGGCGGAGGCCCAGAAAACCCAGTTACCACAGGAGACTGTAAGCTTTCAAATCCAGGGGTCAACGGCACGCCAGGAGATGCAAGAGGCTGCTTGCCGAAAGCTGAAAGTCCCGGTGAAGCTAAGGGATGGGCGCTATATACACTTCCAACGGGAGACATGGGTGTATCATTAAGGTTGAGCGGCGTAGGTCCCTTCGGGAACTCCCATTGAGTGGACTGCGTCGGTAAATGAATGTAATAATACTGCCCGGAGCTAGGATCCATATGGGCAATCCATCCTTCCGGGAGAGGTGGCGGAGATGCAGGAGTTGCGGCAGAAGGACCGGGCGAGGTGACCTGAACTGTTTGGTGGTGGAATCCAGACAAGTCGCTGGCAACCGAGGCCTGTGGGGATTGCCCCGCTTGCTGTTGCCCTCTTGGATCATTCGCAAAAGCAGGATGGTTTTGGTTCGAGACTGTAGGTGCAGGGGAGGCTACACTCGTCGCAGCAGAGTGGGACTGGTTTGCCAGAGCTGGATGCATCATCGCGGCTCCAGCTCCGGCGGCGGCTCCGGCGGCAGCAGCTGCGCCTGGTTTCTCGATGGGATAATTGCCCGAGGTGGAAGGACCAGAGACACTTGAGTAAGCTGGAGGTGGGGAGGAGCTGAGGCGCATTCGTTCCATATCCTGCTCCAGGGGGTTCGATGGCGCCCTTCCGGGTTGTTGTGGCTGCTGTTGTTGCTGTGGCGGCAGAGCACTAGGATGCTGTTGGGATGGAGATTCAGCATATTGGCTTGGGTGGGCCTGTGGTGGCGGGCTGCTGTATTGACCGGGGTGGGATTGAGGTGGCGGACTGTTGTATTGGCCTGGATGAGCTTGTGGCTGTGGTGAACCGTACTGGCCTGGATGAGCCTGTGGAGGTGGGCTACTGAATCCTCCTGGAACTTGAGGTGGTGGGCTATGATACTGGCCGGGGTGAGCAGCAGCCTGGCTATCCTCGCTCACGACATCTGCACCCTGGTAAACCGTGGGAGGGCCATGAGGTTGAGACCCAGGTTGTTCGGTCGGAGTCCAGGGGCGCGGTTGAGAAGGCTGAGAGGGCTGCTGGAACGTCGGCTGCTGGCCTGAGTATTGCTCCGCTCGTCTTTGGGCAGCAACATTGTGCGACTGCATCCCCTGGAGGGTTCCAGTTCCGGCAATACCGGCCGCGGCATATCGCGCCTCAATGTCAGAACCGGGCTGCTGGCCGGGTCCGACGATTGGTGTCTCCGGGGGAGGTGGTGAGCCACGCTGGGCGCGAGTTGTTGATGTGGAGGCGGTTGAGCTGATACGGTTGAGTGGACCCTGGGAGGGCTGAAGACTGGATGGGGGACGGGCCGCAGACACAGAACTTTGTCGTTGGGGAGGCGGGTAGTATTGTTGGCGGTAGTCATATTGATTCGTGGTTGCCTCCGCTGGTGGGGCAGGTACAGGCCCGGCCGGGGGGCGAGGATAGGGTCTCGCAGCCAGAGCTTCACGGTCTGGCGCATCATGACCTGGCGATTCGGGTAAAGGTTTAGGAGCGGCGCCTCTGCGCTCGGCCAGTGTTGCGACGCGAGGCTCACGACCGTCGCGCGGGCGCAAAGCTGGGGGGTACTCATTTGGGCTCACGGAACCAGAGCCAGAGCCAGCTGGCGGCGAACCATATCGCACATCATGGTACCGATCATTTGAGCTCGAAGTGCGCATTTGAGGACGTTGACGGTCATCGGGGTAGGGCAGCGGGGCATTCGGCGGGGGGCTTGAACCCGATGCCGAAGCTGGAGAGGACGAGTCCCGTTTACTGATGCGCAAGGGACCGATGACAGGTGATTCTTGGGCAGCATCGTTAATGAACAGCTCCTCCAGATGAAGAGAGCGATTACTGCCACTCATGGTGCCGATTGTCGAGGCTGAAGAGCTGCAGAAGGCAGAATTCAGCCACAGTTGCAGTCCACGGAGATAAGCGCGACGATCAGCCCTTCAATGTGAGGGGTAATGAAGATGCAGTCAGATAGCTATTCATAGACTGTAAGACTGATCCTTCACGGAATAAAGAACAGAAAAAGCAAAAGAAGAGGAGTGGGAAAAAAAATAATCAGGAGAAACTCCCTGTAGCCGCCAAGGGCGAGACGCCGACCCCGCAGGTGACGAGAATCACAATTGCTGCCTTGAGGCCTCGTCTGATTGCACATGAGACATCTGTTCTCGAAGGCTTTGAGTATCAAGGGCTTCACATTTACTCCGTGGATCTAATTGAGATTATTTTTCCATTTACTGTTGGAAATCCCGAGGTCAGTTCCAATAATTCATCTATACATACAGTAATCGTCAATCGTGCTAACATATAACAAAATAAAGCCTCCCGCAGGTATCGCTCATTAAAACCCGAAATTGACCATCTGGAGACCCTCGTGGGCCATCAAATCAGACCAATCCACGTCGAACGTGTGTCCGACACGCATGAGCCGCTCCAACTGCCGCTCATAGACGATCTGAAGGATGGCACGGGTAGTCGCAGCATTGCGACCCATGCCATCTTCCTCGTCCTCCATACTAGTCATTAATTCCATCGCCATCATCTTGATACCACTAGCCGAAGCCGTAGCACCAGCCAAGAAAAGGGGGAACACCAAAAAGTGACGATCAGCACGGCGAGTGTGTGTAGTTCGCTCAGCCAGGCGTAGAATCTCGCCTGCATGGTGGTCAATTTCTCCATCGGAGGAGTATTCTGACTCGACACGCTGGCGAGGCCACATGCTGCTGTAGGAGAAGAGTTGACAGGTGTGATATAGCGTGGCTGACTAGAAGGGGTTAGCACTAGAAGAGGGATAGAGGCTTGTAGAGAGGTATACTGACTTGTTGCATGAACTCCCTAGACCGACGGGGAAGGCTATCTTGATGTTGGTGCAGGAATGCAACATCGGCAGATTCCCAGAGTCTGCTGAGCGCTTGGCGAATATCACTTATCTCTTGAGATCGTGGGTTGAACTCGGCGTAAGGCATGTTCTGCTTATCTTGACGCACTCGAGTGGCCAAGAGGCCAAGTTGGGCAGCTAGTCGGAATGTATCGTGGTATAGACGCATGATGACCGGTAGGCTGTCGTGTTCGTCGGCGTAGATTACACTGTAGCCCTCTGGCGCATTTGGGTAGAGTAGCGACTCTGATCCAGGGAGCATCTGGTGGTCGATGACGGCGCGGACAAACTCTCCTGTGCCTGCTCCACTAAACAGAGCATACAGGTCGATATGTGACACCCACCAAAGGATGAAAGGGTGGGGTTCTTGACCATACTTGTCTCGTCGCAGGAATGCAATATGAAGGAGACGAGAGATGTGATGAGACCATAGATTTGATCCATGCGGCTCCGCAGCTGCGATCTAAATCGGTGTTAGTCACTGTTTTAAACTGATCGGGCTTTTGTCACTGACTTCGTATATAAGAAGAAGGAAGTGTGTGAGGAACAGTCCGTCGGAAACAAGATCATCGTTGTTTCGCAGACTGCTTTGGAGTGATGGGAATGCTTGCTGATAGTATTGGAGCGCATCGACATTGTGACCTGTGCCGCTGTGGGAGAGACTAAGGGCTGATACAGCCATCATAGCATGGGAGAGCTAGGATGTGTTAGTAAAAGTCAATGCTAGATAGGAAGAGTGCACATGACTCACAGGAGGGAAGCGTGTGGCTTCCTGCTCGAGGAAGTCTACACTGAGGGTCATGAAGTGGCTATCAGATCCACATGAATCATCAAGGCTGTGGTCGTGAGGAAAAAGCTGTCTCCATACAACATGGCGGAAGTGCGAGAAAAGGGTGGAGTCTTGTGATTGCTGATCGAGGCGCGAGCTCAAACATGGAACGTCCTCGATCTTCACGCCTGGCGAGGGAAGGGAAGGGAAGATCGGTGAGAGCGAGAGATTGCAGAATGGATCGGATATTTCCGAGGTGGGCGAGAACTTGTTCAGCTTGCCGTTTGACGGTGAGCGGCGAGTAACATCCTCAAAGGTCTTCAGGATGACGACGTTTGGATCTTCTCTCGTACTGCATTCACTGCGGACAACCGACGTGGGACTGTTCGCTACAGAGCTTCTACATTCGCTCGCTGGCTTGGATCTGCATCTCTCATCCTCTGCATACTCAGGCAGCGATGAGAAACTGTCTGGGGTCATTACGACATGATAGGTGCCCGGGCTGAAGGCCTCTGCCTTTCTTTCCCGGTCTTCGTCGGAAGTGAGGGTAGAAAAGGGCGGCAGAGAATCCCCGAGAGAGAAATAGTCCGTTCTCTCGTCCACGCCCGCGGAACTTGGTGAAGTAACTACTTTGGTTAGTCCCAGTCTATTCAATCAGATTCAAAGCTGCTTACGATCCCAAACAATGTGGCCGTTGGTCTGAACATCGGCCATGCGGCCCTTAATGCGGGGGGTGTCATCACGAAACGCCAAGCGGGGGCGGTAATCGCATGTGTGGCCCAGACGGGTACATTGCTAGTCAACTCGTCAATGATAGTGATGAGATAGAGGAGAAAGAATGCATACATTGCATTGTGGGTGTCCTTCATCACATTTGACTGGTAATATTGTTAGCCAAGCCGTTGGGGGTCAACTTTGGGGGTCAAAATAGAGCATCTCTCACCTTTCCGGCTCTAGGGTGGCGATTAATAAAACAAAGACTTTAGCGAATCCAGGGGGGGAAACAAAGAACTTACTCGACATGTCCTAAACAAAGGATGAGCTTGTATAGACCAAAGAGGGAGCAGGGGTACTTACCAACAACCCGTCCGAGACCGGGGAGGCAGGCGAATGCGTGGTGGCGCGATGAGTTTATCAGATTTGACAAGCTCTGCAAACAGATCTTCCTTGGGGGCGATGATGGGCAAACGCAGTGGCGGTTTCCCCGAGACTTTGCTCCGGCGGTTCTGCATCACTAGACTGACCGTCATGAAGCCGCTGTGGCGGGTGAGTACAGGGATATATATATTCAATATGAGACGGGAGACTTACGAAGGAGAAATCAAAATAAAGTACGGGCACAAAAAAAAAGTAAAAGAATGCAAGGCTTATTCGAGGAATGATGTGATCATATATGTAGGGTGGGGATGTTCAGGGAAAAAAAATGCATGGTTCGTAGAATGGCGCAGCCCTGTTTTCAGGCTTGACGGGTGGCGGGTGATCTGAATCTCGGACGCGAGAAACAGGTCAGATCCCGAAGTAGATGTCCGGTTCGTCCGATTAGGAAGGGGGTGGAAGAGCAGAGAAGCTAGGTTGAAACGAGAGAAAGGGCGAAGAGAGAGAGAGAGAGAGAGAAAATTGTGAATAGCACGCAGGTGCCAACCATGTGGAAGGATACTATTATTACTTTCCTGCCCGAATTGGGTTTTCCCCGGGCACTAAAGGGAGCTAAGGGAGGGACTAGAGCGAAGACAGGAAAACAGACCTCAACATGAAGGTAAGGGGACAGATGGGGGCTGGCTGAAGCCACGTACGAGTAGGAAACGATAGAGCGCCTTTTCATCGGAGCCGAATGGGTCTGATTTCCAGGAGATAGGGTAGGGCCGTAGGGGACAACGGGGCAGTCGAGCAAGACAGAAAAAAGAAAGTCAATATGCACCACCAAAACTAAGCGCAGTCTCGATCGGCCCGGCCCCCGGTCTGGATCGACACGCATTGTGAAGGGGGACGATATTTGACTCCTCCGCATTCCCAACGGACTTGGCCGAGGATTAAGCGAGTGGCGCAGCACTAGAAAGTATTTGAATCATCCTATGGTTCATAATCGTCGGATTCTGGAGATTCCTGCAGAATCCGTGCCTGAGATCCAATTAATCCCAATTTAACTCAAATAAACATAAATGGATGCGATCAATGATCCTATGGATCGCAGGTTGATCCCTCTTCCGGTCTAGCTAGCCGAGTGTGATTGGTCCACTTGGCCTGGATCGCTGCGATCCAATGGTTCTCCCTCTGCAAGCGGATGGTTCAACCAATAGCCCTGACCCTTGGACATGACTCACGCCACGTGGTTTAGGGCTTCGTCGAGGAGCCGTTGCACCGTTCCAGAGCGCTCGCTGGCTCTCCATTCCCGAAGACTGACAACCAGTGCATCGGGCGCCGGCTGGAGTTTCAGGTATGCCAGAATAGCTTCTGCACGACCCTTGCGGATGGCCTCGACAGATCCATCCAGTTCCCGTACGAGAAGTTTGGAGAGAGAGTTCACGGGGACAGCCTGTCGCTCACCGGAGGCATCCGAGATCCACTGATCCACTCGAGTGAAAAACGCTCGGAGCTCTTCGTAGCCCGTGCTGACGACCTGTCGTCCACCGTGTTGGAGGACCTGGTCCAGGAGACCGGTCACCTGTTCCACGTACTCTCCCGACGCTGTGGTTAGCGTTAGCAAGGGTGTGACGCTAGGGGATAGGGGCTGTTTTTCTTTTCTTTTCCATTCGATTTTTTTTTCTCTTGCTCTTTGGCTTGGCAAAGGGAAAAAAAATATCGAACTCTCATTGGACTGACCTTTTTCTGAATCGGGCTTGAAACATTGCAGGAGGCATTGTATACACGCTGCAAGGGTATCATCCTGGATCGAGCCATGTTTAGACTCTACCTCCATTTGATCCTCCTCGCACATTTCTTCCACCACGGAAGGAATGATATTCAGCGCATCAGGCATAAAATTCAAATCTTTGCGTGCCTGTGCGATCTCACCCATAGCCCGTAATCCGTGCGGCCGGTACAAAACGTTAGCTCGCTTCGCTTCGCGAACCGTAATCGTCTGACATACATTAGCGTTCCGGACCCCTTATTTCCGTGTAGAATCATGCAATCATGATCGCGGGGAAAGTGGCAAATGGTCTCACCTTGAGGGCATTTTCCTTGTTAGCCTGCCATTTCTTTGCCTGGCTGCTAAATTTCACTAGCGCCTTTAGTACCACCTCTTTACCCTCCCAGGTCTTTCCCGCCAGCGCGCGCTCCAGCACAGGCCAAACCAATTGTGTGGTCGTCAGATCAATCTCCGTGTCAAGTGACAGCACGGCCTGCGCTATCGCCCGTGCGGCCGTATGTTTGATAGCCCACCGGGGAGAGTCCAAATTGTCCGAAACAAGGCCGACAATCTCACGAATGTAGAGCGACACAGCGCGTGAGCCACCAACGTTGTCCTGCCAAGTTTTCTCGAATTGGTCTTTCACATGCTCGTCGCCATCATGCTTGCACACAAAAACGAATGGCATTGCGCTCGCTGCAAATGCCACGAATCGGTCATTGGACAGCTTGGAGGCTGAGTAGAGAATTTCTCCGGAAATGACTCGAGGCGCTGCGTCCTCAGCTGTGAGGTAGAGATTTTTCGCGAACTCAAGGGTCTTGAGGACGCGGTCGTCGGAAGCGAGCCGCAAGAGGTAGCCTATGGATGAGCAGTAGGATGCGCTGACGGTCTCGTTTCGGTCGACCACATACTTGATCAGGATTTGGATAAATCGGTCGGCATAAGGCCGGAACATCAACGTCTTCATGCTAAGGAGAACCAAGACACGACTGCAGCCGACCTTGGATGGCAGGCCGACCGCCGACCGCAGCACATCTTCGAGTCTCTGTGCCAGCTCATCGAGATTACTTTCATCCAGATTGTCGATCAAATATCTCTCAATCACCTCCATCATGGGGGACGTGCGGATGCTGGACAAGCGCATCTTGTCAATGTCTTGACCGGTCAGACCGTATTTGTCGGCATTGAGATGAACATAATTGACAGCTTGGGGTTCCAAAGAACTAAGGGCGCTCAGGAACTTTTCCAGCATGTTGGGGACATGCGGGCGCAGTAAGCTGCCGGGGCTTTTCTTGATCATTGAGATGAGCGCACCGATCGCATAGGTTTGTACCTCCTCAGCGCTAGCGTCTAGTCCTTTATCACTCAACAGGAATGGAATAGCACTTTTGAGAAGTGTAGCTGCTCGCTTTTCTGTTCCACTTGTCTCAAGTGTGCGAATCACGGAGTTGGTGATGGTTTGGCAGAGCTTGAGTGCGGCAGTTCGGACGGACTCTTTGATATCGTCCAGTAGCTTGAACGCCTTGCTATAGACTTCGTCAAGGTAGTGGGTGAACTTCTCCGGACGGCGGCCTTGGATGAGGTCTGCCACCGCAGCGCAGCTTGCTTGCCGAACACGCCATTCACGACCAGCGAGAATGCTTTTCAGGAGATCTTGCATAATGTCATCGAAATGAGTGTCAATAACAACAGTAGGGTCCTTGACCAAGGCTTGCCAGATCGTGTTCATGGATCGCTGCACATTAGGATTGGGGTCAAATCTGTAGCGGAACAGCTTGGGGTAAATCTTGGGGTTCTTCGCCAAGTAGCCATCAACACTCGAGTCAGAGAAGATGGTGCTGATTCCAAATCGGCCAAAGGCAGCACGGTTGGTCCATATGGCATTGTTCGAGGCTAGTGACATGAATCTGTAAACCAAAGTCGGGTCACCAGCCTCAGCAGCCAGGTTCATAATGTCCTTATAAGTGTTGACCGAGTTTCCTTCGCCAGTGGGCAGGGCGCCGGGTTCAAATAGCTGGGTGTCAGCATCGACCTTGCCACCGCCGAGATTAGGGCCAGTCGCAGTAAATGAATCAACCAAGTCTCGGACCAGATCATCCTTCAGGGATTGGTCGCCAATCTCATATACAAGGCTGAGTCCGTGCGCACCGGTTTCCTGCACCACCTCGTCCCGATTCCCAAGCAGGCTGCTGAAAGTCGCTTGGCATTTGCGCAATCGTTCCTGCATTTCCTGCATGTGGCCACAATTCTTGACCAGTGACAAGAGCCAGATTGCAGACGCCTTCCGAAGAGATGGCTTGGGCGCGATGCAGTCAGCAATGATCTTGTCGCAGATTTGCACAAATACAGCGCGAGGGACATCGGAGTGAGGGAACTCGGCATCGATGTCGAAGTCCTGGATGAGGGCGCGAGAATCCCATCCAGTGGCGACATTGCTCAAGGCCTCGCCCACGGTGAATTGAACCTCAGGGCTCCGAATCTCATGCAGACTGTAAACGGACTCGAGGAAGGCGTTGAACAAAGTATTCTCTGAGCCAGCTCTGGAAAATGTCAAGGTCAGCAGACCGAGGGAGCTGATGGGGACTTGGTTCTCGGTCTTGGCGTCGCGAGAGAGTTTGTCTTGGATCTTTTTCCAGCCTTCGTCGGAAAGAATGTCTAGAGATAGTACTCCAGATACACTCAGCTGACCAATGGTCTCTTGCGCGGTTCTCTGAAGAAGGGTATCCCGAGATGCATCTAAGATGTCGAAAACATTCTCAACGAACTGCTTGACCTGCTCCGCTGGAATCCTGTTCAAGATTCCTCGGTACGCAAGTCTACTTAGCAAATACGAGAGTGCCAAGATTGCGCCACGAACTCGCATCACCTCTGAGCCAACGGCAGTATTCCATGATTGAATAGCACTGCTCAATTGGGCCGTGAAACTTCTCAACTGTTCTTCCGGGAAGGCAGGATGCGACACCAGGATACCAAAGGCACGCGCTGTGACACCCTGGTTGTCCTGATTGTTGCTGCAGATAGGCTCCATCAAAGAACTCGCGCGCGAAATCAATTCCTCGACCACATCATTTGGGGCTAGTGAGCAGATTTCAACAAAATGAGTACCACATTGGCGCAGACCTCCGGGGGCGCCCGTTACGAGGCCTTGGAGAGTACCAGACAGAAGTGTCATCACAGACTGCTTTGCATGCTTCTGGATGTACTGTCTCACCGCAGCTCGGGCTTCTGGGCTTGTAGAAAGAAGCACTTCTAGCTTATAGTCCCAATCCTGTTCTAATTCAGCCGCAATCCCCGCGGCAGAGAAAGCTTCCCACAGCAAGGTATTGCGAAGGAATGAGACGGTGGGAACAAAGGAACCTTTGTAGGGGCCGGATAAAAGCTGTGATGCAGACATAGCCTGAACATTCATATGTTCCTCTTGGCCACCCGCCCCAAGCAGGAATTGAGTAGCCTCATCGAAATTTGGGAAATCAAACCAAGATCCATCTTGTTTTGGCGCTTCTGCCGATGCGGACCATTTCCCATCTTTGGCTGGGTTGAGGAGTCGGTACCAGTATGGGTGAAGACCCTTCTTGCCTTCCTCGACAATTTCTTGCTGTCTCTCTGGGCCTCTTGCAATGGCCATAAGGTCAATCCAGCGAGCTACGACATCGGAGAACGGAAGGAAACGATTAGCAAACCGCACTGCAGCATACTGAACCCCTCGAACGGCGCGATATCCAGTATCCGGGTCAACATCCCCGGGTTGCATGCTCATTTGGCGAACAAGGAATGGTCGCAACTGGTTCTGGAAAGTTTCGTCGTGGCTGTCCAGTGACGAATTGAGAATACTTCCCAACGCCTGGTCGATGCTGACAAAAATCTCCGAGCTCGAGTCGTCCGCGCTCAAAGACGCAAAGAGCCATCGGACAAGATTGAACTCGAAATTTTCTTCATCGGATTCCAAAGAGAAGTCGACCTTGGGTACCATGATACCTATGCTTTCGTAGGCAAGACCTCGCAGGCTAAGATCTGTTGTAGGCAGCTTTTGCCCGCTGGCTGCTGGGCTAGGCCATTGCTGCGACTGGATGAAGTCCTTCAAGCCCGCGATGAGCTTGGGTGCGATTTCCTTGAGGTCGGATGGTGCGCCCATACGGACCACCCAAGTAGTGAATGTGAATATTTGAGTCCGCAATTTCGATGCTTGTAACCCTTGTGCGGACCTCGCAGAATCAGACAGAAGTCCCTCCTCAACGAGTTTCATGATCCTACGTGGATCTGAAGTCGCTTTGACAGATTTGCCGAGGAAAACTAGAAGCTTCACTTGGAGGGGTGGTCGGGCGGGCGGCGCTCCAGGAGTACCAAAATACATATCGTAGAGCTCTTGGACAACATCGGGGTTCTCAATGTCCGCTGTAAATCGCTTGAGAGTCTCATCTCCCAGATCAGCGAGCCGGGAGTTGGCATCGGCGGATGCAATTAAGGAAGGTAGGAAGCGTTGGGGATCTTCAAAGGCACCACTGCCGATGAATCGGAGAGCGGTGACCTTTGTTTCGGTCAAGTTCAAACCGCCATCTGCGGAGGGGTTCCATGTCTCATTTGCAGGAAGGCCCTTATTCAAGAATGTATATTCGTCGGGTGAGAGACCAGGGCATGTTGTAGTCTCCTTTGGGCCGGGGGTAAGAAGCAGCAATTTAGCCAACCAGAAGGACAAGAACTGAGAATCCTCATCCGACATACCAAGGCGATCTTTAAGGGCTCGGTCTTCCTCGCTGCCCTTCGATGGGATTTTCAGAAGCGGCAACAAGCGCAAGACCAGGTTGAACACAATGGCACCTTGAGTGGGCGAGGTCCCAATTTGTGAGATGCCCTGGAGCAAAGGGAGCAGGATGTCGACTCTAGCCTCTGAACCAAGACGATCGATGCCTTGTTGGGCATAGATGAGATCGAAGTGTCTGACAAGTTGGGATTTTTGCTCTTTGAATTGCTTCAGCAGAGCTGCGACGGGGAGCTGAATAGAGGGGTTTTTGACTCGGGTGTTGACATGCTGGCAGACCGAGATGATTTTGTTGCGCACATCCACGCTTTCAGAGCTCAATTTCAGCAACAAGGGTGCCAAATAGGTACCTAGTAACGTCTGCAGCTTCTCATCTGTGTCTGCCATGGCAATTCTGAATTCCACCTTGCCTATCAGGGTCAACTCGCGAGCCTCGGGGCTCTGTGAGTCCGCCATTATGGAAGGGTTGACTGTGTCGTATCCAGAGAGCTTTAGCAGATCATCCAACAAGACACTTCGATGAAAAAGAAAATCAAAACGAACAGATAAACAAAAGCTACAGGCAACGACACTCACGTCATCGTCAAGACGGCGGTCGAGCATACTGCGGGCAGATGGCCTCCTTAGTCATACGCTTAGTAATCCACTGGGGACCGCCCAGGCCCTGGTCACATAGAGAGAGAGATCTGAATCTTGGAATATCTGTGGAACATTGAAAATAAACCATCCTACGCCCTGCGTACGGATGAGACTGTTTAGATTTGAACTAGCGCCCCAAAATCTGGCGAGTGAACTCTTGGGCTCTTCTCTCAGCGGCGTCTCCCCTCAAAAACCGATCAATATCCTCCTCGAGACTTTTGAAACGGTTCTCCTCGGCGTTCTTGACCTTTCCAAAGAGACACTGCCAGAGATCATCCTTCTTTACCATCTCCCCTCCTGACTCACCGCTTTCCATCAAAGTACCAAGGCGAGAATCCTGTATTTCCATGGAATTTGCCGAATCGATAGCTGTCTCGGTTAAGTCTTGGATGAGACCGCTGCCGTCGTGAGTAGCTGCCGCCGGGGCGTGTTCGCGTTTCTCTTTCTCAATAATATGAGCCAGTCGTCGAGTAACCGATAGCTCGTATATAGACTCCTCCACTGTGCCTGACACCAGGTACATCCATACTGTCGTTGGTCGGTGTTGGCCGATACGATGTACCCGAGCAATCGCCTGTAGCTCGATTGCGGTGTTAATGAGGGGTTCGCACAGGAAAACATGGGTTGCATTTATCAGAGTAAGACCGGATGACTGTGCTTTGCCGTGCAATAAGAAACACTCAATCTAGGTTGAAGGTTTAGTATCTTGCCACCAAGGCATCAAGGGTGCCTACCTTTGGGTCCTTTTTGAACTTCTCAATGCCAGTCTTGTGGTCAACAGTGGTACTTCCGATCCCAAATCGACCAAAGGCCTCTTGTAAAACTGCCAGGAAGCTCCTGAACTGGGAGAAAACGATTGACTTGGCTCCCGGGTCCTGTGTCCGCAGCCATATGATGTGCCGGGCCAAAGTGTCGATCTTCGTTCCGTATGAATCCTTCAGTTCAACATTCTTAATCTCTTTCAGATGCCCCGAGCTAATGTCGCTGTATATGGCATTTTGAGAGTACGCTCCAGTAGCGGACCTGGCAGTCGAGCTTTCCTCTTGTGCTGAAAGAACCTGTGGCCGGTACGAGATTGGGTGAAAATCCTTACGCATCAAAGGTTTCTTGCACATTGGACAGTTGTGGTGTTGATTCCACCATATCTGCATGCATTCAGAGCAAAACTTGTGGCCACACACAGTCAACAGGCCTATACGAAGGTTAATCAAAGCGCAGACAATATTTCCAAACTATACTCACCAACTTCAAATGGACATTGGCAAATGATGCAGGTCCTGTCACTGTCACTGGCATTGGCATCCTCTCTCAGGTGGAGAAGATACCTTGCCTTGGAGTTGAGTGAAGATATCCTCCCCTCGGCCTCTTGTTCTTGTGATAATTTCTCGTTGAACAAAGCCTCGTCTAGTGGCATTCCTGCGCTCTGCTCGTCATATGGCGCGACCGTGTCAGAGATTTGCTGAAGCTGACGATAATATTCCAATCGGTGGTTCATGGCATCACGGAACATCTCAACTTCCTTCTCTAAACCACTTGATACTTTGAATTGCTCGGCAATCATTTGAGTTGCATTTTTCAAAATCATATCAACGATTTCGTGTTCAGCTGCAGCATAAGGATGTCCTACGCCTGCCTGCCACTCAAGAGAGCTGGCAACTTTTCTGAGTTCGCCGATGATTTTGCGAAGTGACCCTATCGTAGGATCCGGCATGAGCTCACTGCGGATGTTCATGACTTGAAGGAACAGGGGAGGAGAAGGCCCCTCTCCCTTTTGAGCTTGAATGATACCCGCTTTGACTTCATGGGATATGAGCACGTTCTTTTCACCAGTAAGGGCATCACTTCTGTCGGCAAAAATCGCTCTCAACCCTTCCATATAAACATACATCTCGTCTTGGTGTTTCGTAGATCGCTCATACTCATCGCCTTCGAGCTCCGCGTCTTCCTCCTGGTCAATCAATGACTTTGTAACTAGCCCGGCCATGATGTCACGCCATTCTTGGTACTGCTCAGCATGTTTGTTGAGAGCCTCGCATAGATCTTCGAAGTTGGAGATGGCGTTATAAGCTTCGATTCCGCGGCTGTAGATGTGAGCGTCCATTTTTGGTATGTTGACAAATTGCTTCTTTTGCATCTTTTCCTTTACAACCTTCATGTGACGCTCGGTTTTCTGTGAAACATCAACCAACATCTCTTTGCGGATGACCTTGGCAGCCTCGTAGCCATCTTCTTCGCGCTTCTGCAGCACTTTGAACTCATCTGAGTCGGGGTCCGTCAGGTTTGGATCGGTCTTGATTTGGTAATACGCGTTGGCAGTAAAGAACACTGCAATATGTTGGATCTCAAGGGCGGCTCGAAGCTTAAGTCGACATTGGCCAAGGCGACTATTCTTGTCCGATTCTTCAGGATCTTCAAATAGCCCTGGGGCATCTTTGCTGCTAGTATTGTCTTTGAGCAGACGCAATTGCTCTCTGCTGTCTTCCACCAGTCTTGTAGAGTGATCTAAGGCTTTCTGCCAAAGCTCAAGTGCTTCTCGGCGTCTCTTGGCATTCTCCAGGAGTTGGCCGCGCCGAAGTTGCGAGGAAAGAAGGAACCGCTCTTCGCTTCGGAGAGCTGCCTCGTTAGCCTCGATCATAGACTCCAACACATCATCCACAGTTCTTAATGGAGCAGCGCCTGCTATAGGTCGACGTTTAGTTCCAGCGATCTCAGGGTGGAGGCATGTTTGACGCAGCCTTGTCAACCAAGAGCGCATTTTCTCAATGGTTCGAGGATCAGCGAGGTCCCAATCGTGACGAAGCGGACCTCCCATCGCATCCAATCCACAATCTTCGGCCATTTCCCTGAACAATTGCTCGTATCGTTGTTCTTCTACCGCAGTGAATGGAGTAGTTATGACAACTCGCTTTTGGGGTGGTAGGCGTAGCTCATCGCGCACACAATCCTTGGTATGCCTCAGCGTAATCATGCCGATAATGTCCATCAAAACATGACCAAAGCGGGAATGCAGTCTCTTCCACAGTGGGTTCGAATGACAGTAAGGTCCGTAGTGAAGGAACAAAAACAGCCCAGACAGGTCATCAATGTTCTTTCGCAGTGGTGTACCAGTCACGGCCCAGGCGTTCACTCGGGGAATCATACAAGCTACTTGAGCTGCATGACTCACTCCACTCTCAACCATTTGAGCCTCGTCCAGACAGACACGCCACCAGGAGATGCGGACTAGCGGTGTTTTTCTCTGCTCGAATCTCTTTTCATGGCGCAGATTTCGCCTCGGGGCTGCAGCAGCATAATGTATTTCCCTAGAAATGACATTGTAAGTGGTAAGAACAACATCGAACCCGGCAAGCTCGTTCATGAGAATATCATCGTCGGTTTGTTCTTTGCCAATTCTGTTGGATGGAGTGCGTTTGATTCCGGTGTAATGGTGAACACTCAACGAGGGGGCGTGTTTCTTCAGCTCTTCTTTCCACTGTTCAAGAATAGCCGGTGGTGTGATGATCAAAGTAGCCCCGGAGGACTTGAGTCCCTCGGGGTCAGCCTTGACATGCGCCATCCGACGATTCAAACATATCAATGCTGTAACTTCGACTGTCTTACCCAGGCCCATTTCCTCCGCAAGAATGCCACCTCTCAAATGATTAGCAGCATCGTACCACTGAGATGGGTCTCTAATCAATGTCATGAACAAATGACTAAAGTAGTAAGTCCCGCCGTCAGCATCTTGCTGGCGAGTAAATGACGCCGGGAGGCCACCACTTGGCAAGTTCTCCATGGGAGCAAGGCGGCCATCGGCCTGCACCTCTTGACCCTCTCGTTGTAGCAACCATCGGACTGCACGCTTTTGGAACGGGAACAGATCACATTCCATGCCAGGGAATTTTATTTTTTCCGCTGTAGTATCCGCGCTTTCGGGGACGTGTACGCTGTCATAGAATTGGCGAGGAGACCATTCCTTGGGTTCCCCCAGCATTGCCTCACGGCGACTGCCTTGATCGGGAATGCGTCCCTGAGGAGAACCCTCTTGAAGCACATACTTGGTGAAAACCTCAAGGGCTGAGTCTTGCAACTTTTTGAGATCAGGAGTTTCCAAGGATTCGGTCCAGAGAGTTACCACTTCTAGGCTTATATACTCGCTGTCAGGTGACGCGTGCAAGTGAGCTTGGTGACAGGCAACCGGAGTGCGGGATGACGATCGATTTGCGGGTGTCAATTCACTGGCGAGTTGGATCTGCTTGATCAGATCAAACAGCGCCGGCTCACAGCATGAATACGAAAGCAGCTGCGCTCCGGCTTGGTTGGTAACTTCAAGTTGGGCGCAGGAGGGTTTGCCACCCGAGCCATGTTGCTGATCCGAATTGACCGTGAGTACTACGGGAATTCGGGTTTCCGACTCTGCGGAGTGTTGGTGCAAAAGTTTCTTTGACAATTTCTGGATGAAAGGTTAGGACTCGGTCTATAGGCAATGTGGGAAGGGACCGAATGTGCAAGTTACCATGCGTAAAGTCAATCGTGCCAATGGAATATAGCCCATGGGAATTCCAGTCGCTGAGATCCCATTCTTCTTGAAGAGGTCCCAAGGTCCAGCTTTCGCAACCTTGCGCCGTTTGGGCGGAGGTTTATCATCGCTGGCAGAATCGCATTGCTGGAACATGGGAAGTATAGACTTCAAAGCCTGGTCTGTTGCGTGATGTCAGTGCCACTCTCGGATTTCAGATGAATTCAGACTGTATATTCGTACCTGGCAAGGTGGTATCTTTAATTATGACAGTCATTTCAACAGAGAGAGGGTGTTGTAAAAGGGAAATGGAAACAAAGAAGAGGCGCGACACTCGAATGCTCGAGTGGTCATGCCGCTAGTGCTTATCGATAAGATAGACTCCAGGCGGAGAATTATAATCCCGAACTCCACCGCCTCCATCCCGTGGTCCCACTGCCCCAGTGTAACGGATGTTTTGCAGCTTGAAAGGGCCTGGCACCAGCGCCTGGATAGGCCCTTGCATATTCGGGATTAGTATCTCGGTACTTACCTACATATGCAGGCATTCCAAGGTTAATATGGAAGTCCACAAATCACCTTTAGGGTTTCTTCTTGGGTACCTAGTATGCATAGAAAGACTACCTAGCAACCTCAAAAGATTCCAAGGTTTCTGGATAACTCTTACATATAGTATACTGTGGAGGAGCCACGACCCACCTGGGCAGCTCTTTCGAAGTGCTACGTCTGGTAGGTAGCATGCTTTGACAAATTCGGTTGGACCTGTGGTTTTGAGGTATTCAATTGTTAATTCTCCTGGGTTATTTTACATTTGATGTATCGATCACTCCACATCAGGCTGGGTTGGCCCCAATGATCACATAAATAATCGCCAAGCACCAAGAATAAGAGCGGCGGTACCGGTACAAACACCCCTGAAATAAAAGTCAGCATATACTCAGACCAAAAAGCAGGATAGGTTCCATACATGAGCCATTGCAAAGTCGAGAACTTAACAGCTTCAACACGTTCTCTCAAACCAGCCACCTCCTGTTCAATTCGGGTTTCGGTTTCCTTGATGCGCATTTCTTGACTGTTAGCTTCTTCGCGAATCCGACCCTTCTCCAGGTTGAGATCTAATCGGACAGAAGCCTGTGTGCGGCCAATTTCATCGCGAAGTCGAGAGTTGAGCTTTGCGAGATCTGCGGTGATCTTTTCGTGTTGTGAGCGGGTAGCATGTGCCTCAGTGGAGTCTGAGTTGAGGAGTTCGGAGCGTAGTTTGGCGAAATCGACCTTTTGCGTGTATGTTGATCGTTCTGAGTCTAGATCCGTGTCCCGTTAGATCAGATCGTAATAAGGGGTGCTTCGCAGCGCTGCTCTGGATTTGAAGAGCATACCTTCTCGGAGAACCATGGTTCTGGTCAAGTTTTGGATTGATTCTTGAATGATATCATTCAGGACCCGCATCATGGCAACAGACTGCTCCTCGCTGAAGCCTTCGGCCTGAAGGCGCTTCACGAACTTCAGCGTGTCGAAGTGGTGGTCGCGAGAGCGAGTTGGAGTCGCATGGAACGCGCGACGAGCTGGGTTGAAGGTTGCGACATATACTCCATTATGTCGGATGGGGTTTGTGTTTTGGGCTGTCGGCTTGGTTGGAGAGGGTTGGCGGGAAACGAGGGCACCGGAGACAAAAGCCCTAGAGGTGGTAGAAGCAAGGCGAGAAGACCGGAAGGACGAGCTTGATGAGTGGAGTGTTCGTTTTGAAGGAGCCCAGCCCTGAGAGAGTGGTCGCTTTTGACCGAGAGCGGGATAGTGGGAGATGGTGACGGAGGGCCGGGAGGAGGAGCTGTTCCAGGTCAAGCGGGGGAGGATTGTGCGCGGAACCTCCGCGACATGCTTTTGAGATGCCATATGAATGACAGGCTAAGGGGTTCCAAGTTTGTGTATGATGATTACAAGATCTCACGAGAAACGAAAGATCCGTACGCGGCGCCCCGGGCCCCGAATCGGAGGATGACTAAAGACATCGGGGATTCCGCGGGCTCAGATCGACAGTTTCCCGACGGCCCCATCCAGTACGGAGGAGTATAGATCGCAGACTGCAGAATTCGTTCTATTTCACACCGATCTCACTCAAAATTGGACTCATATCAATTGCAGAAGAACGCTATCACATTTCCATGATATTCATCTTGGCTTTATAGGTCGAACAGCTCCTTGAGCTGCTTAATGGTATCCTCTGGCCCGTGAACAGAGTGTCCGATGGTCCGGGGATCCTCGTAGATCTCATAATCATTTCCTCCAACAAAGGTCTTGTCGCCGAAGAAGTGGATGGTCTTGTACTCGATTCCGGAAATGCCCTTCTCGGCCTCGATGTGCTGCAGGCAATAGGTCTTGTCCCAACCGGTAGGGAAAACGTCGAAAGAGATTTGGCCACCAATAGAATAACTGATATTTATGGTTAGTGCAGCTCTCGTTCCTATCCGATTATACGCCAAAGCACTTACGTGAGACCGTAGTCAGGGAATTCCTTCTTCAGGGACTCTACCAGTGTCTTTCTGACATTGTGGATCTTGTCAAAGCTATATTGCAAGCCAATTAGCGAATTGCAATCTTTTGGGGAGAAAAAGGGAGACAGAGAATTGTCACATACGCTTCGAACTCATCACGTTCTTCGACGCTAGCAGCGCGGCCAACGGGGCTGATGTTGACCATTCCGTTGCGGAACTCAACGAAAGTACCACGCTTCCGAGGCAACTTGGTGTTGGCAATGAACTTGAGGACGAAGTCAACAAGAGCCTGGTACTTGTCTTCTCCAAGCCATTGGATGAAGTTATTGCTGGCAAGCGACTCGCCGAGGCGGAATGCGGTCAGACCGTTCTCGGAGAAGCAGAAATCGAAGAGGGAGGTAACATCGACGTTGGGGGAGCCGAGCTGTTCTTGCTGTTTCACGAGGTTCGAACCACCGACCTGAATCAAGTTAGGGGCCGCGTAGGTTGACTGGTTGGGGACGAACGAATCCAATGGCGGTCTTGTGGCGCAAGCGAGAAAGCAGCTCGAGCATCTCTGGGGAAGCATGCTATGGAAGTACATGTTAGCAACGGATTACGCAGAGCTTTGGGTGCTTGCTGCAACGTACTCTTCTTGCGGGCGTGAGAGTCTCGTCAACATCGAACAGAACAACTGTGTTCTTGATGGGACGGTCCACTAGGGACGGGTAAACGCTGGCAGCTTCAGTCATATTGAGAATAGATATTAAACACAAGGAATTGATCACTGCAAAAATGCGAGGCAATTCGGGGGGTAAATATAGAGGGGCCCTTTTTGGCCGCAAGCGGTGAGCGATGGCGGGACCTTAGCGCAGGCGTCCAGAAGCAGAAGGCCACCTGGTTTGTCTCATTTGGGATTCGATTGACTCAAAATTGGATCGGCCGGGTATTTCATCTCCTAAATCCAACTCTAAAATGTGTCTATTGTGGCATTGGGACTGCAATGCTGGAGTGACTGTTATCGATAAGAGACAAGAGGGGTCAATTTATCAGGAGCCCTGGAGCACTGCCCAGGTCCCAGTGGTAAATGGATGTGTATAAATTACTCTAACAATGCCATATGTACTTCGCTGCATGTGCAGTCGCGTCGCACGGCTTAGTGCATGCAGCCTATCCAAATGAAACCAAACTATCCAATCCCGAGATTACAGCAATCAGCTGTTACGCCCAACGCCCGAACCACATCTCAGTGGCCCATAGTAGACTGGAAGACCTTCGCCGCGAGCTCGCTCAACAGCCTGGTGCGATCCGGCGTCGGAAGATCCAAGAAGACCTCATAGACACTCTTGCCCTTTGCGTCACGGACAGCACCTAGGCGATTACCCGCAACAGCACCAGCGAGGGCGCCAGGAAAGTTGCCGACAATGAAGCCCATGGCACCTCCACTGACACCGCCCACGAGAGCCCAGAACCTCCCGGTTGGGCGAGTCCTTCGGCCGCCTTGGCCGTCATCTTCCTCCGCAAGACCTTCCTCTCTCAGCATCTCCTCGAAGACCGACCCGAATTGGCTACTGTCCCGTTCATCGCGACTGCCACCTGCAGTACCACCGAATCCAAAGTTGGACCAAGAGAAGCCACCGGGTGGGACTTCTTCCTCCGCTTCAGTCTCCGTCTCAAAGGCGCGAGTGGAGTCATATTCGCGACGACGCGTGGGGTCAGAGAGGGTATAGTAGGCGTCGTTGATGTCTTGGAACTTCCTGGTGCGGGATGGTCGCTCTGGTGAGTCGGCGGGGACTCGATCCGGGTGGGACTTCAGTGATTCCCTTGTGGATGTTAGAATGGTCTAGATGTCGGTATGGTATGACTATTCGTACCTCTTGTAGGCAGTGCGGATCTGTTGTTGGGTCGCATCTTGGGTGATGCCCAAGATCTTGTCTGATCCGTGTTAGTGGAAGTGGGTTTAGTGTTGGGCGGGTAGCCTACAATAATCGGGGCCTGTAAATGTGTTAGTATACAATGAAGGGCTCATAGGGAGTCAACTTACTTGTCATCTTTCGCAACTTGAGAGTGAAGTGAACAGAAGAGAAGATGCCCAGCCCTGGAGGTGCTCAAGCATGGCATCACATGCAGTGACGTCGTTGACGCCTGAGGCAGGTGGGCTACCATGGTTCGAGGGCCATGTTAATTTCGACTATTTACTTCGTACTTTGGGCACTTCAACAGTACAAAGGTCCTGGGACATCTTCAAATCTCCGGATTGATAGGTGTTGCTTGTTCTATACTAAGATGCCAAAGTGGACTAGACCCGTCAGTATGTCTGAGAATTGCGCGGGATTAGGTTCAGCCCAGCCACCCCTTCCGCCAGGGGGTTTTCAGTCCTCTAATCATCGTGATTCGAAACATCCATTTACAACTAACTTGAGTCTTCACCAGTGGCCACCTGTCAAGAGGAAATTTCCTGCATGAATCTGTGGAGCAAGTGCACGACTCGGCCTAGACCTCTCACATTGCGCATTGCTGCAGCTGCTAGTGGCTGACCTGCGTCTTGACTCTTTCCATCTTTGAATCGCCACACAGAAGGGCAAAAAAAAAGTCTCAGAGCCACTGGCACACAAAAAGCAATTGAAAGTTTCAATCCGTATCAACAATCCATTTACCTTCATCTTTCACAGCCATCTCTGACCAAGCGAACCACACGCCAAGCACAATGGGTTGGTTCGACGGTAAATCAAGCGCCTCCTCATCAGGATATGTGCGCCGACGGTCGCCAACACACTCCAAGTCCGGAGCTTCACCCACCCGTTCCAAGTCCGGGTTTTCCACTCACCACTCGCGACACTCAGCACCTACCTTCTTCACTGGCCTGGGTGGAGGTCTGGGTGGCAGCCGAACGGGTGGCCGATCAAGCCCATCGGTGTTCTCCTCGTTCTCGTCGTCGTCTCGCCGCGCCCGACCCCGCGAGGGATTCGTGCAGCGCATGATCCGTGACATCAAGAGACTCTTCCGTGATATCTACCGATACATGCGCCGCAACCCAATGAAGGTGTTCATGATGGTCATTGTCCCTCTTTTGACAAGTGGTGTTCTGCCGAAGCTGCTTGGCTTTATCGGCATCCGGTTGCCGCATGCCGTGATCTCCGCCCTGGGTGGGAGTGTGCCCAAGCCCGCTGGATACCCCGAGGCTGGTGGTCGTGGAATTTCCGAGAACATCAATAGCCTGATGAACATTGCCAAGATGTTTGCTTGAGTGAGCGTCCTCGGGCCGTTCTTCGCAATGTGCTCCTCGACCTAACGATCATCATGATAAACCGACTGCGACCCCTGTTATGCCCTTTATTCGATACTCCGACATTTCCTTTTCTGCTTTCTTGATCTCCGGTGGTGCAATCTCCGGTGTTTTGCTGTGTTTTGGGAGGCTATCTGGATTCGATAGATCTTGTCCTTGGTGTTTTCGTGTTATTCATGAAAAGCCGTTTTGTACTGACATATTTGAAATGAAAACATTCGACGCAACATCTTGGGGTAATGGAGTGGAGGTCCTTATTTATCAAGTGGGCTGATAAAGTACTTAAGTATGGGTGCCCAAGCTCAGACAACTGCACACCGCAGGTAATATCGGCACCACATATATGTGGCCCTTGGGGACCCGCCAACGAACTATTGATCTGTAACAAAGCCGGTCTGTGCCACGTACTCCATAGATGGGGTTTCGAATGGGCCTTTCTTCCAGTCAGCTTTCTCCAATAGGGAAAGGTGAAAAAATTCCTTGGCCTTCGTCGAGCGACATCTACGATGATTCGACTCATTTATAGGTATGTGTACATTTTGATCTAGTTGAGTATTACTAGTCCGATAATTTTATGACGAACTCAACAATTTTAAGGGTAGAGCAACAGGAAAGGTCAACACCCAAAGGACCTGAGCTCATGATCGCTGAGAGCGCTTGCCGCGCTTGCGAGAGCGAGTGTTGGAAGTAGCAGAGGTCTCAGCTTCTTCAACAGGCTCCTCAGCTTCATCATAATCAAACTCAACCTCGGCAGGGGAAGTTCCCAAAACCCGGCCCACGGTGCGGTTGAAAGCCCAGAGAGGAAGTTGGAACACCATGGTCTGGCGGATACCGGGGCGTTCAATCTGATCAATATCCAACAAGAACTCCTGGCGTTCGCCTTCCTCATTCTGCTCTTCCAGGAAGACATTACCAACAGAATCAACAATGAGGGTCTTGCCATTCTCGGCAACGACACGCTTGCGTTCCCCAACGCTGGCACGCTCAGTGTTGGCAGGCTGTTCGGTGGGAGTAGAAGTACCGGAGGCACGAGCACTAGCCCGACCGCCCTTCTTGTCCTTCTTGTTCTCCTTGTCCATCATACGCTTCTGGCGACGGTTGACAGCCACTGCACCAGCATTCTCCGCCTCGGGGGCAGGAGCCTCGGCAGCCGCGTCAATTCCAGGAATACCACGAACCCCCATTTCATCACCCCAGGCCGCACGACGAGCCTGGCGGATGTAGCGATCCACAAACTCACGCTGGCGCTTCCAGCCGAGAATCAAGGCAGCGTAGTGAGCACCACCACCGAAAACCAGGAACAGACCAGCTAGCACAGAGCCCAGACCGGGACGGAAGCGCGAGTAGTAGTATCCAGTGCCCTTCCACAGGGGGAAGCCATTCTTCAGGAAGTGATCGTAGCGCTCACGGCCGGGGCCACGGAGGACATTGGCAACGAGGTTCAGACGGGTGGAGCGGGCGTGGGCGTCCTTGGTGGCAGCATCGATCTCACGCTTGGAAGGACCCTTGTTCACGTTGACGCCCTGGTTGGACTTGGACTTGCTCTTGTCCTTGGAGTAGTTGGCGATGAAGGCACGCTTGACCTTATCCGGGTGCAAGGTACGGGACTTCTTGCGGTAGGCTTTGGTGATCTGTTCTTGATTGGCATTGGGGCGAATCTCGAGGAAGTCTGTTATATCTTAGAACAGCCGTCATTAGTTTATCGGGGGAATTGTTGCTCGTACCATAGAAGGTCACGTTCGCGCCCTCATATGTGGCCACATCATTCTGAAGACCAAAGATCTCATAGTCTGCAGGGACAAAAGGGTCAGTCTGTACTCCGTATAGGAGGTGTCAATGGCAACACACCTTCTTTGGACCATGCGGCAACCAGGCCGAAGAAGACGAAGAGGGAGAGGAAAAGAGCGTAAGGCTTCATGGTGATGGAGCGGTCAATGCCGCGGAGCCTAGAATGAATGAAGTGGCTAGAACGATTGCACGAATAAGCAGATCAGATCAGTGGAGGACATGTCGCCCAGGAAAAAGCGGTCGGGCACTGGCGATCCACCTTTTAGTCCAACGTGGCCCAATCGATTACGCTGCATCTCGACAATTCTCTGTTTGTCTATGACTCTTACGGAGCACTTTGAGGGGAAATTGTACAGTAGTCTGCATGTTTGTATCTGAGCGCTCGCGTATGCCATGTATATATAGGCCTGCACCAGTCCACGGTGTTTGTTGACGTCCTCCGTTCTCCGGACTCCGTATAGCTCACTCGGTACGGAGTAGCTATGGAGACATCGCTGCCTGGGAATTACTATTATTAGCCACAATTGTGTCGAATAACCCAATTACCAAAGAAACAAAAGTCAAGTCTTCAGGCCACTTGTTGACAACGCGCCTGCTAAAGGGGCTACTCCGAAACACTGGCAGAAAAAAGTCCGGATCGCTCATCTCTCCTTCTGTGACCTCTCAGACCTTCCTCTTACCACACCTTCGTGCACCGTTCTCGTTTTCACCTTTCTCTCTTCTCTCACCTTTTTCAAACCCTCCTCACAATGGCCATCTCCATTCCCATCGATGCGATCACCTCGCGCTTCGGTGATCGTTTCAACAACCTCCGCAACACCTCTCTGAGCTCCCGATTTGCCAACTTGCGTCCCGTTTCCGAGTTCCTGGACGTCAAGCGCATGTCCAAGCCCGCCAACTTCGGAGAAGCCCAAGGCCGAGTCAACTACAATCTGTCCTACTTTTCCAGCAACTATGCTGCTGTCTTTGTTATGCTCAGCATCTACAGCTTGCTGACCAACCTGAAGCTGCTGTTCGACATCATCTTCATCAGCGCTGGACTGTACGGTATTGGCTTGCTCGAGGGTCGTGATCTGGACCTGGGTTTCTCCCGCTTCACAACATCCCAGCTCTACACTGGACTCCTCATCATCGGTGTTCCTGTCGGCATCTGGGCCTCGCCGATCTCCACTGCTCTGTGGTTGATCGGCGCCACTGGTGTGACCGTCTTCGGCCACGCCGCACTTATGGATAAGCCAATCGAGAATGCTTTTTCCGAGGAGGCGGTCTAGGTGGTCGACCGCGAGCTCCTTTTGATATGCCCTCATGGGGAAGACCACCGGGGGCACGACTGGGGAGAGATAACGGGGGACGCGCGTGGGAGACGACACGGGTGGAGGAGGTGGATAGCGACGAGGATGCCTACGGGCGGGAGTTGGTACGGAGCGGGCGATATGCACGACAGGAATATGGACGGGTGGCGCGTCGGCGTGCGGAGTATGAGGATCTGACAGATGACAATGACTCAGGGGAGGGAGGAGATTTCGATATGTACGGCCACGGGGATAGCACCGTGGCCTATGCGGTTCAATTGGCGATGCGGGACAAGGAGGACCAGTTGGTGGATCACGCGCTGGAGCGAATCCGTCGTGCGCAAATGCTGGGACAGAAGAATGTACGACTCTCGAAGCGTGAGCTAGATGCCCTGGAACGAAAGCGCCAGCAGGGGGATGGGGGAGCTCGACGTCCCAAACCACCAACCTCGCGACCATCCTCACGGCGAAACGGAGTGCCAGAACAACCAGCGGGATACCCGGCTTTCTCTCCAGATCCGTCCAGTTGGGCCCGTGGAACAGGTGCAGCCAGTCGGCCTTCTAGCTCATCTTCAGCTCGCCCACGGACCCCCACGACTCAATCGCTTCGTCCCCAGCAATCTGGCTCCCCGCTTCGCCCTACCTACCCATCGCATGCTCCAGATCGCTTTGCAGCCAATGGCCGCCCGCAGTCCATGCAAGCGCCAGCCATGTACCAACGGCCGCTGCCGGACGATCCGTCCTGGGCTCCGCCGTACTATGACCCCATGCAATTAAACCCGTACGGCGAGCCAGCACCCTACCAACCACAGCTCCCCTCGGATCTCCGTGTCGGACCTCAAAATCGCATGAGCTTCCCTGGCTCTCCATACCAAGCCTACCAATCACCCACTCGTCGCCGCACATCCCAAAGCTCTGTGCAGACCCAGGAAGGCCCAGCTCCCACGGCCGCGGAGTCCGAGGATTCCGAGGATACAAGCAGTGACGACTCGGTGCAGATCGTGAAGGTGGCTAAAGTGGCTAAAGTGGCGGAGCGTCAGGCTCCCGTGCAGAAGCGGACAGTCTCTGGGGGCGGTCGTAGCACCCGCAAGCGCACGAGTCGTTGAACTAAAATTATTGTCTTTTTATTTCGGTCTGGTCTCTGTTTCGCTTTGTATTGCTTTTTTGATTCCACCAATGCGGTTCTCCGTAACGCGACGGCGTTCTTGATAGACCGGACTTTACAAATATCATTATCTTCCAAGGTTCCAAGTTGTCTTCAATACTGATAAGCCCCGGGACCTCGAGTCGATGAGATAATTTAAGAACTCCACAACCATGGGTGGGACACCCAGGCCCACGGTTGACCCCCCGAGGCTGTTTGAGCATCAAATGCGAAGGCTGGAGGCTACGAAGTACTGTCCACAGGTGCTCGTAGTACTGTAGCACAGTGCACGGAGGTGCATAAGCATAAAACTCAGCCACCGAAGATCCTCAGGCGCGAAACGGGGCAAACCGATAGATATTTCTGGGCTATTCCCATAAGAGTAACATCGAGCGCCCATCGAAGGACGTAGGCTGTGGAGTTTTCTTCGCTGCCTTGGCAAGACGATGACGTCGGGGGTTTAATTAAAGATACTATGAGCCCTGGAGGCACCGGAAATCTTTGAATCATTTAATAATCTGTTCTTCACGCTCTCGTGCTTCTGGTTCTTCGGATTCGCTGGGAATTTGCCATTCCGCCACTACGTTCGCCTCTGGAATGCTACACTTGACATCTCGTCCCTAATGTGAGTTCACGCCCTTGACTCAACCCCTGGGAACTGGGACTGACGAGACCCAGTCCACATCTTCTCTCTGCAAAGTCACCTCTACTATACCCGCCAAGATGTGGATCATATCATTTTGGATGTTCCCACTGATTTCAGCATGCATGTGGGTTGGTAAGATATTCAGATCGCCAATGCAGCGTCCGCCCGCTAACACGCCCTAGCAATGCTGATTGCCATGCTGGTCAGCTGGGTCTACGATGGCAGACCTCATTACGGAGGCATGGACAAAGTCCAGACCATCGCGTAAGTCAAATCCCCCTTCACACGGGCAGAACCAATCTAATTGAACCCAGGTACATCTCCAACGTCGGCGCAGAGCGTCTCCAACCGCTCTTCATTGGCGGTAGTGTCGTGACAGTGGTATTCTTGGATCTGGCATTCCTCTCAGAGAGATGGCTTCGACACTCGAAACAGCTTGCGGCCAATAAGGGCAAGCTTGACAAAGCGTGCGCGGTCCTTTCGATCTTCTTCGCGATCGCCGGCGCGGCAGGATTGATCCTCCTTTCGATCTTCGATACCAAACACCACCCTAAGCTGCATGATGGGTTCTTGGGTCTGTTCTTGTGAGTTTGATTCTCCTGCGTGCGTAGAACATAGCTAATGATCGCGTTTGTAGGGCTGGATATATCGTCAGCGCGATCCTGATTTGCGGCGAGTACCTTCGCATTGGAATCTTCTATCGTCGCGAACATCGTGTTCTGCTGGCCAGTTTCTTCATCAAACTTGCTTTCATTATTATCGAGGTTGGCCTGGCCATTGGCTTCGGAATCTGCATGAACGGCAGCGGCAGTCGCCAGAACACCGGTGCTATTCTGGAATGGACGATTGCGTTCGTCTTCACGGGCTATGTCCTGTCTTTCGTCGTGGATCTGCTGCCTTCTGTTCGCACCCGTCACCATGTTCCTCAAGGCGAGAAGTTCGCCATGGGCCACACTGGCCCTGAAGAGGCTGTCTCTATCGAGGAGCCATTGACCCACGACTCAGCTGGACCCAACACCGGCTTCTACCGCGGTCAGCGCGTTTAAGGGTCTGCGCTTATAATCTACGCTGTTCATGTCATTCTATACCTTGCTTTTTGTCTTTCACTTCACTTCATCTTCTTTCCTGTCTCGCTTTTTTTTTACATCGCTTTTGATACCCGTGATAACACCTGGGGCGCGCATATACTAGATCTTTCAATACTAATAAGATTCATTCTGTCGTAAAGAGATAAAGAGCCCATTCGCCATCTCATGCAATCTAGCATCCCAGCCCATGAAAGTACTATTTACAGTAATACAATGCCTGACAGCATCAAGCCAAAAACTTCCTCCGAATGCTCTCCTGCTGCTCCACCCCGACCCCAATCTTCTCCAGATACCCGCACACTCCACCGAACTTCTCCAGATACTCCGTCGTCTCCGTAACAAACCCAGCCGGACATCTCGTATAATCTTCCCCGAGACCAATGGCTCGGATCTCTTTCATGCGCTCTTCAAGTTCCGGCACCAGCTCGAGTTCCGAACGGCTGTAATCATCGACGATGGCTGGAGTGGGCACCGCGTCGCCGGCAAGTAATAGCATCATTAGGACCACGAGACCCGTTCGATCTTTGCCTTGCGTGCAGTGCACGAGGGTGGGGTATGAGTCCTCTTTTGCTAGGATGTCGAACACCGCGCGCACTTCTGCTTTGCTGGATTCGAGCGTGTCTTGCGCTAACCCAATCAGGCCGCGCGGAACCATGGCCGTTTGGCAGATGAGTCGCACGGCGTCACTGCGGTAGCCTGTTGTTACAAGGCTGATGGCTTTTCTGTTGGGGTGGTCAGTTCTATACTCTGGTTTGTTTTGTTTGTTCGGATTTTCTTTTCTTTTCCCCTCTTTCGTGTAGGATCTGGGCTTTGAACATACAAATAAGTATACCAATCCAATTTGGATAATAAGGCTCTTTCAAATCCTTTGCCCGTCAGACTGATCAAGGCCCGCTCCGAGCCCGGGACTTGGAGGAGGTGCTCATCTGGATTCGCAGGGACGGGTGCTGTCGTGAGATCTGATTCTGAAATTTCTTGTTCTGATTCTGACTTGGCGATTTCTGCGCGTCGTTTCCGCGTGCCCATTTGATGTTCCGTTCTGGGGGAGGTTAGCCATGTTCATTTCTGGTCTGCTGTGCACATACTGTGACCGAAGATCGATAACAGTGTGGATATGCAGTTCCTCGGCTAGACGCCTCTTATCTCGTTCTGATGCATCGTCGAGCTAGAAGTTGGTCAGCCGATGACGCACTGCAGGGAAAAGTTGGCACATTACCCTCGCGCTGCGAAAGAACACGCCTTCCTTGAGGATTCTGAGAGGTTAGCGAGGAACGGAGAACTTCGACGCGTCACGCTCACTCTTTGCGACAGAATTGATTAATGGAGCGGCCGACATCGCGGAAGTTGATAATGTTGTCGAAGGGCCGGTCGGGGGAGTCCAGGTCGACGCTATTGTGACGCGACATCGTATTAGGAATTAAAGAGTATAGTTAACAAAAGCAAGGGGAGATCAGAGAATTGAAGGTTGATAAAAAGGTGGAGAAGTACAAATGGCGGTGGAACAGGGTGGTTGGGCACCGATAGTCGCCTAGACAATGTGAAACTGGGATACAAAGTACTTCATTCGTACAAATTACTTTAATGGCTGCCCAGGTGGACATATTACTTTGATGGGCCCGGGGTAAAACACTTTGACCAGGAGCTGAGACCACCTGTGGGGATCTTTGTTTTCACTGCCTTTGATCTTCTTCTCTTCGTCTTTTACAGATCATGCGCTAAGCTCCGGTCTTTCCATCGTGGCTGCAAATAAGACCAATCGCGATTGAAATCAAACCCAGTCCGATACGCACCATAAGCAATCAACTCCACGCGACTCAATCGGGCACCCGCGTCCGTCAGCGCCCACAGACTAATCGCAAGCGTATTCTCCCCCCGATTATTGATCACGCCCGGCGGGAATGGGAACCTCGTCTGCGGTCCAATGTGCGGCAGATAATGTCCAAACTGGTACCCGTTCATGAAAATCTGCACCACCGCCGGCGAATCCAATGCGTCCACCTGCAGACCAATCGGAACGTCGAGGTCGGAATCAAGATTGAGCTTGAAGGTCGTCGTGTAGAATCGCCCCGCTGCACCAGTCACCCCATCCAGTGGGCTGTTCGAGGTGGCGCTTTTCGCCGCCTTGTAGCCCGGCAAGTGCCAGCCCAGTCGCTCGCCGTATAGTCCGCCCTCGTTCATAGGCCCACGGACGGGATCGATGTTTGCTTCGCCACCTGCATTGCCTTGGATGCGCCAGGAAGTGAAGTTCCCGCCCAACAGTGTTGCGCCCAGGATGCCCCGTGGGTTCTGCGCGCCGTTGGGCTTGACGTTTGCTTGGTCGTGCCCGGTATAATCCATCACCACGGTGAGGACATTTTCGGTCTCCGGGGTACTGTTGAACGAGAGCTCGGCAGAGGTGGTTGCCAGGTCGGGGCTACCAACGGCCCCGCCAACGTAGACCCCGTTGAGCCAGGCTGCCCAGCCGGCTGCGACGCCGTTTTGGACGGTGAGGTTGGCTCCGCTGGCGCTGCCGTTGAATCGTCCACGGTAGATTCTCGTTCCCGCGTGGTAGCCGTAATCGCCGGAATACAGCACTGGGAGAGTAAGAGGTGCCACGGAATTGGCAGATGTCGTCTTGTTGCAGACTGTCCAGCGGGAGTCGTCGTACTCTGGCTGGATCTCCGGGAGTGTGTCCTGGGCCTTCCAGGATTTCAGTGTTGGGAGCGATATCTTGGCGTCTGAGGCTCCTGGGGCGGATCCGATCAAGCTTCCATAGGCGGTCTTCTTGGCTGGTATCTCCTTACCATTCCACTTGATCTTGGTCACCTTGGAGTTGCCTGTATAAACCCTGCTGAACTTAGCAAACGAGCCTGAACAAGGAGGGTTTGCACTCACTCGAGAGAGGTTGTGTTCGCATTGTCACCGACAAGACTGACGGTGTGACCCTTGACAGCTGCTGTTCGAACGAGATATGGCCCCAGAGCGATGATCTGCTTACTTGGGTCTACGGTTGGGTTAGAACTGGTGGGGATTGCGAAGAAGTTCCACGCTGTCTCCTTGTCGAGAAGGTAAACCAGCACGCCGTTCGAGAACTTCAGCACTGTCGTGCCTTCTCCTTGAGTATAAGTGTATTTGGTGCCATGATCCGATGAGGCGGAGCTCACTTTGGAGTTGCCGTACGTCTGGAATGTAAGTTTAGCCGGAGCATCCTTGAAGACGAACACTCCCTTCTGTCCAATGTTTAGGTAGAAGGTAATGACATCCACGTCAAGCTTGGCATAAGTGAGAACTTCCGCAGATGAATAGAGAAGACTTGACTCTTTGCCGATCTGGTAGTCAGTCACAACGATTTTGCTCTGACGTCCGGCAAGCTCAATATCTGGGATGGCGATTGCCCCTTCATGGATGTGAGTACAAACAATCATAATTCAAGTATTGGAAGCACATACCGGCTGAGGTGTTAACATTCAGCGAAAAGCTAGTCACATCACGAGACGAGCTGGTAGAGTGTGCAAGGACATAGAAACCCGCCTGGGTATCAGGATTTCGCAGGGCCCAGGTATAGATGCTTGCATCACTGGTATAACTTGTTCCATTCCCCTCCATCTCGGTCTTCAGGAGATCAGATGAGACACGAGTGAACAAACCAATAAGCTTGGTCTGCTTCAACTTGTCCCGAATCTCACGAGTCTCCCGCATAGGAGCCGAGTAATCATACGAAGTATAAACGACCGGGGCGGCGCTCTGTCCCCAGGACGTCGCACCCATGACCATATAGATATTCTGCAACGTGACCCTGGAGCCAATATTGTTCTTGTAGTAGACATCGGCAAACTCAGGTGAAAGCTCCGTCGAGCAGGTGTCGTAGAAACTCCCTCCCCAGGCAGAGAACCAACCACCCTCGAATTCCGGCAGGTACTCAGGCTGAGAACTCGAGTAGTTCTGGAACCACTGGTAGTAGGTACGAACAAGATTGAATCCTGTGTTCGGGTTCGTGCACGACAAGCCACCAGGGTACGAGTCTAGTCCGTAGACGTTGACTGCACCGCCCACATCCTGGTAATCAGTAGACCAGCTCATGGAGCGCATGCCTTTCTCGTTGTGGGTGCTCGGAACCAGGATCCCGGCTTCATTGAACGCAGCCTTGATCTGTTCCATGTATTTGACGACAGTATTGTCGGCACTGTGGGTCGTCTCCTGCAATTCATTCTCGTGTTGGTTCAGGATGACAGGTCCGCCATTCGTGATTTGGTTCGCCGCGATGATCTTGCCGACCTTCTGGATCCAGGGGTACCATCTTTCATAGTAAGAGTCTGCACTCGTGCGGGTGCTGCCCATTTGACCATTTGAAGCCCACAGCGCGAATCCACCGGCCGATGTCTCGGCGTTGCAATAAGGCCCTGCACGAGCGATAACATACAGACCGGCCTCTTTGGCATAGTCGAAGAGACGCTGTATGTCGTGAGCGCCGTTCTCAAAGTCAAAAGTATCCTTTGAAGCCGAGTGATAACTCCAGAAGAAGTAAACTTTGCATCATCTTTAGCGTCTTTCATTGGTAGGATCTTGAATCACTCACTGGAAACGGCGTTGAACCCATTCGATCGAAGTTTTTGAAACACGTCCAGCCAAAGTTCTGGCACGGGAAGGCGCTGGTAGTGGAATTCGCCTGAAAAGACAAATACTCGCTCGCCCTTGACAGTGAGACTATACTTGTCCCAGGTTACATCGGTGGTTTTGCCATTGTCTGTTGCTGAGACGAAGGAAAGTAGTCCCCAAAGGACGGGGAGAAGCGTAAACAACCGCATGACTGTTGATCCAGACATACAATTCTCCCTTGGTCTATATAAATGAATTATTTCGGTCTTTCGCGGTAGAGATACCCCGTATCGAGCTCGGATTGGTGGATGTTTGTGAATTAATCTATGTCGCATTAGGCAATTCTGATGCGGGGGGAGATGGGGTGCAACCATTTCTACCTACTCACGCGAAAAGGGGCTATTCCCAAGGTCTTGTCTAATTCAATACTTTGATCTTCCAAGTTGTGGTATACTCATGTTTTCCACCTGAGCATTCGGGTAGGTGCCTCGATGCCGTCGACGGGCTGCCCGCAGAGGTGTCGGAAATATATAGCGGAAAGTGTACCACAACATAATCTTGGAATGCGAGAACTACTCACGGCATGGGTGTTTTTACGTATTGGGACGTTTCTGACCTTTCCCTTCTGGATTCACCCTGTCATAATTGCACCTCATTCATTTCGATCGGCTGCCCCAACCTATATTGCCAAAATTCTTTCAAGTCAGCTTCGATTGTGTCCGAGACGACGAAGCCTTGCTGGCGTATCTTGCGAACAGCACCCAACACTTTCTCCTGTCCATGAAAACCAGAAACATGCACTCCGGCCATTCGCAGGGGAAACAGCAAGAGAACTGCCGGGATATGTGTGTCAGAGAGAAGTCTCTCAGATAAATCCAAGATTTCAGAGACATGCTGGTTGACTTCACTGCGGTTTAGCCGAGGGATCAAACGTGTCATCCAGCATGAATAAAAGGTAAAATTGTTGCAGTGGTATAAAAGAAGAGCGCGGTGAACTGTGACCGACAATTGGGTGAATGAGTCGACCGGTAATGTCTCCGAAGTCTCAGAATGGCATTCCCTTTGCCAAGTGAGAAGTCTCTCTTTGATCTCGAGCCCTTCTAGAGCAAGAGCGTCCAAAGTGGGATCAAAAGATCTCAACTCTTCGGGGACACCTTCAATTGTGTCAAATAGCCTATGATTTTTAGTGTCGTTTATCAATCGAGCGAGCAGAATCGACTTGCCTCTTGGCATATGTAGACGTCTGTATCATAAGCATTATAATTCTGTTCATGGGGTCCGGCCAGCTTTCCCGCATCATATTCAACTGTGGGTTGTCCGGAAGAATCGCAATATCACCATAAAGTATGGCTCGATTGATTTCGAGAATCCAAAACGCATCAATTAAGCTCTTTGTAGCCAGCGGGAAGGGAATGGTAGGTTTCAACATGAATAACATCTTTGATGTACCGTAAACCATATGATTTACGAACGAATTGCCGGTATTCTCGGCCAGTAGCTGGGGACTGATTAGTAGGCCATACAATATGTAACCGGAATCGAAGCATACTTCGAAAAGACCATGGAAAAACGTGCTCCAAAACAAATCTTTTCTAAAGACCGGTCCTGCAGTCGAAATTGCAGTGTGCAGATCTTGGATTGATCTGCCGTATGCCCGAAATGCGGTTTGCTGTGCAGATCCAAGCTTGCCGAATGCTCTGGTAGAGCCCTTCCTGCTGGCATCCAAAGCTCCGATGGCAATGGCAATATGCTGGAGTAGGGGATATTGGCCAATAATAGTAGCTGTGTCTGCTGCCGTGGCAGCAAAGTCCTTGCTGAAGTGGCATCGCTTGAGAAAGGATGCGAAATGATCCAGATAGACGATATCGTCGTGCATTTGCATCTGGAGAGGAATCGTAGCCACCGATCGTCCTGACACATGAATGAATTGAATTTGCGTCCGCTCTGCTCGCTGCGACACACAAATTTTCTTGGTCCGTACACATCTTTCGCATGGGTAGCCCCCGCTACACTGAATACTTTGTCAGTTCAGACTGGTCTTGCTAAAACAAGGCGCTGATCCCTCAAACCTTCGTCCGTCGGTCAGCGCAGGACTGACATCGTATTGTGCTTTTGCGCTTGTCCAGATGCCCGACAGTACGTCTAGTGACCTCTTGTCTTCCAAGCAGCTCTGCTGCCATGATTCGAATGTCACGAACTATTCACAATTTTTGAGACCGGATGGAAAATTCTCGTCTGTTTAGTCGGCCATGTGACATTATTTTCGAGTCCGAGGTCTTCTCATCCGGTATGAAACGATTGACGAATGTCGGAATTTATGGGGATCTGTTCTCTGACACAATTCGGACAAATTCCGGCTGTTGCATTCACCAATAGGATTGACTACTGGTACACGGTTGAGCCCCCACATCTAGATACAAATGCTCCTCCATGATCCACACACAGTAGCAGCCTAGGTTTGGATGTTGAAGTATTCAGTGATCACTCTAGTGCGCAATTCAGACGAAAAGTAGTCGTATCCAACCGTGACATTGCAGTTGTTCACATACACCGTCACAGGTATAGCTCCCTGGTACATGATGTTCCACTAATGCGATGAAGTGTTAGTTTTCCAAAGTCATCACCATGTCTGACTGAAGCCGAGCCCGGGGAGAGCTACTTACAGCAGCAACGAAGTGATCATTGAATTGTCGCCGGACCAGTCCACCAAAAACAGCACCATTTTGGACTAGAATGTCTTCAGGGAACAACGGGAAGTTCGAGTTGACGAAGCCTTTCCACACAGTTGGCTTGTTCGACTTGTGACTGAAGGTTGTCAAAGTATTTTCCACCAGACCCTCCTTGGTAGAATTGGCGTAATTGAACAAGGACGAGGCTAGGGTACCGTCGTAGGCTTCATCAACTCGAACGAGATTTTGAGCAGGCGAGTTCACAATGAAACCATTTGTGATGTGTGACAGATTCTGGTTCCTGTTGCATTGTTAGTTAACAACAGATGATATCAGGATTTGCCGCCTACCACTTATGCTGGATAAAGCTGGTTTGAAACTCCGCTTTTATCAGGGGAGCTTCTGGTTGTTCAAATCCAGAAGAGAACTCGATCATTGACGAAGGAAAAGGGGGACAGCTTGCAGCTCTCACCGGCAACATGCCAGCGGCAGCCGTCACGAAGAGTAGTTGAAGGAAGTGCATCGTTCAAGTGTTGGAAGTGATGTTTGATGAAGAAAGAAAGGCAGGATGATTGAATGCCTATGATCGAGGAATGTTGGCCACTTTATAGGCGTCTCTTCGAAGCACGTATGGACAAACACTGGACCATTGTTCCGTAAACCGAGCTTGCAACTGTTCCGAGACTCGCTGAATAGATCCTGTTTGGGAGAATCGACATTCAGGCAACAATGTAGCGGCTCACAGATACATACTGGTCTACATGTGCCTACTGTTTGCTGGACCCATGGGCTCATAAACCCCGAGGTGTATAAGGCTATGAGTGCCCTGCGTTCAATTACTTCCTCATTTGGCTAGTGCGTTGCGCTTTCCCGAAGTGGAACCATTTGTGGGGCTGGATCCATGGATCTAGATGTCACTAGGCCACTTTGGGACACACGCTCGAATACTTCCCAAAACGGCCAAGTGCTCATTGTACAGGATTTGATTGTTGGCATATGCTGCCGAGCCTAGATCTAGTTCGGAGATTGCTCGGCGATGTTAAGCTTGAGCCACATAATACCTGGGATAGCTTATATGCGAGCGAAGTAGGTGAGTAAACTGATCCACCTGGGCATACTGTAGTTGAAAGCTAGGCATAGGCTTCTACCTTTGGCATGCCAATTTTCATGCCAGGAGTGAAGTCATATCTTCCGGACAACAAACACTCTTGACATGTCTCATAGACTTTTATTGCTGGGATCATTTCTACGAAGACTGTTCTGAGCAGCTCAGCGAATTTGATTACTATATCTCTACGGCGTCCATGGCCGGAATGACCATTGCAAAGGTTCAAGGTTGGTTTGCCGCAACCTTGGAAAACAAGTACATCTCGTGATACAGACACCTGGGCAGTGGGAGGCCAGTAGCCCCCAGACTTTCGTAGTGGGCTCCGACCCTAAGCCCATAACTCATCAATGGGCCCGGTCCTCGGGCCAAAGCCCAACATATTGGCGGTTTCTAGGTAGCGGAGAACTTCGCGCAGTCAATCGTCCGTTGGATGTTCAGATTCTTCTCTGCCTCCTGAGGATCCTTTTCGTCGGCCTCGTTCCATACCGCTTGTTGCATCGAAAGGGGGTCTGCGAGTGATCTATTATTCAGCCCGTCCGCCCATCTCCGTGCCAATATAGTCTCCATGTCTGCACTGAGGAGCGGTTTCAGTGCCAATGCTTCATCGCAATACGCCTCGAACGTTTTGCTCCCCTGGTTGATCCTCATCACTCGGTTCAACGTCTCCAGTGTGTCTGTTTTCTTCTTTCGGATGGGGAATCGTTCTGTCAGACGCTTGGACAGGATATCAAAGTTTCGTTGCTCCTCCATCTCCAATCCAGACGCGTAATCGTCCGCGATCCCGGTTAACCCTACACGCAGGGTAACCATTTGGGCTTTCTTTAACTGCTCAGGTGACAGGTTATGTCCGACCCAGCATAACTCGCATCCCAGGATGTAAAGGTCAACGGCCTCGCCGGCAGCACCACTGAACGTAGGTTTTGACATAGCCGATATGGCGGTCCTCAGTGATGGATCAGGAGTGGGGTGAATACTGGAGGACTCCGAGTGATGACTGACTGATAGAATGGAAGTGACGGATGACGGGATGACGACGTAAGAGCAGTTGCTCAGTCGAGTGGCCTCGATACAACTGTCGAAAATCGACTACTCCAAGGTTGACGTTGATATACGGCGCCGGGAAGCGTCAATATTGTATACTCGGTGAACTCTCAGGTAAACACCGAGTCCAATTTAGCAAGAAATCTCGACATGAATTAATTGAATATGTACGCGAAACCCAAAATCAGCCAAAACCTCCCAATCTCCAATCCGAAAACGCCAAATCATCGAGAAGATCACCAAAATCATAGACATACAATACACATGAATACATATAGCAACATCCAAGTAAATCTCAAAGATCTTCCGAGAACTTCGACTCCCGCCTCGTACTCATATTCTCACCAACAGCCGGTGGCGCAGGCAACCCCTGCTCCCGCGCACTATTCTGCAAACTCTGAACATCGGTCTTCACACTCGGCACCTCCGAGTCCCTCCTGGGCGCCGCATTAGCCACTGGCTCATCGTCACTACGCGAGACTCGTCTGAGGAACGTCCGGCGCAGTCGATCTCTCTTTCTGCCCTTCGGGGAATCAGCCCCGGACTCTCCACTCCGTGTCTTCGTTACGTCAATTTCATTGCTGTAGTAACTTGATGAGCGGTTGTGGGTTGGGATATCCATTCCGTTGAAAGGGTGGGAGCTCAGTGCTGCACCGCGTGGCTCTTCGGGGCCTGTGAGGGCTGCGCCGCCGGTGAACGCTGGCTCGCTATCTGTGAAATCGGGGCCGGGTTGGTGTGGGTATACGGGAACGGGGCCGGATGAGCGACGGACGAGACGGTCACGGAACCAGGATTTTAACTTCGAGTCAGCACGGGGGCTGTTGACGGGTGGCGTGAAGTAGTGGATTGGAGTATCGCGTTGGGCGTGATGCAGCGGGGCAGAGCGGCGGCGTGGGACTGCAGGTGGAATATTGTCAAGGTCAGAGGTCTCAGTGGACTCCTGGGCCGGCGCGGACTCCTGGGTCGGAGGCTGAATAGGCTCTCGTTGGGGCTCGGGAGTGGGTTCCGGGGTGGGCTCCTGGGTTGGCTCCTGGGTTGGCTCCTGGGTTGGCTCCTGGGTTGGCTCGACAGGTTCTGTCGCTGTGGATGGGATGTCTGCAATAGGGCCGGCACCGGCTACTTCGACGTCACTGGAACCTTCCTCTGGAATAACATCCTTAGAAACATCCTTGTTTACAGCAGGCGCTTGTTCCTCCGCAGTTTCTTGGGTGACAGGTGAGACGGCTTGGGCTTCTTTGGCCTCGGATTGCTCAACGCGGGCGCGCTTGCCCTTCATGCGCCACAGGAAAAACTTGGGAATCGTGACCTTGCTCTCGCCCTTGTTCTTAGTCGTATCTGTGATCGTTAACAAAAGAATCTCACCGAGACATAAGAAGGCAACGTACCCTTGTCTTGCTTCTCCAGTTCCCTCAACTCAGATTCACGTTGACGTTCCACAGCAGCGTGTCTCTGTCTCTCTTCAGCATCTAAACGGACCTCGACGTCGTGAGCTCGCTGCTGCTCGGCATTCTCAGTGATTTCATCCAGTGCAGGCTGCAGTCGTGATCGAGCAACGGCTTCGATGTCAGCATAATCCATGTACTGCTGACTACCGATCTGGACTCGGTCACCCTGGTGGGTAGCAGACTCAAAGGCTTCAGCCTCCCGGCGTACACGCTCCTGCGCAACCTCATCCCAACCCTTTTGCACCGAAGGCGGGGCTCGGCCAGTATTGGCATACACCCGCGCCTCCATATCCTGGAGAGTCTGATCAACGTTCCGGCGAGCAGCCTGCATCAGCATCTCACGGTCTTTGGTCCTGCGATCGTCGACCCGGTTCAACTTGGTACGTAGACCGGCCATCTGGGTGCGGATTTGGCGCGATTGCTCGGCGTCAATCTGCGATGCATCGGCGTCGCTCGACGTTCGTTTACGACGACTGAGACGTGATCGCTGCGGCTGCGGCGCTGTGCCATAGTACTGTTGATACTCCGCGTTCTCGTCCTGCATCCGAGCCAGCTTTTCGGTAGCGCGCTTTTGCGCGGCCTCTTGAAGAGCAATTGCCCGTCGGACTGCTGACCCGTCGGCCGTGGAAACGGTCTTGCGATAGCCCAGCTGGCTCTGACCCTTTTGGGCCGCGACGACGGCGGGAGCCGAGCCCCCAGGCTCCTTGGCATCAGTGACTTTGTACATATCCTTTGCCATTGACAAAGCCGCGGCGCGCAACGAGTTCCTGTAGTTTTGCTCGTCGACCTCGGGTTGAACGGGCGGAGCCGCGGTGTAAAGCTTCGCGTTGGTATTGGCAATGTGGTGGATTCGGCTGGCCTCCATAGCGCCGTCCAGGTGGTCTAGTGGCGCATCTTCCTCGACCCGAACATGTCGGGACGCGCCTGCAGCAGATAAGGCATAAGACGTATCAGACGGGACCCCTTGATCACTGGGCACCGAGTCGGCTCTCTTGCGGGAAGTGGTGTAGGCGCCAGTTGCGGCCTGGAGGGCCTTTTCCTTGGGGTGGCCGCCGACCGCAATGTGGTTGTACCGATCGACGGAAGAACCACGCTTGTGGATGGGGGCCGGAGCTTGGGCCGCGGCCCGATGTTCGCGAACTGCAAGCAGCGCAGCCCCCAAACCTTCTGCACTGTATGCAGTGGATGGCTGGGGTTGTTGAGGCGGTGTAAAGTCCTTGACACACAAAGCCGCCTTTTCGGCCGCGGGCATTCTGGTCGGGGGCTGCCATACTTCGACCGGTTTGCGATTAGCGTGCGCGAGGGCGGAGGCGGCCGAGGCGTGGCTGAGATTAGGGGTTCGGGCTAGTCGAGCGTCAGGGTCCCACCCCTTGTTCAGGGGACAGTGAGGACTCACCGAAGGTATTTCCCGTCGAAGCACGAGTAGACGCCCCGCGTTCTGGGTGAGTTACGTAGAGGGCAGCAGTTGCGGCTGATCCAAAGTTCCAGGTTAGTGGTTCATGATTTTCACGGTGCGTGGGACGCGGATGCGACGATCAGGAATTTTTTTCGACTCACCATCATCTGCTAAACGGGACCTGCCCGCAGGCATCTGCGCGGTCGCCATAATTCAAACGATATATGAGACGTCAAACTCCAGCGATGGGGAACCATACTAATATCATTAAGCGAAAGCTAGGAGGTCCGGAAGCTTCTTTCATCCCCGTGACGTCGGCTGCAACGGAAGATCGGCGTAGTGAGCGCCATTGCATCATACACTGGATTTCTCGATCGATGAATCAGGAGTTTGCAACTAGTGAAGTGGATCGTCCATTGGCGTCCGCTTTCAGCCATCCCGTTGGACGGTGACGTGGGGACTTGGCCCTTTTTTTCTTTTTCTGCGCCTAATACGACTAGTGAGGTACTATGTTCTTCACGAACTCTGATCTACATGGTGATCCTCCACGTTCTGTGATTGGGATCTTCGGATTGAGTCTACAGTAGAGTGTTCATAATTATTAGTAGTCACTATTCTCATGGAGTTAACTTCAGTTACGGAGAAATTCGGGATTCTCTCGTGATTATCCATGGATATGAAGAGGTACCTCTTAGCGGAGATGGAGCATCTCGAGGATGTCATGACGCGCGAAAAACGACCGGTTCCATTTCCCGAAGATGTCTGTAACAGGGGTGAGCGTCGAACACGATCAATGCGGGTAGACTCGTACACATGGGGATACTTAACAGGCAGATCCCCACTTGGATACTACCAAGGATAACCATGGTATGCTTAATGCCCCCGTGGGAGAACCAGTCGTACGCATAGAACGTCAGGACAAAGCTAAACATGTTCTTAAAAACGAGCATGCAGGTAAAGGCCTCGACGGCCATCTCGCCTAATCCAGTTAGCCCTGCGTTGCCCAGGCGTGAGTTGGCACTTACGATGGGCATCGACGATGTAGAGCGAGGCAGCAACGGCCCCCATCACCATGCCGACAATCAAGAATGCGAAAAAGACATCGGGCAGCAACCAGCCATAGCGCGTCACGTCGTTAGCAGTCCAACCAAACCCGTAGAGGCCAATGCCACAGAACAGAAGCTGGAAGATCACGAGCAAAATCCGGAACTCGGGCTCATACTTGCCGTGGTTGAGTCGAATCATCACCTTGTTCATGGAGTCGGAAAGTAACCCGGACAGAATGAGACCCACAATGGAGCCGATGAAGGCACCCGTGTACAGGTATCCGGTCTTGTCTTCCTCGAACCACAGTGGCGGCCCGAGAAAGACGATTGCCAGGACCACGCCGAAGAAGACGGCCCAGCCGATCACAATGCCCTGAATGAGGCATGCCTGGTCCCTGTGAGCGCTTGATCTCGTTGGCTAATAGACCCACTTACCCAAAGAATGCCCGGGTGGAAGAACAGCGGGAATGGCCGAAGGAGCAGCTTGAAGAAGCTCTCATCCGTCTTTCGTCCATTGAACAGCCGAAGCGACTTCACAAAGGAATCCTTCTCTGGTATCGGCATCGCCGTCTCAGCGGTATTAGAGCCCGGTCTTAACTCCTTCGTCTCATCGACAACACCAAGCGATGTATGAGACTCGCTCGACTCGCCCTGCCCGTCACTGCAGGTGCGTCTAAAGTCCGTATTGAGATACTCAGCACGCCGGAATGCGGTTTCTGGCACAAAAAAGAACATGAGCGGAAGCGAAGCCCCCAGGAAAATCGCGACAAAGTAAAACGACCACTGCCAGCCCATCGTTTTGGTGATCTTCCCCACCACCACCGGAGTCAAGAAAGCTGCTCCGAATAGCGCAACGTTTGATATGGCCATGCGTTTACCTCGTTCCTGGATCTGTTAGCTTCGAATCACACTGGAGCGCAGCCCGACTCACATGAACGAAGTAAAGATCTCCCACACAGGCATTCACTAGCGCTTCGAACGGTGCCAGCGCAACACCCTGGAAGACTCGTGCCCATATCAGACTATTCGTGTTCTTGCCGCTCGCCCCCGCCCAGGCACAGCTGGCGATCATGAGCACATGACCGAGCAGGAACAGATGCCGTTTGCCCCAGACTCGAGCCGTGGGCACGATCAGAATGCCCGCAACACCAACACCACACAGGTGATACCCGGTCAGCAATGCCGCGGCGGTGAACGTGATTTCCTCGTAATCAGCGATGGTGACGGTGTTCGCGGCCAATATGGAAGTGAGGGTGGTGCAGAGGACGGTCACGAAAGATAGAATGGCGAGAATGAGGTCGCGACGCCATAATGGCCAGTTCTAGATGACGCTTTAGCTTTGGGGGCTTAGCTGCGGTCTCCGAAACGTACTAATGGGTCATTGGGGTCGTCGCTCGGTTGCGGCACGAGGATTGTAGGCTGCGGGCCTGATGCGTCGCATTTGAGGTCTCGAGTGGGCTGGTTGTTGGACTCGTAGATGTCACAGGTGCCTGTTGCTGTCAGATGGTTATCTTGGCTTTCGGGGAAGGTCTTCCACTTGCCTGGAACCTGCGCCAGGTGCTTGTCTTCCAGGACTCCAAGACCCATGCTGTAGGTCTTGGATTGTCGGTCTTGGCAACGGTGAAGAGGTGAGGGTCGTTAGAGTTGAAAGACCATGGCCCCGGGGGAACTAGTAATTATCAAGCATGCACTATGCAGCCCGCAGCACACAGCACACCAAACGCAGTAATGATGCGCCAATAGGAGCCAATGGAAAATTGGGCTCTCAGGGCCTCGGTTTATAATCTTTTAAGGGCCGAAAGTGAATCCAGGTACAGAATACTCCGCACGGTGTCACTGTTCGTGGGTTGTTGACGGAGCACAATATGAAGAGTATCCAATTGGATAGATCCAACTCGTCAAAACCGGGAACTGGGCGGGGAAGCTGCGTCTGGGGGATCGGCACTCTGGACCGAGGCGTCACGTTCATGGTCTCATACATCAATTGATACACCAATGAGGCCAGTGGAGGCGAGGGAGCTCATCCACTGTGGAGATTGGGCCCTGGCTAACCTGTACCTACTGCTGCAGACTAGTCTCGTAAGTGCGCATTGGAATAGTGGGTGTGTGTAACGAAATATCACGCAGTGAGAAAGGTAATACAGTAGTGGTGCATTAACGCCACAGCCCCAAGTAAACATGCCACTGATGATAAGCTTGTAGAGGTTGCGCTGCGTGAGACCTGCGGGCTTTCCCTAGTGAGTCCAGGGAAACTCTCTTGCTTCTTTCCGCAGCGGGGGTTCTTACTCCTTCATCTCCTCAACTGACACAATGAAGTTGACCGCCCTCTTGACTCTGTCCACGCTGCTAGCTACTGCCTTGGCTCAAGGTCTAGGTGATCTGCCAGATTGCTCGGTAAGAGAGAATCTTCCAAGCCTTAGTAAAGAACGACGATGCTAATCCATAAACAGAAAGACTGTGCCACAGGTGCCATTCCCAAGTCATGTGGCATTGATATCAAGTGCATTTGTGAAGCCAAATCTTTCTTAAGCGATGTCTCATGCTGCGTGGCCGACAAATGCTCCAAGGAAGACCAGGACAGTACGTGGTTCTTCACTCAACGTATCAGCGTGTCACAGCTAACACTCAATAGCAACCCTGAAGGTCGCGAGATCCCTCTGCGCGCGCGGTGGGGTGACCGATCTCCCCTCGTCGGTGACCTGCTCAACCGGTGCCGGCTCATCATCTACATCCACCGGCTCTAGTTCCACCGAGACTGCAGCCAGCACTGGAACTGAGGCTTCGGCTGCCACTCAGACGGGTTCGACGACTACCGGCAGCACTTCGACCACAGATAGCGCTTCGTCCTCTACCTCTGCTTCGTCTTCTGCCGCTGCATCGACGAGCACTGGTGCCGCAGTCATCACTCGCCAGGACTCTTCGCTGGTCGCCGCTGCCGGAGCTGCTGCCGCGTTCGCGATGCTCATCTAGGTGCGTTGATGGGAAACATGAGTCGGGGAAATTGGTGAGGTGGATGATTATTTCTAGCTTCGCCATCGAGGCATGGCCATTGAATGTGACGACGAAATGATCGATATGATATGCTCCCTACCTGTATTGTTCCTTATTGTTACTGCCAGAAGGAACCAGCTACACGGAACAAGATGACAAGCAACGTATAGCATTTCCAGAGGTGGATGTCTGATAATAATAATACAGGTCAGGGAATGAGAATCGACCAATTACTCCATGTTGCGAGTGTCTTCCAGCAGCTTGGTCAGGCGCTCCTGTCGCTCCTGGCGAAGGGTAGAGAAGGCCTATTAAGGCAATTAGCATGTTTCCACCCCGGTTGTGCGCGCAGTACTTACCCAGAACCAAAACATCATCTCCAGGAAAGCGAAGGTAAAAACGACCCGATTTCTCAATAGGTCCAATCCTCCAAGCGCAGCTGCACTAGTATAGGCCGAAACTCCGTCCATGCGGCCCTGGTAAATGAAAAAGGCAAGACCGGCGTAAACCGCAAATTTGCAGCCCGCGACAGCAATCCAAACGGCCCAGTACACCGTCAATGACTTGGTGATGTATTCCGGCAAGTTGTGGAGGACTTGAAGGTCCTCGGCAGGGAGGTTTCCGTTTCTTAGTGGTCGGATGTAGGGCAGTGCCTCGTCGAGGGCCTCGTGGAAGGGGATGTTGGATAGTAGGACGAGGTCGATCAAGGATTCGACGAAGAGCAGCACCGCGCAAAAAGTGAAGGGGGATTGCTGGGGGCTTGATATAGATGGGAAATCCTGTTTCGCGTCAGTGCTATGGCTAATTCAAATGGGAAGAGAGCGCGTACGATCTTCAATGCCTCGCCCATCATAAAGACCATGTCGGAGTCGACGATCATCTCCGGGTTTTTAATCAGGTAGCCTGCTATCACGAGCAGGAGCACAGCGTGCACCTGGATAAGGGTTTTGGATGACACGAGAACCATTGTGCAATTTTCTCAGGAATTGTTGACAGTGACAAGGGGAAGGGACAAGTTGACAAAGTGGTCGCACATAAAAGGCTGGTCCGAGTGTTTTGTCTGTGGGGAAGAGCTTCGAGGTTCCCCCCACCACATTTCGGTCGCAATACAACATACCTACTACTCGCTCTCTGCTGAGCTACTTAGCTCTACAATGACTACCCCGGAAGCGTCGTTCACTACAGAGCGCCATGTCAAATACTACCTCCGCTGTCTAAAGACCTTCCTCCCATCCGCATACACCTCCAATGACTCCAATCGAATGCTCCTGGCCTACCTGACGCTCTCCGGTCTAGATGTCCTAGGTGTACTAGAAACCAAAACAACGCCGGAAGAACGATCAAGCTACATCAACTGGCTATACCACTGTCAAGTGCCGACGGGCGGATTCCGCGGGTTCCCAGGGACGGACTTTGGATCTGACAGGCGGAATAAAGACAACGAAGCTTGGGATCCGGCCAATGTTCCCGCGACGTTCTTCGCGCTGGTGAATCTTCTCGTGCTTGGAGATGACTTGTCGCGCGTCAAGCGAAAGGAGTGTCTGGAGTGGCTTCCCAGTGTCCAGCGCAACGATGGGAGCTTCGGAGAACTTGTCGGCCCGGACGGCAGCTTGGGCGGTGCTCGAGACCTAAGATATTGTTGTTGTGCTGCGGGAATACGGTTTATCCTGCGTGGCAGAGGGGACGGGCTTGAGGACGTTCCTGATATTGATGTTGCGGGTTTGGTTTCTTTTATTGAGGCTTGCCAAGTGGGTGTTTGTCTTTGGGATGACAGTTTTGACGTACTGACATGAGTAGACTTACGATGGCGGTATGGCAGAATCCCCGTTCTGTGAATCGCATAGTATGTACCTCCTTCCCCCTTACTGAATCTTCTAACAGGAGATAGGCGGACATACTTATTGTGCGATTGGTGCTTTGGACTTCCTGCGCAGGTCCTCCCAAGACTTACAAACGCTGCCGCTTCTGTCAGCTGGATCGCGGCAATTCGAGGCGCTGACTACATGGTTGGCTTCAAGACAAACAGCCGAGATTGAAGAGCCCGAAGAGGATGACGAGGAAGAGCAACCTCGGAGCCTGAAGGATCCTCTCACCGATCAAATTAACGAACTGCCCGATATCGCACCCCTCGACGCGGACACAATAACATGTGCTGGGTTTAATGGTCGATGCAATAAATATGCAGACACCTGCTACTCGTTCTGGAACGGGGCAACGCTGGTGGTATGTGAATCTCCGCGGGATCGCTGTGAGCTGCTAACACATCCTTAGATGCTGAATCAATACGGCGTGGTCGACGAGGTTCGCAACCGTCGCTACCTTCTTGAAAAAACGCAACACCTCGTGGGTGGCTTTGGCAAAGGGCCCGGGGATCCTCCTGGTAAGATGCACCGTGCCACTATTCCGCAATGCCACTGACCTACTTAGACCTGCTCCACTCGTACTTCGGGATGGTCTCCTTGGCTTTCCAGGGTGAGGCGGGACTAAACGCTGTTGATCCCGCGATGGGTACCACTGAACGAACAGTACGACATCTTAAGTCGCTGCCTTGGCAGTGAAGTATATATACACCATGCATATATGATGACGGTGGTTTCAGCCATTCCTCTCATTGGCCGTTGTGAGCGAACATCAGCCAATGGGTGCAGCCGATTAAATTAGGCGGGCGCGGTACATCGTACTGTACATTGTAAAAGTAAGGGATTCGTCGAGACTCAGCGAATGTAAAGCAGCCTGGAAATGCAGAGGGCTGAAAGAACATGGGGTGAGGATGTGGCGATCTTCCTTGATTCAAACTGATCAGCGTAAGAAAGCAGAAAAAAAGACCCCAAGTCACAACGTGCAAGTGTCCAGGGGCTCGGGCAATATAAATGAAATCTTAGTCTATACTCTAGCGGCAGTGGAAGAGAAGTGTACCAACAGGACGGAGAGCAGAAGTAATTCGAGTAAAAATAGAAGAAAAGGAGAGCCGTTTCTCCACACGGTCCACGTTCCCGTTGACGTCTTGGGAACTTTGTATGCGACTTTCTTCTTCACTTCTTCCCCTACCGCGACAACCCCCCTATACCCGATACCCTCGTACTGTCTGCCAATCCCGTCTCCCTCTGCCCTGTTGAATGGCACCCGCTCCAACCACTCGTCCCCGACCCTTAACGCGCAGAGGCTTCCCCGAACCCTGGCGACAGATCACACATGCCGCCCCGAACGAGAGCGGGGGTTCAAAGCCAGAAGCAGAAGGAAAAGGTGAGCAATACAGTCTCTCTGGGTCTCAAGATCCACGTCAGCCGGGCTAACGCGACCCCTGCAGCTTGCCAGCTCCTACAATGAACTCCTTGAGTGCGTCCCTGTCTTCCCGGTCTTGACGTGCCCGTTGCGCTAACATATGGCCGCAGAGAGTTCTCGTCCAAAGATCTCCGGAGTGTCGGCAATTACACCCTAGGAAGACTCATTGGAAAGGGCTCCTTTGGCAAGGTCTACCTTGCGTCGCACAAGCTCACCAATGGCTCGAAGGTACGATGCGGAATCATGAAGGGTCGAACGGTACTGATACTCGACAGGTGGTGCTCAAGTCGTCCAGCAAGGAGGATACCAATCTCGTCCGCGAAATCCACCACCATCGCCAATTCCTTCACCCCCATATCGCACGACTGTACGAGGTGGTGGTGACCGAGAGTCTGGTCTGGCTGGTGCTGGAGTATTGCCCTGGTAAGTGGCATGCATATACAAGGACGGAGCCATTGCTGACAGTCTCTTTAGGCGACGAACTGTACAACTACCTCCTCCGCCATGGTCCATTATCAGTTGACAAGGTCAAACGGATATTTACACAATTGGTGGGAGCAGTCGCTTACGTCCACAGCAAGTCGTGTGTGCATCGCGACTTGAAACTCGAGAATATTCTGCTGGATAAGCAGGAAAACGTCAAGCTGTGCGACTTCGGCTTCACGCGCGAATATGAAGGGAAGGCCAGCTACCTCCAGACATTTTGTGGGACGATATGCTATAGTGCGCCGGAGATGCTGAAAGGAGAGAAGTACGCCGGTGAAAAAGTGGACGTGTGGAGCCTGGGCATCATTCTCTATGCGCTTCTGGCTGGCGAACTGCCGTACGACGACGACGACGATCAAGTCACCAAACGACGCATCTTGTCGGAAGAGCCAACATTCAACGACAAATTCACAGAGGATGCCAAGGCGTTGATCAATCTGCTGCTGTCTAAACGCCCATTGATTAGGCCGAGCTTAGATGAAATCCTGGCGCATCCTTTTCTCTCGGAGCATGCTCCTGAACAGCTTGCGATCCTCAAAATTCCAAGACCTTCACCATTCACAACGCCGTTGGAAAAGACAACTCTGCAGCGAATGAAGAGTGCAGGTGTTAACATTGACGAGGTTATCGAGAACGTATTGGCTCAGCGATGCGACCCGCTAGCCGGCTGGTGGGCTCTCCTGATTGAGAAAGAGCAGCGAAAGGAACAAAAGAGAGAACGGAAGCGTCGCGAACGGGAGGTCGAAGCCAAGAACCTGCGCCGATTGAGTGCTGCAAGCAGTCGTTTGGAGAAACGGTCATCCGCTCTGATGGAAGTGGAGGAGGAAGGTCAGAGCTCAGAATTACAGAATCGTGGAAGACGGGATAGAAGAAGCTTACCTTCTCAATTGGCAGTGCCGGAACTTCCTGCGCTCCCCGAACCGCTGCCCACCTTCCCAGTTGAGGCGACTACGCCTCCGTTGCCGATTGACAAAGATTCCATCCGATCCCACGGCTCGTCGCGACGCCGCCCAATTCCTCCACCGAAAGACCGGCGGCGATCCCGGCCCAGCATGCTGCATGTGAGCGCATCACAGCCGGAGTTGACACAGCATAATGGTATTTTCCGACGTCGCACGAGTCGCCGCCACAATTACCCGATACTCAGCCAACTAGCATCGCTCAAGCACTGGTTTGTCGAGTCTGCAAAGCGAGCGCGTTCACCTCATGCCAAGTCCACGGGCTCGCGCAAGTTTCTCTCGGAGAAGCTGAGCCCGGCAAAGAGCCAGGAGAATGGAAAGAAACCTGCAACATCCTCACCGGCAAGCGAGATTGCAGGTGAGGATGTTCAGACACCGACTCAGACCAATCGGTTTTCGACCGCAAGCAGTCTTGCACCCAGCAGTGCTTCCTATCGCCAGAATCGCCACTCATATCCTCGTCAGCCCCGGGCACTGAACACTAGCCATGCCAGTCATCGCAATTCCCTCTCGCCATCGCCAATCACCCCGCGCGGATCCTATAGGCGATCGTCAGCCGGACTACGAGGACGCAAATCCACTTCTTCCTCAGTTTCCTCAATCCGCAGCATCCACCACACTCGCGCCCATTCGAAAGCATCTTCCATCTCCTCCAACAGCGTAGATACTATCTCGACACCCACCGCGAGGTCATCCAGGTCGCCTCATTCATCTATCAAGGTCCTGCCAACTACACCGGGATCCTCTGCCCGATTCCCCAGCAATATCCGATTGGTCCGAGGACCGGGTGGTACGCCGCGCGAGGTTGTTGACCGGTCAGGCTCAATGTCGACATCCTTTAATGAGGCAGCGCCAGCGCCTCTGCTGTACTCGCCCTCTTCAAGCCTGGTCTTTGCGCGTCGGAAAAGATCCGCCTTCAAGGGACCCATGCTACACACGAGTAATCTGATGGTTTCCAATGGCACGGCCAGCTCCCCAATCGCTGGCCAGCCAGTGAACCCCAGTGACTCCGATGTGTCCGTCGGGCGACCTGTCGCGCGCAAAAGCCAGATCATTGAAGAGGAAGAGGACGACGACGGCGTCGAGGAAGACCTCGATGAAGTCGATGAAGTCGACGAATTCGACGACCCCGGCACACCCGGCACACCCGGCGACATGGTGATTTCAGACGATCAAAACGACACCACCCCAAAAGTCTCGGTCGAGTTGGATTCACCCAGCCGTACACCCTTCGCTCCCGTCCCCAACCTCGAAACCAGCCCTCTTCGGCCTCCCCGTTCGTCTTCTCTGCGCTCTCCAGACAAATCTGGCTGATACCCCCCCTTCGCTTTTGCATTAGATTTGTTTTGTCTCCACGATCTCCCTCACATTAGACGATAGAACCCTTATACCCCCACACTTACACAGCGTTTTCTTGCGTTCTCTTTTCTACCCTTTCCCTTGCCGTTGTATGTATACTCTGCGCTCCGCTTCAGCGCTACTACCCTGTCTACTTTTCTTTTTCATGATTTCTCGCGCCTACGCCTTTTGCCCTACGCACACATCCCCTAGATTACCGTTCGATCATCTTATTCGCAACTGAACACTTGCATAATGAAATTGCACCATTAATACTTCTATACCCATCCTTGTCTTGCTTTCTTTGGTCTTCGTTCCTGTTTTAGTATCCGCAGCTGGTTCCGGTCGAGCTGATGTGGCTGGGCTCGCATTCAATATGTCTGCCAACTGTGGCTCCAGCACGGTTCCCTGGTCTGCCTTCAATCTCGTTTGCATGACAGCATAAGCCGATGGCCTGCCCAAATTGATGGGCCCTTTCACGATACGCGAGGGGTTCTTATGAGTGCATAATAAAAGGGGACTGTTCATTATCACGGATAGACCCTTGGTGGTTCCAAAAGTTGGTTTGGGCTTCCAAGATTGTATCACAATTGATCATGTGTGTGTATATATTCTACTGGGGAAGTTCCAATGTAATGCTTTGCTTTATGCAGGTTTAAACATGGAAGTATGCCATGCGTGAACCCAAGGGAATTAGAGAAAGTAAACGTCAAATCGTCATTGCTAAAGATCATTATCCAAGCCAGCACTTCAGCCCTGGAGTGCAGGCTTCAGCCATTACCACAACCCTGAAACAGAACCTTGAAAACCATCGAACGCCCAAAGCCATTCTCACTCCACGTGTACGGCGGAGTTCTTATTAGTTGTATCGGTAGCACCCATCGCTTCCTCGTCCTTAGAGGTAGCCTCGATGCCCACGGTACTTTCTCCAACCTTATCCATCACAGTAGTGTACGCGGGCACAAAGTTCACAGCGACGGCATAGGTCCACGCAACGACCATGAACTAGAATCACATCAGCCCATACCCCCGAAAGGCAATCATAAAAGGTACATACCATAGTAGGCACGATGAATGCGAACCCAGTGTTGTTACGCATGTCAGCAACACGTCCCAGAATTGGTGGCACAACGGCACCTCCACAAACACCACCGACGATGAAGCCCGAACCACGCTTGTAATGCCGTCCCAAACCACGAATACCCAGAGCCATAATCGTGGGAAAACAAACAGACTCAAAGAACAATGTCAAGAAGAGCATGGCAATGCCCGACTGCTTGGTCTGTGTCACCGAGGCAGCCAGGAACGCCACCGTGCACGACAGATACACCAAGAAAACCCAGCGAGCCTTGACGTACTTCATAATCCCCGAGCCGAGGAATCGTCCCACCGCAAAAGCACCCTGTGCGCCAGCAAGGTATTTTGCGCCTGTGGCACTACTCGTCCCAGGCCAGGTCTCCGTAGCATAGTTGATGAAGTAGCCCGCGATAGCGACTGTGCCAGTTAGCAAAAGTATCGACAGACAGACAGAAATCACAACATACCCTGAGCTCCAGTGTAAGTGAATTGGGCCAGCGTGGCATGGAACAGCTTGTACTGTTTCCAAAAGGGCTGGTCCTGCTCATTGACATGCGTCTGGGCCACCTGGAACGCCATGTCTTCATCGGTCACCTCGGGAATATTGGAGATGAAGAACACGCCCGCAAGACAGAAGACAAAGATCCCAATTGCTAGATATACCCATTGGACACTCTGCAGGGCAGATACATCATCCGAGGTCTTGTTGAAGAAGGCATACGAACCAAGCACAGGGCCCACGACGGTGCCGATAGCATTAAACGCTTGAGCAAAATTGATTCGAATCTCGGAATACCGAGGGGGTCCACAGACTACCGTCGTCAGCTGGGGCAGTCATACAGGATCATGGAAACGCAACATACCAGTTAAGTAAGGGTTAGCAGCGGTTTCCAGCGATCCCAACCCCGAGCCAATGACAAAGGTTGCACCGCAGAAGCCACCGAAGGAGCGATTCAGCCCTGCCGGCCACATGCACAGGGCACCAATCCCATACAGCACCAGGCCGAAAATAAAGACGGTTTTGTAGCCATAGTGGCGCAGCATCCAATTCGCATATCCCAGCGACGCAAGTGGGTAGGCTCTGTTTCTGTCAGGGCAGGTCTGTTTTTTGGGGGAATTCTCAACATACCCGAAATAAGCGGCCTGGAGACCGGAGGAACGAGCTCGGTCAATGTGGAGGGTGTTCTGGAAGTGTTTGTTTAGAGTATCCAGGAGCCCATAGGCGAAGCCCTATGCGGGGTCAGTTGAGAGGGTCACGGCCCCGGACGGGAACGGCGTACCCAGAGGAAGAATAAGATGGTGACCAAAGTCAAAGGCCATAGACTCTGTCGTAATGTAAGGGTTGCAGCGGAGGTGGTCTGGCGATTGTCGACTCGTAAGCCTGAGCGGCTTTTGAAGAACTCTTTGACACCCATTGTGAATAGTCCGAAGGGGAAGAGGGGAAGAGAAGCAAGTATAAATAAGAGAAAAGGGTTTGGAATGTCTCCGCAAAACTCCACACTCCCCAGTCCGGGGAAAAGACAGCGGATCCCTGGGGAACGCAGGTCCAATCACGGACTAAGTCCGAACAACCAAGGATCGTGGCGTCAGGGTTGCATGGCTTTCAGCCTATATTCGAACGGGACGCCATTCCGGACTCCTGTGCGCTGTTTGCCTTACATCGCATACAGTTCTCTCTATAGTCAACCATGGACATCTAAGCACCCCCGGCTTCCTGTGGCTGGGAATCAACGGGATCATTAGTCGGCTAGACTTTCCACTCGTGCCCAGGGGAGCGAGCCAGGGGTATTGCACTACGTTGCGCGAGACTAGACGTGCATAGACTTTAGGAACAAGAAGTCCTCGAGTCAGGTAGGACTGCTGTGTAAACACAGTACGGGAGCCAATCGCATCAAACTTCATTCATCTATGGGCATGATGGCATGTCATAGGCCACTCACATCATGACCTCGGACACGATCTATCTATTCACATCTCCCGAGAGCGGGGGAATATGGCACATTTAAGCTTTTGCTGGCTCTTTAAGCCCGCTTGGGCTTGCCGGCCGAGCCGTTCTGGGCCGGGTTGACGGCCTTGGTGTTGTAGAGACGGCGCTCGATGAGCTTGAGGACCTCGTCAATGAGACTAGAAAAGTTAGTTTCGATCGTACGAAAGGGCGGGAGAGAAAACTTACATCACAGGCGCACTAATCACAAGCACGGCCTGCCACTCGTTCCAGTCCAAAGGCAGAATAGAGAACAGGTTCTGCAGGAAGGGGATATACAGAATAGCGAAGTGGAGAGCCATGGAGAGAGTGATGGCGTAGATGAGCATGGGGTTGTTGCCCAGGAAGAAAGTCAGGAGGGACTCGCTAGAGGACAGGGCGTTCATGGCGTTCAGCATCTCGATCACCACAAGGATGGAGAGAGAGACAGTGGAGGCGGACTTGGCCATGTCATTGCTGAACATCTCACATCCAATCTCGGGGAACTGAGAGGAGCACTTGTGGAAGTTGGCCTAGAGTATGTAAGTTTGAATTCTTGAAGCACAGGAGAGAAATGATCTTACCAGCTGGGAGAAAGAGATGTGGGGTCCCTCGGAGTTGTAGACGAACCACCAGACGTAACCAAAGACAGTGGCACCACCGACGTAGATACCAATCACCATGTAGCGGAACAACAACCAGCCGCCAACAAGAGCCTCATCACGAAGGCGGGGAGGGCGCTTCATGACATCGTGGTCGGGAGGGTTGAAAGACAGAGCGGTGGCGGGAAGACCGTCGGTGACGAGGTTAACCCACAAAAGCTGCACAGGAACGAGAGCCTCGGGCATACCAAGGGCAGCAGTCAGGAAGATGGACACGACCTCACCAATGTTGGAGGAGATCAGGTAGCGAATGAACTGTTGAGTGTTGCTGTAGATGGAGCGACCCTCTTCAATGGCAACAGTAATGGTAGCGAAGTTGTCGTCGGCCAGAACCATGTCAGCGGCCATCTTGGCCACATCAGTTCCAGTACCCATGGCAACACCAATGTCGGACTTCTTGAGAGCGGGGGCATCGTTGACACCGTCACCGGTCATGGCAACGACGTGGTTCAGGGACTGAAGGAGATCAACCAGCTTGGACTTGTGGCTAGGCTCAGTGCGCGAGAAGAGAGAGGCAGTCTGGACAGCCTTCATCTTCTCACCTTCACTGAGGTTATCGAATTCACGGCCAGTAAAGCTCTTGCCAGTCAGATCCTCGTTGGCGCCGAAGACACCGATGGAGCGACAGATAGACTCCGCAGTGGCGGGGTTGTCACCGGTGATGACAATAACACGGATACCGGCATCGTGGCACTTCTTGATAGAGTTGGCGACCTCGACACGAGGGGGGTCCAACATTCCAACGAGACCAATAAGAGTCATGTTCTGTTCAAGCTTGCCGTAGTCCTCGGTGGAAGAGGCGCTCTTCAGCAGGGGGTTACCAGAGATGCCGTTGACGCTTGCGATAGCCATGACGCGGAGACCGCGGTTTCCAAATTCAACAACCTCCTCGGAGAGAAGCTTCAGGTGGTTCTTGGTGACAGGGACGCGAGATCCATCAGAGCCTTGGATGACGTGAGAGCAACGATCGAAGATACTTTCGGGGGCACCCTTGACGAGCAGCTTCTGATCCTGACCCTCGCCAACGAGGACGGACATGCTCTTGCGGTCGCGGGAGAATTCATAGGTGGCCTTCAGGGGGAGACGAGACTCATAGTGAGCGCTGGCGGCGTGCAATCTTTCAGAGGCAGGGAGGCTGTAGAGCTTCTGGTTCAAAGCAGAGTCGTTGGTTCCAATCTTCTCGACCAGAGCGCGCAAGGCGCCCTCAGTAGGCTCACCAATGCTGGAGAAAGCTCCACTCTTGGCGTCGTGTGCGAGGGTAGCGGCGTTACAGAGAGCAGTGACCTCGGCAAGCTGTCCGATGGTGGAAGACGAGACGGCCAGGTTCTCAACGACCTTTCCGTTGCGAGAGAGCTTGCCCTGGGGAGTGAAAGTGGTACCTTCGACATCAATTTCCTCGAAACCAGTGCCGGAGTTGGATAGATAGACAATCTTCTCGACACTCATCTGGTTAGTGGTGAGGGTTCCGGTCTTGTCGGAGCAGATCACGCTGCAGCTACCAAGAGTTTCGACGGAGGGAAGGGACCGGACCACGGCGTTCTTCTGGGCCATCTTGCGGGTACCGAGGGCCAAACAGGTAGTGATGACCACCGCCAGACCTTCAGGAATAGCAGCAACACCGAGGGAGACTGCGATCTTCAGATAGTAGATAGCACCCTTGGTCCAGCCACCGAACGCAGGGTCGTTGAAGTTCTCATAGTTGATAACCCAGACCAGGATGCAGATAACAGTGATGACCTTGGCAAGCATGTCACCGAAGTCATTGATCTTCTTCTTCAGGGGAGTGGGCTCGGAGATCTGCGCAGTAATGCTCTCGTGGATGTCACCAATAGCAGTCGAGCTACCGGTCAGCACAACAAGAGCGGACGCATGACCGTTCACCACAGTGGTTCCAGAGAAAAGCATGTTGACCTGATCCTGCTTGACAGCTCGGTTGTCCTTGATAGCTCCAGTATCCTTTGCGACACTCTCACTCTCACCGGTCAGGATAGCCTGGTCGACGCGGAAGCTGTTGCTGTGGATGGCGAGCAGTCGGCAGTCGGCAGGGACACGGTCACCCACCGCAATCTGGATCACATCTCCGGGAACCAGGTCCTCGGCCTTGACCTTGGTAACCTTTCCATTACGGATAGCCTTGGCCTCGTTGGCCGAATATTCCTGAAGAGCGGAGATAGCCTTTTCGGCGCTGCTTTCCTGGGTCACTCCGACCACGGCGTTGAGGATGAGGATGGTGAGGATCTGTAACGATAACGCGGCATGGTCAGCACGACACACAGAGCAGGGAGAGACCTTGAACGTACAACGACGGGGTCGACGAACGCAGTCCAATCGTCGCCCTCTTCGAAGAGCGCGAGGACAAACGACAAGCCGGCCGAACCAAGTAAGATCAGCACCAATTGATCTTTGAATTGTTCCAAAATAAGCTCCCACATAGGGGTTGGGGGTTCCTCAGCAAGGGCTGGACCGCATATGTTAGTTATGGTTCCGTTGCCCTCCTGCAGCGAACTCACCGTTGGGGCCATGCTGTTGTCTGGCCTTGAGGACCGCGTCCTGGGATAGACCGGACTGCTCGGATACCTTGAAGTGCTCCAGAGCCTCCGCTGGGGAGCGGAGAAAAGCGTTCTCCATGATCTCTTAGGCCCTTAACGACAAAAGCGCACAATTGCTAGTGTCGCGAAGGTGGTAAACAAAAGCGGAAATGGGTGTTTAGATAGAAGACATAAATAACCTCCGGTGTCACCCAGAGAGAGAATTCAGAAAAATCCGAGAGGGTATAAGGACGAAGAAAAGGGAAAAAAGAGAACCGAAATGGGAGACCGAGGACTGGGGAAGTTGAACTCTCTCTCCACCAGCGGGCACAACGTGTTCTCATTGATTCCAAGGATTGAGTAAGCAGGGGCCACAGGGCTGAAGCGGGTGCCAAATCTCCGCTTCTCTGCGTCCCTGTTTGCTAGGGCCTACTTACTGCTATCGCCTACTCTGTCCCTTTTCCTTCCCTTTCTTCGGCATTCATGTTCCTATCTCTGTTTCTCCATGGTTTGGTCCGACAGAGGCTCAAGAATCGCACCTCATGGTCAATATCAGACTTGAGATGACCCCCAGGGCTTGATGGGGGGTCCTCTCTAGGCTCCATCGTTTGTGCCTATCAGAGGGCCCTGGTGGGTAACTTCCAAGCTTCCTATCTTGGCGAATGACTGCGGCAGACACCTGCACTGCGCGATCTTCTAAACTGACCCGGTTGAGCTGGGTCGGATGCCTACTACCCCTTTTGCTCTATGGGAGTGCCTACTATGCGAAGTGCAGCTTCACACATCCTCCAAGCCGGGGAATTCTAAGGGGATGCCCCCCTCGATCAGACCTAACCGTGGAAAGCATAGCAGAATCTCCCAAAACGCGCTAACATCGCCTTGCCTGTAGGGCTGACGCTAAGACAGGTGTCCATTGCATATTTATGATATCACTGGTCCATGGGCACATTAGTACTCCGTACATCTTTGTGCATTGTACTATAGTACAATGTACTTCACATCCCCTCGGCACTTCGGAGGAAAACTGTCAACCACATGGTGGTACTTTGCCTCCTTACGCCGGAGCTTCTTTAAGTATCTTGAGCCAGGGCCAACACGGAGGTCTTGGCTTGAGGCTTGAAAGTACTGTGCATATCAAGTGCAATCTAGCCAATCAATCTCAGGATGTAGATACATGTACTCAGAAATGATCAATCGGATTCTGGCGTCAGGAGTTAAGAACTTACGGTGACGGTGCGGGCTCTATTTTGGGCGTAAGTGTGTGAAGATCCCTTTCTCTCTAATTCGATTAATTTCTTTGGACGTCTCTCTCGTCTGCCGAAGCAGTACTGTACCTAGTACCTTAGTACTCTGTAGAAAGTCATAAAAAGAGAGGGCGCGATGCCAGGAGTTCCAGTAGTTCACCGATCTCGTGTCCAAGTCTCCGTGCTCCGTACCTTGGCAGCACGTTATACATGCTCTCCCGGAGGACAGAGTATACTCCTCAAAATCCATCGATCGGATTGTACTCCGTATCCCGGTTTATTATGTGAACTTGAAGATATCCATCCCATATCTCTGCCCACAGTATTCGTTTATCATTCATTTCAACAAAGTCCGCTTACGAGGCTAGCATGCGGCTGAGCTCTGCACAGGTACCCGTCTGGAAGGTTCTACTGATACTCCGTATGTCCGTACACATCAGGGTATTCAAATATAAAATTCACACCAGTTCTTCTCGCCCCTTGTAAGTCTCTGAAGGTCAAGCGACACATTCGTGTTTCAGCTCGGTCGCAGTACCGGCCGAAGGTTTTGGTACAGAGTACACGTCGACATGTTGACACGTTGGAGTTGTACGAAGCCCACGCAAGAGGCACACATCAAACACCTTTGATAGGCGTTCGATGAGTTTAGGAATTCAGCATTAAGTCACTTGTAATAATTTCAGTCAACTATACCTTACCCCGCCAAATAAATTACGCCGTAGGGGGGATCAGCCGTAAGGCCAATACTGGGCCGCAGTGCAAGTACCCTGGTACTTGTCAGAGTGGGACTGGTATAGGGGGAAATCAGGTACCGGGTACATGACAGCAGTGTATTATTGTTATGATCCAAATCCCCCCAAGTCGTCCCTTCACCTCTGGACCATCTCTCTCTTTCCCCCCCACTTGGTCTTCCCATCTTCCTTTCCTGCACCTACTTTCTATCTCCTTTTCCAAGTCCCAAATTCCACCCATTTCGATTCAAATTCATCATGGGCTCTGAGGTATGTGATGCTCCCCCTCTCACTGTGTTGTCACCGCCCATCGCAATCCCACATTCCCCCATCTTGAGGTTCCCCATCTGGAAATTCGATGAGATCTGGACTAACGACTATTCTTACAATGCAGCGCGAGAAGTACGACCGTCGCCTTCATCCGGGCATCCGTTACCCGAATAATACTGACCCCTCACCAGCAAGACGTTCCTCGCCCGCCTTTGCGAGCAGGCCGAGCGCTACGATGGTAAGTTACTCTGCGCCAGCATGGTTGGGCGCGCTCGCTGACGTGTCATTTCTCGGTTGATAGAGATGGTTACCTTCATGAAGGTTAGTTGCAATTCGTGCAGTCGGGCCACCAGAGTGTTCATGCTAATCGTCAAATAGGAAGTCGCCAACGTATGATACCGTCATCACCCGAATATCGGTCTGCCTGAACACATGATTGACCCTTCTCTAGATTGGCGGCGAACTCACTGTCGACGAGCGTAACCTTCTGTCCGTTGCCTACAAGAACGTGGTTGGCACCCGTCGTGCCTCCTGGCGCATCATCTCCTCCATCGAGCAGAAGGAGGAAACTAAGGGTACCGATGAGCACGTTGGCATCATTCGTGACTACCGTCAAAAGATCGAGACCGAGCTGGAGAAGGTCTGCCAGGATGTGCTCGACGTCCTCGATGAGGCTCTCATCCCCAAGGCCGAGACTGGCGAGTCCAAGGTCTTCTACTACAAGATGTGGGTTACATTCAGAACTTCGAGACTTCGGAAATCTGTAGCAGTGCTGACATCTATAACAGGAAGGGTGACTACCACCGTTACCTCGCCGAGTTCGCTTCTGGTCCTAAGCGCAAGGGTGCCGCCACTGCTGCCCACGAGGCTTACAAGGTAAATGATGCCCCTGTGATACCTGGATGAAACGGATCATTAACCGCGTGACAGAGCGCCACCGATGTTGCCCAGACCGAACTCACCCCCACTCACCCCATCCGCCTGGGTCTTGCCCTGAACTTCTCCGTCTTCTACTACGAGATCCTCAACTCCCCTGATCGCGCATGCCACCTTGCCAAGCAGGCATTCGACGACGCCATCGCCGAGCTTGACTCTCTCTCCGAGGAGAGCTACCGCGACAGCACTCTGATCATGCAGCTCCTGCGCGACAACCTCACTCTCTGGACCTCATCCGACGGCAACGACGGCGAGGCCCCCAAGGAGGACAAGCCTGAGGAGGAGGCCCAGGCCCCCGCCTCCGAGGCTGTTGCTCCTGCTGAGGAGAAGCCCGAGGAGTCCAAGCCTGTTGAGGCCGACTCTTAAGGGTCCACGACGAGCCATTTGCCGATTGGTAAGGGTGGGCGTTCGCATTTATGGACGTGTTCATGCAACTCGCTTCTTTGTTTTCACCGCAGCGCTAGGTTGGTCCGGCAGATATCTTGCACGTGTTCGGGACCGTGTGGGTCGGCCGGCGGAGTTTGATATTCGGTTGACGCGAGAAGAAAAAGGGCTGAGTGGAAAGTTCTCTCTCTTTTATCGTCTCTATTCCCACTGCAGCACGGTTTCAATGTGTTTATTTTCCATTCGAGATGCTCCCTGTATTGGGTTGCTGCGTAGCCAATGATTCCCATTTTAACAGCACTCCATGTCACTACATAGTAAACCCTCACCAGTACCTAGGTATGCATCTTGAGGCACGCGGAGCCCGGATCAAATACGACCCCCTGTTCCTTTGGCAAGATGGAACTGTCGCATGTTGCACAAGCAAATAAAGTAGCGCTGCTGAAATCCTAGGATCGTTGGACCTCGTCAACTCATTCGTCGGTCGACGAAGCCGGACAGCAAACAACCCACGAGTGAGCCTCAGATACAAACATCCATGGATATGGATACACTCTTAGCGGACTCGCCGAATTAGGGATTTCTTCTCGCTGGAAAGCCAATCCCAGGCGCCACAGGGGGCCCGCGCACAAGCAAAGATATGACAGCTGAGGGGGGCATGGCATTGCATGCTGCAATAGGTATGCAAAGCCAAAGATGACTGAGAGCGTCCCATGGCGACAGATATGACTTGATACGATAGTCACGACCATTCCAGGGTTAATCTCGCTTGCTGATGGTGGTCTATAACCATCTATTGCTGATGCTTTAGGGTCAGGTGCTCGGGCGATGTTGACCTGTCAATGATTTTATTCTCGCGCCAGAAGCACAGTGTGCAGAGACTCAGGCTCCCGACACCTGCAATAGGTTGAGTGGTCTTGAAGCCGCTTTCAAGGCCGTGGGCAGAGCACAGAAGACTTGGTAAGTACCATATTCTTTCCAGATGGTATGCACCACCCCGTCCCTTGAGATCCTACTCGTCCAGCACTGGGGTCACTCTAGAGATTGCGGCAGCAGGAATATGAGACATCAAGAAATAGTGACAGCCACGACGCAGACTTCGGGTTTCTGGTCTAATAGACATGTCGACATTTATATTGCCGCGCGTCAAGCCGCTAGGGACCTTGGAATTTGGAATTGAGGCCGACGCATGTGGGCAAGGGTCCAAAATTCTCCCAACCTGAGTCCCGGGGTCCCTAGGGGTCTTATTGTTTGCTCATGGCGAAGCCGGGGTGCGTTGTGATTTCGATCTGGTTGACGCAAGAAGAGGCTTTGCAAGGTTAAGGAAATGCAGGTTGTGTCCTCTTGAGATAATGAAAAGCCTTGGGATTATAAGCTATTCGAAATACTCTTGGCCTTGACATTGCCTAGGTATTGTCTCTACTTCCGAGGTCCGAAGTCCATATGGCAGAGAAATTTCTGGGTTGACACCCTTGCCCATAGGTCTCTATTTTTGGCCCTTCCGAGGTCGATGCCAACAATATAGCACATGATCAAGCGAGCAGGTCCATGTCCTTTGCGTATCTAAGTATATTACCATGTGCATGCAAAGCTACGTTGCCACGCCGGCCTAAGTGTCTAGCGCGAAGCCGGGCAGAGGCCGAGTGGCCTGCCAGGTGGGCATGATGCCTGTCTAGGTAGCAAGGTATGCAAACAATGCCGACTTGCCAATACTGTGTTCCCTGGGTCATACCGACTCCATGCTGTCGGGTTCTAAGATTCGTTCGGGGATTCAGTTCAGAAGCGGGTGTTACCTACCTAGTTGTAGAGACGGGCCAGCTGGGCATGCGAGTGATGTTTGCAGAGGTCAATGGGATATAAATGGGACATGGAATCCTCCAGAGCTCGAGAGAAGTTGCTATTCATCTGCATCTCCTTGCGAATCATCTAAACCTTGGAAGCCCTGGAAGCTAAACAGATTCCTTCAAATGGCGCTCATCTTCGAACCAAATAGCCTTTATATCCTCCTCATGGACCTGAGCAACACCTTCCACTTCGAATGGCGATTGTTCCTTGCCTCGACGACTACAACGGGTCAAGTCTTCTATATAAACAACGACGCTGGCTCGGTGGCTTGGGAATACAAAAGCGAGATGGCGAACATGTCAACAAATGCAAGACTAGTTGCTGCTCTGGAGATTGGTGTCGTTGGGTCTATTCTGAATTCGGCATTGGGCGCGAGATTGGGCCTCGTCCCACTCACAGTATATTCTGCTCGGTACCAAGAGAGCCTATGTTGCCGGGTGTGGGTTCAGGAAGCGTTGTTTGCCTTGGATGATGAGGGATATTTGAATATCGGGAAGACCGTGAAAGAAGTTCAGCAAGAGGGTAGCCAACTGGCGACTCTCAACAAGAGTCGAGGAACCAAGTGGGTCGTTAGGAGCTCAGGATTTGTTGCATGAGAGGCGTTGGATTCCTTGGCTTGAAAGTCGACAATGACTATTAATGATAATGTTTGAAGTCATGTAATTGAAATGGATTGTGTGTCTATGGGTAACCTGATCTTGGTGCAAGTGTAGGGTGGGATGGGATATACATAGGAGAGCGAGAGCGAGAGGGCAAGATTGGGGCCCGCTGACCCAGATAGACGAGGGAAGGTTTCTAACCTTCTTGTATGCGTATTTCCAATCAATGCCAGAGGAAAGCGACGTAACAATTCATGGAGAGTCATCCAAAGTCGTCGGTGGTCACATTCACATAAAGTCATCATCACCAAGACCGTCGTCGTCATACTGGCTGGTGTCAGGCTGAGTATCACGGCTGGCATTCAGCGAGATCTTGGTCTTCGCCGCCTTCGACTTCTTGTTGCCTTTGTCAGAAGCACGCTCCTCACGCATCTTTTCGTTGCTAGCGGTTGTGAGAGCACTGGCAATCTTCTTGATTTCAGCACTAGGGAGCTCCTTCACAAGCTTGCGAGTGAAGTCCTGCGCCCAGAGAGAGTATTGGGCCTTCTTCGAGTGAGGAGTGAGCAAAGGCACGAGGATTTCGGTGACGCGGTTGAACTGGTCCTTTGTGGTGGGCTTGAAGAGCGGCATGGCGGACAGATCGACAGAGTTGGTGGGGTCCTTGGAATCAGTAACGACAACAGCCTTGGGGGCACCCTTGTTGCGCTTGAGATCGACGGTGCCGAACAGATCCTCGGCGTGGGCAAGATCGGCTTCCTGTTCGGTCTTGCGCAGACGAGCACGGCGCTCAGTCTCGTCTTCGCTTTCGGACTCGCCGAAGTTCTCGCGCTCAAGACGGTGCTTCTCGCGGTTCTCTTCTATCCGCTGAGCTTTGGTCTTCTTGTTGGCCAGGGCCTTGGCCTTAGCGGCGGCTTCGGCTTCGGCGGCCTTCTTGGCCTTCTCGCGCTCGACCTCGGAGTCTTCACCGGCATCCCATGAGTCGAGGACCTAGGTTTGATGAGCGGTGGCTGGAATATTGGGATGAGGAGCCTTACCTCTTCCTCTTCCTCATCGTCGAAGCGGCGACGGGGCGCAGTCACAGGGGGAGGGACATCCTCCTCCTCTTCGTCTGTATGAGATCAAAAGATTAGCAACTGATGTTACTGCCTACGCATTTCAAGTGCATGCGCAAAAGATTTGAACGTACCCCACTTGGAAGGCGGCATTTTGGGTATTTGTAGTATTGAAGGGCTTCTAAAGAAAAGAGTCAAAAAGGGAAGCGAATGCGCTATACGCAAGACCAGGCACTATCAAATTGGATCTAACACGTAAATCATGGAGGGGCGAGGGTAAATTTTAGTGGGATGATCACGTGACCTCGGGCAACATAATGCCCGATGGGCGTGACCTCCAGGGGTTGCTCTGTAACTACCTGACCTTGGGAGTGTACTGTACTTCACATACTCAGCTAGAGATTACTTGTGGCTCATTTGGTCCTGTGGAAATTGGTTTCATTCAAGAAGATCCTATTAAATTCATAATCGTCATGGGCGATGGCTGGTTGATCATCAAACCATCAGTTTTGGGCGAACCCATCGGCTCGAACTATGCTGCTAGCTGCATTTACAGGTTAACAGCAGTGCGGAAGTTGGCACCGGCGTAGACGGCGTTGGCACCGAGCTCCTCCTCGATACGGAGGATCTGGTTGAGCTTGGCAAGACGCTCGGAACGGGCAGGAGCACCGGTCTTGATCTGGCCGGAGCGGAGACCGACAGCGATGTCAGCAATGGTGACATCCTCGGTCTCACCGGAGCGGTGAGAGACCATGACACCCCAGCTGTCGGCGTAGGAGTCCTTGGCAGCCTGGATGGACTCGGTCAGGGAACCAATCTGGTTGACCTTGAGCAGGAGAGCATTGCAAGACTTGAGCTCAATGGCCTTCTTGATGCGCAGAGGGTTGGTGACAGTCAGGTCGTCACCGACAATCTGGAAGTCAGAGGTCTTGTAGAAGTAAGACCAGGCCTCCCAGTCGTCCTCAGCGAAGGGGTCCTCGATGGAGACAATGGGGTACTTGGCAGCGAGGGACTTGTAGAGGTCGGCAAGCTGCTCGTAAGTGAGCCACTTGGTGGGGTCGGAGTCAGGGTTCTTGAAGTCAAGGTCGTACTTCTTGGCATCGACCTTGTAGAACTCGCTGGAGGCAACGTCCATGGCGATCTTGATCTGGCCGGTGTATCCGGCCTGCTCAATGGCCTCGGTGATGAGGTCAAGGGCCTCCTCGGCGGTCTGAATATCGGGGGCGACACCACCCTCGTCACCGACGTTACCGGCGGACTGGCCGTACTTCTTCTTGGCGAGAGACTTAAGCTTCTGGTAGACCTCGGCACCCTGGCGGAGAGCCTCGGAGAAGGAAGGAGCAGTGCTAGTTGCCGTTAGTCAACTGGCACTCCGGCATCGTTTCGATAATCACTTACTCAGGGACAATCATGAACTCCTGGAAGGCCAGACGGCCACCGGCGTGGGAGCCACCGTTCAGGACGTTCTGGAAGGGAACGGGGAGGACGTAGGGCTTCTTGGTTCCGGCGAGGTCGGAGATGTGAGCGTAAAGGGGAACACCCTTCTCAGCGGCAGCGGCCTTGGCAATAGCCAGAGAGACACCGAGGATGGCGTTGGCACCGAGCTTGCCCTTGTTGGCGGTTCCATCGAGCTTGTTCAGGAAGTCATCAACCTTGGCCTGGTCCTTGACATCGATGTTCTCCTTGATGATGGCGGGGGCAATGACCTCGTTGACGTTCTTGACGGCGTTGAGAACACCTGTGTGATATCAGTGAGCTTGAGGTTCTTTTGTCTTGGAACTGGGCAGATTTGTTCACGTACCCTTGCCGGCCCACTTGGTCTTGTCACCATCGCGGAGCTCAACGGCCTCGTGCTGACCTAGAGGACAATGTTAGCAAGCTGAGTCTCGAGAAGATGATCGTTCAGAGCATGAACATCCGGGACAACGAACCAGTGGAAGCACCGGAGGGCACAATGGCGCGGTGGAGGCCGGTCTCGGTGACAACGTCCACCTCAACGGTGGGGTTACCACGGGAGTCGTAGACGGAGCGAGCGTGAATCTTGGAGATAGGCATGATTGAATAGGCTGGAGATTCAGTCAGTTGGAAGAAGAAGAAAAAAGGAGAAGCCGGACAGATAAATGGTAGCAAGCAGGTGACTAACGGCGGGGAAGAGGTTCACCGATGACCCAAAAAGAGCCGGCGGGAGGAGGGAGACAGACGTGATTTGCTTGAGCTCAACCAGTCGTTGATGGGGCAATTGGCGAGTTCCTACTACGATCACCGGTCTGGCTTAGAGGGTTTCTATGCCTTTCCAGAAGTGTAGAGGGTATATAGGGTATACATGGTGCATAGTGTAGATGGAGGGGCATAGTGGGGTACAGAATGGGGATATTATGCTGCACTCACCTTTTGTTAAGAAGTAAACAACTTAAAAAAAGGAAAGCAAATCACTACGGAGACCCTCGACTTAAATACTTGTACTCCGTAATAACCCCGGGAAAGCTCATTGCTCTGCTCCGATTCTTTCCAACACTACAGTGGGGCTCCACGCCCGATACTCCAGCTCTTGCTGGCTGGTCCGACCGTATGCGGCCCTTAGTTACGAGATCTCCCGTCCCTCGGAAGAGACCTCAATGTCCGGTTTCGTGTCAAGGCACATCGTACGTGTCCAGTGCATGACCCCTCCAAGGGTCTTAGACCTGGGCTGCCCTTGGTCAAAGTACCTCTGACTGCCATCTTGTCACTAGCATATGCCATCCCGTAAAGACCAGGCGAGGTACTGTGCAATGATGAACCAATTGAAGATCACCCAATTTGACCCTCATCTTACGTAGCATTCGGTCATTTTGAAGTCCTTCGGGTGACGAAAGACCGTGCCCACCTGGGCAGTCCGGGGACCGCTTGAGAGATAAGGCACTAAGGCATACATTCTCGCCTCATAGACAAGGCTCTGTATCATGCCTGAGGTGTCCATTTATCAGGATGTGACATAATCGAATGGCACGTGATCCAGGTGTTTGGAAGCTCATCGACGTTGCGCTGGTAGCTCCCCAGGCAAGGTGCTGTCGCCCTTTCAATCACGATATCCATCCACTCTGCATCCACGAGCTTCCACGATACCTCCCATACGCTACCGAACTATACTCTCCTCTTGATCATTCTCTCTTCCCCTCCCATACTCGGCGAATCTCATTCGTCCGTCCTTCATCATGAGCGACCCGGAGCGCGGCCAGGCGCTTGAGGACTATAAGAAGAGCTTACTCGAACTACGAGAGTGGGAAGCCAAGTTGAAGGGTCTCCGTCTGGGAATCAAAGATCTTCAAAGAGAATTCGATGTCTCCGAGGATAACATCAAGGCGCTACAAAGTGTTGGTCAGATCATCGGTGAAGTACTGAAGCAACTTGATGAGGAGCGATGTGAGTATTCCAAATGCCATGCCACGTGCACGGGAAGTCCCATTCGAAAGCTAATGATTCCACAGTCATTGTCAAGGCGTCGTCGGGTCCTCGATATGTCGTCGGCTGTCGGTCAAAGGTGGATAAGGCCAAGATGAAGCAGGGCACACGTGTGGCCTTGGATATGACAACACTTACAATCATGCGAATGCTTCCCCGCGAGGTTGACCCCATGGTGTACAACATGTCTTTGGAGGATCCCGGGTCAGTCAACTTTGCGGGTATCGGTGGTCTTAATGACCAGATCAGAGAGCTTCGTGAGGTCATTGAGCTGCCCCTGAAGAACCCAGAGCTCTTTTTCAGAGTCGGTATCAAGCCCCCGAAGGGTGTTTTGCTTTACGGCCCCCCTGGTACTGGTAAGACACTGCTTGCACGAGCAGTGGCCAGCTCCATGGAGACCAACTTCTTGAAGGGTATGTCGCTAGTCTCCCACTTTCTTTATCTCATGCAACCTGCTCACATGCTTGGCTATTAGTTGTGTCTTCCGCCATTGTCGATAAATATATCGGTGAATCCGCCCGATTGATCCGAGAGATGTTCGGATACGCCAAGGAACACGAGCCCTGTATCATCTTCATGGATGAAATTGACGCTATCGGTGGACGACGATTCTCAGAGGGTACATCGGCAGATCGAGAAATTCAGCGAACGCTCATGGAGTTGCTGAACCAGTTGGACGGTTTCGACTACCTGGGAAAGACGAAGATCATCATGGCTACCAACCGACCCGACACATTGGACCCTGCTCTGCTGCGTGCTGGTCGTTTGGACCGTAAAATTGAAATTCCTCTTCCCAACGAGGTGGGCCGTCTGGAGATATTGAAGATTCACACAAGCACGGTCCAAAAAGATGGTGATCTCGACTTTGAGAGCGTGGTCAAGATGAGTGATGGCCTCAACGGTGCTGATCTTCGAAACGTGGTTACTGAGGCGTAAGTCAACCCCGACCCCACAAGGCCGATTCGACTAACGAAATATAGTGGTCTGTTTGCGATCAAGGACTACCGCGACGCTGTCAACCAGGACGATTTCAACAAGGCCGTACGGAAGGTGGCAGAAGCTAAGAAGTTGGAGGGCAAGCTTGAGTATCAGAAGCTGTAATTGTATCTATGCAGGACCATCCAAGTGCACGTTTTAGATCTTCCACCTAAAGTGCTAATACCATGCATTCGATATTTCCCACTTCCTGCGAGCGGCCTTCCAAGGTCGACACAATCGCCTTGTCAGGACGAACAGCAAATAGGGTAATCACTAGTAAGGCTTCTCCGGGGGCGACGCGTACAGATTATGATTTGCGGAGTCCTCAGACTCGCTCTCCACTTCTCCAATATCGTTGAAACGACCCTTTACTTCTCATCGCACACCAGGACAACGTTGTTGGAATACGAGTCGTCACTAGGATTCACCCACCGGCATACTTGGCCCAGTCTCTTCCGCTGAGGACACGCGGGACCACTACCGCCTCCGCATCTCCGATAAATTGTTTACTCAACAACCAACACGGCAATTCCCTTTCAGACTGCTTCTAGTCCCAAACACTTTCGGCTTTAAGGGCAGCAACAGTATCCGGACGTCAAACTTGTTGTTACAGGAATTGCGCTTCGGTAAGTGTGGCCAAGCCCCGAGGGGTTGCCTCGCGAGGAATCATTGCGACTAACCATCACTAGTCAAAACGAGGACACGATTGAATATCCTTTAGACTCGCCGTCTTCTGGAATATACGCGATCATAAACTCCCGCGGTAGGCCCTTGTGCGCCTCCATGTGTCGCACTCAATAATCGCAAGACCACAAACTCCACGGAGCAGACGACCGAAACCATGGCGTATCAGCCATCCCGCAGCCCCTTTGCGCCTGCGCAGCAGGATAGCTTCTACCAGAACTCACGAAATGGGTTGCGCGGCTACGGACTATCGAACCAACCGACCCCCCTATCGAACAAAGTGAACGGGTATTTCGAGAAAGACCGCACGCTACCCTTGTACAAAGACAAGCCATTCTTTCAACCGCGACGCACAGGTCCGCGGAGAAGATGGAGGCCATTTTTTTATCTTATGCTAGGGTGCAGCGTAGTCTTTTTGTTGTACTATAATTTCTGCCTCACCTCGTGGTCAGGCCTCCAGTCTAACGACAGGGGGGTGGAACTTTGGAAATGGTCGCAGACGTTGGAAGATGGACAATCTTCAGAATCATCTGACTGGGCCGAGAGACGGGAGAAAGTGCGGGACGCTTTCATCGTCAGTTGGGAAGGCTACGAGCAAAACGCATGGGGTAGGCTCTATAAACATTGCGACACCGGCGGGCATTGCTAACTACAAAGCAGGATATGACCAGTACCGACCTGTTTCGAACGTCAACCAGGAATCAACGAGCGGCGGACTGGGCTGGATGATCGTGGATTCGCTGGACACATTGATGATCATGAACCTAACATCGAAGGTGCACCGTGCCCGACAATGGATTTCGACCACATTACAATATGACCAAGATCGCGAGGTCAACACATTTGAAACAAGTATCCGCATGCTTGGTGGCTTGTTGTCTGCGCATTATCTGTCGACCCAATACCCTAACCTGGCACCACTCAATGATGACGATGTTGGCGCTGCTGGCGAAGACCTGTACATTGAAAAAGCGACGGATTTGGCCGAACGGTTGTCTGGGGCGTTTGATTCCCCAAGCGGTATTCCATGGTCGAACGTCAATCTCAACACATCCGAGGGTGTTGTGGTTCATTTCGATGAAGGGGCCACATCCATTTCCGAAGCAGGATCTTTGCAGCTTGAATTCAAGTATCTAGCTAAGCTAACCGGTGAAGCTGAATACTGGAAAAGCGTGGAGAAGACTATGAAGTTAATTGATCTGCAAGAGCCTAAAGATGGTCTGGTGCAAGGCGCTATTCACCCCGACACGGGCCGTTTCAAGGGAGACAGCATTAGCTTGGGTAACAAGGCAGACTCTTATTACGGTACGTTTGTATTGCCTCTCTCCTCGAGATCTCCTGACTAACGTTTCCCAGAATATCTCATCAAGCAGTACCTGCAAACCTCACAAACTGAACCCGTCTACAAGGAGATGTGGGACGAGGCCCTGCAAGGAATCCGCAAGCACTTGATATCATTCACTAAAAACTCTCAGTTAATGGTTCTCGGCGAACGGCCACAGGGCTTAGACCATGAGCTGTCTCCCCGCATGGACCACCTTGTCTGCTTCATGCCGGGGACAATTGCGCTCGGTGCAACCGGCGGACAGCCTTTATCCAAGGCCCGAAAGGCAGCAGACTGGTCTCAGCAGCACGAGGAAGAAATCCTCATCGCTCGCGAATTGATGAAAACCTGCTGGGCGATGCATCAAGCCACGGCAACTGGTCTCGCAGCTGAGATCTCACACTTCGTCCTCGACGAACCCCCTCTGACAATGGCCGATAAATATCCTGTCTTGGCCAAATCTAAGCCCGAGATCCTGCGCGGTATTTCCAAACCCCTCGAGGCACAGCGCGATGGCTCAGAGCCCTGGCGCTCAGACATTGATATTCGCCGGAACGACCGCCACAACCTCCAACGGCCTGAGACAATCGAATCACTGGTCTATATGTACCGGATCACCGGTGACGAAATCTACCGCCAGTGGGGCTGGGAGATCTTCAAATCCTTTATCCGTCATACTGCAGTAGTGGAGAAGAAGAGCGTGTCTCGTCTCCCAACATCTACAGCCAAAGAGCCAGTCTTCCGCATCAAGGGCTTCACATCACTCGGCAATGCCGATGCGGTTCCTCCTTACAAGCGTGATAACATGGAGAGTTATTGGATGGCCGAGACGCTCAAGTATTTCTACTTGCTGTTCTCAGACAGGGACTTCATTTCCTTGGAAGACCATGTCTTCAACACAGAGGCCCACCCATTCCCACGATTCAAGCCCTCTGGTGAGCTCAAAACCGGGTGGGAGAGGAAACCGAGGTCCTGAATCCTCCTTGCTTCCAAGATTAGGAAAGTATGAGTCTGATGTTACACGTCATGTACAGCGCTTTGTTTTTGTTCTTAAGGTTTTGTTGGGTATTTCCAAGTACCCAGCACTGTATATCACTTCCCAGAGGCAACATTTATTGTATTCTATCTAGTCTGGCGACATAGAGATGAGATATTTGACTTGTTTGGTTTGAAGGCCTTTCATTAACTACCTGCTCCCTGTGATTTGCATGTGTCCCGAGGTCCATTTTTCAGCTTCGTAGCAGAGTTGCCACCGTCCACGGGTCAAGTCTATCCAGGCCCTCAGGCCCTCAATGAGCACCAATGGATGATAGTGAAGATTCCCCGACTTCGAATATTGGTTTCACAACAATCTGAACATCAACAATAGTGACGGTTGCGTGATCGGAAGGTGGACACCCGATGTGTACAACCACCTGAACAGTGTAACACTTGAGATACATACTGTAGCGATTGAAGAGGACTTATTAGCGGCCATACTGGACCTCAAGGTTTTCTAACCCAGTTGCTTGATTTACTATTCGTTGGAGACTGCGGCAATACCCAATCACCCCGCAATGGACGTATTCGTGAATTGGACCGAATCGCAACGAAGTCCGCAGGTGCCCCGCATCGGTGCAGAGGATTGATGCCCAGGTGCAGACGATCGATGACAATCGGTGAAGAAATTGGTGAATTTAGTAACACTAGATACTGCTCTTCATCTTCTTTTCCATTGCTTTGAACAGAAGCTTCATCACTTACTGCAATTCACCATGCCCTACTCCTTGGCAGGTCGCAATGTGTTGATAACCGGAGGCTCTCGGTATGGTTTCTCTCTATACCCCTCCATGGCTTCAAGGCTGATGCAGTGTGATCAGAGGCCTGGGTGCACTCTCAGTCGAGAAGTTTGCCTCTGAGGGCAGCAACATTGCGATTAACTACATGTCTAACAAGGAGACGGCGGACAAGCTTGCCTCGGACGTGGCAAACAAGTACAACGTGAAGACTGTGGTCATTCAAGGTGTATGGTCAAATATTTCTAGGGAATTTGATCATCTTTGCTGACCATCCAATTCTGATAGGACGCGGGAGTTAAGCAGGATTGTATCAATGTCGTCCACGCTGCTATCGAGCAATTGGGTGGGCTAGACATCATCATTTCAAATGCCGTGTGTTATACCCCCAAAGGCTCAGAGTCAAGACTGCTAATTAATTGAGAAGGGATGGACCAAAATCACCAAGTTCAGCGATCTCGATGCCATGGACGATGATGATTGGGACAAGGTGAACTATGCAAATATGCATGCTCTATGGTGCAGCTGTTGGCTAACCACTGAACTACTAGTGCTGGTCTGTCAATGTCAAGAGCAGCTTACACTTGTTCAAAGCGGCGCTTCCCACATTCAATGCGAATCCTGAGGGTGGTGTTTTCCTCATCACAGCGTCGGTTGCGGTGAGCTACATTATCAATCTACCGAGCATTTGAAACTTATGCCCGCGAGGAGTTTACGTGCTAATTCTGATTTCTGGCTAGGGCGTCGCGGCAACTGGTAGCAGCTTGCCCTATTCCGTGACAAAAGCTGCATGTAAGTTGCCTTCTCCGGGGTTTTTTTTTTTTTTTTTTTTTTGCATCAGCAACTCACATTATACAGTGGTTCATCTTATGAAATGTATTGCGCAGACACAAGGTGCGAAGGTCCGCGTGAATTCCATCTTGCCTGGCCTTTTGCTCACCGAATGGGTAAACTTCGCTTTGCACAAAGCTATACTTGCATATACTGACGATGTTGAAGGGCCAACGCTTCCCACCCGAGGCTATCCAGAGTTGGATAGACAGGACGGCGCTCAAGCGTGCGGTAAGTGATTCATTCCCGTGTCCTCTCTTGGACGTGCTAATGATAATTTAGCCTGAGGTGGAAGACTGTGCCGACATGTTCATAACACTGGCCAAGAACGCTTCGATTACAGGGCAGGCTATTGTAATCGGTATGTGATCTGATCATTCACATTATTGCGGCAAAAATGCTCACACATCTAGACTCCGGCTTCGCGATCAAATAGGTATTCAATCGGGGATTATTTTGGTAGACCAAGACATAGAATACAAACAATTGCCTTCCAAGGCCATTATACAAGAGAGTCATGGAATGGTGTCAACTCCCCGTTCCCGTGTTGAAGTGTTTGTTCACCAATCATCCGAGCTTTTCGAGCGGCTGGCAAGGCCGCGGAATCTTTTTGCCCTTCAACTTTCATGCGATTGATGCGATGCACTTTGCAGTCCGCAGTATACACGTAGAGACTGCCAGTCCCCGGTTCATCTGAGGGAGATGCATCTGTGAACGGAAGACCTGGGAGCTCTCGGAAAGACTGAGACTCGAAAGGAGGGTCTACCTCCTCGGTATCAGTGAAAATCACCCGCTTTTGCTGGAATGAAGGAGGCTCATTTGCAGAACTGGTAGCGCAAGCTGCCTTGCTCCAGAGAGGCCCGATTACGCGGTTGCGTCTGCGAATATCTGTTGATGTCCATTCTGCCCATTTGATGTGTCTGTCTTCTGGGTTGATCTTACAAGCGTGAGTCAATCCACGCTCGTCCTCGGCGGAACACCACCCAACATCCTTCAGCGGGGGCACATATAATCCTTTATCAATGCTTTCCACGAGCATTTGAGCACCTTTTGGGGCGACAAAGCTTTGCAGTTCCAGGACAGTGCAGGAGTCTGGATTTGGAACATTGAATCCGGGGGCGGGTGTTTGTGACAAGATAGTTCCATGGTCAAAGTTTTTGTGATGCAGAGTTTGAACAGTCACGCCGGTATTAGTCTTGCCAGCGAGAAGAGTATGGTGAAGTGGTGCAGGGCCTCGGAAGCTAGGTTATCGGTCAATTGCTTTTGTATCAAATATTTGGGTCAAAGTCACATACTTGGGTAGAATTGAAGGGTGCACATTCAAGCCACCGTACTTGGCCCCATTTAAGATGCGCGGCGGAACAAAGCGTCCAAATGACACTGCGATGATCAAATTTATAGGACCCGTTGGGAATGTTGGAGGCTAATGTGGTCAGTCGACTTTATCGATTAATGGGCTCTGTGCATTACCGTCCAGCCAGTGAATGTGTCAATTTCATGTATGGGAAGTGATAGGGCCGAGGCAGCTTCTTTAATCGGTACTAAAATGGAGGACTTCGTTGGAACCGTGTTTCTATAAGCTTGAGGTTGAAATACCTTCTCTGATCTGCTTTAAACCCCTGCCTACTCGTTTTCCCGGCCGACAAACAACATCAATGGAAGAAATCCGTTCTGGATGCTTCAAGTGATAAGCATGGAGAGCTTTCAGCGAAGCAATACTGAACTCGTCGGAGCCGCAGAAGAGGATGCGGAGGGGATCGAAAGTTTTGGTGGAGTACGACTTCAGGCCAAAGACTCGCAGTGCCAGTGGTATCTTGCAGAATCGCGCACTCGCTGGGCCTTGAATCATCCACATGGTCTCCGGTAATTGCAAGAAGAACAACCGCGGAGAAAGTTGAAGCTCCGTCAGTGGCCCTTATCGATAAGCCACGTGATGTCAACACCCACCCCGGATCCCACTTCACCCTCGTCTTTTGTTCAACCTTGATTGATTTCAACTGGACTAGCTGCCCAGTACAAGCGGCAGACGAAAACCAGTGATCCAATGACTGGAAGCGACCATGATTCGGTGATACCAGCCCAAGTCTCGTACCTTGCCATCTACAACCCGACCCTCGGACCTACCGACGAGACGATAGCGGATCAGATCGTGTACTACACCTCACAAGCTACACGCGAACAACAAAGCGTTGGGGCTACGGCAGAAACTGAAGAGTCAAGAGACCTGCAAAATGAAAGACTGCGCCAGATCGGCCTGGCGCAAGGCCTGGTAAACTTTGCCAGGTATGCCGTGGCCCGATTCCCCAAGCGAGCCGGCCTAATCAAGCTTATGATATAGCAATTTCTCGGATGGAAAGTCTTTGGAGTACGTTGAGACAGACAAGGCACGGGTCATTCTCCTCGAGTTAGAGAAGAACTGGTGGGTTGTTTCCGTAGGTGCTCAGAACCCAAAGTACTCGGATTTGCGACTCATTACCCCAGTCTATCGATCTCACACGACTCCCCGTCGATTCGACCCAAAAGTCTTCCCCTGATGACATCCCATTCCAATATTCATCCCGTGAGATGACACCGCCACCTTTACTTATCCAGCAATTACGTCGGGCGCACTCAGGATTTCTCTTACATCATAACTTCACGTTAGATGAACTATTGGAACAATTCGGCAGATCCAGGTTCTGTCTGTTTCTCGATCGTTTCTGGAATAAGTTCACTTGGAAGTGGGAGCTTTTGATGACCGGGAATCCAGTTGTCGACATCTACAATGGCATCAAACTCTCTGCGGGAGGAGAATTGGGGATCGGCGTTGGAGAGGAAGAGTGGGGCAGCGGGGAAAGAGAGGTGCTCGAGGACTTTGTGACGAGAACAGAAGGCCTGGTGGATTTGGTTGTCTCCAGGTTTGGCGATCCTTCCCCACCCATCGAGGAGTCCCCTAGTTCCACTAAGTCGGAGGAGGTCCAATGGCTTGGGGCGGATGATGACCCTCGCCCATCTGATGGTGTGGTCTTCACTGGTGTCGGCGCTCTTTCTCGCCACTCTTTGGCGCATGTTTCCCACTGGATGGAACGAGTCTACCGGTTTGGTGATGTCGCTTATGGGGTTGGGAGAGATCCACGCTCGCTCCGTCGTCGCAAGTCACGAAAACCGCGCGGAAGACAAGCTTCTGGAGATGCACCCCAACAATCCACACCTGAGCGTAGTTTCACGCCTGGTATACCTCGCCCGCTAATAATGGCAACACCAGAGCCAATTCAGCGGGCCCCTGCGACGGATCAAGCTGGCATTCGGAATGAGGCCTCGCCGCTTCGAAATGAGCAAACGAGCGAAAACGCTGGGTTTCCCACAGACACAGTCATGAAATACCTCACTCTTGGATATGGCTCGTCTTGGAGCTTCTCTCCCAAATCAACATCTACGGTATCTTCTGACAGCCCTGACACGACTCAAGATAAATCCCATGCAACGACGACCTCAACAGATCAACTTGGTGTTACTGCACAGCCTCCGCAGGCGGGCGGCAATCACCGAAGTGACACAAGACCCGTCTCCTCTGGTCGGTTTGTTCTAGGACCTCGTGATGACTTGCAGACATTGGATGATCTCGAAGAAGAAAGTCCAGAGCCCGGTTCGGAAAACGGTAAATCCGAATCTCGCATAGTGCGTCGAACTTTATATGTGTATCTTGGTGAACCAAATGCGATACCAAGGGAGCTCCAGGCTGTAGTTTACGTGGTAAGTATCTATTTGACATACCATCTCACTCCTTGAAGCTAACATGAACCAACAGCACCAACCGTTCATGTTCACCTTCCTGTTTGATCCACAAACACCGTCTCTTTCATCTCCGTCGCTATACTCGAATATACATCATCAACTTGGCCCTCTGCAAAAGCCACTCTTGTCATCAACATCCCCTGCCACGGCAGCCTCTCGAACATCTATGTCAGGGAATTCAGATCCCAGCAAACATTTCTCAACCCGAACCCACCCAATTTATGACCTTGTATACGACCCATCAAACCTCACTATCCGCTCATCAATACCAAATATCCCGAGTCTCGAAAATTCAGCTCAACTGCCGCCCCATTCTTCCTCTTCGGCCACACCCTGGTCTCGGATCGAAACCCTAGCGATCCATCATCGTCTTCTGTCCACTTACATAGACACACGTTCCCGCCCCCAAGAACTCGAACGTACGAGTAAATCCACCCGCGGCTGGTGGGTTGTCTGGGTGCGTATTCCACAAACAACTCCATCAACAGCTCCCTCGTCGACAGCTCTATCTTCCATGGCCGACGACTCTTCCACGTCGTGCCAAACAGCGCAGGCCCCACAGGAGGCTTTCATCGTTCGCAAGGCCAGTGACTATGTTTCTCCGGCTAGTCATGGGCGTGTCAGCAGCGGTGCGCGCTTCTTCCGGGACCTTGGGGGTGCTTCTTCGGGTCTAGCATATCGTGGAGATACGACGCCTTCGAAATTAGTTGAGGGGCTTGGGATGGATGCAAGGAGATATATCGAGGGATTGCTGAGTTTGAATCGGTAATTGCTCAGGGTCTGCGCATGTCTACCTGTACCTAGTAGGTAGGCTCCCTGTTGACAATCAGATATCAATATTTCCCCGAATAGCATTCCAAGGCTGCAGGTAGATGATCTACCGAGGTAGTACGTGGGGAGTACTCCACTGCTGCATAGATGCCTAACCAAAGCCCCAGAGGTATTTGGGTATATTTCGATATATACATCCATGGATATGTATTCATCCATGGATAGATCTGGGTACATAGGTAGGTTAAAAGAGTCCGGTTCAAGTGAATAATTCATGCATTAGCTGTAGCAGAAACAGATATAGTTAAAGAGAGAAAACAATAAAAGCCGAAAAACGAGCTCTTCGCATATGGGGAGATAATCGCAGAAACGATCTATGACACAGGGGAAATTCGCGCAGGGGCGACGTTGACCTGAATCACCTGTTTTTCTGTTTCAATTTATACTTGCCCCTCGAGGCCATTTGAAATTCACGGAAGTAGAAAAAGAAAAGCCCACAGGGTTATGAAGACAACGCCTCCCTAGACAAATTCTGCAAAATAAAGGCAAAAGAAAAACACAAGGTCGACCAACTGAATTGTGGAAAGCTCCACGACTCGGGTGCCCGGATTCGACATTATCCACAATCTCGCATGCAGGCCAAGAAGCCCTCCTCCTTAGAGAATAAAATCACCAATTGCTTTCTGTGGAGGCTGGACATGATCGAGCCGAGCCACCCTCAAAGATTGGCTTAGTTTACAGAATCAAGCAGCCCTTCTTCTTGCCGTTCTTACCCTTGACGGCCTTGAGAAGGGCAGCCCGGGTAGCGGCTTCGAAGACTTCACGGACACCCTCGTTGGTGCGGGCCGAGCACTCCAGGTACTTGTAGGCGCCGATCTTCTTGCGGATTTCCTCACCCTGCAGCTGGTTAGGGGATGTCTCAAGTATCAAGGGGGCGGGGAAAGCTCACCTGCTCCATTGAGACGGGGCGCTGGGAAGTCTTGGCCAGCTCGTCAATAGTCTTGCGGTCATCGCGCAAATCCTTCTTGCAGCCGACGAGGATGATGGGGAGACCCTGGCAGAAGTGCAGGACTTCGGAGATCCACTGTTCAGATCGGTCAGCATGCTCCGTTCTTTGACGGCGGTTCGCTGGATTTGCGATGAATCAAGGGTGCCCACCTTCTCCTGGACGTTGTCGAGCGAATCGGGGGAGTCCACGGCAAAACAGATCAGAATGACATGTGAATCGGGGTATGACAAAGGACGGAGACGGTCGTAATCTTCCTGACCAGCCGTATCCCAAAGAGCAAGCTCGACGTGCTTGTTATCAACCTCGACATCGGCGACGTAGTTCTCGAAGACGGTGGGGACGTAGACCTGGCAGGACAAAAGTCAGATTGTCGGCTTCATTTGGGACCTTTATCGGTGGGAGAAGAAATGGAAATCTGGGGTCGGGCGATCGAAGACGGAATAGGAGCTTACCTCGGGGAAGGTGCCCTTGGAGAAAACACTGTAATCTCAGTTAGTTCTGCCCTCCAGTATGAATGACGAGATTTAGGAGAAGCGCCCAGAACAGGGGCAGCGCTCGTAGTTACTTACATGAGCAGACAGGTCTTACCGCAGGCACCATCGCCGACGATGACGAGCTTGCGACGGATCTCGGCCATCTTGATAGAGCAGTCAGTGTGTGATCAAAGAAGCAGGCAAGCAAAGCGTAGTGCGAGTGCGAAAGGTCTTCAGAACGAAGAATGTGAATTAACGTGAGGGGGTGACGAGAGACACGAGCGGATCAAATAGAAAGGGACAAGTCTGGCTCCCCGGGGGGGAAGTGGGAGAGAAGGGCCGCCACGGCGTACCTTTAATGTGATAAACTAGCTTGAGCTAGTAAAGAGGGGAATAAAGTAGTGAAAGCAAGACGTTTCGATGAGAAACGATGGAAAAAAGACGATGGAATGATGATTTGGAGGTGGAGGAGAGAAAGATAGCAGGCCAGGGCCAGAATGGCAGAGCGGTGGCAGTATGTTACGGTATTTGTTGTGGTATTGTGGTTTTTCCCCCCTGGTGAGAAGCCTACACAAGTACTGGGTACGTACAACTTCGGGGTACGTACACCGTCAACGGGTATTTGGGTCTCGGTATTGAGGTATTCGTTACTTGACTGTCGTACCTCGACCCCCCTGAGTTTCAGGCTACCCTATTTTGTTATGGAGTACTCCGTACAATCTCATCTCACTGAGCACGGTTATGGACACAGCCCTGGGTACGGGATCTGTGGCTGAGAAAAAAATGGTCGACGCGGTCCACTTGGCTCTCGTTGCACAGCCACCCGGTGGCTGTGATATCATCGACGGTATGGAGTACGAAGTACGGAGTGGAGTATGATATCGCAATGGGCCGTTCCTTTGGCCGTTGGGCTACATAGACCTTAGGATACATGCTACCCATCGTGTGAGGGTTTGCTAGGTGAATAACTACTGAGGTCGGTACTTCATCCACGCCCATTCCCGAGAAGATTCTGTCGTCACGGTAGATTGCGTACTCGTAAGATCTGAGATCAGGCTCGGCCCTTTCTCGGTCCATGTTTGCAGATAGAACCATCTACTGAGAGTGACACCCTGCCCCTATATATGCAAGCTTGGGCTCCATGAGTCCAACATCTAAATTCCGGATACCATACGGAGTCCCCCGTAAACAAAGTACCAGGCCGTCGGGTCACAGTGGGCAGCCCGCGGCACCAACACGCTTCTAAAATGCTTGGCTCAAGTAGCTAGTGATGATCTTTCCGACACCTCTGTTGGTCGACCGACGCTGAAACTTATGTACATATGTCACCTGAAGTTTTCGGTATGTACAGGATCGCAAGGTCTCCGCATGTTGTTCCATGTTGCATGTTGCAGTATCCAAGGGGTTCTCAGCCGACAAAAATACGCTGTAATCTGTATTGGAATTTGGCCAGGCCAATCACGTCAGATCAGTGAAATCTTACCCCCTTTGCCAGAAGAGCTCTGCGAGGTATGACTTCACATCATTCTTGTTGTTCAAAGTGGAGCTAATGGCTGAGATTTCAAGGTAATCTCGCCAGGCTGACTAAAAATAGCTGGCGAAGCCAAGGCCAATATGGAGCCGTTAAAGCGGTTTCCCGGATAAGAATAACAATAGGAGAAGTTGGCTGATGCTAGCGTTTCGATAATTCGACCACAGACAAGCCATCTCATGCGTGGGAGTGAGGTCGTTCTCAAGTACCGAGGATCCACTTATGTCTTTTGACTCTCATGCTCGAGTATTTCCTGTACGGGCACGGAGTACTCTTTATACAACTAACACTGCAAAGTCTGCAGTCAGTGGCAGGAAACCTGAGCAATCCCAATATTTGTTGTCAAAGGGTTGGAGTACCAAACTCGCCGCTATCGCATTTGCAATAACCTTGGAAATTGTGTCAGTACATGATGGACTAGTTTGATTTTTACACAAGTACCAATCGTTTTCCTATTCCATCCCCGTGAAGGCCGTCTCTGTGGTATGTCTAGGTTTCACGGATATTTACATATCGGTCTCTCCGAAATATGAGACCAATATGCCAAAATGACGGTTTAAAGTTGAAACATGCTAGTCAACCGTTTTTTTCCCCAGGTGATGTCCGGGGTGCCCATCCTCGAATTGTGCAAGGGTTCAGCCGAGAACGCCTCACGGACTACCAAACATTGCCTTGCCTGGTAGATCGCAATGAGGCAAGGAACCACATCGACATTACGAGAAGTGCGCCAGCGGAGTTTACCCGATGCGTTTTTTCACAACCTCGACAACTCAGCGGTTGGCAAAAAAAAAAAAAAAAACACTTGGGTAGTAGCTTTCTCGTAAACAATAGTCTTCTCTGGTGTATACAGTAGTTTGTTGAGTCAGGAACACTACCCAGGTGCCCTTGGGGCTTGATTACACATGGTACCAATTGAAGTATTCTTTGAATCACGGCCAACCTTGAGGCCCTCAAGTACATCCATGGATAGCTTTCGACTTCCGTCAAGTTGAGCTTAGCACTTGAACTCCACTCCATACGGAGTATCAATTTATTACCAGGCGAGATACGACCAACTTTGTCCCCAGTATCTTCCTCAGACGGTTATATTAGGAGCTTACATCATACCTTACACGTTATATCCGTGGAAATACCCAATTGGACGTTCTGGGTACTCCGTACCTAGGTATGTATTCCCAGGTAAGATGCCCCAGGTTTCGGGACCTGGGAACTGAAAATATTATATAAGCAAGTTGAGCTGAGTGGTCACGTGTACGTTGCACCCTCAATTTTCGATCCGCGGATCGGGGCTTTTGCGGCAGAGACAACGTTCGGCCATTGCTGAACCCCGACACCAACATGCAGAGAGTCATCCAACGGACGACTTCCGCTCGGAAGCAGGCTTTAAAACGATCCATCAAAGCCCAAGAACGACAGGAGTTGCTGGACCGCATTCAGATCAAGCGTGCGCGGAAGGACTTTGGTGCTGCACTGTCATCTCAATTCCAAGAGGCCCGGAAGAATCGATGGGAAGATTGGGAAAAGGGTCCCCTTGCTCCCATGCGAGACTCCGGCCTTGACCGCACCACGTATGGTGGCCTGGAGGGCTCCGTTTTGCACCCTCCGCGTCTCCCTAAACACGAACAACGCAGACATGTCCTCTTCGCCGAAGGTGATCGTGTCTGTGTCGTTCGCGGACAGGACCAAGGAAAGATCAATGTGATCACTCAGGTCAATCGCGAGAGCGAAACTGTCCTCATCAAGGACATCAACATGGTACGTCTCCGGATCACCTTTCCGCCCCGAGACTCCCCTATGGCAAGCGATTGACTGTTATTTCTCAATTAGCGCGACGTTATCATCCCCGAGTGGGCCAAGGATAGAATGGCCCATCAAATCGATACACAACCCCAGTCATTCCCAGTATCCTTCAGCGATATCCGACACGTCATTCCGCTGGAAGACACCGAAACCGGGAAGATGCAACAAGTCATTGTCAAGCACGCCTATGCTGCCGGCCCTTACAATGAGAGAGGCCCACACAGCAAGCTTCCCAGGTACACTCGTTATGTCTCCGGCCTTGACATCGAAATTCCCTGGCCGATGGAGGAGGAGCCTACTTTCACCGACGGTGAAATGGATACATCCCGAATGGAAGTCGAGGCTAGCACATTTGTCGCCTCGCTAGCCGAGCCACCGATGCCCTCGACTGTGATTGACGAGCTGCGCAACAAATACTCCAAATTCCGTACTCGCCACGACCCCGAATACCTGAGAGAGAAGATGACCGAGGACTATGAAAAGGAGTACAGAAATACCGTTTCCTTGTCCACACCGCAGACCGATGCTATCAAAATGCGGGCCGCCAAAGCCCTCGAGAGGAGGACTGCAAACCTGGACGCCGATGGCAATATGCAATTGTCCCAGGATACTGCCGATTTCATCAACAAGTATCTCCAGAACGGGGGCGTGGTTCAGAAGCAACCAACTAAAGCTTCTCGAAAGGGCAAGGCTACAGCAGGCGCAAAGCACGCCAAAAAGGGCAATGCGGAGAAGACCTCAGGGGAGGTTGCGCCAGAGGCCAAAAAGGCCGAGGCTCAGGAGACTCAGGCTGAGTCCCAAAACGACAAGGAGACCTCCTGAAAAGGATATGGTTGTTAGGATCTTGATTTCATTGTAGCATTGTGTACACAACACTGTATTCTAGTAAGGAGCTTTGCATTTATTCACATAACTATTCTTCGACAATCTTGTTTGAGATTCTATTAGTTTCTGGTTTTTAGTAGAATAGACATCGCACTGCCCAGGTGGAAGTTAGGGTTGCCCAAGCGGATAGTTCGGGCCCGCCCTGCGCTTCTTTGATATTTGTCGTTCGACTCTCCGACCAACCTACATCCTCCTGCACTGCCGTGTTGACACAACGCAGTCGCATCAAACATGGCATTTGCCTCGATAAATTCCTCCGGCGCGCCCATTGCCGCCATTGAAGAGGCCTTCGCGACAGAACCCTCATTGAAAAAGAGGGTGTACGATGCGATCGGTGCGTAGCCACGCGCTCTCGCGTTTCTGTCCCTCGATACCTCGACCTCATACTGACCGGCGCCAAACCCTTCAAATCATTAGGCTCAACACCACAACATACATCGCTATTCGAAGATATTGCGAAATATACATCCAACCTGCTGGCCAGGACTGCCAACACGACCCTCCCTTCACGCCCTCCGGCCGACGGCCCTGCGGCTAAAAAGCGCAAGCTCCAGAATGGGGACTCAGGAGAGACTGCGCAGGCGTCAGTCGATCTGAAAGATGCCAATGCGCCAGTTCAATTTTATGTGAAAGATGTTTCGTTCGCGACACCGCAGAGGAAGAAGCTTACTCTGGAGATCACTGCTGGACACCCATATCTCCGGGCAAGAAACCAGGCTACGAAAGAGATCGAGTTTGGCGTTTCGATGGACAGAATCAGTCAGTTCCAAGATGGTCATTGAACGTTGGAACAACCACTAACCCGTGTATACAACCAGAGCATGCGCTTTGTCTTCCTGTGCCAGAAAAGACACAGAAACAGTTCAATTTCTGTATCATCCCTGAATATGCGGATGGTATCACACCCCCGCCGGAGGGAACAGCAACATCCGAAGCCATGGTGTTTACGATAGCCGACGGGCCAGCCAAGGCAGCATTCTCAGGAGACGGGCAGCAGATCAGTCAAGCTCCAGGCGAAACCGCTGATACACTACTTTGCAAGGTCCTGAACGACAATATGCGTCGTTCCAATGTTGTGCGGCCCGATGACAAACAGTTTGTCAGTGCCATGCCCGAGGCGCACCGAAAAGGCGAGAAAGCATACCACGTCAAGGCATTCCGCGGCAGTAAAGAAGGTTTGTAACATTTCCATCTTGCATTCAAGATGCAAGGTTGGTTAAAACATGCTAATACATTCATTACAGGCTATCTCTTCCTTCTCTCCACTGGTATTCTGTTTGCGTTCAAGAAGCCCCTTCTGTTCTTCTCGTTTGATACGATCGATTCTGTCTCATACACTTCTGTTCTGCAACGGACGTTCAATCTGAACGTCATGGCTCGCCCAACTGGGGGCTCCGAAGAAGACAATCAGGAGTTTGAATTCTCGATGATTGACCAAGCCGATTTCTCTGGAATCGATACCTACATCAAACGTCACGGTCTTCAAGATGCCAGTCTTGCGGATGCCCGTCGGGCCAAGGTCTATAATGTCAACAAGCCCACTGGGGATGAGCAAGCTGCTACCGAGGCGACCGAGGGCGATGAAAGTGAGCTTCAGAAAGCACAGCGGGAGCTTGAAGACCAAGAGGACGAAGAAGAAGAGGACTACGACCCCGGCAGTGATGATAGCGAAGGCAGCGGGTCTAGCACTGACGAAGACGAGGACGAGGATGAGGATGAAGCGCACGGCAGTGATGAAGATATGGATACGAACGAAGAGCCTGAAGAAGCCGGGGCTGCAGCGGAATAAAGTATAATTGCCTTATATGTGACAATAGACTGGAATACAGAAGAAGCAAAGAGTGCATGCATCATATGTAGCGTAAGGGATCTACGACGGGTCCCTGCCAAGAGACGGTAATTTTACCGAATTCAGCACATTCCAGAGCTGAGTCCAGAACTCCATCTCTCCCCTGGGGAAAAAATCCAACGGCTCTCTAAGAGGTTTGACACAGCTGGTTTTCACGATAGCTTTGCATTCTATCCAACTCATTCTTAAAGTAGAGGTACTCTGAGTACTCCGTACATGTCTCAAATGTGCGTGTTTTGGTGCCTGGCTCTTTGCTGCAGGTTCAACTAGTGCCGGGGCCTGAGCTACGATACACAGGAAAGAACCTTGCCAATGGGAGAATCCAGGCCCTTGAGCATACAAGAATCGATGCAGTGAAGACCCTTTGGTGAAGGGCCCAAGGTGCTAAGGCGAGGTTCAGGCAAAGGGCAAAACTGTCAAAGATTTCACCCCAACGGCCCCTAATTGACAATACCTGTAACGTAACGACTCTCGTAAAATAACTCTAGCCAATACGCTCTCAATACATACATACCTCTTTCATTTGGCCTTCTCTCTTCCTCTCTGCTTCATCCCCCCCTTGGTCTTATCTTTGAACCACTGCTCAGGGCTCGTACTCGCAGTAGGTCGAGTGCCCTGCCTGCTGTGTGTGTGCTTTTTTTTTAATCTGCCATCGCCTTTGCCCTGTCCACTGGACTGTCCACTCCAGCTACTCGTGACCGCCGACCGTCCAAGGACCCCCGAAGGCCTCAATTCCTCCCTGACCCAGCCAATCTCGCTCATACCGCTACCCTAGCTTTCAATCTCGCCTCGCCAATTTGGCTACCCCGATTCGATTACCATTTATTGTCAAATACGTCCGCGTCAAGCCATCGGAACATCGGCTTCTGGGCCATTCGGACTCGTTGATCACATCACGGCGACATTGGTCGGAAAAAAAGCAGAGGTCCCTGCGGTGTATGTGATTCGCCTTCTGCCAGTCGCTTTACATCTTCCGGCTGTTTAATCTGACTGCGCCCAGCACCTCAATCACGTGTTTCGGTCCCTGAAGCCATTGCCCCGTGATTCAAGCTCCCATTTCCCGGATCTCCAACACCCCATTTCGCAACCATGGCCTCCTCTTCCTCCAACGTGGTGGGCGTTCACTACCGCGTGGGCAAGAAAATTGGTGAAGGTTCTTTTGGTGTCATTTTCGAGGGCACCAACCTCCTGAACAACCAGCAGGTCGCCATCAAATTCGTACGTGGATGCTCCCCTTCGTTCTACGGACCCCCCAGGCTGATCCCAAAACAGGAACCGCGGAAAAGCGATGCACCTCAGCTCCGCGATGAGTACCGGACGTACAAGATCCTGGTTGGATGTCGTAAGTTGATCGTCCAGCGATTCGTATGACCATTTACTAACTCTGTCAGCCGGCATTCCCAATGTCTACTACTTCGGACAGGAGGGTCTTCACAACATTCTTGTCATTGACCTCCTCGGCCCTTCCCTCGAGGACCTCTTCGATCATTGCAACCGCCGATTCTCCACGAAGACCGTTGTGATGGTTGCTAAGCAGATGGTGCGCCACTTACTGATCAATCCCCCGACTCCTTGCTAATTCTTTTGTTCCTACAGCTTTCGCGCGTTCAAACTATCCATGAAAAGAACCTCATCTACCGAGATATCAAGCCCGACAACTTCCTCATCGGGCGGCCATCAACCAAGGCTGCCAACGTCATTCATGTGGTCGATTTCGGTATGGCGAAGCAATATCGCGACCCCAAGACTAAGCAACACATCCCATACCGTGAGCGTAAATCCTTGTCCGGCACCGCTCGCTACATGAGCATCAACACACACCTTGGGCGAGAGCAGTCTCGGCGTGATGACCTGGAAGCTCTCGGCCATGTGTTCATGTACTTCCTGCGAGGCGGTCTTCCTTGGCAAGGCCTGAAGGCTGCTACCAACAAGCAGAAGTACGAGAAGATTGGTGAGAAGAAGCAGACGACAGCAATTAAGGATCTGTGTGAGGGCTATCCCGGTACGTTTTCTCGCATTCCGCAGCCCCGATGCTTGCTTGCTAATCACTTTGCCAGAAGAATTCAACAAATATTTGAGCTATGTGCGCAACCTTGGTTTTGAGGACACTCCCGACTACGATTATCTGCGTGACATCTTGACCCAAGCTCTCAAGAACGCTGGTGAGGTTGAGGATGGGGAGTACGATTGGATGAAGCTCAACAACGGCCGAGGCTGGGACTACAAGTCCTACTCATCCCAGGCACACCTCCGCGATCAACATCAAAGCTCATCCGGGCGTGATATGCACGCGAGGGAGCTCCGCAACAGTCAACGCCCGGGAGTCACAGCCGACCGTTTAAACGCCGCGCAGCCCCCGCCTCCATCTCCAGCCAAGGCCGGAGCCCAGAGAACGCGCGAGCGCCAAAGCGGCGGCGGAATACCGCCCAAACGTCAGAGCGGGGGATTGGAAGGGTCGACTCCGGCCGCGTCAACTCAAGCGCAATTCCAAAACTCGAATGCCCACCTTCCCAACCGCATTGGGAGCCCAGGAAACCAGGCACTGAATAGCCAGCAACCTCTCGGTGCTCAGGACAACAACGAAACGCAGCCCACCCTCGTTCAGAAGGTGATGAAGGCTCTGTGCTGCGGTAGGTGATTCGACACACCACTCTCGAGCGGCCAGCTCATCTTAGGATCCAGGTTGAACTTCAGTCAACTGAAGTGCAGGCTCGCGTAAACTTGCAGCCGCACTTCCTTCTCCTATCCTACATGTCAGAAATTGGCCTTTGAGGGTCGGCATGGGATTTCTTTCATTTTCTTCTCGCTCATTTTCCTCGCTCGTTTCTTGTTCTCCAAGTGGTCAGCGCCGCTTCGCCGAGCAAGATCCGCGCTTCTCGGCCTATACCACCCGGCCCTACCTTTTTTCTTTTCTTTTTGTCCCATTCCACTCTTCAGCCTACAAACTTGACTGGGGATAGGAACCACCCTTCTCTCATGGATGTTACGTCTCATCACTCTTTCATGGTGCCACGGCTCGGAACCGGCGAATCTTCTTGTGTTTTCGATTTGATTTTGCTGCCTCGTCTCGTCACTATATCCGGCGTGCACCGTTTAATACCATCCTTTTCAAACGGGCAGATGCTGGTTGATCCTCCGCCGTTGACCTGCCATGGGACTAGCTTTCCATGCTGCCTCAATTTCCAATGGTCTCAGCCCGCGCACGAGAATTTCCGCCACTGCAAGCAGTCTTGCTGGGTCTTGGTGGGGTCCAGCCCTTGCATTCTCGAACACACTCGTTTCCCTGTGTGTTCCGAACCTCATATTCTCGGTCGGGCAAAAATTGTCATGCATTTGCAGATAAAGAGCATGTTGCATATATCCCCCCCCCCCCCCACCCCCGTTCCCCCTTCTCAACCATCTGCTCTGCCCTTTGATTATTCCTTCGATCTATTGTCCATGTCTATAATCGTTTTTGTCTTTCGTCTTTTCTTGCTCTTCGGAAGCGAGTTTTGTTGGTAGTTGTGGCATAAGATAGCATTTTTCTTTTTTTCTTGGATTTCTTGCGGTTGTTCGTACGGCGTATATATAATTTCTGTAATAGAGCTATCGCATTGTGGGGTCTTTCAGTCTGTAGGGTAACTGATGTATTCCAAGGGTTTGAAGTCTCGAGTAATGGCCCTCCGTACCTGGGTATATATATATCTACGTGCCCAGGTCCCAGCCCCGAGGGCTCTGATTTCAACATTTGGATACCTTGAATAACTTGAATAACCATACCTAGTTATCTAGCCCTGGGGTACCTAATTGATGTGCCCAGGTGCCCAGGTTGTGCAGGGGTTGATTCAGACCAGAAATGAATATCAAGTCTCGACCTACCAGGTACCTACATAGGTAGGTAGTTACCTAGTAGATAGAAGACCAGGGCCATACAGTACATCCTTGGAATATCCCTGATATTTTCTCATGCCTAGCTACTCCGTAGAGACTCAAACATCCCTGGAGATGATCTATCGATTCAATGACAATTGCGTGACAGAGGCACAGACTGGGATATGTCGTTAAACTCGAGTCTAATTTCGAGACCATATATACCTGTGCGTAGAATAAACTTCCCATGACATTTTGAATCCCAGTATCAAAAAATCAATTGAACTCTACTGGCTCAATCGACTTGGGACAAAGTTCGAGATCCCACCTGAGCAGGGCTGGCAATTCTGCCCAGGGTACGAAGCATACAATTTACATCACACCCACACCCTGCAGTCCAACATGTTACCACGCTTATGCAAGGATCATCCGTCCCCAGGGCTGTGGCATGTCATAGCATGACGTCGGTCAGACTCACCCGTCAAGCGAATGGGACACTCGACCGCATCCCATACGTTTCAAACGTCCACCGGGGCCATCATATGATACATATCTACACCCCTGTTCGATATGGTCTCGAGATCCCGTTCTTCAAGTCCAGTCACCAGCTAACCAATCTATGATTTCAATTGCTAACCGACAATGCACCCGTCGATCACCCCAGACTCTGCCAAACTTAATCCCGATATCTCATGCCAATGCGCCAATGTGCCGTGCCACCTGCACTTCTGACCCTAAGCAGTATGGATGCCGAGAGTGTCCAACCCAACCCCATTCCCCTGCCACTCGGCCAATATCCAGCCTACGCCCTATACTCGGAGAATTGCGACTGTCCGTGTATCAAAGCATCACATTCAACGCCACCTCAAACATCATCAATAACACCAACAGTACCACGGGCAGCCAATCAATACCACCCGCCCCCTCACCAGAGGTGCAGCCTGCGCATGCTGCGCCGCAGCCAATCCCGCGTGCTGACACCAGCCACGCAGGATTCGATTACTCGATCTGGAACCCCGAGCAACCACAAACAGCTAGGGCTTAGAGCACGGAGTACGGAAGAGAGAGGAGCCGGTTCGTCGGCTCGATTCTAGTGATGAGCTCTCGATGCGTGGGACGAGGGTATTGGTGTGTCGGATGCTAGTGTTGGCCAGGTGCATATTCCCCGCATTTGAGTCCTTGGCAGGCGAGTCAGGCAGAGACGTTTTTCTTACTTTTCCTTTTCGGATTGGCTGTTGTGTGGGTTGCTGGACTCTTACTGGGCTCTTACTGGGCTCTTACTGGGCTCTTACTGGGCTCTTACTGGGCTCTTACTGGGCTCTTACTGGGCTCCTGCTGGGCTGGGCAGGAGCTGAGGACGGCTGAGCAGGGATCTGGATATAGTGTGTTGCGAGGATGGTTTGATTGGGTTGCAGCTGCAGCTTGAGTTTGAAAGCTTGGGATGGACTAGGATTTGCTTTTGGTCTGTTGCATTCAATTTGCATTCGATTCTGGATATTTCTACGAGCATGTACTTCTAGGCAAGGAGATAGTAATTCTGCACACCCCGTACTCCGTACAGTGTGTGATCCAGGGCTCAATAACGGTCGCGTGGGAATGTAATGTATAACATATGTATCACATTTACACTATGGGCACTAGTCCGTAATGGCCTGCGCACGGCTGGGAGCTAGGTCTCCCGCGATATGCGATCTTGACCAAACCAGTGGAAATCTCAGAACAGGCGAGACTGGAGAGAAATAACATTAGGTACGCAGTGGTACGATTGTAGCCGCTTAATACCACTAGGGCGTAGATCACAGCTAGTTACCCGTGGTTGTGAGAGCCAAAAAAGCAGGACCTTGGAATCAACAATGTCTCAAACGTTGGAAAAGAGGACCTTCAGCGCCTAATCCCGTCTATAGTACTCCGTTGATGTACATTCACGCCAGACATTTACTATTTAGAGGCTAAAATATGACTGTTTCATGTAGCGCCAGTTAATCCCGCGAGCAATCAGTGAAACGAGTCTAGAGTCGATCTTGATCGTCTGGCTCACTTGTTCTGGATTAGGTCTTTGGCACGACTCCATCCAAAATCAAGATTTTGGCTCTTCGGTGGATCTCAATGAAGTCATTTGCGGCTTCGACCGTCTGATCGACCGCGCTGCACTGTTTTGGGACTTTGACTTTAGGGGGATCTCATTTAAGTTAGCGTGTATCGGGTGGTTATCAGTGATACCCAGTGTAATCCAGAGTCTGGAACCATTCCTCGCACTTCCAAATCATCACGCTAGATATCCCGCGATCTGCACTCTACATTTTGACTTCTTCCCCGTCGTGTGACTGGCTCGGTCGCGCTGCTCCCCATGCTTGATATCTGTTTGATACCCGATCGGCAATCCCCATTCCATGTCTGGTTGGTCTCCGGTCTGGGGATGCACGTCATGGCGACTACTACAGGCTAAAGTGTGCAATATAGCTTTCAGGGGTAGATCCGCTTTCTTTTTCCCTACCTTGCGTGATTTGCGTATCCCTTGGTGAGGTCGGGCAGGAGAACCTTGGAAGCGGAAAATCCGAAGAGCCTGATACTCTGATGATTCGAGACCAGGGTACTGTAGCCATAGCAAACCGAAAGGGTAAGGTAGGTCGATCAATGCGTGGATTATTCGACACCCGAGGCTCGGCGTGCAAGGTCCAGTCCATATGGCATGAGTATATTCTGGTGTGACCGTAATGGAGAATGCATTCCTAGGACATTCCAAAATGACATTCCGTGAAAGCTTCAATTCCTGAGCAATGTGACTGTGAGATCCGATATCGCCGCAGTTGAAGTCCCGGAGCATTGACGAATATGAGTTAGGGCCGACATGGCAAGTTCGTGCCGTATCTGAGCCCCATACGGAGATACGCTGGTATCTGTACAATGGCACTTGGCTGAATCGAGGGGGGGGTAATGAATATTATGATTGCACATCCCCCACGCAACTAACACCAATCGAGAAATCAGTGAGACTGCCCAGGTGCAAGCCCTAGCAAATCACCCCAGGACCAGGACCTACAGTAGCGTCAAAGGGCCATGTACCCCAGTCCACAGTAAGGACCCAAAAAAAACAAGCAGAAAAGCTCGCATATCCCTCGCTAAAGAGCCGACACCGTTCTAGACGCTTGCCTGTTTCCATCGCAGACGCTAACCGTCGACACTAAGAGGCGCAAGGGCGCATCCTGATCCCGTGCGCAGCGATGTGGGGTGGGTTGATGGGCCCTCGGGGAGGACAACAGGGTGGATTCCTCACTTTTCTTTCCACTTTGGTCATAGTCCCTTTCGAAAAGAGATTGAGTCGTGTTTCGGTGTGGGGGTGTGATTGGCAGTATCTTCCTTTGGGTATATGCATGCTGCGCTAAGGGTACGAGTCAGAACCTGAACAGGCATTCGGTGGGCGCCGAGTCATATCCCCCTGCGGTCCTTCCGCACTCCGTAGGCGCCTGTGGTCTGGGGGCTTGGGGTTGTATGGGGTGATCGCTGGTATATCGTGCCGAGGAGCTGCATGGGCTTGGCACGTCTGATTGCTTTTTTGGTGTCTGCGCTATGTCTAGGTAGTCAGGTTACCTGCAGCTGTGCGGCAGCTATTGCCAGGTGTTGGAATGTGTCCTTGACAGTCGTATTCGCAGGTCTGTGCTTGCGATTGAATTTGCTAGTTGCATGAAACAAAAATATCCAGGGGCGATCTGTTTACCGATCAGACCGATGAAGGGTTCTAGGCGCCGTATAGAGAGTTCAGCCCATTTCGCGGCTGAGATGTCAACTGTCACCGGTGACAGGCGAACCAAGCTTCTGAGAACCAACCTTGGAAGTTAACCTTAAGGGCTGCAGCTTGATCCCTTGATAGTCTACAGTACGACACTGCACTACTCAATATAGGCACCTACAGTACTGTACTTCGTAGCCCTGGAGGTAATAATCGCTCACCTGACTCTAGGGCTCTTATCACTCGGTGAGAAGAGTGGATCTCCGAACAGATCCTCCGGTCTTGGACTCTTGGCTTCGGTTTGACTCGGCCCCGATTCTACTCGGGAGCCTGAAAAGCTGTCCAAAGGTGTCCAACGGACTCCATCGCCTCCGGATGGGAGCCCATTATTTCGTCTGCAGTCGGAACAAATAGGACGTACAATGCAAATCATCGCTCCGATAAGCGTCTGTCCTACCCTACGACTGCCAGGCTTGGCGTGCATGCTGTAAATAGGCACAGAGAACGGTGGCGACACACGGATCTCTTGAAAATTCTGATTCCACGGTGGAACTCGATTCAGGGGGATCAGATCATGTTTTGATATTGAGCGTACAATCTACGGTGACATTCAACCCGGTGGCGATCGTGTGGGTAAGCAGAAATCTTAAGTGCTTCGGCGGGACTTTCTAGAATTCTAGAAGGCCTGGGCGACACCGGTTGCGGTGACACGGCGAACTGCGCAGGGTTACGAGAATGTACAGTACTGTCTCCATCATATTTTTGTTATTCTAGAAGAGCGTAAATGGGCCTATCATGATACACCCTGGACACGCGTCGAGAATGAGAGCACATTCCTGTAGTACATATACAGAACACAAGCCTCAACCGGTTTGCCATGATCGGCAGGGCCCTGACAACCGTGATAAAGATAAGTTTGAGTTTTCCTACGTAAACAATGTATGTTGCAGTGAGGTTTTAGATGACGTGCAAGACGTGCGAGTACCCTCCAGACGCAAGGGACGGAGGTAACTTACACGTACCGTCTGGTAATAATACTCTGGAACCGTGGGTCGACAATGGGCATTCCGGTCTCGGATGGCGTGCTAGCGGCCATCGTGGGCCTGTTGGATTCTGAGATTGGTGCTAATTCACGATAGGCATTGTCCAGGCGATAAACGTCGAGTCTCCCGACGGAGTAGCCCGACAAATCTTGGAAGGCGATCGTATATATTCACCGTGGCGCTGGGTGGAGATCAGGGGAAAGAAAGAAAGCGCAAGGAAAAAAACGACCAAAGTCGCCACGTTGGGCGCTTCCAGAAACCGTGGAAGATTACACGTACGAGTTCTGGAAGAATAGTGGAGTGGGCAAAAACAAGGATGGTCTGCACGAAATTCCAATCTCTCCTGGTGTGTACAGAGTCGTATCTCTCACCACGTACTCGTCGTCTGGAGGTGTACAGTATATGGAGCCCAGTATACTCCCTTGCAGATCCTGAGCGCTTGTTCAAACGTGAAGGTTTCGTGGTGATCGTGTTGCCACAAGACGAGGACTGGGGGAGACACCAATGAGAGAGAGCGTGAGACAAGGAAGAGTGGGGTGGCCCCGAAACGGGCCAAGCGCAAACGCAAAAGCGAAAAAGAAAAAACGGGAAAATCCCCAAAGGGGCGAGGAAGGGCAGAAACAGGAATAGTGGAGTCATGGATTGAAAAGAAAAAAGAAAAAAAAGGGAAAAAGAAAAAGAAAATAAAAAAATAAAAAGCCGAATAATGACATCTTATCGAAAGACACTCCACTTGGGCGCAGAACTAGTCAGTGTCCCCACTACACCTACTCCACTCACAGCGCTGTACGAGCGATTACCCAAGGTATCGTCATGAGTGAACTCTGGAATCCGCCCTTTTTATGCCTTGGGATTCCCGCCCTCTCATCTTTTGCCCTTTACCTTAAACGCTCGATATCTCCATCACTGTCTGACAGTGATTGTCCATGCCTGTATCATAACACCCATCCTGGAGATCCGTTCCACACGCAGGGGACGTCTGCGAAAAAAGCCGACACAGGGCCCCCGACGCACACTCTACGCTATGCTTAAAAAGAAGACCCTGGCGCCGTCCCTCTTCTTCCGGAACCACACCCCGACCGCAACCCCCGAATTGTCTCCCACATCCTCCGACAGTGATTCTGAAGAGGACATGGAATCCTCTGGCTCCCGACCGGTCAGCCTGGCGGGAGCCTTCTCCATGCGGCCAACTCTCGATGAGGTCCTCGCCAATGTCGCGCCGCCCCCATACACTCTGAGCGCTTTCATGGCCTACCTCTCTCAAAATCACTGCCTGGAAACCCTCGAGTTCACCATGGAGGCCAACCGGTACCGAGAATCCTACTTCGCCCTGCTCGACCGTCTTGGCCCCAGCGCCCTTGAATCGGATTGCCCTGAAAGTAAACACATGCGGATGCTCTGGCAGCGTCTACTGACTGCCTACATCTTCCCCGGCTCACCGCGTGAGATCAATCTGTCCAGCGAGGTCCGCGACGCCCTCCTGCAGCACGCCAATGTCACCGCGCCACCCGTGCCCGAGACCCTCGACTCGGCCATCAAACGCATTCACGAACTCATGGAGGAATCCATCTTCCTCCCCTTCATCAACAGTCACACCCTGTCTCCCTCCATGATGCCATCCGACCCCATCCTGGGTCCAGATGACTCCCTCACCCTCTCCGCCCCATCCCTCGACGAACACCCCGTGAAGCGGGTGCGGTCGCGCGTGTCCAAACGCCTCTCCCCTCAGTCGTCCCTCAAGGATCTTGCTTCTGGCCACAGCCGCTCGACCATGTCACTCGGCCAAGCCATCGGCAAGCGCACCTCGGGTGCCTTGTTGAGCACCAGCGTCGAGTCCGGCTCGCTGGCTTTGACGGATGATACCTCCGCCCAGTCCAGTCCCACCGCCGAGGAACCAATGACTCCTCCCACCACCCCGCCGGCCAGTGAACCCCATCTGCCCATGAGCCCAAAGCTTCGCACCGAGAACCCATGGAAGAAGATGGGCATGAAGCTTGGGTTCAAGAAGCGGTCTAGCGGGTCTGGCGGCGCGTCGCGGGATCCAAAGATCCTTGGATTGGACGAATAATTTGATCTATGACACGACTACGACGACCCTTTCAGCATGACGCACATCACACGACTTGATTCTAGCCTTTGTTGAGCGTTCTCAGCTCTATTTTCTTTTTCTCTTTTTTTCTTTGGCGGTGTATGAAAGCACGATGCATCAGCATACGAACGGCGTTTTCCTTTACTTCTCTTCATTTGTTTATTTTTGCGAGATTGTCTCCGGTCGAGCATCTCTGGTTTATTGGCGGCATCGGGAATCTCCCCATTTATCATATCATGTTCTCATCTATAGATTGGATAGAGGACCACCAGTTGGACATCCTCTGGTCGGCGTTTTTGTCGAGACTTCGGTCTCCCTCCCTCCTGGGATTTTTGGAATCAATAGATTTGATACCCCCCTTCTCCTCTTCTTCCCTGTAACCAAACCTGTATCAATATTTACCTGCCTAACGAGGTCCGTTGGCAATGCATATCCTGCATATTGTGTTCCCACCCCAACTGCCTTGCATCTGAGCCAATGCCCCATATCAATCACACCGAACCGAATATACCCCGTCCCCCTCATCAGCATGCAGCTCCCCGTTTCACAAGACTGGGTTCCAAGACCAGGTCTCGGTCTCAGGTCACACATCAGCCAACGAACGCGGAGAGCCGGGGAGACAATCTATACCTTCCTGTGGTTGCACAATGGCCCCGTAACCCCCACTCGGTCCATACACCAGAACAAGACAAAGACGTTGGCAAGGTGCATCGTCACCCCTGTTCAAAGTCAATTGAGGTAGTATTGGCGTTCTAAAGTATAGAATAGACATCAAATATCAATCCTCCTCCCACTCCTCGTCTCCAGCGCCGCAATCTCAACATTCCAGCCCACGGCTCGCAATTTCACTAAATATGCCCCAAATCGATCTCCCTCGTTGAGGAAAGCGAGAGACTCCTCAATAACATCAATAACATCGGATGACCCATCCCACGACTTCACAGCTAGCAAACCATGTGCCCAAGCCTTCAATTGGTCCTGAACCGAGCAGCCCTTCTTAAGCACAACGGAAACATGTCTCTTCTCCGACAAATAGAGTAAATAAGCCTCACCGCTGAAAAGCCCCGCCAGTCGCCCTAGTGGAGGCTTCTCCGCCACAAAGGCCGCCATTGGAACACCCACCCGAGCCGATCCCAAGTACACAGACGTAGACCCAGCCATCCACTGCAAAGCGCCGTCTCGATGAAAGATGCTCTCTTGGCTGGCGACCTGCGCAGGCGTCAGGACAGCCCATTGGGTCGATTCAACACCCTTATCGGAATCTAGCAGTGCCGAGAAAGCGATATTTGCCCGTTGACGATTCAGACTCGTCATCTGCACTGCCCGCACGGCCGCATAGTTCATGCCTAGATGTAGACCCAGCAGAACGAGAAGAACTAGCCACGTCGTCGTGAACCCTGTTATCTGGGAAACGACTACGGAACCAACCTGTCACATATGAGATACCTGGCTATATGATTAGGGGTCAATGGGTTGTACATACCAGCATTCCGAAGAGCGAAATAACAGTCTCTTGAGACGAATCTTTCTACGAATCATTAGCTGAATTCCTTTCCCCCGCCTGTAGACGACTTACGGCATTGAGTTCTGCCAGATTCCCCCACTTGGCGAAGTGTGCACTAAGACTCGCTTTGGAGCTCCCGCCCGCCACGCCGCAGAGGGCGCGTAGTACGCCTGCCGTACTGAGCACGGTGACACGCATTGCGCCGGCCGGAACACCTGGTGAGAGACAGTCAAGGATCATGGCGATGTCGTTGAAGACGTCCGCGGCTAGTCGGTAGGTTTTGCATTCTGGCTCGAGGGCTGTACCGACGCGGTGCGCGAATAGAATTGTGGCGATTCGCCCGGAAGTATCTTGCAAGATGTGAAGGAGAAGGGCAGATGTTGGCGATGCATTGGGATTGCCAACTCCAACGCCTGGGGCTGTTAGTTGAGCTAGACTGGCTGAGGGTCTTGGGGCTGTACCTTGGAGGACGGCGCGGGAGGAAAGAAGGCCTGCTATTGAGCTGCAGAAAGCTTGAAGAGAGTCCTTTAATATGTTAGTATTGATTTGCGTTGTTTTGTTGCATACTGCATCTATGCTTATGCCAATGACTGCTGGGTTGTAAGCTCACATAGACTTGGTATCTACTTCCAAGTCAGCACTCGCTGCAGATTCACTGTGGGTATTCCAACTGGTTCTCTCATACTCACGGGAGATAGTCATCGCTGACACTATGGGGGTATCCCGAAGGAAGAAAAACATCACTCAAAGAGGTGATCAGAGGCTTGGCTGACCATGAAGTTGGTGGCGAGGAGCTCTATAAAAGCAGTCAGTTTTCATTGTTCGAGGGATTGGACAATCTTGAATTCCGAGGCGAAAGCTAATATGCTGTAGTTGATATCCATAAGGGCCGAAATTCCCAAAAGACAATCAAGAGTTGACTCTAGGCTTGCAGTAAACAACCGTTGAGACGTGTTCACGGGCAACGAAACACGGCGTCTGACAGTACTTCTGCTGCTGTCCCGCATCTGGCACTCATAAAAAGGCCATGTAGACAGGAATTTGCTTTGCTCACACAAAAATTCATGCTCTTGAGATAATGGAATCAAGATGAGAACACATGTACTTACAATCGCATCCACCCGTCCTACTCGCTTTGAAGAGCCCCCCTGCTCCGAGTAGACGAAGGTTGCAGTGGGGTTGCCAGCTCCATCTGTTTCCTGGAAGGTCAGCTTAGTTTGAGATTCCATGCTGAGGGACTGGAGGCGAAAGTGCTAGCGGTGGACGTTGAGGTTCTGGGCACGTGAGACCTTCGATTTAGCCCTAGAGTCCTTTTCCCTCCTCGTGTTAATTTCAGTGCCAAATAAATTGCCAGGTAATTGACTGAATATGTTTTGATTTCTCCGGAATATCTTTCGAATTGATATCCTTATTGACTTCCAAGGGTTGTTTTCGATGCTGCTTTATCGGTACCGAGTGTTCTCAAAGCTACATAGGTACTCAGATTAGCCCTAGGTATTTGCTTCGAACTTTGCTGTTTTACCTTGCTCTATCATTTCTGAATTGTATACCGCAAGATTGTTAGATCATTCTTACGGTCAAATCCTGTACCCAGGGAAGTGTCTTGAGAGTCAGTGAAATCGGTCGAGATACTAGGTACAGGGTGCTGAACAGCATCCATGATGGAATTCGGACATCCTTCCGATGTTCAGGTATACATGTACTATGTACAGTCAAAAGAAAATTTACAGTGTTTTGAAACATAGTACTGTCTTCATTTAATTAGACTCTGCCCTCACACCATGTTCTCATCTCATCGTTTGCTTGCTGAATTTACCTCTTACTAGCTCCCTCTCTAACTAATTAAAGAGAATTTTTCATTCTGGGATCTGTCTTTCCATTTTTACCCACGCTGAGACCTTGATGGCCACTTGGGATGAGCTCGGGCCTTGAATTCCGCCCAAGGCTGTGAAGTGGGATCATGCAGAGTGCCCACAAGCGGGCTTTCGCTCTCGCCACTAGAACCGACACATAATCAAGCACTGCTACAAGTTCCCAGGTAAGGAAGTGAAGAGTACCCAGAAACACCTATGCCAAGGATGATTTACTCGAACAAAGGCTCATGAAACCTTCACTTCTAAGAAAGACGAGATCATGGGAAGCTGCCCTATTGAGATGCTCCCAAGTCACGATGAGGCAGAGATCCGGGTGACAATTCACAGTGCGAGCTCAGAAAAACATTCTCCTGGCAGCATTAGTCCTGGGCAAAATTGATCATCGGATGACAGCTCCAGGTGAGGACATCCTTGCATGGCCATTCTGTAAGAATGATGACTCTTTAGGCATTGGATGGACTCATGCATGCAAAAAAGCCCCGCATTCCAGCGTGTGATGATTTCTGCTTCGAGTGCTTGAATGATATTCATAGGACCTTGTGGAGATGAGGCCTTGATTGTACTAGGTAACGATGGGTCTATGAAAAATGTACTTTGAGGGCTGCACGGGGTGACTTGTTCATGAAGGGAATGAATTACCGACTAACTAGGTATGATTCATGTCAAATATCGAACAAAATAGGTAGAATTAGCAGATACTAGTTATGATCGTCTCACTGCAGCACCCTAGCAATTTGGGGGTTGCATACCTATCTCACGGGCGTATTAGGAGGAAGCAACCAATGGCCGGGACCGCTAAGAATCGCCAAGGTTGTCAATAATCGGTAATTCGAGGCTGGGCCCTCTCGCGCCCGGGATATTCATAATTCAAGGGGGGCGATACTGTGAACGCAATCCGTCCAGTGCCTTCGGGGCTCCAGCCGGCCAGGGTCTTAGTCGTGTCCCCGCTATGTCGTCAAGATCCCGTAGGGCTATAACTGAAGCTCTGAGCTATAATACTAGGGCGACATATGCATAAAGCTTAACCTGAAGACGAGGATATCAATTGAGGGCTCCCAGAGCCTAAAATCTCTCATAATCTATGTAACGAACGAACATGCTCGCTTTTGGAACATCAAGACAAAAGTCGCATGTCGCGAAGGATTCAAACACCGAGAAGCAACCACCAGCGCCGGGTACAGAGAAGAAACGGGGAAATAGAAAAGTAGCCAACCGCTGGGTTGGCCGAGGGCGTCCTTGCCGAGTCGACAAGGAGGTATAATTGAAGTGGCCGGGTCCGATCGCATCGCGATCGGCTTGCAGTGCTATGACTGCAATCGAATCTTGAAATCCAATTTCAAGGCGGAGCCCGGAACTTCGGCTAGCGTCACGCCCACGCTCATATATCTTAACACAAAATCATCATCTCAGGCGATCTAAGCGAACATGCTCGCGCCGCCAGTCTCGATGGCCTCCATCTCGGCCTGAGTCCAGGGGAGACGACCGAAGCGGGAGGGCAGCTCGGAGCGGTCAAAGAACTCGCCGCTCTGGGGCTTGACGGGACCGAGGGACGCGCCCGAGTGGCCGCCAATGGTGCTGTTGAAGGAGGAGCGACCGAGCGGGCCGTGCTGCTGGGCCTTGGCGCGGTAGGCAGCGAACGAGTCGGGGAGAGCACCAGTGGGAGAAGCTGGGTGGACGCGAGGAGTGTGGTCAATGGACTCTGTTGCGGGTTAGCTGGTTGAAAATCGAGATTTGGGGGGGCGAAAGACGAAAGTCTCAGGGATCGCACGGATTGCACGTACTAGGGACAGAGCGCTTGCCAACGAAGCGGATGAGAGGGGTGCGGGCGTTGCAGAGAGCCATGGTGACACGCATGATTAATGTAGTGGGAGTGGTAGTGGTAGTGAGGTGAAGGTGAATTTCAGAGTGTGCGAAAATGAACGGGTCCGGTAGTATCCGAGCCGGGTACGCGATGTGGAGTTAGGAGGTTGGGAGGGTGTAGCTCGAAGAAGATGGTATTAAAGTAATTGAAGAGAGAGAGAGTGTGTGTGTGAATGTGTCCCGAGAGTGTAGAAGAAAAAGAAAGATGGAGGGGAAGAAAGACAGAAGATAAGAAAGCAGGGTTACCGTATTGGGACGACCCGACCTGCATCCGATTGTAGTGGTCTACCCGGTACAATTCAGTCTGTGTCACGCAATGCCCGCTTCGAACTACGCTTTTCAGTTCAATATTCCTTACTCTATGAAGTACACGAAGTACAGTACTCGGAGTCCCGTCTACTCCGTATGCACTCTGCAGTACTTCGTACAGAGCCTCGGATTTGCATCCGAGATGCTTGCCATTGGAGAACGGCGCCGTGGAGCCCATGATTTCCAAGCTCCCCGCAGCCTGAAGCATTCATATGATTCCCCAACTTCTCCGATCTTTTTCCTCGTTAGTGCGCCCGGTGAGCTCCTCCTCCAACGTTCTTTGAGCTCCCTCGCCACCAATCACTCTCGTACAGTTCCCCGTACGGAGTGCACTGGACGGAGTTCACGGACCCGACCTGTACTGTACAACACAAGTCGAAACACGATTGGCCGTCTCCCCGCAATTGTCGAAGTTGCGAAACGACATCTGGAAGCCGATCGGACGCCAAGACCTGTTACCAAATACCCACACACACGACAATTGATAAGAACCTGGCAAAGCTTGGACCCTGACTAACCTTCTTCCCCCGGCTTTACCCGTCAACATTCACTATGCACGAGCAGTCACTTTTCGCCTCGGTCCCTGTTCATCAGCATCATGAGCTTCTTCAGCAGCTCGCCGGGCTGACTGCTATGCAGCCCCGCCACTGCCTGGAGCGGCGGATGATCTTCAAGGCCTTCCGGAAGCCAGGGCTGGCGGGGCGCACAGGAGCCAGTCAGGATCTCCAACAGGGCGACCTGCAGCGGTTGAACAAAATGCTGAATGGCAACATGTACTACACGCAAGTCGTCGGACCAGTCACCGAGGCGGACTTTGGATCTTCCGACTCCGATGCTCAAATGATCGGGACGGAGCCTATCTACGATTATGGCCGACAACCGTGGAAATTGGAATTTCGCGACATTCCCGAAGCTGGGACCCGGTCGGCAGTCACGTCGCGGCTGATGTCGAGTGCGACCCTGCCGCGGGGGAACATCATGCCATCGATGCTCGCGTGGGGATATCAGTAAGTGGCGCCACCCGATCTTATGATCGACGCTGATCCCGTTAGCTTCACAACCGAATATGTGGTCGAGGGTGACATGTTCGTTCACAACGATATTGCCATCTTCCTGCATCGGGTGCTGAACTACCCGGATGAATCCGGTCAACCACGAGAAACGCTGCCTGCATTGAAGGACATGGCCCTACTGGAGAAAAGTGGGAGCTATGTGTTACAGGCTTTCATTACCGTCCAGGATGGCAGTAACCAGGAGACGATGAAGACGGCCTCGCAGCATCTCTTCGGACTGCGGGAACAGTTGAAGTCGGCCGTTCGCTTGGAGCAGGCTGATCGATTGTCACTTGACACTCGGGCAAAGTAGGCCGCCGGCAAGTGTTGAAAACTACGAACAGCAGCCAGTGACTGCATGACTACCTAGGTACATTTGGATTGACACAGGAATGGTCTAGTGACCTAAAAAAAACCCCCCAAGATACCCATTTTACACCCGTGGACTCAGATGCATACCTAGGTATCTCATCATACTGGTATTCTTTCTGTGAACTGCATTTATTCGGGCTTGCAGGTACTCCCGAGTCAGAGGATAGTCCATATGCTCAGGCCAACATATGTAAACCGGCAATTGGTCGTAGCCTATGGCGTTGTCGCGCCGTGTAATTGTACAACAGAAATCAGGAACGAAACGCTATCTACTCTGTAGCATTCGATGGGTTGAACTGCATGGCTCGATCATGGCAATCAATTGCTATACTGAGGGCCATAGTATATTTCAAACCCTGAATTGCATGTCACCGTCGTGCCCGGTTGGACGTGAATCTGAAAGATGAATCCATCCATGGATAGATCGGCTGAACATGTGACTTCGCGATGACTCACGCGTCTCAGCGCGTTCACGTCTCCGGATGTCCAGCATCAGATCAAGGAACTACAAACCGCCCACCACGTTTTCCATCACCCGGATTCTCAGAATGGCAGAGGGGACAGCCAAGCGAAGCGCTTCCCCGGCAATTTCCCCACCTCCACTGCGCCGCAAGGTCGACACAACGACTAGTCAGTTCAAACCCCCAACACGAATGCGCCTAATTGACCACAACCGCAGAGAGTTCAGCGTCCAATTTCTTCACACCGGCATCGCAGAAGAAACCCGCGCCAATCACGTGGCGCTTGATTGGGACGAGTGTTATCATCGGAAAACAGAACACAGGCAACCAAGTCTCAGCAGACAAGCCGCGCCGCATTGCTGGTTTTGATCTGGTCAGTTGGTGTACAAGCTTCTGATGAGCGGTGTTGTTGACATAACCCAGGACTCGACATTGATTAAGACAAAATCCGGAAATGTCTTCCCCAAATCTGCCACAGATTGGCAATGGTGGAACGAGAAGGTTCCAGGACGGCTGAAGGAGCTCAACTCAGAAGGGTATGGCCCTTTCGATTGAGAAGCATCGATTCAAGCTCATTCAGTCTAGCTACCAAGTCGTCGTCTTCTCAAACCAGAAGAAAATCAGTGTCCAGAAAGATATCAAGGCTGGGCGCAGTGACTCCAAAAGTCTCACCAACTTCAAAGAGAAGATTGAGGTGATAATGACCCAACTGGATTTCCCATTCAGCGTCTATGCTGCCACCACAGATCCTGAATACCGAAAGCCCCGTCTTGGGATGTGGCGGGAGTTCCTGGATGATTATGATCTCGATGTTGCGGGTGTTGATCTTCCTGGGTCGTTCTTTGTCGGTGATGCTGCTGGTAGACCGGGAGATCACTCGGCTGTGGATCGGTAGGTGCGGTCCTCCCCGTGACCGGAATCATACTGATGTGCTCAGGGGCATTGCTACTAACATGGGCATGCCTTTCAAAACACCAGAAGAGTTCTTCCTAGGGCAAGCTGCTGAGCCCGTTACTGGACTGTTTGATCCTGTGTCGTATATGAAGGATGATCTTGAGGAGCCAGGTATGTCACTATATCTTGATTGTCATAGTTATTCATGTGGCCCTGTGGGCAACTAATGAGTCGCGGATAGCCAAACCCTTCTCTCGAAAACACCCTGTGGAAGTCGTCATCTTCTGTGGAAGCCCGGGTGCTGGAAAGTCCACTTTCTACTGGAACCACCTTGAGCCTCTTGGCTACGAACGAGTGAACCAAGATATTCTCAAGACAGTATGTATCCAGCCTCGTAGCCCGTCGGTTCTTTCTAACGAAGATAGCGCCCGAAATGCATCAAAGCTGCCCGCGAGTTCTTGCAGGACAAGAAATCAGTGGCGATTGGTAAGCATTCTCATACATCCCGAGGTCTGTAATGGCATTTCTAATATCTCTAACTCCACCAGACAACACAAACGCCAACGAGGAAACTCGAGCCTACTGGGTCGAACTGGCGAAAGAGTTCAACGTGCCCATCCGTTGCGTTCAATTCATTTCCACTCCGGATCTGTGCCGGCACAATAACGCCGTGCGTGCCTCGAACAAAGAATTGGTAAGCACTGTGCAGCCCCCGGGGCCTCACCAACTTCGCCACTAACACCCCTGCCAGAACCCCGAGGCCCGAGCCTCCCTTCCCGGTATTGCCTTTGGCGATTTCGGACGTCGCTTCAGTGCTCCCAAACTCGAGGAGGGCTTTGACGACATCATCCCGGTGGAATTCCAATTCCGAGGGAGCAAAGAGGCGAAGGAGCTATGGGGGCAATATTGGATTTGAATGCACAAGCAGGGCCGCGTCTCTGCTGACGCCTAGACTCCCGTTAATCTATTTTGCAGCCGAAACTTGACATATAGACGTTGAGCCATCGCAGTTTGACCATGGATATTGATCTCGACTGCTTGAATCTGAATCTGAATCAATGCATGTTTCGGTCATATCTTTAGAATTTCACGTTTAGTGCTATATACCAATCATTTACTATTAGCTAGGGATCTAGTCAGGAAATAAGACATTCCATCATCTCGGGCTTACAGATCCGAGGTCGGCGCAGCGTGCATACTTAGTGGCTCTCAGGACTCCGTGCTACGAGTAAGTACCTGCATGTTTGCCGGCTTTTAACCCCTCACGAACCCAACAAAGAGCTTTGACCTTCACGTCAGATGCAGAGGCAAGGTACTCCCGAAGCTAATGATTCCTCATAAGGACATTGTTCTTTTTGTTTCGCCATGTACTGTACAGAGTACAGTCTAAGAGCCGTTGGACCCAACGCAAAATGGCGGTAGCGCCTGACCCACCTGGGCGTGACTCACAGAACCTCGAAGGCTCTGGGCATCGAAGTTGGGTATTCTACTAGCATGCCTCACTTGGCCCCCTCCAGGCTGCAGTTTCATTATGCACCAAGTCAACCCCGAACTAGTCCATGTGGACAGGGCGGTTCAGCTGGGCTCGAACCCGGTGGACAATGGCAAGGATTTAGTCATGATGAAATTGATGATGATATGTATTATTGAGTGTCCATGCAATTGTGGTACTTGCTTTTGCGAATATCTAGTACAGGAGCAATAGTAGTGTATGAGGGGGTATAAGAGTAACAAAGAAAAAAGGATATCCCAAAAAACAAAATGAAAGACATGATCCGCGAGAGACAGTAGTCGCGGATCGTAATTGAAACATCAAAAAGAGAGACATTAATCATGGTATCTATCGTCATTAAGCGTTGAGCGTTGAGAAATGCATGTTGAAAAAAGGGTGGGAAAGTCAAGGTCTGGAAACGAGATCCTGGAAGAAACGGAAGAAATTCCTCTTTTTCTCAGACTTCGCACGACACCCCGCAACGGTCATCGGGCCGACGATATCTTCGTCGCCCATTTCGGGAAACTTGTCTTCGTGCAGACGCGGGACCCGCACTTGGCACGGGTGAGATTGCGTGAGCGTCAGTGCGACCCCGTCGCAGCCAAGCTGGTTGAGGACGCTGTCGTATTGCTTTTGCCAGTCCGCATTGATCGACTCCCACTTTTCCACGGTAAGCTTGTAGATGTACGAGGTCACGCCGTAGTGTTCCCCGGTGCGCACAAGATGCTTGGCGAAGTTGCAGCGCGCAATATCCCAGTCTGCGCGCAATTGTTGGAAATGATCCATATCGTAGATGGTGGGCATGTACGGCTCTGGGGTGATGGTGAAGTTGGCGTGGCCTAATTTGTTGGCCCATTCGTCGTTGGGGTCGGAGAGGACGAAGGGCGTCACGTCGCCGGAGACGGTGCGGACCGTGCTCGCGCGGGGACGGTTGAATGAGGCGATGGAGGGCTTGGAAGAGAGAGGAGGCGACGGGAGAATTCCCATGAAACGTGGATCAGAGGTCACATTATAGTGGTGTTCGCTGACGTCTGCCACGGACGGGGATTGAAGAGGCGATTGAACGCGGGAAGCGGTGACGCTGGTTGGGTCGTCACCCATGAATGGTGGGAGGAGAGGCGTTGTGGCCTGGGCATCGTTCTCGTCTTCCTGGAAGCTGTTGGCACGGGTGATGTCGATTGGGCGCGTGCCGGACTCGCTGGCGCGTTCTTCAAAGATGGTTCTGGCGGGAGATGGAGGAATCGAGTCCACACGGCTCATAGGCACGGGACTGGTGATTGGGCTGGCGAGAGCGGATGAAGCGGCCGAGTTGGCGCGCGAGCGTAGATCGTCGGGGAACATATCGGCCTCGCCGCCGGAGCCGCGCTTCTTCCAGCGTGCTGACATCGTTGAGATGTGAGAATTAATTCGTGAAACGCCTTTCATCGACACGCTGTCGGAGCGGCGCTTCTTAGGTGACGGGGCGGTTTCCATGCCGGTGTCGCTCAGATCGTAGGTATCTGAGCGGTCCACTGGGGCGAAGTAGGACTCTTCCGCCGATGTATCGTAATCAAAATGTTCTGTGGATCTGGTTAGTAAGTCCATTGGTGGCAAATCGTGCGTGGGAACGTACGGAAGTACTGGTCCTCCAAAGAGTCGCGTGTGCAATCCTCCTCTTTCACTCCGGTCAGATGGCTTCGACTAGGGCTATCGAGTGAGTTTCCGAGACCAGGCGCGGAGGCCAGGGACGACACCGAGCTGGAGACTCGATTATGGCCCGTTGCGGAGAATAGAGAGACCGCCGGCGAGGCAGGCGCCGAGGTATTGATGGTCAAGGGCGAACGCGGTTGGCGGGCCATTGGGTCTTCCCTCGCGTCGATTATTTGCGATAATTTGTACATGATGCCGCAGGGCGGGTTGTTATGTTGATCGATGATCGTGGTTCATCGAATGCGAGGGGTATATAAGAGCTCAAATGGTACAAGTCATCCCCAAGTTGGGCAAGAATATATGTAGCGGTGTGATCCGGGAATAGCGGGAACTGAAGTCCACGACCAGTTAGGAAAAGAACGAATAAAAGGGAAACAAGGTCAAGAAATCCACCAAAATGCCGAGCAACGTGGACCAAACAAGTCCACTTGAGCCAGCTGGCTGGGCAGACAGACGGGAGTGCTTACCATCGACAAACGGACTGGGGGAGATGCAGTGATGCAGGGAGATACCTGCCAAAGAAGCAAAGGGAAACAAAGTACGAAGTATCAGTAGAGAGAGAGAGAGAGAGAGAGAGAAGAGAGGAAGAGAGAAGAGCAAATAAAAAGACATCTAGACTTTCAAAGAAACCGTTTAAGGTGGGGATTCCATCAGATTCCCGGCAAAAAAAGAGAAACTAACAAACTCTCCCGGAAAATCGAAAAATCGAAAAAATCGAAAAATGGAAAACATCGAATCGGCGATCGGCGCTGTTTTTCCCAAACGGTCGAGCTCCGCCCAGTTCCGGTGGTTGACACAGCTCGAACCACGGGTATTGGTGAGTCTGGAAGGGTTCTTTTTACTTTAATTCTTCTTCGGTGTTTCCCTCCAAGTCCACTGTGTTCGACTACTATACAGTAGGTCTGTTCGCGCGACTCCGTACTCCGTACGAGTATCATACTGTCTCTTTGTTACAACGGCTACACAGCACGGTTGTGTCACCCAGTCAAGTTCTACACATTGCCAACCAGGACCCTTTTTTAAAATACTGTGTGTGCGATCGACAACATCTAGACTGGGGTGGGGACCAAAACAAGAACCACTATGATGCCACCGAGACCCAACTGCCCCGTCGTGATTCGTGGGGAATACTCGGGTCACCTGCTGCTTTTCTTCTGTATAGATTCTTTATGTCAATCGATCCAGTTGATCTAGTATGTGTGAGATCCATCCCCATTCTTACACCCTTCCGGGCTAGTGCATCCGTTGGACCTCCGACGCTGAGCAACCAGTCTCCTCCCGGCGTCAGAACTTTGTCCGAGTATGACGGGCAGGCAATTGCCAGCCATTGGGAAATGCCCATGGTGTCGCGAGATCACACGAGTAGGGCTGTGCTAGCCAGATATCATATCGGCATTCTGTCTCCGAACTGGACCTGGCCTGCCCTACGTCAGGATGCAGACACGAGTCAGGCATCTGCGACCCTGTCAGGCCAATTTGGCAAATTGATCGAAATCTCTCGCGGAGGGGTACCTTGAGTACGCCGTACATAGGACCCGATGTATACATACAGCGGACAAAGGACTGGACGTCAGATCCACATGGCCTACCAAACTTCTTTCGGGGTTCTCGGGGAACAGACGGGATAAGTTGCCCTGGGAAAAGGCCAGGAAAGAGGGGAACATCCATGGTCGCTGGACGCCTTTGCCTCTGCCCGCCGGGTGTGCCTCTGGAGGCGTCACTTGGCGCGGGAATGATTTTCGGCTACCAATGTGCTTCGACAGGTCACTTTGTTTCTATCACTCTACTAATATTTCTTAAACCAATTTCCCGTGTGTTGGCCCGATTTCGATATATCATTTCCCGCAATGAAGCTGTTCTGCCGATCTCTACAAAGTACGATCGTATCTCTGTCAAAATGCATTGTACATCACTTAGAGTAGGGCTAGGACAGAAGCCTCGCTGAGGTTCCGAGTGGCATCTCTCTGGCGGTTGGGGTTGGCCAATCATCGCCACTCGGCTAAGGAGCCAGGGAACCAGTGGAAAAAATCAACCTGAGGCTGAGATAAGCAGAAGAATACCCAATCAGGAAGTGAAGCCCTCCGATCCCGGGGCGATGTCATGTTGATGTCACATGTGAAAACCGGCTGAAGAGTTCGACAATTAGCCCTGGAGGTATGTAACAGGTGAGCTCAGGTGGTAGAGCACTTCGTATCGCCTACTCCGTATAGTGTTTAAATTGAACTGTGAATACGAGGTTGGAAACTGAGGCTAATCGACCTCGAGATACATTCCACGAGATACATCCAAATTAATCAAAACCGCCACTGCGACAACCAATTCCGCATCATGTCGGCAGATACCGGTCCTAACGCCCTCATACTCTGACTTGCCACCTTGGCCCAGCTGACATCCAGCGGCACCGACATGGCGCTTCCCTCATCCTGCAGCCCCCGGTAAAATGGCAACAACTTGAGCGCAGGCATGGAAGCCAGATCCTCGGCGCTGGGATTGGCGATACTTTCTAGCTCGGCAACCCACGCGGCATAATCCACAGGCTCGACTGGGAACGCCTCCTGGACCGCCGGGATCAACGACAACCACGGCGCGAGTTCCGAATTCGTCAGGTGAAACACGGCTGGAGAAGCACCCCTATGACGTGTGTGAACAATCTCCACTAGGATTTCAGATAAGGTGTCCTAATTACGATGGGATCAGCACTCGGTTTGTTCGGCATGGGAATATGAAAATATGAAAGGGACTTACGACTGGGACCCAGTCCACCGGCATCGACCCAAGTCGGTTGGGGATTTTGCCCAGGGTCTTCGAGGTCGCGATGATGGTCGGTAGCCATTCGTGCGGATTCCATTGTCCGCTTGAACTTTGGGGCCCGGCGATCTGGCCGACACGGTACACTGTCGTCGGCACTTGAGATCGTCGCGACGCTTCGAGACAGATGCGCTCGGCGACGTGCTTGGACTCGCCGTACCCTTGGGGGAGTACCACCGCGCTGTCTTCCATGGGGACTTCTGGAACCGAGGCTCCCATATCAGGTGTCCAGCCGCCTACCGTGCTGACCGAGGAAACAAAATGCAGATGGGCATTGTGCCGGCTGCTCAGACTGAAGTCCACGAAGCGACGGACACCCTGAATGTGGGTATCTTCGAAAGAGTCAACCGAGTGGTTGAAGTCAACTTTCCAGGCGTTGTGGATGATCGTGTCGACCGAGCTGAGGAGCGCTTGGTACTTGGCTTCGTCAAGGCCAAATCTGGGCGCTCCGAAGGAGGCCTGCAGGAACTCAACTCGCTCTTGCCAGTCGTTTGCAGTGAGGTGCAGACCCTTGGCTTCGAAGCCTTGCTTTTGGCGGGCCTTGGCCTCCGAACGGTTGAGGCAGTAGACCTTCGACACCCGCTTGTCACTCAAAAGAGAATGAAGTAGATAGTTCCCCAGGGAGCCGGTTGAGCCGGTCAGAATCACAGTCGTAGGCGTAGGTAATTCGGTTTGAAGGTGTGCTTCCCGGATTGGGAGATCAGACGTGTACTTGTCCACCAAGCTTTGAATCTTCTCCTCTCGTGGGATTTCAACCTGGGACTTTCCATCCAAAATGGTCACCACAAATTGAGACAGTCGGTCTACCGTCGGGTTTCTATAGATCGCCTGTGGATTGATAGCATTCGCTTCCACCTCTGGGCGACGCTTCTGAATTCCCCATTGCAGCAACTGAGAGACTCGGATGGTCATCAAAGAGTCAAGACCGGCGCTGTCAAAGGTTTGGGTGTTGGAGAAATCAGAACGTTCCAGGACGTGAGCAACAACCTGGCGGGTGAATGCCGGAACACTCTCCTCGTTCAAGGTATCCGGGAGGATTTGATCCATATCATCCTCTGATGCGCCTGCATAAAGTGCGTCGATCTCATCCGCGTAGTCTTTCAGAACAGCCTGGCGCTTCACACTGCCTTTAGGGGTCCTCTGGAAAGGCTTGTCCTTCAAGGCGAACCCGATCTTGTTCTTCATCACCCGTCCATGAGCAGCAATGGTCTGGTTAGCCATCTGAACGGTCGGCCAAATTTCATCGATGAAGACTTTGGTGTCCATATCCGCAACCCCATGGTCCACTTCAATGAGCAAACCAGCCTGGAAACGAGACTGGCCGACAACCACTGCTTTTCCGACAAGTGGATGTCCTGCAATGAGAGTTTCCATGTTGATTGGGTTGAACTTCTCGCCATTGCTCAGAACAATAACATCATCTTTGCGCCCATAGTACTTCCACAGGTGTGGGTTCGTCGGGTGTTGCGTGTAGAGATCCTTGGTGTGATACTCGTTGATTTCAGGGTCTGTGTGGTAAATGCCCTTGAAGTCACGAGCGTTGTGCTGTCGTGGAATGACCATTTCGTACACCCCGTCCCCAATATCCTGCATGTCCACACCGTAGGCTTCGTTCCATTCGAAGTAGCCCCAGTTGGACGGGTCTTCGGGAACAAGGGTAGGGATCCAACCGACTTCACTGGTTCCGATCACAGACAAAATGTTGGTATGCTTTCGCAGCCGGTCACCTGTCTCCGGGGATAGAGGCGCTCCTCCCCACATGACGCATTCAAGTTTCTCCAGGCAATGTAAAGCTTCACTGGATTGACTCATGTCTTCCAGAACAGACGGCGCACAAATTGCATGTGTTGGGCGGCCCTTTTGGAGCAGTTCGATCATGAAATCGACGGATGGTGGCTTCTCAGGACCCAGAAGAGCGGGGACGTGGAACCATATCGAGAATAGAATTGGCATCAAACCCATGAGATGGAACAGAGGCGTCGTGGCCAGAACTAGGTTCTGTTGGCCTAGATGGTAGTATATCGCTGGCTGACGGCCTGTCGGTAATGGGAGATGGGCGCTGGAATCAAGTGTCATGAAAAAGCCGTTGGTAAGGTAAACGGGCTTTGGCATGCCTATTATAACGTTAATACATCATGAGCTTTTGGTCATAGACTGAATGCACTCACCCGTTGTTCCTGAACTATGAATGATCAGGATAGTATCATCCTCAGCATTGGCATAAGACTTGTCATAAGTGTAGTGGTGCAGACCACCTTTGCCTTCGAGGATATCATTAACAGCCGGGGCCTGGAAGACGCTCAAGCCCGAGCACAATGCCTGTATCTCCAAGACATGTGACTGGCGCTCCTCAGTGAAAAAGAACTTCGAGCAGTTCGTTGCTTTTAAAAGATGAAGATGGGCTTCGTTGGAGTTCCTCGTCGAAGGGAAGAAAGCCTATGAAAGACATGGATCAGTGATGCCTCAAGGAATTTGATACTGACTGTTTTGCCTACCTGGTACCCAGTCTTTTGGCAAGCAATCATGAAAATGAAATAGCGTATATCATTGTTGCCCAGGTAAGCCAGAGTTTCCCGGTATTTCGCAGGTCCAATTGTACTCTCAATCCACCAGCACATGGAATTCACTGCTGCTGCTAGGTCCTTCATTGAAATGTTTCGAAACCCACTGCTAAGGTCTGACCCTTGTGGGATGACTGCAAAGCGTTCATCGGGTGTTGTTCGAGCACGACCATCAATGGTCGTCGCGAGAAGTCTTTTGTCCACAGACTCCATGATCAGATTTCACTTGTGTGTGTTTGGTTTCGCGATGATTCAAGGTTAAATGAAAAGCTGTAAGTATCTCTGAGAAGATTGAGTGCTTATAGAAGGGAGGGACGATTCCTAATATATAATTATTTTCATGGCCTTGGACAAGCTTCCAAGGTTTGGAAGACCCAATTGTGTCGAACATCAAATCCACAGCTGGGCAGGTCGGACTGCTCCTCCCGAGCCGACACACTGTCCGAAAAACCTCCTGTTCACACAGTTCATCCATGACTGGGCTTAATGTGCAGATCATTGCTTGGTCGGTGGTAGATCTACGCCTCTTAGGGGGGTATCCACTGGCCCGAGCATTACTATGCTTCGTTTTGGCTTCACAAGAAATGCTCCACTTCAGATGTTCGGCAAGTGATGCCGCACTATGATAGCAAACATGGTCATATTATTCAGTTCAGGAGGGTACATTGCATTGTGCCGATAGGTGTGACGTTCCTTTTTTTCGTGCTCCCTTGCTTGTTCGGCGGTCCACGGCGCCGACTCCGATGTATGAATTTTATGTAGTCATTTTGACAGTTGGGCAGATATGTGTATGGTATTCGAGGGACTGGGGTGTAGCCTTTCGTATGGTTCTATTCCTATTTCCAAAAATTGGCTCTTTGGTCCTTACTATGCCATTTAGAAACTCCAGCTAGGTTGACATATCATGGATTTGTTAGTTATGACCACTAAGAACCCATGCATTATTGACCTTGATCAATTTCGCCATCATAATGGCGCAATCTCAAGTATCAAGTTGGTCATGCAACTAATTTTCGTTTCATTTTCATAAGACTGTGGATGGTTCACAATCTAGACCCGTGGACATTCGGTATGCCGTTGTTTCCGTAAACCCCGAGAGAAGTATGACTTGGAGGTGCGTATGCAGCCAAGAATGTCTCAGGTGCTCGATTTTCGGCCTGTGTACTTCCAAGGAGATGCAGGTGGAACTACGTACTCTTACCTAAGTATTATCACTGCCCCTAGAGTTTGCTTAACTATGATAAAAACATATTCAAGCCCCCGATGGTATGAATCGTCAACACAGCTATGTCATAATGAAAGCGGAGTATAATTATTGTGAGCTATATCAATTGGTATAGAAGGAAACCTCTATAGAGAAAGTATATCAGAGGAGAGCCAAGGTACTGATCGCAAGGTTCGGGCCGGAATGATCATCCATAGAAGGAAGGTGGCTGAATAGCTAAGCATTGCTAGTGGATTGTGCTAGACTGGTTTGGGAGTACGTAGATTGTACTAGTATACAGGTTCCATCTACGATGGGGTTGGTTTCTAAGGTGCTTTGGTGCACTCCGTATAACCGATGTCTCAAGATTCCCTTTTAAGGAAATATACCGCGACCGAGACCCCGGCATATTCATATTGTCTGTGGAGTGACATGATCATGCTTTGCTTATTTCTACGTCACTTGCGAAACCATGGGGAGAAGTGCCGTCGTAAACATCCGAAGTACGTGCGCAGAAACCCCTCAAGGTCATACTGTACAACTATATGCCGGGATTCGGGGTGGCCGATGCCGATGACTATTTTGGAAACAGGACAATCGATTTTACAAATCACATCATCAAACCGACGAGGGAAAGTTGACTGGGGTTTGTCTTGCCTGTCAGTAGAGGGTAAGCGTGGTCGCCTTTCCCTGATTTTCTTGATTTCGTGGGGTTTTCCCAAATCTGCTAGACTACTGGAAGCCCCAGAGATCTGAAACTTTCGTGTTCTACGATCACTAGAAAACCATCACCAGCAATCTTAATTCAAAGCTCTTTTCTATGTGCGAATATGTCGATTCATGGGGAGCCCATGTCAGTACTAGGAGCCGTAATACTGGGAGTGATCAAGCATGGGACATACATCCCGATGAGGACATAATTGTGGCGACGGTACGATTGCTGCGATACTGCTGCCTAGACTGGATCACTAATTAGGAAATTCCATTCAGGATTCAGCGAGTAGCTCTTCCAAGGTTGCGGCTCTCACAAGGCCCTAATCGAGTTTGTTTATCATTCCAACATCGATCCATGGATGTGCTGTTCCCGAGGTTCCAGCCCTTTCACTTTAGCCCTCACGGTCCCGTCTATACCTTCCTGTGGCCTTACAGAAGAGCCCTTCTCACAAAACCCCGGCTTCGTGAGCATTACAAGGTTGGTGACAATTATTTGGGTGGAGATCCGTACCTATGTAGGTAAGGCCAACTGCAGGGGTCACACAGACAGTCAGATCAACCTGAGTCCAACTCTTTCACCGAAGATTGTAATCTTGGAAGGACATCCTTCCAAGGTTTCTATTCATCGTACCTAGAAATTGCTCTAGCGCCACACCTAAATTCCGTAGCTACCTAGGTAGGTCTGGATTCTAAGTTTGGCGGAAAATATATATCTTCCAACCTTGAAGTTTATCCATGTAGTCCCAGGGGTGTACCTATGACCTTGGAAGGGCAATATTACCTAGGACTAGGTAGATGTATAGGTATAACTATTCAATCTCACCTAGGTACTTCATGGAAGATCCCAAGTTCAAACAATTGCCAAGAGATCAGGTATCAAAAGAGCACCCGGAGATCGGTCCCCACATGTCCACCCGTGGACCTGGCCACAAGGGGCCGTGGCCGATTTACTCGCAGTTGTCTCTGTGGCCACGGCCGTGCTATTGAGATTCAGAGACCAACTACCTACCTAGGTAGGTAATAAGTCCCGTCAATCTGGATAACGCTTCGTGTGTATTCTCCCGAGGCGTTCTAAGGCCAGAGTTACTTTCCAGCGGTTATCTCTGAACCTTGGAACGGCTGGACATCTCCTGCCACCTTCAATTGACGCGAGTATGGGAAACAAAGAGATCTTACTCAACAAAATTTGCCGGAAATGTCATGAGGATTCGTGCTGGTCGACAGGCAGCCTTGGGAGTTCCCCAACCTTGAAAAGATATCTCCAATTCACGTGACCGGCACCGGTCCCGCATGTGTATTATCGCGTCATTCCGACGGAGCTACCCGCAAGCTTCACGCATTTCAACACTTGTGCGTGCTGCCTCGAAGACCCCATTGTGCCTGGAATTGGAGCGAGTAAACCCCACTACTGCTCTACCAAATGAAATTCTCTTCGTGTATTGCGGCTGTGGCCGTGATTGCCGGTGTCAATGCTTCTCCGCACCCCGCATATCAACAGCAAGACCAGCAGGCCCTTGGAACAACATCTTCGCCTTCAACGACTGGCTACGACCAGCTTAAATTAGAAGATATCATCAATGATTCCCAGCTCCTATCGTTGCACCGAGACTTGGTCAAGATTGAGTCTATCTCCGGTAATGAGCACGATGTTGGACTGTTCGTCGCACAGTTCCTTGAAAGCCAAAACTTTACCGTGGTCAAACAGGAAGTGCCTCCAGTGAAGGGCCAAGAGGACACAAAGGCCCGCTACAATATCTATGCCGTTCCTAAGTCCTCGACCCAGCCTCCCTCCATCCTCCTCACCAGCCACATTGACACTGTCCCACCTTTTATCCCATACTCAGTGCGTCAGCCCCAGGACGCAACCTCGGACCCAGAGGACTTGATCATCGCGGGCCGTGGCTCTGTCGATGCGAAAGGCAGCGTCGCAGCCCAAATATTCGCCACCCTCGAAACACTCGAGGAAAACCCAGACGCAAGCCTAGGTCTCCTGTTTGTCGTCGGCGAGGAAATCGGTGGAGATGGCATGCACGTCTTCTCTGACTCGAAGCTCAACCAGAAGGAGGCCTTTAAGACTTTGATCTTCGGTGAACCCACCGAAGCCGCCCTCGTGTCTGGTCACAAAGGCATGCTCGGATTCCAAGTCCTTGCTCATGGCAGTGCCGCCCACTCCGGCTACCCCTGGCTGGGCAAGAGTGCTGTATCCGCAATTCTGCCCGCATTGTCGCGCGTTGATATCCTAGGCAACATCCCCGCCGAAGAGGGTGGCCTTCCTGCGTCCCCGAAGTACGGACCCACGACGCTGAACATCGGCAAGATCCGCGCCGGTGTTGCCACCAACGTTGTGCCCTCAGAGGCTATGGCCGATGTGGCTGTTCGCCTTGCAGAAGGGACCCCTGAGGAGGCGCGCAAGATCATCCAGCGTGCTGTTGAAGATGCCACGAAGGACTTTGAGGCGGAGGTGGTTGTTGATTTCAAATCGCACCAGGAGTCTTACCCGCCGCAGGATCTTGATGTTGATGTTGAAGGCTTTGATGTTGCTACGGTCAACTATGGCACTGATGTGCCTAACTTGGCTGTTGCGGCCAGTACTAAGCGGTACCTCTATGGTCCTGGTAGCATTTTTGTTGCCCATGGTGACAATGAGGCCCTGAGCGTGCGCCAGATCAACGAGGCCGTTGTCGGTTATAAGAAATTGATACAAGCTGCTGTCGATAGAGATGGTCAAGTTGCATAATCGGGGTCAACGTCCCAACGGGTATCATATACAGTGATTCCCACGATTGAGAATGGACATAGTGCATATAGTTCATGAGCCAGTATGCAACAAACAACCCTTTTCTCCCACGAGTGTGCAGTTCATTCAAAGTAGCGCGAGCCATTAGCCCCGTGGATTGCTAAATGTCTTAGTGAGCAATAGGAAATAACCACGGGTGGAAGTACAATAGCAATGTCGATACCCACGCTCAATATGTCAAGAATTTATTGGGAATAGGCAGTTGCTAGAAGATAGGTGGTGATTTCAATTTCGCTCATTGAATTAGGCAAGGTCGTGACTCATATATGGTAATTTACTCGACTCGAAGATGGCTCCAGCGGCAAGATTAGACGATGAAAGTGATCATCCCACAAGCCATCCAGCATACAGTGTTTTCTTCATCCTCCACCAAGCACGACGTCCGGCTAGAGCAGGCCACTGAACAAGGAACCGGTCGACAATGGGCAGCAAGAGAACACCAGTCATGCTGAGGGTGTTCACACGGGCCCAGGATTCAACAAACATAGTGCGTAGCTTTGACACTGCATAGAGCGGAGATCGGCCTCGCAGCCACAGGCCCCAGTTGATAAAGAACAGCACGAATCGAATCAGCTTGGCGGCGACGACCATACAGACTGCTATGGCTGGTCCATTGGTTAAAATGATGTCCGGATAGGTAGTGAATTGTTCTGGGATTGAATATTTAGGGTAGCGTCCTTGCAGAACAGCAAGACAAACCCAGAGACAGTGCAGGGTTGAGAATGGCGCAGTGAGGTATGATTGATGGACCCTTCGAGCGCGAGGAACGGTGATAATCGTGTAGTTGGGAGCTTCTCCTCCATTTGCTTGCTTGGTCTCGAACTCTTTAGCTTTGTCGGCGCTGAAGTGATCTCCAGAGCTCACGACGTATGTCCGATACGTATTATTTTTGGGCAGAAAGTTGGATCGCGCCATCATGAAGAACATCTCGGCGGTATGTCCGCCGCTTCCCAGCACGATCATGATATGAACAGGGGTTCCCCGTCTGCGAGTTTTGGGAGGTAGTGTGTTTTGGGAAATCGCGAGAGAGACAACCGCAATCTGTAGTGAGACATTAGCTCAGCTCAAGCGTTCATAGTGGCCAGGCGCATACAAAGAGAATGCTGATCCCGAGTGTAATTGCTGGGACAATGCTCCACAGGAGCCAGCCCCAGAGAGACCCAGCGAAAGAGGGACTCATATTTGAAAGAGTGGCGGAGAGCTCAATACATAGTAAAGGAATGAAGAGAAGAAAAAGAGGGAGAGAAATCAGTAAAATAGAGGAAGTTAGGTAACGATCGAAGGACAAGAGGCCTATGATGTATGTCGCAACAAAATTGGAGTCGCGTCCCCCGCACGTGTTTTTTTTTTGCCGCTTTTCCTTTGGCAGCTCATTCTCCCTTGTTGACATCCATCCTCTTTCCCCTACTATGTCATGGCTTCTCTATTCACTAAACGTCTGACCTGCTTCTATTGTGGGCAGCGGCCTACTCGGGTTAATCGACCTGTTCACGGGCCTGTCCGCAATTTCCGCTGCGAGCACTGTGAGGCTGACAACTTCTTCGATGAGGTGAGTGGTCTTTGATTGCCTTACGGAGCTTGCCTTCTGACTATGAATCGACAGAAAGGTGAAATTACAGATCCACCAGCCGTGGTCACAAACGCCGAAGCCCATTCCCCCGGCGGACCCAGCCCATCCGAACCGGCCAATTCAAACGAACCTCCATTGTTTTGTGCCCAGTGCACTCGCAACCAGCATCTTCTTACCAGCTCTCTCGCCTCCTACTTTCCTCCTTCAGATGACCCAACGAATAGCGAGTATGAGCGCGGGTATGAGCAGTTCCGTCGCGGCCTTGAGGACAGCTATCCTCAGGTGTGTGAATCCTGCGAGCCGGTTGTGAAACAGCGCATCCGGAAGGCTGGCTATGAGGCGAAATCAGATCATCTACGACGCATGATGGATCAGAGTAGGGCGAATCGGGAATCGCGACAGGCTAGAACCAGAAGTTGGAGGAGCCTGCTGTTAATTCTCGGTGCATGCGCGCACTGGTCGAGTGTCGTCGGCCAGCTAGTGTGGGATTTGGGTGCTGCAGTGACTGTTCCTCACTCGGCGCAGAGCTTGAGCGATGATTTACCCAACACTATGTCATCTTGCGTTTCCCGGTCTCTCCAAATATGGCGCATTCCTGGCGATTGCTCCCCAGATCTCTCAGCGACTGCGGGATTGGCACTGATTACAGGTGCGCTTTCTCTTTGGTGGAACCCCAAGCTGCGTTTCAAGATCAACGGAATGCCCGGCAAGTTCGAGGGTCTTGGAGAGTACTACCAAGCCCAGCTCATCCTTATGGTTGTGCGGTGCGTGTTCTGGGCCGTCCTCAAGGATCCGTCCGCCAGTGGATTGGACCCTAATTTGCCTCATGCTTTGCATGCAGGTATGATTCTATTCATGCTTTTGGTAGGTCCTGCCTTCTCATTGATTGAAGCAGGGGATACTAACCCGCATAGTCTGTCCTTATCTCCAGCCGTCTTGTCAAATACACCAGCCGCCCACTCGTCAATTGGTCAGATAACAGCTGGGAAACTCGTCTTGAGCGTGCGAAAGCGTCCTCTCCGGTGCAGGGGGACTCGTTGGCGTTGACCCGCGTGTCGATATCAGATACCACACCCAAAGCTAAAGATACCACATTCCAGCCTCGGTTTCCAATCGACAAACTGGCTCCAGGCCGGCAACCCGTTGAACAGCCGCCCCCAGCCACACCCACCCAAGAAGACGGTGACACCATGGACTGGTCTCCTTCTGTCACTCACAATCTTCGGCCCACCATAACCCAGCGAAATCAGCCCTCTGTGCTCAGTGGCCCCCACCCATTTCAGGGTCAGGTGCCAGCAGCCCCCACCCCTCCTGCGTGGAAACTCCGCTCTAAGACCTCGACAAAACCCATCGAGCAAGTGATTCAGCCAAATCCGTTCCACCGCAGTCCTTCCCAGGCAACAGGCCAATGGCAACAACGACACTCTGAAGCTGATACAGTCTTCAAGGCGCCCAAGTTCTTCGCACCAAGTGATCATGACACATCTACTGGGTTAGAAACCTTGTTTGATCGCGCCTTTAATTTCCAACCTGAGGGTGGTCGTGGGTCCAGCTGGGGTCAACCCTCATATGATGGAGGTCCCGCGAGTCAATTCAAGGCCCTTAGCTCCCACTATTACGCATGCGCCCGGCTTTTGTTGCTAGCATCGTTCATAGGTGCCTGGACTCTCTCGCAAAACCACGGAATGCTGCTCCCAGGGAACTATGTGGAGATTTCTGCGCTGGGTGTTGCAAGCCTGGTTGCTGGATTCGCGTTGATCAGTATGCTGAAAAGGCCGCTTTCCCAATGGAATGGCATGGAGATCCTGATTTCTATCACTGAGCTTGCAGCAGCCGTTCATATGGGGGCGCATTTGCCGACGGCCTCAGTGAACCGAGACTATTTTGATCGCTACGGAAAACTTCTTTTGATCTTCATGGCTTTCCAAGAAGCCCTGAACGTGCACTCCTTCATCAGGTATACAGAAACAGAAGTACAGCAATCACCACGATCTGCATCGCCGCCTACGCAACCACAGTCGCCAGTGAGCCAGGCAGGTGCTCTTGACTGGCCAGCAGATCGACCTTCGGGCTCCGCAACGCCCACCTCTCTGCCTCAAGTCAGCAACACGCCTGTGCACCGCTCATTCGAGTCGCAATCATCCGCCCCTGCGCTCTCGTTTGGTGACACCGAAGCAACCTCAAGCTTTTCATCAGCCTTGCCATCCGTGCCCCAGTATAGACTTGCTTCATCTAAAACGATATCGTCTTTCCCGGCTGCCAACCAGGACGCATTCCAGCAAAACAAGAACCCGCACAGTTTTACTATGGAATCTTTGAAGCAAATTGATCCTGTCTCGGATTATGAACAGGAATCCGACAGCGAGACTGTTGCTACTGCCACGACCACTGCTACAAACTTCACCAATCGTAACATTCGATATGGGAATAACTATGGCTTCGGGTCCACCCCCTTCTCGCCCCGGCGCAATGGCCTTGGAACAGGCATGGGTGGCTTGAGCCTAGATGATGATCCAACCCCTCGCCGCATGACCCGCAGCCAGACTCAAAATGTACTTCACGGTCGACGCCCTGCGAGTTATGTCCGTTAGCGATCTCCTTTGATCACGTCAAGTTCCTTGATTTGTTCATTTTCCATCTGTTCATGTTTCAGAGCAACATCATTGGCGTTTATCGCTTGCAAATTGGTTTGTTTGGCTATTTTCAGTTCCTCCGCATTGGAAGGCAGTACCAACTGGTCGATCACCTTCAATTTTCGTTTCTTATCTCTGTTTATCTGCTTCCTTCGCTTTCTCTCTCGTTCTTCTGCGTGTTTTTCTTCATAGCGCAGGCGATTACTTTTTGGTCATGTATTGACAGACGAGGTCCTCGGGACCCGATGCACAAACCCTTTCCTTGATGATGTATATGAAATTACGACGACCTATGTGAATACTGTCTCCAGATAATTACTATTTCCGGGCCTCGACTTCTAGGGCTTAACCTTTGATGTTCATTCACATTCCTCATACCAAGCTAGGGAATGATTGACTAGGCCACTCTCTCAACGTGCGCCTGGGAAGTTTTTCCGACCTCCCCAATAGAGACATCACCTCCAACAGAGCCACGCTCCGCATCGCCATTCTTGTGATCGACGAGCTGAGCGACGCCAAAGAGCTCATCCATCTTCTCGAGAGACAAACCTGGATAACAATCAGCAAAGCCCAAGCAATACCTGGGACAATCTTACCTTTGGTCTCGGGAATAAAGAACCAAACGAAGACACACATCGAGAAACAGAAGCAAGCGAAGATGATGTACGTTCTGAAAATTAGCAATGTCGCCAAAACAGACCTTAGCCTTGGAACTCACCCGTAACCATTAGCACCAACTGTTGCCAACATGTTTGGCACCGCTCGAGCAACCACGAAATTGAACAACCACTGCGTTGCCGCTCCAAAAGCAACATTCAGCGATCGCAGGCGCGCAGTCGGGATCTCAGAGACATAGATCCAGCACACAGGTCCCCATCCGAATTGGAAGAATGCTGCAAAAAGGAAGATGCACACCAGCGCCACATACCCGGCCGGAATGACGGGTGCACCTTCAACGGGTGGAGCGATACGAACGTAAAGTCCGATGTAGAGCATTGCTAGGCCTTGTGCGATGGATGTCCAGAGGAGGGAGCGACGACGGCCAAGGGAGTCCGCTACGAAGATGAGGAAGACGCCACAGGCAACCATTTTGACGATACCGTAGACGCCAGTTGCGAAGAGATTTGTTGCATTGCCAACGACACCGAGCTGTTTTTGTTAGAGCTATCATTAGACGGAGAGGTGCAAGGGCTAAGCTCACGTTTTTGACTGCGGGTTGTTAGCTGGGTTTCATCTTGTAGTCTTCGAGGCTCACTTACAGATCTGCGGAGCGTAATAGTTGATTGCGTTTGTGCCGGTCATCTGTTGGCAAATCATCAAGATGATTGAGATGATGGCACGTTTTCTGTTGCCGGGAATGGTCCACATCTCTCTCATGAGATCCCAGAAACCAGATCCGCCGACGAGAGCACGTTCCTGCTCGAGCTGTGTGGCAATGGCCTGGAACTCTGCTTCCAGGTAAGGGTGCTCAGCTGGGAGGTTGCGCACTTTGCAGAGCGTCGCGCGCGCTTCTTCCCATCTGTCTTGTCTAGCCAGCCAACGAGGCGACTCGTTGCACAGAAGCATGCCGCCGAACAGCAGTACAGCCGGTAGACCCTGCATTGCTAGCGGGACGAGATAGACAGCAGGGCCCTTGATGTGCAGCAGAGAGCCGTAGTTGATCCAGAAAGCGAGCATGATACCCATTGTGATGAAGAGCTGATAGAGACCAGTGAGACCGCCACGAATTGCACGCGGTGCGTTTTCGGAGACGTAGAGGGGATTAATCATGGACGCGGCACCGACACCAAAACCTGTGATCAGTCTGCTGCCATTAGTCGCTGCTGAGTGGTGGGAAGGAGCCATTCGTACCGCCCGATATACATGGCCTCGAGGTGGCCGCTTGCTGCGCATTGCATGACAATACCAAGGACAGCTATTACAGCTGCTGACATGAGGGCCGTCTTCCGACCCCATTTTTCGGCAATAGGGGATGCGAACAGGGCACCGAAGAAGCAGCCTGCTTGGAGGGTCGACACGATGTTGGCTGACAGGTTGGCCTGCTCCACCTTGGAGGCATCCTCCAACCCGTATGTCCTGTAAGAATATCATTAGTTTGGATTCTTTAAAAAACGAAAGAGATGCGTATATGTACCTCTTGAACTCAGGCATGGTGAGAACACCCCCAATAATACCAGAATCCATGCCGAAGAGCATTCCTCCACAACAAGCCTAAAGCTGTTAGCCATACGGAGCCCTGGAGTACTTCATGATGATTAGAATGGAGCACCCACTGAGCAGGCAAGCGCAAAGACCCTCCATCCATAGATCTCCTTCGGGTCCTCTTTCATTGCCTCATTGTGAATGATCTTCTTCAAAAGCCACGACATATTGTTAGGCTTGTCTCGTAGCTGCTTGACAAAACTCCAACAAGAGGGAATTTTTTTCCTTAAAATGATGCTGTGTGAGCTCGAAACCCCGTCGGCTATTGATTCAGCGGCAAGAGTTGAGATCCAAGCATCATTTTAAAAGAACGGAAGGTGTCATCCTAAGCCCACAAAACTTGGCTGATCACTGAGCGGCCTATAAGACGAGGGGAAGGCATTTCAAACAAGGCGAGCAAGCAAGGTTGAAAATATCCACGAATCCTAGATTACACCGACACGAAGGACTATTTTGGAGCTTGGACTTGCAGATACTCAAAAAGGCGGGGGTGGGGGCAGAGTTTAAAGACAAAGAGCCGACACAAAGGGACTGAACAAAAGTGGCTAATGAGAGCAAAGAGCTTTAGCCGGGAGTCGAGAGTCGACGTGCCGCTCTCTTACCCCGGACTTGCGGGGAAGTCAACCTTATCCTATTCGGGACACTCTATTGTATCCATGGGTCCATGGGACCTTAAATCTGAGTGTTTCCAGAATGGGTATTAGGTCTAATGACTATCCTAAGACCATCTCTTTCACCCATTGGGGGATGACAGGTCTCTTCTCCCACGCTTTCCAGTCCTTCTGTCCCGGCATGGCAAAAACAGCCGATACAAACCAGCAATCCTGTCCGGCCTGAAGGTTCACCGAAAGCGATGGCAGCAGCGTACGGCCATGAATGATGTTAGAGTTAGGATCGGCCAAGACAATAGTTCCAACACGCTCAAGCGTAGAGTGAAGTTCAGCGATGCCCACAGCGCCAGCCGACGACACCACCAGCCCACACCGATCATCCTGCAGGGTCCCTTCACCATCGGCCATGGGCCCAAGAATACGCCCATTATCGCTGCGACATCCATAGATAGCGAACGCTCCTTCGGAGGTTTGCAAGTCACGGCCCGTGCGAACGTGGTGTACACGTAGGTGCCAATTTTCATTCTCTTCCGTTGGTGGAATGAGGAATGTCTCGACATCGACATCCGACCATGGTTTCCAGCCTGAGATAAGGATGGGCTGGCCATCTCGTTGCTCAATACGTGCATCGAGAGCCAGCCTTCTGGTTTGCCAAATCTCTCCGTCCTCCGATAGAGCAAGCATGCTATCCGGGGCATGCTGCTCCAACTGGTACCCTCCGGTAGGGACAGAATAGCCAAACGCAGAACTATAGGCAAACTTGCCATATTTCGCCTGTGTTGCCTTGAGCGGATAGTGGCATGCTTGGCCAGACGAAAGGATGAACGAGTGTCCTCCGCGACGGATGGCAATATGCTTTGGGTAATGCAGTGCAACGACCTCGGGTAGAGCGGGATAGGGTTCTTCTTCCGCAGTCCAAAATGGATGTGTCTCGGGTAGCGCGAGTGGTATGAATGCGAGACAACACCAATAAGGTGATCCCGGCGAGTTGTAGTTCTCTGTCAGATACATGTTGGCATAGCTGTACCCGAGACTCAGTGTGCCGTCATTGTTGAAGATATCCTTCTGTGTAGACCACCACCTGAAATGGCGCATAAGAATCCCTCTCACAACACCCCAAGTTAGCGGCGCTGGAAGTTCGACGTCCGCGAAGCCCAGGGCGCCCCAGAATCCGACCATGGCGAAGCGGTAGGTCATAGAGCGACCGAATGGGATCGCGCTGCCTGGATGCAAGTCAGTTCTGATTATTTTCTGTGGGTAAACATCGAAATAAAGTGACCACTAACCATTGGGGTCGAAGTAGTGCACGAAATCCATCGCGAATTCCCTCGCACGCTGGCGGTATCGCTCAGCGCGCTCTGAATCAAAATCACCCGCCAGCTTGGAGTACAGGAGTTGTAAAAACTGAATAGCAAACGATCCAGAGTAATAATCCATCTGGTGATGGCTCTTGGGGCCATCGTTACTCCATCCACCCCCAACGTGGAATGTATCCAGATGATCCATATCAGCCTCAATCTGAGCAAGCGAGTACGGTGCCCCATTCTTTCTCAGCCCCAAATTGGAAAAGACGCGGAACCATAGCCTGTATGGTTTAGTATGAGTCCCTTCATAGACTTGGTCCAAACAACACCGAAAGCAAGAGGATGACCTACCAATTCGTGTTCGGCATCTCTTTGTCATTGATACTGCCCAGCCAAGCACTGACATTGCTCTTCTCCTCCTCGCTCAACGGATTCCAAAATATCTCCGGTGCAACCGCCAATGCGAAACCAATGGGACACATTTCCACCATCCGCTGATCCATGTCTTCAATGTCACCCCAGAACTCGGGGTGCGATGGGTTCGTCCCGTTGATGAGTCCCCGGCGCCAATTTTCGGCGTCATAATCAGAACCACCTGCTAAGAGCGATGCGAGACCCCATAGCGGTCTTGCATATCCCTCTATCTGGGCACCCCCCTCGTCGAAGCGCGTTGTCGATGTTCCTACTTTGATGCGCGTGTTTGCTTCCGTGAAGAGGGGCTTTAGTGGATTGAGGATTGCGGCGCAAGCATCTTGAAGATCGGATCGCGTGCGGTAGGAGATGTTGCTGAAAGGGTGAGAGGGAGATTGGGCATTGGCGTGGATCGACATTGTAGATTTTTGGCTTTAGACGGAGCAAGAAGCCGCAGAAGTACCCTGAGGGGTTTATATAGAGCGTAGTATCGGGCTTTTTGCCGAATTATTGGGATAGAGCAAAGACACGAAGGAATATCGGATTTGACGTCCCTTCGCCGATGTATAAGTTTGAGATTGTCGGATTTCGCTGAGAAGACCGATTCAGCCTGGGATAGCCAACGCGGGGATTTGGGATTTAGCCGGATCTTGAGATCGACGCGAAGCTAAGATATCCAAAATAGGCCGTTGGTGTTATGGTAAATTAGCTCGATCGCTGATCCTCCTGCGACGTCTTATATGTGGAGAAATTATCGTCCACCAATGAACATAGCTGAGCCAATGCTCGGCGGTGGCTTGTCGATGTATATGATATTATTGTACAATGCAGTTTTGGGGGCTCGTATGATACATTCGCCCAGCTGGTCGAGCCCTTGGGGCGTCTAACCCCCAAGAAGCCCACCTAAGAAGCGGGCGAGTTCTTTGACAACAGTGTCATCAACATCCCTTCCACCGAGACCCTGTTTGAGAATCTCCGACCATCGTGCCAAGGTCATCTCGTGGAGCTTTTGCCCGTTCAGTACTGCATGAACCCGACTGGCTTCTTCGACTGCAGTGGAATCGTCGGACGAGATAGAGATATGGCTCTCCACTACGGCACCATGTTGTAGCCGAAGGAATGCGCGAGTACTCGACGGAAGAGAAGCAGGCAATGGGGGCCTTTCACGCGGATCTTCCTCAATAGGATATGTTGAGAAGGTGAAGCGCGGCGTTTGAGTGTACTTCCACTCCAAGGACCGCAATTCAGCAATTCCTTTCGCGATATCAGGTTCTTGCTCGCCTTGCACTTCACTCACAGTGCCTGCAACCCACGAGTCTCCAGCAAACACCTCGGGCTCATTTGCGTGGGCACGCTGCGCTCTGAGAACAGCATCGGGATTCACCCCGTACAGTCGAGCAAATTGTTCGATTATGCCCCCAACCACGCCCTGCATGGAAAAGAACGAATCGGCAAGTGAAGCAGAGACGTTGCCCACTGGGGACCGGACACTCTCCACCCCCTTGGCTTGGATATAACCTCGTGCGGACGACCGCAGGTATTTCCCAAGGTCATGAATATTCGGAGAATCAAGCAGGCAAGTACCGTGGTGCAAGGCCCGGTGCCTAGTCAGCTTGAACGCCGAGCCAGAGACCTTGCGCGTGAGCGGCTCGTCGGGATCGTCGGATTCATTCCGCACCATGACGATATCATGCCGTTCGTTGACACTGGTGTTTGTAGCTCCGACCCCGTGGAGCGCGCGCACAACCATCTCGGCGTGCTTGTCGCGCGTGAACGATGTGCGCGGAGAGATCACGCTGTAGTTGAGATTTCCTTCATCATGGAATACAGCTCCACCACCAGACCGCCGGCGCACGAAGACCGCCTCCTCCTCGGGGGCGCCGTTCCGGTCGTTGTGAAGCGCACGGAGATCTGTCTCGAGCCATGGGTTCTGGTTGCGACCGATGACTACGCATGGCCGGTTTGCGTATAGGAAGAGAACACTGGATTGGTCCGGGGCATTTTGGAGTAGAAAATGCTCAATGGAGAGATTTACATAGGGGTCGGTGGATAAGGAAGTGTAGATCTGGTGCAACGATGAGGGCCGGCGGGCGAGTTCGGCGAATTGGTGAACGGGATAGGAGGAATTGTGACGAATGCCCCGGAAGGTCGAACGGAGGGCCGGGGCGAGCATTTGGAGACGAAAGGGAAAGTCGCACGCCCGCGAGGCCGATAGTCGGGTGCACTAGTCCCAGATCGGAAGTGCGATGAGTCGATTTCATCTTGCTTTTTCTTGTGATCATCCGTGTTGTTGATTTCCACTTTTATTTTGCTCTTCTCTTCTCTCTCGATTTGCTCTTTGCTCTCTGCTATTCCAATTGATCCCTTTCCATTCACCCAGAGTATCTCATCATGTCTACGTGGGGAGAGCATTTCCGTGTCACCACGTAAGTTGCCCCTCTACTATTTTCCCACACCGACTAACATTTGACTCCATGTAGTTATGGCGAGTCTCACTGCCGCTCTGTCGGCTGTATCGTCGATGGATGCCCCCCGGGCATGCAGCTCACCGAGAACGACATCCAGCCTCAGATGACTCGTCGCCGTCCTGGCCAAAGTGCCCTGACTACCCCGCGGGACGAGAAAGACCGAGTTGAGATCCAGTCCGGTACAGAGTTCGGCGTCACTCTGGGCACACCAATTGGCATGCTGGTCCGCAACGAGGACCAGCGCCCCAAGGATTACGGTGGCAGCACAATGGACCTGTACCCCCGCCCCAGTCACGCCGATTTGACCTACCTTGAGAAGTACGGCGTGAAGGCCAGCAGCGGTGGTGGCCGCAGCAGTGCCCGTGAGACCATCGGTAAGCGCAATCACACAATCAGCCAACAAGAACGCCTACTGACCAGCCCTAGGTCGTGTCGCCGCCGGCGCCATTGCGGAGAAGTACCTCCGTCTGTCTCACGGCGTTGAAATCGTCGCCTTCGTCTCCTCCGTCGGCAACGAGCACCTCTTCCCCCCTACCGCTGAACACCCCTCCCCTTCCACCAACCCCGACTTCCTGAAGATGATCGAGTCAATTGATCGCAACACCGTGGACTCCTTCGTCCCCACCCGTTGCCCTGACACCGACGCCGCAGCCCGCATGACCAAGGTCATCGAGAAGTTCCGTGACAACCACGACAGCATTGGCGGAACCGTCACATGTGTCATTCGCAATGTCCCCGTCGGTCTGGGCGAGCCCTGCTTCGATAAGCTCGAAGCCAAGCTCGGCCACGCCATGCTCAGCATCCCTGCCACCAAGGGCTTCGAGATTGGTTCCGGTTTCGGCGGCTGCGAGGTCCCCGGCTCTGTCCACAACGATCCCTTCGTCTCGAATGGTTCTCGCCTCACTACCAAGACCAACAACTCTGGCGGTATCCAGGGTGGCATCTCCAACGGTGCTTCTATCTACTTCCGCGTTGCATTCAAGCCTGCCGCCACCATCGGCCAGGCCCAGAACACTGCCACTTACAAGCTCGAGGATGGTATTCTCGAGGCCAAGGGTCGCCACGACCCCTGCGTCACACCTCGTGCCGTGCCTATTGTTGAGGCCATGTCCTCGCTTGTTATCATTGATGCTCTCATGGCTCAGTACGCCCGTGAGAGCGCGAAGAACTTGCTTCCCCCCTTGCCCGAGACCATTCCCACGAAGCCTGCTACCAGCGGTGCTTCCGCTTAAGGGGCCATATTTTCTACATACAAAATTTATATATCCAATTTGTCTAAAAGCGTCACTTACGGGTCTCGGTTATCTTGAAGCTTTGAACGGGGCTTGCTATGATCTATTAAATTTCTCTTACATAAATGCCATGTTTAATAGAATCTCGGGAGAGTTCGTCTACATGCCGCCTTAAGTGGATCGATCCACCTACCTAGGTAGTTGTGAAGATCTTTTAGTTCCAGTTTCCTAAGCCCCTGGAGCAGAGCGAGTATCAAGCCTCATTCTCAAGAGGAAACTGGGCATCAATGCCAGTACTGGTGTAGAGTAGGTATTCGCTGTCTGTGGATGTCCCACATACACAGGCTTTGACCAGACTGAATTCAAGAACCAACTCTGCCTTATCACCGGATTAAACTCCCGATCACAGAATCGACAAGAACTGCAGTCAAACGCGCTAGCAGCATTAGATCGGGCTCAGCCGGTCCACAATGCGAGAATTCAGATCAGGGGCTCTCGGCTGAACCCTAATGTAGCAAACTACTGGAGTAGTGTAGTACGGTGAAGAAGCGCATATCAGGGGTCGGAACATCACACAGAACTAGCCCGTGAAACCTTGCAGCAAAGCACTCCACGCAGAGTGCAGTTTCTCTGTATACATTGACAAGATCGAGCCCGAGATGACCCAGGAGTCCGATTGGTTTTAGGTGGGTATTGACCCACTATCAGATCTAGGAACGAGATTGGGTTATTTGTACTAGCGGCACTTGGACTCACGGGCTGCAGTATACAAAATCCAGTGGACATTACTCCGTACTAGTACGGAGTTCGGAGTATAGTAGGAGGACAAAGTACGGAGTAGGCAATGCAGAGTAAACTGAAAGAATCGATTTTGTACTCATAATCTAACATCAACATCTCATCGTCAGGACGTGCAACTCCAAGGCTCACGCTGTGGATATCATAAGCGACAGAAAACAGCATCACCAGCAACTCCAAGACCAGAATGCAAATCAGTTCCAAAAAAAAAGTACAAGCAAGAAGTAAAAAGGTCACGGCAGCAGCCTTGGCTACACGACTCATGTGCTCACCCTGCGACTACCAGGCCGGCTAGCTGAGAGCTCAGAGATATTGTCCATGTCACCAGCAGTGGCATTGACAACCCGTAATTTCTCCCGTGGGACAGTGAATGTCATTTGCACGCGACGGCCTTCGGCAGTCCCCTCCAAGTCCCAATCATGAACATCGCCCTCGTCATCGGTCATGGCGTCGTTGCCCAGATATCCCGGTGCATCCCTGAAGAGATCATCACGGGTTGGGCGGGCGGTGTTGAAGACATCGTCCGAGACTCGTTTGGCATTCCAGTCCTTGGCGCCCTGTTTACGACGGAAGAGTTCGGCCGATGCACTGACCGTGCGTCGAGGGGTGACTGAAGAGGATGGTGATTCTCGGTCAGAGCTGAGGGCTATACTGCGGCGGTCGGCCCCTGAGGCTTCACTGCTCTCGGTGGAAGAGTATTGGGCATCGCGGCGGGACATGGTGAGAGCTCTGCGCATGGTGTTCATCACCCAGCCCGAGGAGGATCGAGATTTCTGGCGTGGGAGTTTGGAAGGCGAGGATGGCTCGTAGCTTGTCAGTGGAGTGGGGTGATCCAAAGGATCAAAGAGGAGAGAATCATTCTCTGCCTGGCGATAAGAAATGTTGGTCTGGGCCGTGGAATAGGAGTCAGAAGAATCCTCGGATGGCGCGACACCATCTGGGTCGCTGTGCGTTGAGCCTGCGACGAGGTTTTCGAGTGAGTGGCGTCCACTGCCCCAACTATTGGGTCTTTCGATTATCACGGCTCGAGCTTGATGAACCTGACCGATTGATTGTGTGGAGGCAAAAGAGAAAGCCGAGCGGTCTGAAAGGTTTGTCGTTGTTCGTTCGCTCCTGCTTGAAGACCCACTGGCATCTTGACCAGCCTCTTTTTTGCGGGTGTAAAACGGGCCCAGGCCAACGCCGAAAATAGTGCTTCGAGGTGTGGCATATGGAGTGTCTGAGAATGGGTCCTCGGGCTCGGTCTTCGGGGCGGTTTGGGAGGCCGTGGGAATTGTAGCCATGAGATTGTCTCGGAAAACAGCTTCATCTTCCTCGCGCTCGTCGATCGGGTGAATATCGGTAGCCTCGCTGCGTCGGTACTCACTGCAGCGATTTGGATATGCCCGTGCGTTCGCCGGGGGAGGGTTGTTTCTTGTCGGACTAGGAGCATCCATGAGTAACCCTGTCCTCTCCGCTGCGCTACCACGTCGATTTTGCCAATCGGAGCGTGCTGACTGGCTGTTATTCGAAGACCAGGTGTACGCAGGAGGGTCTCTCTTCTCACTCATTCCGGAATTGCGCATGCTGCTCGCTTGGCTGGGGTCATCTCGACCCCAGAAATGAGGCCGTTCCGCGCCCAGCGCCAGCTCGCGCAGCTGTGAGTCTCTTTTCCCCTTCACGCTTCGCTTTCGGTAATGGTTCCATGCAAAAAGAAGAATTGCCATGGCAGCAGGACATCCAATTCCCAGTCCAACTCCTAGACCGGCTTTTTGAGATGTCGAAAGCGAATTAGAGTCACTGCTTGATGCAGACTCCGATGCAGCCGCAGGGTTGCTGTAAGAAGTGACCCAGCTGTCTGATGTCACATTGTAAAGGTAGGTTTGCGAATTGGAAGTGGCAGACACCGCTCGTTTCGATGATTGTTTCGGAATGGTGAAACCTCCAGAAATCATCATCACATCTCCGGGAAGCATTGCCGCTCCGTGACCAAATATTCCAGATCCATCGGCAATTTTCAAGCTATCGGAGGAAGGCGTTGTCCAAGTCCACTCAGCAGCTCCTCCAAATCCTTCCGCGAGCTCCAAAACCGCAAATTGTGGATCGGCAGCGACTGAAGTATCGCCCACCCAGCCCCCAAGCACAAACACTTTTCTTCCATCCCCTGACAGAATGGCAGTATGACCGGATCTAGGCTCAACGTCGGTCCAGTCCCGAATGGCTAGCTCGGTCTTTGTCGACTGCCCACTTGCAGACACAAAGCTCCAACTCTGCTGCGGCAACGAAAATACAGCAAGCTGGGACATGTTCAAGAAAGCGTGTCGTGTATGACCTCCGATGAACAAAAAGTCCTGCTGTTTGCCCGTCGATCCGGTGGAATAGGTAGCCTGCAGGGGAACCACAGCCATTCCGGCTTCCGCGACAGGAGGCGCCCGATTGCCAGTGGTGGCGGCAGTATACTTGTTGCTGTAATAAGGGCTCTGGCCCAGAACTACAGTGGTCTGAGAATAGTTGGCTGCCTCAATCCATGTCTCGTCTGTACTATTGACGAATGGACACATACCCCCGAAGGCGTAGACGGAGCTCTCCTTGGCGTGACTGGATGAGTAACTGAACCCGGCTGCGAGAAAATTTGGCGCAGTCTTTCCATCGCTGTTTACCGGGAACTTCGACCAGGTGCCGTTGCCAATTGAGCTGTTGATGTCTGGACGGAACTGCCATAGTGCTGGGTGATCGGTTGCACTGTGGCAATTGCCCGTGTACAGCGTGATCAGGCCTTGGTCATCGATAGTGGGGATTGCCGTCGAGTTGCTGTCTGTACCGTGAGATGGCGCGTTGCCCAATACGGTGTATGATAGGTTGTCGGTATTGAGCGTGCTGGACAGGTTCAGGGAGAGAAATTCAGATTCGCCGGTAGCACTCGGCCGTAGGATGTAGGCCAGTGAATCATTGTGTTGCGGGGACAGAAATACGGACGTTGGGGAGTAGATTGCAGTGGAGGATCCGATGAGCGCGACAAGCGCACTCAGCAGTGGATAGCGGTTTCGCTCCATATCTGAGACAATCAACGGGGATGCATTCCGAGCATGATGCACCACGCGATTGACAGAGTTATTTTAGAAACGCAGAGGAATTTTGCAAGAAATTGAGAGAGAGAGAATGCCAGGTGCGACTGTGTTACGAGTAAACAGCTGCCGATCAGACCTCCAGAACTTCGCCATTTTCCATATTACTAGGCCAATCATCTAGACCACCTTCTATTGCCTACTTTATTTGTTCGCGTTACCCAGGCGCTAAACAAAGACCGAACGTGAATAGATTTGCCGAAAGCCAGATCGACGTCAAATCAACACCCCGTTGCTCGGCAACGCGGGTGGTGGCGCGGAAGAGAACAGTGTGATTGCGCGTTGTCGCCTCTCGCCCATGGGTTTCTATGCAACGCATAGTGGCCAAGAAATCAGGCAACCTTGTAGATAACTTGGATAGACCTGGATAGAAGTGGGATTTAGTGCGATGCTGTAACGTGGAAGTCGACTCAAGTGGGCCCTTCTAGCAGATCGATGTGTTTCAGTCGCCCTGACCAACTCTTAATACGAGTCTCACTGCTAGCAGATTGCCCGCATGTTCATAAACTCGAATTCAATGGTAGACCGCTGATTGACTCGAAATCCCCTGGATATGTCCATCGTCACAACATCTGGAGATCAAGTTTCTCATGAACCATGGCTCTCTGTATGTTGGCAGGACAACCAGAGTCCTCGGCCGTGTCCCAACAATTCAGCTCCAACGGGGAGTTCTTGGCAGAAGCCACTGACTACCTAGGTACCTAGGTAGGAGGCACACCGGAGTATACGGACTACGGAGTAAGAGACCCAAATCACTCATATATTAGTGCTACTATCCCCGCTGGAGGTGTCTTGTATCCATGTACTCCCGAGGTCGTTACGGAGCAGTCACATCAACACTGAAAACAGTCCAATCGCTTCTAAAGCTCAGGCTTCATGTTCGGAAAAAGCAAAGATGTCAGACTTCCCTCAGCTTCCGGCGTCATATACCGTTCCATCCCGAGGTAATAAACCCGTTCCTAGCGAGATCTAACAACCGATCATGCATGTCAGATTTGGCCCCTAACCGGATTTGTCCATGTGCGTCTGGCACCATTCGCTTATTGAAGGCAGGCTGAGCTCGCCGACGGCGTGTACCTGTGGACGGAGTGCTCTCGGCTATCATCGTTAGTTGCCGGCTTTTATGGATCTTCCAGCTCACGTCAACTCAAATATGCTAGGTTCAGCCTGCCAGTATAGGCAACTGGCAAGAATAAGACAAATATGGTTGGTTATGGCCTGATGTATCATGATAGACAGGAGCCTTGGGGTCGCAGTGCTTTTCACATGGATCCGAAAACGCATAGAGACCGGTCGCTTGCCACTGGGCTTTTGCACCATCACATGGGGAAGCATATACTTGTAGCCGGCATTGAGTCTGATATAGCATTGATGCATCGGATTGCTCATCTCTTTTTGTCAAGGACATCTAAATTGTACCTAGGCAGAGTCTTGATATCCGACACACACGGAGTAAATAAGCCGGAGTTCGACCTAGGTGCACCGTGCCTGTACTGCAAAACTCCGAGGACCGGTGTTTGTCCATAAGCCAAGTTGAAAACCTAACTCGACGTTAATACAGAGTAATAAGGGACTAGGGCGTGGCACACGCCCAGTCCAGCGGCACTCAATCAAAGACGAGAGATTGGAGAACACCCTCGCCGCTTGTGTCACACAGCATGATCAACACGAGCAATTTGCCTCGATCAGCATCAGTGCAGGGCTAGCGCCTAAGAATTTGCAAAAAGAGGGAGAGACAGAGAGAGAGCGACGATGTGCTTTGGGCAGCAGCGCTCAGGGATTGGAAATGGGAAATGAGACCCAGGACACGGGAAGGACGACAATAGCGCTTAAGATGATCGTTATTGAAACGGCGCAGTATGGAAATACAATCGTTTAAGTGGAATTAACTGGCATGCATTGGCGCCTTGGACGGAAATGGCTGCAGAGCGTCGGATGTCCAGGCCGATCATTCACCTGGTACGCAACTAGTATCCAGTACCCTGATGCATTGTGATTGCACGTCTTATGAGATGCGGGATTAATGTTTCGAGTCGCAGTACTACATTGCTGGCCGGGTTGCCTCTATACCCTATTATAACCCCGTGGGGAGGAAGCGGAACCTTGGAAGAACTCTACAATGTCTTGGACAACGTCTTTGACAACGTCTTTGACATAAACGAGTTCACGGCCAATGGGTGATCGGGCAGTGCCAAGAGGAGAAGTATGGCGATTGGATGGCCCTGAACTTCCTTGCGCTGGGACACGAAAGCGAAAAGCGTCGACTCATTAGGGGCCCAGGCCCCTTAGATGACGTCGAGTATAGCGCACAGACGGGCCCTCGCTCTCCAAACAGCTTCATGCAGAAGCCTCTATACCTTTGGCCTCTAACCTTACCTATGTAGGTATGTATACAGAGTATGTAGAGAGAGTATCCGATATTCCCCTGCTCATTTGGATTTTTTCCTCCTGATTGGACCATTTACCGACTTAAGCATCATGTAGGGGGTGTATCCTAAATGGTGTCGGAGCCGATACGGAAAAATTCTAGCCATGGTCCTTGGAAGTTCACGATGGCTCTGGATCCACTGAAGCTCTGGGCCTACACCGTATGGTCATTCCCAATAGTCCTCGACGTAACCTGTGGCGAGTACGCCACCAGGGCAGACTAATGGGATAGCATACTCTATACTCTATACTCTATACTCGACAGTAATAGACTCCGTATCCCCTCAGGCCAACCTTCCCAGGTTGGAAGCGTATATCTAATCTTCAACAAGAATGCCAATACTAGCTGCAAACAGCCGGTCCAAGAATTCCAGGCCAAGCCCCACCAGTCGAATCTGATACTGTGAATTCAAGGTAAATTCAGTTATGCCCGTCAATTAGCACCAGCCTTTTTCTAAAGAAAAAAAAAGAGTAACTCCCTCTTTTTTTAAAAAATAAAAAAAAAACACAATTTTGCCTGGTCCCCGTGGTTCTTGGCGTCCGATCCTCGCTCTGCCCTATTATTCTATTACCCACCCCGACTTCCTCTTCTCTCCCCTCTTCCCTCCGCCTCGGTCTCTTCCTCGACCTCATTTCCTTTCTTTTTTCTATTTTAGACTGGTCCTTCCTTTGGACATTGCTTCCGAAACCCACACATTCCTCCCCCTCCGATCTCGCTCCCCCTCCCCGAGAATCTGGCCATCCGAACGAGCCTAACGCCGAAATATTTATAGCATCCGTCACCGCACTCCCTTTGGTTTTGGCTTAACTGGACCACGTGTGTAAATTTGTGATCCAGATCCTCGTGCGGTAGCCGGTCTACCTCGTGGTCGTCCCTCGATAAACCGCTGTCCGGTACACGGTGATTGCGAATCGTCGCCATCGTGACCCCGCCAGACCCTGCGCAAGTAATGCCGGTCCATTCGTGCGTACCAAAGCTTCCTTTCAGATTGCCTTGAATCAATTAGGCAATTGAAGGATGTTCAACTAGGATGCTTAACTGCACCGGCACAGGCCTCTGAAATTGAACCAAAATTCAAAAGAACACAAAAAGGAGGAATATGACGGAGATACGGTCCTCGCAAGCTGGTCTGGAGGATCCGGACCGGCAGGCTCGTCGTGTCTCGAAGAACCCCAACCGGGACGTCAACCGGCCGGAGGAGTCATCACAACCGACCTCCGATCCCGACTCCCGCCCATCGAAATCATCCACAAAACAGGCGCCTCCCATCACCGATGTCTCAGAAGCAGCGGCCACCTTCCGCCAGGCCTTTCCAAGTATCTACGGTGGCCGCACCCCGTCGAATCGCTCCTCGTCCAGCTCCCTGCAAGCCCTCAATGAGGATACCGTGGTCGATGCGCGATCGGAAAATGGAAGCATAGGCAGAAGGCCCCGAAGAACATCGAGGCAGTCGGAGAGTGAACTACCTGTGTACCCCGATCAGTCCTATGCCTCCCTCCAGTCACAAGTCCACCCCACCTGGCAACCACCTCTGGTCGCAGAGCCGGATCCTCTGCCCCGGTTTGCGTATGCCCGTGGGGTGCGGACTGCGGGAAACACTCCGCTCTCGAGCCCAGGGCTGTTCTCCATGAGACATTCCCGTCACTTTGGAACGCCATCGGGATCCGACGATGATGTGTCCACTGGAAGCTCCCTCCTCCACCCCTCCCACTTGCAGCCGCCAAAAGAGACGCACACCGCCGCGGTAGATCGCGACATAATCACTGGAAACAAGACCATCAACCAGTATGAAATTTTGGAGGAGCTTGGGCGTGGTGAACACGGGAAAGTGAAACTGGGTCAGCATGTTGCGACCGGTCAACAGGTGGCCATCAAAATTGTACAGCGATACTCCACTCGGCGTCGGTTAGGCAAACTCGGTAATCCCGAAGACAAAGTCAAGAAAGAGGTTGCTATTCTGAAGAAGGCGCGACATCCAAATGTCGTCAGTCTGCTTGAAGTTATCGATGATCCGAACCGGCAGAAGGTATACATCGTGCTGGAGTACGTGGAAAATGGCGAGATCGTCTGGCGCAAAAAAGGTCTCCGAGAAATCGTTCATGTCGACAAATTGCGCTTCGAGCGAGAGAAGAACGGAATTCCAGACACCCCCGCCTTCTTGGAAGAGAGCCATCAGTTTATTCGAACCGCTCAGCATTTGCGGCGTCAACGGGAACGGGCACGCGAACGGGTTGAGGCACAGGCTGCCGATGCCCAGCAAGGGCCCATCCCTGCCTGGAGTTTGGAACACGGTGCAGAGTCCTCGGACGAGGATGAGGATACTGGTCTCCCGATCAGGAGATCGTCTAGCCGCTCTGTTGCCGTGACAGATGACTCTAGTCCGTCTTCCGCTCAAGACGCATCGCTCAACGCCGTCGAAGGCACCATGTATGGCGCTTACTCTGATTACCCATTCGAACGGCGTTTCAGTACCACCTCCAGCAGCTTTGGTTATGCCCCTTCGGAACCTGAGTGGTCCGCAGAGGGTGATGATATGGCATATGTTCCTTGTTTGACTATCAGTGAAACCCGCAGCGCATTCCGAGACTCGGTGCTTGGCTTAGAATATCTTCACTACCAGGGCATCATCCATCGTGACATCAAGCCGGCCAACCTCCTCGTCACCAGCAATCACCGGGTGAAAATCTCCGACTTTGGTGTATCATACCTGGGCCGACCGATGCGCGACGAGGAAGAAGAACAAGTGGGCGAGACCGACGCAACAGAGTTGGATGATGCCCGTGAGCTGTCCAAGACGGTCGGCACACCTGCCTTCTATGCCCCTGAGCTATGTTACACTGGCGATGACTTCGTGGAAACGATCGGGTCGATTCCCAAAATCACCGGCGCAATCGACGTTTGGTCTCTTGGTGTTACATTGTACGGAATGGTTTTCGGCCGTCTGCCGTTCGTTTCAGATGACGAGTACAGCATGTTCCAGACGATCGTGAAGAAGGAGGTTTTCATCCCACGAAAGCGCCTGGTGCCCGTCGTTGATGACGAGTGCGATTCTAGTCAATGGAACCTCAGAAGCAGTGATGAGCTTGTTTATGAGGATATTGACAATGAGCTATATGATCTCCTGAGGCGCCTGTTGACCAAGGACCCCATCAAACGGATTACGTTGAAGGAGATCAAGCACCACCCGTGGACTCTCCACGGTCTTCCTAACCCTCGCATTTGGATTGAGGAAACCGACCCCGGCTACCAAAGCAAGGGCAAGAAGATCGAGGTTTCGAATGAAGAAGTGACCAGTGCTGTCAGCAAGGTTCCATTCATTCAGCGTGTCCGGTCTAACGTCGCCAAATGGTTTGGCGGCAAGTCCAAAGACTCCAAGGAGAAGGAGAACCGTAAGCGCACAACGGGCGCAACACCTTCAACTGAAACTTTGTCTTCCACTGCAACCAACAGTACGTTCGGAAAAACTTCGCGCGACAGCCGCCGATCCAGTTTGCGAGGAGATGAAGATTTCTTCCGTCCACTCAAATTTGGTAACCAGGGACACCCGCTTGCTCAGAGTGTCACTGCCAGCCCAGTCGACAAAGGTGATTGGGATTCTTACTTTGAGACGGCACCCCCAGTCGCCGTGAAGCCTTCCGTTGCTGCCAAGTTGGCTGCAGCCCCTCCTCCCACCGTCACACCCCGACCTGGTCCTCCCCGGCGAGCAAAGTCCTCCATGTCCACGACTGAATCTACAAAGACGGTCAAGCCAACTAATTTCGACATCCCAATGACTGTCCGACCTCGTTCGGGTGTGCATTCCTCTATCATCGAAGCTTTGGGCCAGACCAATTTCGGGAGTCTATTCAGCGGAGCCAGTCGTCGAGCATCACGAGGTAGTCGCAGCCGACGCACATCGCCATCTGGTGAAACAGGATCTCTGCGGCGAGATGAAGAGCGTGCCCCGGAGACCAGTACAGCCGAGCCCAGCATCGCTGTCAGCAACGCATCTGCACAAGGACAAGTGCGTAACCCCGGTCTATGGCATGACAAAGATCAGCCTTCCGAGGGATTGGCCCCGGTTCACGCGCACCGACGCAACCGTTCCTCACAGCTTGAGGACCATTCATACGCAGACTCTTTCCACGCCACGAGGGATGCTCTTCGCCGCAGAAGAAGCGACGTTGATCCTGGCGAGGGCAACCCCCTCCGAGTAGATTACGCAATGTACTCGACCGAATCCCTCCTCCTACCACCCATCAACCCACCGACCCACCAATGCCCCGAAACCACGATCAATGGGTTGACCTCCACCCCGCCCACCATTTCTTCCTCTTCCGCCGACGACTTCACCAGTGGCATGTCGCAAAGTGCCTCGCACCCTAGCATCCCCTCCGTTGTTTCCAACGCCTCTTCCCTGTCCGCGGACGGCTACTCCTGTAAAAATGAAGATATGGAAGAAGTTCCGTCCATCCTACGCACCGGTGAAACAGTCAAACCCAGCGGTCGAAGCTCGCCACCCGGGCCCCCTGAAGAAGATGAGTCCCGCTACTACTGCGACGACGAAGACGAAGATGAGTCCTCCTCAGAGGAAGAAGTCCTCATGATTGGGAAGCGCAAGCCCGCAAAGACTGATTCGCCTTCGAACTGAAACGTGGCCGGCCCCGATCAGTCACTTTGACGCCTCCTATGAATTTGCTGCACATCCCCTTTTCTTTTCTTTTTGCAGGCTACCTTGCTGGAAATTTAGAAATCGTTGATATACATTCTATACGGTCTGTACATATATTGCCGCGCGGCCTTTGCATCTCTGCGCCTGTATGTTCAAGGCGGAGGTTTCTTTCTTCTTCCCTTTATCTTGGTCTTTATGCATCGACCGGCATTTGATTTCTACCTATTGTATGTAATGTTGAACAAAGGAGTGTGGGATGCAACCTGTTTGTACTCGTGAGATGTCTGCGATGAACGAAATGAACTGTCTGAAATTTCTGAACCCTCGACTTCAAGGTTCCAAGGTTGAAAGGATTCACATGATAGTACGGAGTATAGTACTAGTACTATATACTCGGGTGGTCTGTGGCATGAGGTCCGTCCAGGTGCCAGGTGTGCCTGGGCACTTTGTAGTGTGTTACGGGTAGATCGCACTCATAGTGGAGTTTGATGCTTTAGCGCCTCCCCCCTTCGCAATATTACTCCTCACGGCCGATCTGTCGGAAGATCCTATTTGCCCTTCCACCAATGGCAGAACCCCCCAGGACTGGTGTTGGGCCTCGGGAGGATAGTCTGCCCCCGAGATACTCGGAGCCCCACAGGGCCAGTTGCAGATATTGCAATTGTACGCTGTGATCATATAACCTCGCTTCCAAGTTGGTTGCAATGCTTAAGACCGAACAGGAATCTCGGCAGTCAACTGACCCACCGACTAGTTGATGCCGGTGTGTTGGAAGCTCATCGTGCATGAATGACATGTTTCAGTTCCTGTCTGGGCACGGCAAACTAGACCTTTCCAGGTATGCCCCCGGACAACCAAGGAATTATTCCACCTCATGAGTCTCGCGGCACAACCAAGGAGAGGTTCCCTCGCTTCGGTGAAAAGTGCCATTGGGTCTTTCGCAGAATATAAAGAGACCCGGCGGGTCTACTGTGAACTCCATCTCAATTGATTCCAGCGATGCTTCCCTACCTTTTCTTAGCTGCTACGCAGCTCTTCACTGCCACATCGGCAGCTCTGACCTACCGGGGCGCCGATATCTCCTCCCTGATCGTCGAGGAAAATAAAGGCATCTCCTACAAGAACACTGCCGGCTCAACGGCAAAGCTCGAGTCGATCATCGCGGATGCAGGTATCAACTCCGTTCGTCAGCGCATCTGGGTCAACCCCAGCAACGGCGACTATGATCTGGACTACAACATCAAGCTCGCAAAGCGGGTGCAAGCAGCTGGAATGACTACCTATCTGGACTTGCACTTAAGTGACACATGGGCAGACCCAAGTTCTCAGGTACGCATCTTGGATCATGGCTTGACTCTTGAGCCATCGGCTAACCTTCCAACAGACCACCCCATCCGGATGGTCCACAACCGACATCGATACCCTGACATGGCAGGTGTACAACTACACACTGGAGGTGTGTAACGAATTCGCATCGAACGGTCTGACGGTTGAAATGATCTCGATCGGTAACGAGATCCGTAACGGTCTCCTCTGGCCCCTCGGGAAGACAAGCAGCTACTCCAACATTGCTAGCATTCTGCACTCCGGTGCATGGGGCGTGAAGGACTCCGACCTCGCGACGACACCGAAGATTATGATTCATCTCGACAATGGCTGGAGTAGCAGTGACCAAACCTATTTCTACGACAAGGTGCTCGCGTCCGGCTCGGCGCTTGTCTCCACCGACTTCGACTTCATTGGTGTCTCTTATTATCCCTTCTACAGTGCCAGTGCGACCCTGTCGGCTCTCAAGTCTAGTCTTTCCTCTTTGTACTCGAAATACGGCAAGAAGACCCTGGTCGTGGAGACAAACTGGCCGTTTTCATGTCCCAGCCCGGAATACTCTTTCCCATCGGACTTGACTGATATTCCCTTCTCCGTGGCTGGCCAGCAGACTTTCTTGGAGCGGCTGTCGACTGCCGTTGCGGGGGCTAATGGCATTGGTATCTATTACTGGGAGCCTGCGTGGGTTGACAATGCGGGGCTCGGAAGCAGCTGTGACGACAATCTGCTGTTTGCGTGGTCGAACGATCAGGCACGGTCTAGTCTAAACGCGCTGGGCAGTGTTTGAGGGGGAAGATGTACAGTATGAGCTAGACATTAGGGCTTCGTATCCAAGGCACAGCAGTCTGCCTTGGATATAAGCTTATACCCAAAGGGGACTAGCTCCTCAGCTGCGTGGCTGTGCAAAAAAAAGAGACCCATACGCCATTCTGCAACCTCCACTTGGCAGTCGGAAACAAGTGCTTGTTCGTAGGCAACGGCTTTCTCTGCAATGGTGTAGGCATCCGTTTGTATAAAAATAGTGGCCCGTAGAGGGAGGGGAGGATCAGAACTAGCATCTGTTATCAAGGTGGGCACCGATGCGGGGAGACCCATCTTGGGCTTACTAGCATCAGTACAGCAACATGGTCCAGGTGGATAACCTATTTGATTGCGCTTAGGGCACCCACAAGGAATTCTACTATTTTCCTAAAGGTTACTGCGCATTATACTATTCCCCTACTCGTTCTCGTACATCGATTGGCGCCGGGGGAGTATACAGAGCCCCAGACCGCCTTGCGCACGTGAATTTCCATTCCTCGACTCCCTATCACCTCGCGTTGTGACAAGGTCTTGGGTTGAAAACTGAAGGTATACTCACTGGTAGTATGACGCTGCCTGACTGCTGACACTGGCCCAGAGGCTCATTCGCGTATCCCGCACCCCTCTCCGAAACCTGGACCCTTGCGAATGACATCCCACCACATCATCAGACGCCATTCTTTCCACACCGGGTGTCTAGGTCCCTGACAGGTCCATTCCTCTAGTCTGTCCCTGACACAAAAACTTCGCGCTATACCTTGCTCCTGCTTCATCCACCGCCTACTCATTGTAGCTCCTTGGTACCCTCCCAAGAGCCTCCCCAGGAGCCTCATTCGCGCGCATCCACCAGCATGGCCTCGCATGACCCCAACCAGGGCTCTGTCCATTCCCCAGGCGACCTCGGGAACCGCAGTGTGAGCCCACAACCACATCCACCGCAATATCATAACCCGAATGCCGGATTGAGCATCGACCCCTCCATGGGCGCTTATCCAACGGCCCCCTCCTTCCACAACCAGGATGGAGGTATTGGCGCTGAATCATATGGCTATCCGAATTACTCCTCTACCTTGTCTCCGACGCAGACACTGTCCCCGCCGGCGGATCAAAACTACCCCCCGGCGATCAACACCAATAATCTTCCGATGTCGCAGTCTTTCGAGACAAGCCTCGTCAATCAGCTCGAGCACTCCTCGAATGGATTGCGGCCAATGCAGGAAGAGAACTTCTCCAACATGCTAAACTCCAATCAGCCGGAATTGGACTTCTCTCTCTACCAAAACCACAGCCCTACCTCCGAGTATGATTCATCGCAGTTGTTGGACCCGCAGATGCATCAGCGCCAGTCAATGAACCAAGCCATCAACCCGGCCGACCTGGTCAGTCCAATCTCGAATTCTGGCTCTTCGCATCCGTCACAAGATCCGCAGCACTCCTCTCCTGGCCCTATGTCTCCTCCGGGGTCCACGCCGGGTACATACTACACTCCCCAACATTCGCGGCACACCTCGTTAGACCCATCGACGGCCTATTACAACCCTCACCCGAATCCGGACTGGCAGTCTGTTATGAACAATGTCTCTTTCCAGGGGCATCGACGTGCCCCATCCGAGGTATCCGAGGTTTCCTCGGCCAATCACTCTCCGTACCTGTCTCAACATGAATTCGATGGCATCGAGAACAACGCGTCGCCTTCTTTGGCTCCCCAGAGCGACCCGACTCTGTATGAAAATGGCCTCGGCATGGAATCCTTCACCTTGTCGGAGCAACAACAGCAGGGCATTAGCCCACTTCAAACCCCCTACATCTCCCCGCGATTGATGCCACAACAGGGGGGTGAGATGATCCCCAATACCTCGTATCTTTCTCCGTTCCCCGCAGCACCCACGGACATGTACGGAATGCCTCAGGAGGACATGATGAACATGGGCCAGCTGAACAATGCACCGGGTGACATTGGACAGGCTTCTCAAATGGCTCCTCCGTCAATTAATGTCGAGTTCGCTCCGCCACTGCGGAATCAAAACTTTGATTCATCGAAACCAACAGCAGATTACGATTCGTTGAGCCCTCCCGCCATGAGTGAGTTTCGATGATGTCCCAGATAATATGCTCCAGCTAATCAATATTCAGGGTCCCGAGTAAGGAGCAAATCCGATCCTTATCACCCCGCTTCCCGGCCACGCTCTCCAGCGGCATCAGCAACAAGCCTGGAGCCTCATGCGCCTACTACCCCACGTTCCCTGTCACCTGTTGGTTCAGTTGGCTCGCACTCACGCAGTAGTCCGGGCTCTCGCGACGCATCGCCTTCCCGATCCAACCGCCGACTTTCAACCTCGTCGATCGAGAACCGAAATTACATTCTCGACTTGGCCGATCCTCAACGTCCAGGCGCAGCGCCTGGTGAACCGAAACGGGTACAGAAACACCCTGCCACCTTCCAATGCACTCTATGTCCTAAACGCTTTACCCGCGCCTACAACTTGCGGTCCCACCTACGCACGCACACCGACGAAAGACCCTTCGTATGTACAGTCTGCGGCAAAGCATTTGCGCGACAGCACGACCGCAAACGACACGAAGGTTTGCATTCCGGTGAAAAGAAGTTCGTCTGCCGCGGTGAGCTCTCCCGCAGCGGCCAATGGGGTTGCGGTCGACGATTTGCCCGCGCAGATGCTCTTGGCCGCCATTTCCGATCTGAAGCTGGCCGAGTCTGCATCAAGCCCTTGCTCGATGAGGAGTCTGCCGAGCGTGACCGCGTTCTGGAACATCACCCGCAGCAATCTGGCCATCTTCAACCGATTCCCCAGCCGCTGGTGATGCCTAACATGCCCGGTATGGACGGGCAGTCCTCTGGTAATTTCGTGTTACCTGCTGCCCTTCTGGCGCAGTATCCCGCCCTTCAAAATCTGCAATGGGACCAGATCCCTGCGGCAGAAGAGGAGATCGGTGGGAGGAGCAGTTTTGACGCCAGTTCGGGTGGGGAGTTTGGTTTTGATGAAGATGATTCGGGCCTCTCGTATAACCAGGGGAATTTATATGCGAATAATTCGCAGATGATGATGAACCCTGGGGACCCGGGATACTCGAATCAAAAATGGACCGGGTGACAATCTTTTTTGTATTTGATTTCGTTTGTTTCTTTCCATTTGGCCCCCTTGTTTTCTTTTTTGGTTCAAAAGGATGCACGATGGACATCTGCACCCAGCTCTTTTGTATAGAAAGGCTTTCGGCGTTCAAATACAGGATCATGTCTGATGGTTTGGTCAACAATCAGGATGCGATGGGTTTCTTTCTTTTTGGTATGTCTCGAACGCGGAGAACATGGGGCGTTCTCCTGCTTTGGTCAGACCTTTTGTCCCACTTCGTTGGAGAGATGCTCCGCCACGATGTTTTTGATGATATTCCCCCCATACCCCGTTGTTTCGCATTGTTTTGTTTGTCACATTTCATATCTATATACCACAGTGAACAATCGAAGGACTTCGATATTACTTTTGGACCAATGCCCAGCCCTCAGCTTTGGGCGTAGGGTCGCATTGCTAGGACTTGCCAAGGACCTTATGAGCGCTAAAGCAAAGGGTCCCCCATCTGTTCTCTCTATCCCTGCCAGGCCAAAGGCTCTCGTTTATTGCCGCCGGAGTTGTCTTAGCGCAAAGCTGGACTCGCTATTCTGCGTCTTCGCTTGCAATTTCTTGTATATCCTTCTTCCTGGAACCAATGTCTCGGATTCACTGGGTATTCTCTCACTCTCCTCATGAGCAAAAGCAGATGAAAATCTAGCTCGCTCTCAACATGCCCTTCATTTGGCTGAATTGGTTGCTTGCTGCATTGATGGGGACAATGATCAACACTTCCAATACACTCGAAGTGGACCTAGTGTTTCCGCGCAACGAAACATACGCGCCTACCGAGTGGTTTCCTATTATATTTGCTATTCGGAAACCAACCCTCGCTAAATACCCGGCACCGAGCATTTCCTATGATCTATGGAAACTGGACGGCGAAAAAGCCCCTTACACCCTTCCCCATGATCTCAGAGGGGCCGACTGGTGTAGCCAGGATCCCTTTTTTGCACATGGTTTTTTTCAGCAACTTCAATAATGAAAGTCGATGGAAACTGAGGTGGAGTTTAGATTGGAACAGCTGCAACGAAGAGGGCTTCGAAAAGATGCGAGACGGTGCCCGCATGAACTATAACTCGTCCAGCTCGACAGTCTGGTTCACCATTAAGAATTCTTCCCAAGAGGTCGATCCAGTCGCCGCTTCAACGGAAAAGACCTGTCCTGGAGAATCTGGCGTGATGTTGAATGTGGCCGGGGAAACAATGACTGTCCCTCGGGATGCAAGCTGGTCTCACGGCAAATTTACGAATGGTACCTGCGCCGTGGTGGCGTCTATGCCTAGTTCGACGCCGGATCCACGTCAGGTTGAGATTGGCAGGTCCCTTTACTTGAATATGACGGCCGCTTTGAAAGACCGCTTGTGTAGGCAGTTCGACCCACCAGCGGATTGTCCAAAGAAAAATACGAATGCTGCGCAACAACTGGCCGTTGCTGGTATGTCTTGCCTGCTAGTGGCATTTGGGGCTTTGAGATACCTTTTGATTTGAATATGCTCCTGTTTTGATCCTTTCCATGCATCCAATGCAGAGGATGCCGGCAAAAAGATGAGATATACCCTAGCCCTCGGGTGGACTTTGATACTTTCAAGGTTCTAGCCTTGGAAGCGTTATGCATGCCAAGTGGAATTTAATGATAGAATACAGATCACATTGGATATCATCTAGTTGGCAAACAAAAAAATCTAAAAGTCTCATGTACAAGGCCAAAGCCATTGCGACCAGCATGCAACCCCGACTCCAAACCACTTTTATAGTGTAACAGTCTTACTGCGCATTAGCCTTCTTGGCAAGCAAGTTGAGCGCACTACCAGCAAGAATGAAAGCACTCTGGTCCTTGCTGAGAGTGTGTTGAACGGGAACGAGGAAAGATTCGCCAGTCTTCTGCTTGGTAACACGAAGCTGGATCTCACCCTGTCCACCAGCCTGCAGAGTATCGTACAGACCAACGGTGTCGACCTTATCGCAAGCATCGATGCGATCGTAGTCTTCGCGATTGGCGAATGTAAGAGGCACAACACCCTGCTTCTTCAAGTTCGTCTCGTGGATGCGGGCGAAGCTCTTGGAAACAATGACGCGGCCGCCGAGGTAGCGAGGTTGCAGAGCAGCGTGCTCACGGGCGGAACCTTCGCCGTAGTTGTCCTCTGCAACGACGAGCCATTCAATACCGCGCTCCTTCCAGTGCTCGGCAAGCTCGGGGATACCGTACTGCTTGCCAGCCTCGTCGTAGGCAACATTGGTCTCGCCGGTGGCAGCGTTGACGGCACCGATGAGGGTGTTGGCAGAAATGTTGGGCAGGTGACCCTTGTACTTGAGCCAGGGACCAGCGGCGGAGATAGTATCGGTTGTACATTGACCCTTGACCTTGTAAAGAACCTGGAGGCCGGAGAGCTCACCCTTAGGGAAGGGAGCGAAGGGCTCAAGGAGGGCAAGTCGGTCTGAGGTGGGGGAGACAATAACCTCGGCGCTTGCGTCGGGGACAGCGGCTGTGGGAAGGAAGTTGGGGTTTCCTTCTTCGAAACCGGCGCTGGGAAGGTCGAAGCCGCTTGGGGGCTCGAACTTGAAGGTTGAACCATCCGGTGCGGTGAGGGAGTCAGTCATCGGGTTGAAAGTGGTGCTGCCGGAGTAGGCGAGCGCAGTGACCAGCTCGGGGGAGGCAAGGAAGTTCATTGTCTGGCGGTTACCGTCGTTACGACCAGGGAAGTTACGGTTGTATGAGGTGAAGATGGCGTTGTCTTCGCCCTTGGGCACACCGTCTGTGCGCTTCCATTGACCAATGCAGGGACCGCAGGCATTGGCAAGAACAATGCCACCGGCTTCGGAGAAAGTGTTCAGGGTCTGATCACGGTCGAGAGTGGCGCGGATCTGCTCGCTACCGGGAGTAATGAAGAAGTCCGCCTTGGGCTTCAAGCCCGCCGCGGTAGCCTGCTTGACCAGGTGCTCGGCGCGGGTCATATCTTCGTAAGAAGAGTTGGTGCAGCTACCAATCAGACCAGCACCGAATGTCTCGGGCCAGTTCTTCTCGCGGACGGTTTCGGCAAATTTGGACAGGGGAACCGACAGGTCGGGAGTGAATGGTCCGTTAATGTGAGGCTCAAGCTCGGAAAGGTTGATAGTGATGACCTGGTCATACTCGGCCTTGGTATCGGCGCGCAGCAGGCTAGATGGGCCCGCCGCAGCAACCTCGGCAGCAGCCTCGGCAACATGACCACGGTGAGTAGACTGCAGGTAAGGAATCATGCTAGGCGAGAAGGGGAACAGTGAGGTGGTAGCACCGACCTCAGCACCCATGTTACAGCATGTAGCCATACCAGTGCAACTGAGGGTCTCAACGCCAGGGCCGTGGTACTCGATAACGTAACCAGTACCACCGCGGACGGTCAGCTTACCGGCCAAAGACATGATAATATCCTTGGGGGAAGCCCATCCGCTGAGCTGGCCCTCGAGGCGCACACCAAGAACCTTAGGGGCCTTCAGCTCCCAAGGCGCGTCAACCAGAGCATCAACCGCATCGGCACCACCGACACCAATGGCAATGGCACCCAGACCACCTCCGTTAGGAGTGTGGCTATCAGTACCGAGCATCATCAGTCCAGGGGCGGCGTAGTTCTCCAAGACGCTCTGGTGAATGATACCGGCACCGGGGGGCCAGAACTCGATACCGTAGCGCTTGGCAGCACTCTCCAAAAAGTCGAAGACCTCGCTATTACCTTTGATCGAGGAAGGCAAGTCGGTATCGGCACCGCGCTCGCCAACAATCATGTGGTCGCAATGGATACTGGCGGGAACGGCAGTCGAAGGGAGACCACAGGACATGAATTGAAGCAGGGCCATCTGAGCAGAGGCATCCTGCATGGCGACACGATCGGGCTTCAGCTTCAAGTTGGCCTTGCCTCGAACATCACGGCCATTGTTGGTACCGGTGAGCAATGACTCCTCGGCATTGTCCAAGTGAGAGTAGAGGATCTTTTCGGCAAGGGTAAGGGCCCGATCGGATCCCAAAACTCGGCGGACCTGTTCAAGATTGCGAACAAGCTTGGGGTAGGGGGGCATGCGGGAGGAGGAGGCCTCGGTGGCCAGGCCACGGGCGAAGAGCCGTTGCGGGGACAGCCGTGCCAGCTAGATGATGTTAGTCACAGAATCCAATTGGAGCCAATTGTCTCACTTACCCCACGAGAGGCAGAAGCCCGCTTCCAAACAAGCTGGCTCACCATCTTCACAATTGGGGGATGAGGGAAACTGGGGAAGAAGGAGATGGCCTCGGGATGTTCCCTTTTTTTCGTAGAGTCATTCTGGGTTATTTGCCTCCACTCTGATTGGCCGGGCATTCCGCCGATTTCGGAACCCAGGCCCCGTCGACCTGTGGGCGACATCTGTGGGGAAACCAAGCACATCTGTGTATAGATCGGAATGGGGGATTGTTCGATATCTCATTGCTACCTAGGTACGATTGATGAGTCGTAGTTAAGGTGTCCAAAACTGTTGCATTCATTCTATACTCTGTTCTCCGTCACGACTTCAAGGTTGAATACTGATCTTTCCCAGCCATCGGAAAGATGATTATAGGATGGACTCTTTTACAGACAGTCAATTGAATTCAAATAAACCACCAGAGAGCACATGTGCTCTCATCCTCGAGATGCCAGGCATGGACAAAATGTGCCCCATCTCAAACGCCTATCGTAACAAAGAAGAAAGAACCAAACTGATCATACAACCAAATACTAAAATATGCCCGAGAAGACTCTCTTGGCCAGACTCGAGGAATGAACCCAAAGATATAGAGAGACAAGGGTACCGAACTAATGGTCCTAGGACTGTTCTTCTTCATCAACCACTGCAGCGCGCAGTTCCCAGACAAAATCATAGCACTCGGCGAGCAGGTTGTTCACACTGCCCTGGCCTTCGGGAATGTCGGGCCCCACGTAGAACTTCCCATCGACTCGCATGTTGTCAATTGAGTTCAGCTGGTTCGGGCATTAGCTTTGGTTCGGAAAGGGTGAGGAAATTCACTCCTGGGCATACCTTCATGCTGTAAGGGTAAAGTTCACGCGAGTTTGAGACTCCTCCAGACTCTTTGACTTCAATCAAGCAGCGGCGCAGAGTTTGGAGTTGATTATAGACAGGCAGAAGAGCTTCAGATACGGGCTCGGATGAAATCAATAACGCGTAGATGTATGCATAACTGCGACGGATGAGGTAAAGCAGTGTCTGGGTGATTGTTAGCAAGACTCTATCATTTTTCGGGTGGCCAATCTTACCCGCTGTGCATGCAGGTCGGCAGGCTGACCCTCTGCATCAACGAAATTTCCACTAGAACGCGCCTCGTCAATTCGGTCGAGCTTCCGCTGGTATCCAAAGAGATCTGTCTCTCGCAGAGACCAGGCTTGAGTTACGGACAAGCGGTCCAATTGGTTGCGAATTTCCAGCAGTCGGTCGTATTGGTCTCGGAACCGTTCGTCAATTTTGCCTTCTCTGTAAGGTCGTCAGCAACTATCCAACCGCTGAAGATAGGAGGTGGAGGATACCGCTCAAGCACAATCTCGGTCCATCGCCAGCACCGGTGTAGCAAAGATTTGACTTCGTCCTGCCCCGCGAGAATATTTCCCTCGGCATCGATAAAGTTGCCGTCTTTCATTCCCTTCTCGATCTTTTTCAGTTGTTCCCGTAGACCATTGACCTCCGATGCTGAGAACTGAGAGCCAAGTGTCAGTTCATCATCAGCCAGATAAAAATGGCGCTAGTAATAAATCATACTTTGGAGCGAGTGTTAACCGCGGATGTTGATCGCAGAACTGAGACTAGCGTCTCGTGTGTCTGCGCCAAAGGAGGGGATAACGCAGCGAGACCCTTCTGCAGCTTCTTCAAAGAGATTTCGCATTGCTCCAAGCGGCTTTCCAAGAGTGTGAGAAGAGCCGGTGAGTATGTATCACGTCCACGCTCTAGTGTTTCGCGAGTAGACTCCAGGGTCTTAGTGATCGAATTCAGATCTTTAGAACTGTAAAATCCAGCCTCTTCGAGATGGTCGAGCAAGCGCTAAGGAAGAACGTCAGTGCCTAGGTCATGGTATCTTTTGTCTCCAAAGAGATCATGTGTCTGGAAGTCTACCTGAATCGTGGTCGCCAAGGAATAGCTGGGAGGATGTCAGATATGATCATGAGATCGCGGGGTCAAGTATGCCAGTCTTACACTGCAGGAGCTTCATTGTTCCTCCCCACCGTCAAAAATAGAAGCGAAATCAATTGGAAACAGTCGTCCAGAACATAGTCCACTGCCACAAAGTGTCAGCCGACTTCCAAAATGAGCGCGCGATCTACTGGAGACTCACAGCGATTATGAATCAAGCGGCGATCCTGCTCTTTGCGCGCTGAATTGAGCTTCTCGACTTCCGCGATTACTTCCTCATAGTGCGGGAGAACATCGCGTGATTTAATGTATGACGACTTGTCCTGTTTGATGAGCAAGAGGGCGTCGCGAGTTCGGAGCAGTCGTTCGAGGATGGGCTGTTCCCGCGGATCCAGCGGGACCGGGATTGCGGGGGATTCCATGGTTGGAGAACAAGAACAGAGGCTGTTGGGATAGCCGATATGTTACCAGAAAGAGTCACAGCACAGAATATGGCTTCGCAGGTCGTCACAAGTCAAGATGATGGCCTAGTACCCCACCGAGATGTGATGTCAATTACTGGATTGATAGGGAGATACTGCCAGTATCAGATAGTGGTCTGTGCATGCTTATGTCATTTGACTCAATGTCCGTTTGAGGACTAGCGCATTATCATGTGACATTGGTGGCGGATCAGGAGCTAGTCCCAATTAGTCCAAGCCCTAAGCGAGGGCTAAATTCCCACACAGCGCGGTTCCTGTTCGGGTAGACTATCATTGGCCTCATCTCTTCTTCTTTCCCATCCCCAACTCACTCAAGACACCCAGTCCACCCGTCGACATGTCTACCGCCGAGCTCGCCTGCTCTTACGCCGCCCTCATCCTGGCCGATGACGGTATTGAGGTCTCCGTACGTATCCCAAATTCTTTGAAATTGGTGGATTCGTGGAGGCTTGAAGATCGCGCTTGAAGCTTCATTACTTGTTCGGGAATGGGCTTTGGGAGGAATACAACAAGCAACCGCGAACCCACTGGATTCAATCAACGACTACTGCGCAAAATGTGTGACTGACCTTGAATCTCCGTTCAGGCCGACAAGATCCAGACCATCCTCGGTGCCGCCAAGGTCCAGGAAGTTGAGCCCATCTGGGCCTCCATCTTCGCCAAGGTAAATATCTGAGCCTTTTCCAACCGCGCCGAAATCGACCCGACACTCGCGCGCGACAATTGAAAGCTTCGATTGCTTACACCATTCACAGGCCCTCGAGGGTAAGGACATCAAGGAGCTCCTGACCAACGTCGGCTCTGCCGGTCCCGCCGCCGCTGCCCCCGCTGCCGGTGGTGCCGCCGCTCCCGCTGAGGAGAAGAAGGAGGAGAAGGAAGAGGGTAAGTCTTGGCAACATACCCTGAGACATGAGTCGGTTCTAACCCCACTGCAGAGAAGGAGGAGTCCGATGAGGACATGGGCTTCGGTCTCTTCGACTAAGCGTCTTAAAAACTCCGTATCGAATTTGAACTCGTTTCCTTTTTTCTCTATCCCACACCTTTTTTTCCGCTGCCGCAATGCGGCTCCCTCGACGATTCTCTCTTGTACTCGATACACCACGACCCCCGCTACGACCTAGAACCCGGGGAAGAAAAAAAGAAAATTAGCAAAAGAATTCAAACGGATAAGACATTCAATGGAGACTGGGTGCTCGGTGTGTCTCGTCACTGTCGAGGTATACTCCATCGGATGCCGCTGCGATTCCGAAGATATTGTTGCTTCCAGGATTAGGGGAATTGAAGAATGACGTTTGGCACACTTCTTGACAACTTCTTGATTTCCATGGTCAAAGTACGACTTTTTTCTGGCGAGTAGATGTATGCTGCTTGTGTCACCCTTGACGATGATCCAGCTGCTTGGTTCCTTTGTTATGTCTGTCATGCGATCATGAACCAACGAATGCCGTCTTGATTCCTATATTGGCCTGAACGTAGCACGTAGCTATCTTGAATTGATGCCATTAACCTAGACCTCGCCGGTATACTCCAGGGCTGCTATTAGCATTGATGCCCCGTCGGCTATGCTCTGTACACTCAGGGGCCCTTATTCTGGTTGAGCACAGGGTGGTGGTCAAAAGTATAAAGATTGACTCCCACCTGCGCACGGTTGTTCTACAGGGCTGGCTTGTCTGAGGACGTCATAGACAACAAATTATTGATCGTCAAGTGTATAATACCAGACACGATTTGAATATAAAACCAACAAGCACCAATCTCAGTGCTCCATTTTCATTTCACGATAAAAAAAACAACGCTATGCTATTTCCAGATTCCTTGATGCGCAGCACCCCGTTCATGAGTTGATCCCGAACATCGGGATCAAGATAGTTGCGCATCAATCTGGTTTTGATTTTTGGTCAAGTAGATTTGTTTGTCGCAAATGAACCTAAAAGGTCGAAACAGGAATTTAAATAACTGCTGACGGTTGAGGTTCTTGGGCAGCGTAGATCCGGAATTGGATGAAGATGATCACGTCTTCAAACATGGTTCCCAAGGAGCCAATCAACCACGGGAGATTGGTAAGGAAGTATTCCTTCTCTGTGGAGTGGAAGAGGATCTGCATTCAAAGGATGAGTGTGTTTCTCAGAAAAGAAGGGCCTGGTATCACTTACACCCGCACCATAGGTCAAATTGCCCAAAAGAGAGAGGATGAAGAATAGGAGCGACAGTCCTGCCTGATGGTTAATATCACAACCGGAGTATCTATGAATATGCCGAAACTCCTGAACTTACCTTCACAAGACTTTTCGCTATAGTTTTTGTAGATTTGGGGCAATCTCGCTCTGCAAACTAGTTAGTATTAAGCTCATCGACTTGAGTAGAGGCAAACTTACCCCAGGTAGCACAATGCGCTGAAGTAACCCAGCACTAAGCCCCCGGTGGCCTCATCAGAAGGATTGTTGCTCTCAATTGGCGCAGGCTCCCACATCCCTGTCTGCCAGGCCATCGTCCAGCCGGCCATTCCAATGACGAAAATACCAACAACGCTAGCAAAGTTCTTGAACCACGCTTTGCGACCAAAATCATTCTCCTCCACAATCTTGGCGAGAGTGTCCTCAACCTGGCTCTCACGTCGACCTTGGTGTCCACGCTGCGAGCCCGACGACCGGCGCCGCGACTCTTGCAAGGAATCGCTGAAGCGCCGCCCCAGCAGCGGAGTTGTCGGGTCAGGAGTCTCCGTGGACGAGCGTCGACGATGGGCAGGCTCGCGTGTACGCGCCTTGTAGTATAGGCATTGCGCGATCAACACGCCGTCTGCGATGCAGAAGTATACTGCGATCGCGACAATGACGGGAACGAGCCCGGCCATGAGACCGCCGGCTAAGTTTGCGATGTCGCCAACAAACCAAACGAAGACGAACAGAAGGGATATAGCTTCGGCATTTCCATTGCGATAGTTTTCAATGAGTTGCGGGACCTGTTGAGGATTAGAGGCTGCCTTGCTGACGGGCTGGGGTGTCGCGCGAAGGAAAGAAAAAAACAACCTACCAGAAGGAAAATCCAGCAGGTCATGGAGACCGAGCCTAGAAGACCCGACGCCGCCTCCCGGGCTGTGAGAGGTATAGTTTCGTGTGCCATGGTGGTGTGTGTAGGAAGGAGAAAGAAAATTCGAGGGAGATAAGGCTATGACACAATCTACTGTCCCGCTCACCTGGGGTCCGAGCACCGCGACTGTTTTACATTCTTGCGCCAATAGATTGAAAATTGATAGTATCATCTACCGATGTGGGAATATTCGTGCTGAGATGCCGTTCGATACCTAGGTACCTACATGTAGCTATAGAGGATTGTATCAAATGTCAGTCTGGCGGGATGACGCACACCTATACATAGACAGCGCCAGCCAATGAAATACTCCTTATTATCCCGTCGCCTCGTACTTCGCCCGCGCACCCTGGCCTAGTGCATGCAAAGGTACTAGGGTCCGTATGCAAAGTCTACCAAGGTTGAACTAGGCTCTGCGATGAATCTGCCCCTGTATCTAGGTGTGTGACTTGCGCCTTACATGGTCTTACTGCATCCGAGGTCGTTCAGCCGTGTGTCAGAAATATATCCATCGGTGGCCCCGCTTGGTGCATAATTCAACCACATCTCCAACCTTGAACGGCTTCTCAGGTTTCTTGTATGGGCTCTATTGGTATTTCCAAGGTTATGAATACCTAGATGCCACACTTGATACCTATGTAGGTATCCATTTGGCATCCATAAATTACAGTACATGCCATTTGAACCTTGGAACTTCCAAGTTCAAGGTTCCAATGGAACCTTTCTAGGCTGCCCAGGTGTGCATCTTTCATCAAAGATACTATACATTCATGGTTCTCGGATTTTGTATTTTGAACCAGTACCATTTTATTCCTCGCGCATGTTGGCATATTCATCCTCCAACATGGCCACTGCGAAGTCACCCAGAGAATCTTTGATGGCGCCTTGCAACAGCCGTTGTCGAGAAGCCTCGGTGATGCCATCCAATGCCTGGAGATAATTAGTCAAGGGGGCATAGTCCACCACAACTTCACTCCAGTTACCCCGGTCAACACCGTATTGGGACAGGAAAATCCGGAGGGTCTGCAGACCCTCCCGGGAAAGCCATCCCTCAAGGGCCGCCCGATCACCAAGCGGAGGACGCGATGTAGGAATATCATAATGCTCGTCGGCCGCATTGGCACCTCCATCTTCATTTTCATCCTCATCATCGCCGAAGCCCCCGATGAATGGGCCCGCTTCACCGGGGTCGCCGGCCTCGCGGTTGCGGTTATTGATCTGACCGAGAAGATCCTGTAGCCAATTTTCGCCACCAGCTCCAGCAGGAGCCACATACATAGGCTGAGGCTCGGATTGTTGCGCATAAGCGTTGGATCCAGGCGGGGGAAGGGGATCGGAGGATGACAGTCGACCAGCCACAAAGTGGTTTGGAAGATGGGTCGTCACCTTAGGGAGATCGGACACGACTACATGACGAGCAATTGACAATGTGATCTCTGGAGGCTCGATGGGCTCGGCCTCGCCGGTGATAGAGTCGGCGACTTCCATGATGAGCGAAACAGCTTCGGGAGTGTTCCAAAGATCCTTGGCGCGAGAGATATAGAGCTCCGCCAGCAGTTCGTGGGAGCCTGTTGGAGGCATCTTGCCCCAGATGGCCTTGGGGACGTGTTTGAGATCAAGTTCCTGGGCCAATCTGCTGAACACCCATGGGTAGCGAGACATGGCGCGGTGTAGTTGCTCGCGACACTCTTTGGGCTTGTTCAGACGTAGGTACGCCATGACCAGAGAGCATTGAATATTGGGGAGATCTGCCCAGTCTTGACTGAAGCGGGTTTGAGTGCACATTTGTACAAAATGTGCGTACTCTCTACCCCGCAGAGCAAGATGGTCAATGAGCAGTTTCATGCAATATGGATCAGTATCATTCAAGCTAAGCAACAGCTTAGACCACTCATACGCGGTTCTCCAGGTTCCCTTCATGCCTAGGTTGGAAATGTATCTCCATCCCACTAGGAAAAACTCTCGGTTCTCGTCATGAATGAAGTCGATTCTGGCCTCACCACGTTTGAGGCACTCGGCAAACGAGGAGTGGACTGAGCGCCCAATGTTGAAAAGCGCTCGTTCCATGAGGTCGGCAGAAACAGCGTGATCACCTTGATGTTTGGCAATCTCTGAAACTTGGAGGAGCGTAGAGATGTGGTAGGGGTTGTATTGCAGATGACCGATCATTCTCTGGGGATCCATAGATTCGACGCAGAGATCGAACTGCCTTTGAACATCCTGGTAGGCGGTGTTGTGGATGAGCTTGAACAAAGATTCACCCGTGCGGGACTTCTGTTGGAACTCCATGCCCAGCCCTCCACTGGGAGCACGTGGCCAATCATCCTTGCCTTGCATCAGAACGTTCTTCCGCTGTGTGACTCCGCCCAAGCTCAAGCCTCTACTGGCTGGGCTGTATCTTCCCGTCAAAGCCTGAGCAAGATCGATCATCTGTCGATTGCGATCTCGACGACGGCCCGCTCCAGCGTCGGCTGGTTGATCGAAGTTTTCCAAAACAACATTTCCAAATAGTCGGCGCATTTCGTTTGTCGCATTGAGATACTTGGGTTCAATACCAAGCACTTCGTTTGTTGTCATCGGGAAGACTGCCGCTTGTGCGCCTGTAGAATCGGTCGAAGTGCCGGCGCCAAATGAATTCGGCGCATTCATTGATAAAGCATTCAAGGCTTTATCAATCTCATCGAATTCTTCATTGGGCTTCTCTGGTGCGCCGCTGCTCGGCGCAGGGGCTTTGGAAGCCTTCTTCTTCTTCTTCTTCTTCGAAGGTTTGGACTTGGGCACGGGCTCGGGCTCTGATGACTGCACGGCCGGTTCCTCATATGGCTGCTCAGTAACCTCGTCCTCCTCCGGATCATCATCCTCATCGTCCTCTCCGGCATTCAGTAAATCAAAGGCATTGAATTTTGGCTTCGCGGGGCGCGGGGCTTCGTCTTCACTTGATTCATCTTTTGGCTCCGAGGACTGCTGCTCCTGCTCACGGAGCCTTTGCAGTTTCCGAATTGCCCGAGATGACATCCTCGCTGCTGGGATCAAGCTATGGCTGGCTGCAAGCAGTGTACAAGAGAGGATCAAAAAACACAGTAGCAAGCCCGCGGGGAATGACGACACTTCCCGATCAATACTAGCGCCCTTTACTAGCGTCGTACCTGATAAGGACAGCACGTGACCTATTGTCTAGGGCCGACCAGCTTCTTGACACCTCGGGAGCTCTGTCTCTCTTCTGATATTATTAGATTTGTGATTTACCTTGCAAGGGACAAGGAAACACATCTATTCTTTTTTTCATTATCCCTGAATCAATGCGTCAGGCGACTGTCCAGGCGTGGCATACTGCTCGGCGTGCTCCAGTATGGAACATTGCCGCTAAGCGGCCTTGTCCACTGTCCTCTAACCAGCTGCGTGGTCTTCGGTCATTCTCTGGCGGCAAGCGCTCATCATACGTCCCAGTAGCGTCCAACTCCTCCATGCATCGCCGAAATCTTTCCCTCGCCGTTATCTCAACCGTCGTTGCCTCGGGGGCTTGGTATGCTTATCAGGGTGACACCGTGAAAGTAGCCGCCACTCAAATCCGGGGTTTCGCTTCCAGCGCCCTCAACTCCGCCTACGCCGAAGACCCGACGGAGTCCACGCGCCGTGCACTACTGGTCAGTGGTGACCAATTTTACACGGCGACGCTTTCCGGAGACCAGCCCCTTGCCAAACACACAGACGACTCAGACCGTCAGGTCCTCGAGATGTTGACTCCCGAGCAAGCAACGCAGAAATTGCGCAAGAATGAGGAGTCTTACTTGGTGAACCGTGGGCAGGGAGTTGTTCGTTATGACGTGGTTCAAGTTGCAAGCAACTCGCCTATCGAGGATGATCATGCGGAGAAGATTGTCGAGATCCCGGCATCCGTAGCTGCTGTCAGCAATGGCGAGCCAAGTAGTGATTGGATGTTTTGGGCTGTCTTTGACGGTCACTCGTAAGTGATCTACAGAATAGATGACGTTCTAGTTGGTGCTAACATGATCGAATCAGGGGTTGGACAACGTCCGCCAAACTGCGAAATGTGTTGATCTCATATGTCGCACGTGAACTTAACACTACCTACAAGAGTGCTTCTACAGACCCCTCGCTTGTCGTACCGACATCTGAAGCCATTGATGCTGCTATCAAGCAGGGCTTTGTCCGTCTCGACCACGACATCGTCCACGAGAGTGTGAAGGAAGTTCTCAAGTCTAAAGAGCGGCGCGTTGCCGCTGAGCTTCTTGCCCCTGCGCTGTCTGGATCCTGCGCCCTGCTCAGCTTCTATGACGCACAGTCTAAGGATCTCAAGGTCGCGGTAACGGGAGACTCCCGTGCAGTTCTTGGACGCCGTGGCCCCAGTGGGAAATGGACCGCCAAGGCTCTTTCCGAAGACCAAACTGGCGGCACACCGTCAGAGATGAAGCGTCTGCGTGAGGAACACCCCGGAGAGCCATATGTGACTAAAAATGGTCGGATTCTTGGTCAACTTGAACCTAGCCGTGCCTTCGGTGATGCTTTCTACAAATGGAGCCGAGATGTTCAAGACACCATCAAGGCCAAATTCTTTGGCCGCACGCCACACCCCATGTTGAAGACACCTCCATATGTCACCGCAGAGCCCGTTATCACTACTACCAAAGTGGATCCCTCGAAGGGTGACTTTATTGTCATGGCAACGGACGGTCTGTGGGAGATGCTAAGCAATGAAGAAGTTGTTGGCTTAGTCGGCCAGTGGGTTGAGCAACAGCAGTCTGCGGCGGCAAGTGGTAGTGCCGGCAAGGCTTGGTTGCAAAACTGGTTCAGCAGTCAAAAGTCGCTCCCCGTGGAGACCGCGGCTGATGGTTCGACCGAAGGTCAACGCCGCCCTATCCGCCAACAGCAATATGACATTGCTGGTGCGGCTAGCCGGTTTGTTGTTGAGGACAAGAATGCCGCGACACACCTTGTGCGAAACGCCATGGGAGGAAAGGATAAGGACATGGTTTGTGCGCTGTTGACACTGCCAAGTCCCTACTCTCGTCGCTACCGGTATGTAATCTCCTACCTTGCATCATTACTCACTTTGTTAACTCTCGTTTCAGGGACGACGTTACCGTCGAGGTTATTTTCTTCGGCCAGGGTCCTGACTCCCGCACTGTTGAAATTAACAAGGAAGCCAGTGCCTCTGAACAACCCGTCAAGTCGAAGCTTTAGCCCATTTTTGTCTCTACATACGTTGCATTTCTTTCCAAGCGTCTCGAAGGATGGTGGGAATTTGATACAGCACCATTCAAGCTGTCTCCGGCGTGGTCTTAGCGGATTTACAGCATAAAAAGAATTTGATTAAATCAGATTTTTGGCCCCTGGGTATATTGTACATTGTGAATCTTCTATGATGAAAATTTGCAACCACATGGCAAAAGTAGAGAATAATATATATGGAGAACATTGTACATAAACACCAAACCACTCGATGGATCGGCCATCGACAAGAGAATGACTTCGTGAGTCGTTTGTACTGGTCAATGAAAGGAGACGCCTCGTGGGCGCCACTCGGCCTGGCCCGAGCCAGCGGGCCAAGCTTGAAAGTTGATCAGAGATCGGGCAATATGAAGCCTGGCCACGAACCTGGAATTCATCCCAACGTCCAGTGTCCACGGGTGTGCTCACCGCCATATTTGCGCATGACGCAGATCTAACAGCTAGCGACAGGATGGCTTCAGATAAGCCGCGGTGACAATATCGCTGGAACCACAGGTGAAAAATGTAGAGCCCAGGTGTATCGAGTTGTTTCCAAGAATGCAACAGCATATTGAATCAACGCAAGTTTTTCAGCTGGTACGGATCATCATTGCCAGGCTTCTCGAATGCGACATACCGCCTCTGGAAGGGCTGACGCTTCGCCTGGGTGAATACCTTCTTATCCAGAATCCAGGTTTGCAAGGTCGCGAGGTTAGTACTAGTGATCCAGTAGAGTAACAACGCAGTCGGTAGTTGGTTGACGAAGCTCATGATACCAACTTGACACGCCAATACTTGGACGAAAATTCGCAGGCCTCGGAAGGTCATCTCCTTGTACATGACGATTTTTGGGAGGTCCGAGATTTCCTTGAAGGTCTTGACTTTCCATCCACTCATCACATTGCTCAAAATAGAAAGGGTCAGAAGAGCTGGCAGTGTGCCTGTCGGATCACCGGCCAACAAGTCTGGGAACCACAGTGCACCCTCAGTGGCGAAACTAGGCTCTAGCCTCGAGCTCAATGTTTGAGCGGCAGCGGCAGGATCTGAGGAGCCACCCCAGGATATCAACCACGCGGCAAGACCCTGGCTGTTGCCGCTCATTCCTCGCAGGCCTTCCATGAACGCGAGGAAGACTGGTATCTGGAGGAACATCAATGGGCGCCATAATTTCGAAATGTTCCAGGCCCCATATAGGACCTTGGATCGTTCCTGTAGCTTCTTCATAGCGAAAACATTTTGTTCCTCGGTGCCTTTTACTTGACGGGCTGCAACCTCTTTATAAACCGCCGACCAAGAGGAGAGCAGTGGTTGTAGTAGTTTTTCTTCCTGCGCGCGAACTCGGGAATAAAACTGCAGAGGAAAACCGACGAAGCAGCGAATTAAAACAGCCGTAAGGGGGATTGAGGCAGCCCAGGGTAAGAAGGAAGCTGTGTGGACGCCATGGATGACCGCTGTCGATCCGCTGAGTACGGTTTCGATCACAGATTGTGTTGGTCGTGTCGGATGAAAGTGTCGAGCTTGTATGCGAGGCGCCCGGAAGGCTCGCGGCGTTGAGCGCAAAGCCCCGATTGAGCGCAGTGGGAACATGGTCGCCAATGTCTAGGATGGGGACTAAAAAAGAGGCGTTCATGAGAGCTTCGGAACGGAGAACGGAATCTGGAGAAAATCATGTGACGCGTATGTAAATTACGCATTGGCCTGATCGTCTTGTTGACAGCCGCACTTCTAACAGTGGAATCGACTTCTATGAATTCTACCATGCTTGTCTGATGACGTCTCTTTAAACCTTGCCTTTTCACTATGGCTCTCTTATCAAAAGCCATTCTGGCCGTGTTGGTCTTGACCGCCACGGCTGTCCTGCTTCCAAAGCTAACAGGCGCTCTCCTCGGGTTGATCTTTCGGGGAGTGGGCTGGCTGATCCGAAGACGAAGTCGGTCTCGTCGCGAATACGTGATCGCGCGGGCGCGATCAGAGGAAGAGCAACTACGCGCTCCACGCCCAAAGGCTTCAACAACTTCACTGTCGCGAAATGGTGCTGAAGATGAGGACTGGGAGAAGGTGGACAGCTCGGGCCCAAGTGGGGTTCAGACAGCGACAAGCAGCGAGAGCAGCAGTAATGCTGGAGAAAATACCAACAGCTCAGATAATTGGGACGGTATCATAGGTTTCTTCCATCCGTTCTGGTAAGGTGTCCACTTCATGCGTATCGTGGATAGTGCTGACCCATATCATAGTAACGCCGGTGGCGGTGGTGAACGAGTGTTGTGGGAAGCAGTCCGTGCAACCCAAAGGCGTTGGCCGAAGGCAATCTGTGCCATCTATACGGGTGATCATGAAGTCAACAAAGTCGCTATGCTGGAGCGGGTGGAGAACCGGTTCAACATTCAACTACACGCCCCGACTGTGGTACTATTGTATCTGACGACCCGAAAGTATGTCGTTAGTAGCTCATACCCTTACATGACGCTGCTGGGACAATCCCTGGGATCGCTGGTTGTTGCCTATGATGCCCTCACCCTCCTCGTTCCCGATGTTTTTGTTGACACCATGGGCTACGCATTCACACTGGCGTTTTGTAAATGGCTCTTCCCTACAGTACCAGTCGGTGCTTACGTTCACTATCCAACTATCTCGACCGACATGCTTGCTTCTCTTGATGACGAGAGTGGAGTACAAGGCATCAACTCAGGCGCTGGTAAAGGGTTCAAGGGAACGATCAAACGCCATTACTGGGAGATTTTTGCCAAGATATATGGCTGGGTTGGTCGACAAGTTGACGTGGTTATGTGCAACTCTTCCTGGACCGCAGCGCATATCCGCACGCTTTGGGGAACCGGTAACAGAACTAGTTCTAGCACTGGTGACGGTACTGCCTCATCGCCGGCAGTAGTATTCCCCCCCACAGCAGTCTCGGAACTGGAATCAACAATAACAGTCGACGCCGAAAGTGAGAAGACTCGTGAGCCCGTACTGCTTTACATTGCTCAATTCCGACCTGAAAAGAACCACCCGCTGGTTTTGCGATCATTTGCACGCTTCCTGCAAGAGAGATCCAGCAACCCAGCCTACGCAGGTCAACCACAACCGCGTCTCGTACTTATCGGATCTGTCCGCCATGCTAGCCCTGACGAAACACATATTTACAATCTGCGCCTCTTAGCCCATGAGCTTCGCATCCGCGATCAAACTACATTTGTGTGTGACGCCAGCTGGCCTGCCATGCTGTCTCACCTCGCTACTGCCTCTGTTGGCGTCAACGGCATGTGGAACGAGCACTTTGGTATTTGCGTTGTTGAATACCAGGCTGCTGGTTTGATCTGCGTTACCCACGACTCTGGTGGTCCACGCGAAGACATTGTTATCGATCTTGGAGATGGAGCTACTGGTTTCCGAGCCGAGACCGAAGAGCAGTTCGCTGCTTCTTTCGAGGCGGCACTTGCTTTGCCAGAGGAGGAGAAGATCGCAATGCGGCTGCGGGCACGTCGCTCTGCTCTGCGGTTTACCGAAGAAGAGTTCTCTCGCAAGTGGCTTGATCAGGTGCAGAAGCTCGTCAAATTGGCCAAATAGCTTGCTTTTATTAGTGATATCCCTGGAAAGTAAATTCATAAAATTTCGCTTTTTATCAAATAGTTGGGACGACCTGTATTTTCCAAGGCTGCTGGCCTTCATATCTGCGGGTGTATAGTGGACGCAGGCTGTAGCTTGTAAAATCGAGTTACTACAATTGAGACTATAAACTGTTTGATCACAGCGGAAGATCTGAAATTTGTTCGTAACAATCGTAAAATAGAGATAGAAGACATAGTCGGTCTAAAAGCTTAGGAGCAGGAAGCACAACGCAGAATTCTCGAGTCCGGGCTCTAGCCAGAAGCATGATTGTGATACTAGAACATCTTGACATCAAAACATGAGGTTTAGTCACTATCACTGGGCTCCCCACCATCGGACTCGGCGCCTCCGGTGTTTTGAATACCCTCAGCCATGATGTACTCGTTCTGCTGAAGGGTTTGCTTGATCTCATTGTTGTTGTAGACCAGATCAGCTGGCTTCTGCCCATGCTTATTCCGCACTCTAGGGTCACAGCCTGCCTCGCACATCATACTGATCATGTGTGCACCCAGCTCAGAGTCTTTCTCGTTGGCATACCGGACTGCAGTGTGTAATGGCGTGTCTTTGTCCAAGCGGGTGAGAGGGTCGCATTCGAAGTATTGAATATCGAAGAGTGCGTCCATAGTCTCATCTGGAGAAAGGATGTTAACAAATGCCTTCGAATGCTGGCTCCAATGTAGCGGTCTTGTCACTTACAGCTTCCGTATTGGGCACAAATGTGCAGCGCATAGTTCCCCATAGAATCGGTAACTTCATTGAAGAATTGTGCCACCTGCTCGTTCGTCTGCTCTTGCATCTCGCCCAGAACTTGCTCAATCAGGTGAGACTGGTCCCGCCGGCAGGCTTCCACGACCAACTCGCGGGGTGAAGCGCCCTGCATAGATTAGCATTGGTTAATGCAGGGGCATGTGTTGTGCATACCTCATCATCGGCCATTCTTTCCTATCAGTGTTCGGCCCGGAGTACCGAATGTCAGAGTGCAGTGGCTGTTGTTGCTGCAGGACGGTACTTGTCGCAGCAGGCAAGGAGTTCGACTAACGGTGGACCGAGGTAGCAAGTAAGTCTGTACGTCAAAGGTGATATGTACAAAGAATCTCGATCGAGAGAAATTTGGTGGTGTTATCTGAGTCCCTGATCAATACTAGGTACGGTTATCGCTGGGGGGGCATCCCACGCGCGGGCGGCCCGTTCGGAATATCATTTATCCGATTAGTGTTAGCCGCGCGCCTATGGAGTTGAATTATCGACGGTGATGTTTGCGCCGGATAAGGACTTCGTTCACTGCAGGCTTCGCACCTTTCTCACCTGACAGAAAGCTTCCGTGACTACACTGTTGGCTTCACCGTCATAGCACTCTGATTAAGGTCATCACAATGCTGATCTGTATGTCTTGGTTCCTGACGCTGGCATTCCGAGCACCAACCAGTCTTGGTTCAGCTTCAAGCAGTTGCTGACCTTGCCTCTCTAGTTTGCCCCAACTGCAGCAATGCGCTCACCATTTCCAAGGCAGATGCTAGCACGAGATATCCTATGGGGGTCAACCGCTTTGAATGCCGCACCTGTCCCTACGAAGCGCCGCTCGACAGAGAATGGTTCGAGAGCACCAACCTGAAACAAAAGGAAGTGGATGATATCTTTGGTGGTGCAGAGGAATTCGCAAATGCCGATAGCGTTGCCAGTGGGTTTCCCGCATGCTATATCGTGATTTTGCGGCAGTGTGGTGCTGACAGACTCGTGCAGCTCAATGCCCCGCAGAAGCCTGCAATGGGGAACGTGCATACTTCTTCCAGCTGCAGATTCGTAGTGCAGATGAACCCATGACCACATTCCTGAAGGTTTGTCACTCCTTACGTCCCAGTGAGGTACCCGTTTTTCTGACAGCTCCAGTGCACTTCGTGTGGTGCTCGATGGAGAGAGAATTAGAGTTGGACAACAACTCTCTACAGATGTTTTGAGTTTTACAGTTTTTACAGCGAGGAGCAAAAGGCGCACAATCACGGGCCAAAATATCCAGTTCAGCCAAATTGCAGATTTCAGATTTCAGATACCCAAATTGATCGACGTCACAGTCCAACGCACAGATTATTTTTTTTTAAGATCAGCGGATAATATGGTGGGTAATTTGCTTCAATTATTATTTTACTTGCTACTACTCCATATTTTCCAAGGTTCCCTCATACTATCAGTTTGTTTTGGGCCTTTATTAGGAAATCCAATATGTAAGATTCCTTGCACATTTCTTCCACATGCGAACATATGTTTAGCTTCCAAGGTTCGAACAGGTCATGCATGTGACTCTTTTTCAAAGTCAATCTAGGACAGATATAGAGCCCGACACCAAAGAGTCGGTAGGTAACCTACTACGGAGTAGTACTAGTATGAATCATCGGGGGCGAAAATCATATCCGTCCATGTACAGAAAAGACTAAAGTGAAACCAAAAAGAAAAAGAAAAAAACGCAGAGATTTTCCATGCATGACATTGTTGGTGGGATATGTTGGCGGTGAGGGTGTGCCCCTCATCCGCGGGGTTGTTGTAGACTAAGAAAAATGTGAATTGACTCCAAATTGATGGCCATTCTCGCAGGAAAGAGAATTGATGAGATGTATTATGGTATAAACAGTGCAAACCAAACAAGATTCTTACCCAACCTCTGCGTTGCTGCCCAGCTCGAGCGTTCAGAGCCACCAATGTGGGCTGGGAAGGAGCCATGAAAAAAAATTTCGCACGGAGTGGAGTACCGCGAACGAGGGAACCAGGGAAACGGAGGAGATGCGAGAGCAATCAAGTAGCAGTACAAGATTTTATCAGCCTATTAGTGTGAAAGAGTAAGTACCTGTACTTCGTCCCGTCAGCCCACTTTGCAAAATCTGCGTAGACGGCTACAGAGTGATGGCCAATGGCAAGTACGACCCAAAGAGGGCTTGGCCCCACCTGCTGACTCGCCTCTCTCGCTTGCCCCTCCATATAAGGATTTCCCCTCCTCCCCTCCCACAGTCTTTTTCTTTCTCTCTCTCGTCTGCTACAGTGAGTCTTTCCTGACCCCCATACTGCTTTTTGGGCTTCTCTTCTTCGACTCTTTTACTGATTGCAATCTTGCTCAGTACCTCAACGCGTTCTGCCGTTGTCTCTGAGCAAGTCTTCTCCACAGATTTTTCTAGTATCTTCCAAAGAACTACAAAAGTTAAACCGTCACCATGGGGTATGTGCCATCAAATCACCTTCGATTGAAATCAGTTGACTAACCAACCTTGCAGTAAGGAAGAGCGTTCCCACATCAACATCGTCGTTATCGGCCACGTCGATTCCGGCAAGTCTACCACTACCGGTCACTTGATCTACAAGTGCGGTGGTATTGACCAGCGTACCATCGAGAAGTTCGAGAAGGTAAACACTTGTCTTGACTATCCACATACAGAACCAATCATGCTAACGCACCACAACAGGAAGCCGCCGAGCTCGGTAAGGGTTCCTTCAAGTACGCTTGGGTTCTTGACAAGCTCAAGGCCGAGCGTGAGCGTGGTATCACCATCGATATCGCTCTCTGGAAGTTCCAGACCGCCAAGTATGAGGTCACCGTCATCGATGCCCCCGGTCACCGTGATTTCATCAAGAACATGATCACTGGTACCTCCCAGGCCGATTGCGCTATTCTCATCATTGCCTCCGGTACTGGTGAGTTCGAGGCTGGTATCTCCAAGGATGGCCAGACCCGTGAGCACGCTCTGCTTGCCTTCACCCTCGGTGTGAAGCAGCTCATCGTTGCCCTCAACAAGATGGACACCTGCAAGTGGTCCGAGGACCGTTACAACGAGATTGTCAAGGAGACCTCCAACTTCATCAAGAAGGTCGGCTTCAACCCCAAGTCCGTTCCCTTCGTCCCCATCTCCGGCTTCAACGGTGACAACATGCTCGAGGTTTCCACCAACTGCCCCTGGTACAAGGGTTGGGAGAAGGAGACCAAGGCTGGCAAGTCCACCGGTAAGACCCTCCTTGAGGCCATCGACGCCATCGAGCCTCCCGTCCGTCCCTCCAACAAGCCCCTCCGTCTTCCCCTCCAGGATGTGTACAAGATCTCCGGTATTGGCACAGTTCCCGTCGGCCGTGTCGAGACTGGTGTCATCACTCCCGGTATGGTCGTCACCTTCGCTCCCGCCAACGTCACCACCGAAGTCAAGTCCGTTGAGATGCACCACCAGCAGCTCAAGGCCGGTAACCCCGGTGACAACGTCGGTTTCAACGTCAAGAACGTTTCCGTCAAGGAAGTCCGCCGTGGTAACGTCGCCTCCGACTCCAAGAACGACCCCGCCGCTGGCTGTGACTCCTTCAACGCCCAGGTCATTGTCCTGAACCACCCCGGTCAGGTCGGCGCTGGATACGCTCCCGTTCTGGACTGCCACACTGCCCACATTGCTTGCAAGTTCTCCGAGCTCCTCGAGAAGATCGATCGCCGTACCGGTAAGGCCACTGAGGTCTCCCCCAAGTTCATCAAGTCCGGTGACGCCGCCATTGTCAAGATGGTTCCCTCCAAGCCCATGTGTGTTGAGGCCTTCACCGACTACCCCCCTCTCGGTCGTTTCGCCGTCCGTGACATGCGTCAGACCGTCGCCGTCGGTGTCATCAAGTCCGTTGAGAAGAACGCTGGTGGCGCTGGCAAGGTCACCAAGGCCGCTGCCAAGGCTGGTAAGAAATAAATGATTCTCGGATGAAATTATGCCGTGATGATTTTTTTTTTGCTTCAAAAACAATTACTGGATCGAGCTAGATTTGACTTGTAGTCATTGAATGCTACATGCTATCATTTCAACTTCTCTCACTGAATTTCGTAGACACCACGTATAAGAAAGAACCTAGACTATGCAATCAAGTAGAACGCCCATCTCCCAAGGTTGCGCAATGAAGTTATCCCTAAGTTCCAACCCGTCCCAAGTCTGTCGACCTTCGAGGTTGGGAATGTGCTTCCAAGTTTCCTTACCCCGTGCCCTTCCAGCCATGCTCATGCCAATATCAATATGGCATTGGTATCCATTCCAAGGCCTTCGCAATAGTTCTGACGATAGTACTTAGCTCCAAGCTCTCTAGTTAAACTACATTGATTACTATATGGGCCTGATGGTGACCACCGTTCTACATTGATTACTATATGGGCCTGATGGTGACCACCGTTCACATCCAAATTCTAAGGTTCTCATTCTCCCAAGTCGGAGTCTCCTTCCACGGTAAAACCTTGGATATGTACTTTACATGCACAACAATGCAAAGTAGACTTCTGACTCGTCTGCCACCAGATCATTGACCAAGATAGGCTAACGAAGGTGCGGATGATCTCACACCAAGTGGTTGGTGGCATGGACCTAAGTAATTTACATCCCCGGGGCCATGATTCCAAGGTTAAATCCTACCTACCTTTCTAGGTACTTTCGAAGCCAGTAGGCGGACGCAAGCTCAGCTACCTAGTTCTGGCTTCAATAAGGAGTACAGCCCTGGAGCGGCCAGACTGACTGCCTGATCAAGATCTGAGCAGTGGTCTACTAGGTAGGTATGTAGGTATGGATGGCACGTCATGGGCTTTCAATCAACATTGGGAGTGTCAAGATCCACGGATGAGATTCTTTCAAGGTTCAAGGTTGATTTGATTTTGAGACAACATTTGAACATGGGATACCTAGTAGTACCTACCTACATACCTAGGTAGGTAGGCAGCACACAAGTGCGTAATCAAAACGAAGGCAGGTAATTTCGTTGATGGTTGATGACCTTGGGAGTACCTAGGTAAAATCGTGGCGATATATGTGGGCACGTATGTCTGGGCAGCGCCATTGTAGAGCTATCGTATTCTCCGATTACCCCGACATCAGTTCATGGTGGTATCTTTTGTTTTGCTTGACGAACGATATGGGACAAAGTTCCAAGGTTGGTGCAGATATAGCACCGGGCATGAATTTCAAGCACTTGGAGCTCGAGGAATCTGCATACACCCAGGTAATCCTCGTGGCTTGAGTTCGCTCGGGTGACCGTACCCAGATGGGTAAATTCTGCAGCATGTACTACGAAAAGCGCAGAGAGAGATTTATGAAAAAATCACAAGAGAATGCTGGGTATCAAAATTGCATAGTATTGTCAGAGTACAGATTGCCCCAGGAAGATTCACTCGCTCTCTTCCGCATACCCGTCGGATTCATCGTCTTCAGATTGCTCAGACTCTTCCTCCTCAGCAGCAGCGCGTGCAGGTCTTGTGGGACGTCTCCTCGCTGGAGGGGGTGTCGCATTTGCCGAGGCCTCTTCGTCCACATGGCCATTAGTCGTAGATTGACTTGGTGGCTCCTCAATCTCTCTGGGCTTGATACCCAGGCTCCTAGCAAGTCTTCCCTCAAAGTCTGCGATCTGGTCTCTTTCATAATCCGGCATGTTTGAATTCGGAGGAGTCTCCTTGCCAAAGACCGCCCGCACCATCCCAGCGACGGCATTATTTCCAACCTCAACCTTTCCTCGCGGACCGAGAATGTATTCGATGATCTCCTCACCGCCATCCATTTCTCGCGTTTTGACAAGGTATCCATCTCGGCATAACCGTTGCAGTAGTTTATCCGTGCGATCAAGAGGCGTGGAAACATCGGCATTTGTGCGCGCAAGGTATCGATCGAGTTTCTGCTCAGCAAGCGAGCCACCATTCAAGGTAATCAGCGCAATGATAAACGTATAGATGCCTGTGTATGTGCTTTCCGTGTAAAGAGATGGTGCTTTTGTTGGGACGAGGATATCTCGAGTACGATATGCCACTGGGAGCGTGGTTGTCACAATCCAAGTTTTGGCGGATGATGACTTCTCAGTCTTTTGTGCCGCTAATCAAGATCAGTATGCCGATGAATGGAAAACCAAGAATATATGATTAACACATACCACGTCGCTGTGCAACAGTAGCCTTCTCTCGGGCCGGCAATTCGGTCATTTCCATACCAAACTTTGAGCGCAGCTCGCGTTGCGCTTGTTCAAAGACGAGCTTGAACTCCCCGCTGCCTTGCTCGCCTAACACTTTGGCGCTGATTTCTAGGCGGCGGATGGGAATGCGAGAGTACTCGCTTGCTAGCGCTAGTCGGACCATCTTCTTCACCATTGCGTCGGTGCTCGTTGGGGCGCTGGGTCCATCGCTATCGGACCCGAGGGTGGACTCTCGCCTGCGCCGGCGCGCCGGGGTGGATTCTGGGTCTGACCCTGTGTCTTCCTGGTGGTTGTCAGACTAGCTTCATACCAATCAGTTTGGTCACTTACTCTTCTTCGTCGAGGCATGGTTGTGGTGAGGTGTGCAAGACGCGACGCGATGGAACGATCCATTTTTACCCCATCGGGGTTGGTCTGTGCGTGCTTATCGGTTCTTTGTTCCTATCGCTTTCAGCGCTTTCAGGACTATGCCTCGTTGCTATTTTCTTTCAATTGTCTGCGAGAATTGGAATATCCACGGTGAGGCCAGCGAATGAAAGAATGTTTTGTTTTCTTCGGATTGCATGAAAAATGAGGAAGACTCGATCCATGATCTTTCAAGGAAAATTGCATATGTAGTAGTACCTATTTATAGCCGAGGTGCAAACATCCATGGATGTTCAGTCACCACACAAAATAGCAAACCCTTGAGCGGAGATCACACCTAAGTTGCAGTGCTTGAAGATATCCAGATGATCGACAAAAAATAGTGTATGAAAAGTGACGTGATGGAGGAGCTAACACAAAGGTATCCGGGCAAACATAGCAAAAAAAAGGCTAGATACATCCAACGCAAACAACAAACATTGAGGTATTATTTTCTCTAGAAACAAAAGGCGCTCAAAGAAAGAGATCTAGTATCAGTGACTGTTCTTCTCGACGACCTCCTTCGCCTCCTCCTTCTTGGTCTGTAGGAAAGTGCTGATCCAAGCAAGCGACTCCTGTGACAGCACCAAGCTGGTAGTAACCACCGCCTTTCCGGAAGCAAAGACACCGTCTCCACCGCACTTCTTGTACTCAGACCCGTAGATATCGTAGAGGTGGGCCTTGGCATCGCCGGCCAGACGAGCGGGGAATGAGGCGCGGTTGTAGATAGAGCCACGCAGCTTCTGGGTATCTTCCTTGAGGATGGGGAAGCGAGTGTCGATCTCGGTGAGGCCCTTGTCACCCAGAGAGTCTGCACGGGCCAGGTAGGGCGCCACATAGCTGTAGGGAGTGGAGAAATAGGGCAGCACGGGCTTAGCCAGGCGGGTGTAGCCATGATCGACCAATTCAATGGACTTGGCTCCGTAGGGATTGCCTTTGTAGTAGGAGATGGAGTCAGAGACAACAGGGTAAGAGGTAAGGTGCTAGGTCTGTTAGTAAATGTGTTTTTGAATCTCTAGGGCGGGCGGATCGTGGGTACATACATCCAGGAAGTGAGAGTGCTTCTCGCCATTGACGATTGGTTCACCCATCTTGGATTCTGAGTGGGGCATGAAGAAAGGATGATCTTGTTCGAGGGAAAAGAAGACACGGAGAGAGAGAGATTCCAGGAAATTCTCAGAAGAGGAGAGAGAAGAGCGAAAATAGCACTTGTATAGAAAAATAGGATTTTCACATGTGATTGCGCTGTCATGCAACTGGGCATAGGCCTTAGCGCAGTCGTATTTTTGCCTAGTCTTCTGGGTCGTCTACTCAGGCAAATATCTGGGTATTTGGGTATCTGAGTATTTTATTTCGCAATTGATTTGTGCTCCTTTGTGCTCTGTCCTTTTTCATCCCCCGCGCTCTGGTGGGCTCCGGATTCTGGACCGAGAGGCCTTGGAACCACCCCCATTTCCCTCTATGACTCTACGATTCTATGATTCTATGAGCATATCTTATGATACCATTCACTTTCCAATTGCGAAAGAAACCGGAAACCGAAAATTGATAGCTCGCAATTTTCATGTGACAGTGGGTCGCTCCAGGGCTGTCAGGTTCCACTTCACTTATCTGGATCTACTCTACTCCCTCTCTGCTCTCTACTGTACGACGATATACTACTTTGTACTTCGGATCTATGAGTACCAAGTTATCACTTCCTTTATCTAACCCACCTCAGAATACTGGAGAGTTCGGTACAATTGCCACACTGTTCTGATTCGTTCTCACGCTTATCTGCAGGATCTTGACATCGGGGCCAGACTGCCGTTACCAGACTTTGTCGGCTTCCCAGTCCCAACATAAGCCAGCCCGCACCTACATTAGCGACCACGCTCGGCCTTCAGGGCTGTGCGTACCCCTCTACTTTCCTCCCGGAGAACTGAAAACGTATCGTGCTTGGGCGTACTTTTGCCCTTGCCTTCGTTTACCCGTCATCCGAATCTCGGCGCTTGTTTGAAACAGCTGTGTTTGAGAGTGCCACCCCAATTATGCCAATTTATGCATCTGTGTATGACCAAATGTTGGTACTCAATGCAGTCAAACACAGGGACTTTTTTAGTACGACTGGAATAAGCCGGAGATTGCGACGTTTCTTAGCACATGAAAGACTAAAAACGCGGACTCGGAATATCATGGGTGACAGCAGGTTGAAAGTTGACCACGGTGCCTGTTCTTGTTTATTTTCACTTTCATTTTTTTTCTTTTCTTTAGCCAACGAGCTCCTGTCGATCGAGTGGCAAACCACTCGATTAAGCTCTCTTGCAGATCCCTCCAATGGGTCTTGAACGGTACCCGGATCGTCACAACGTACATACATGAGACCTACATATGGGGAGCATACAATTCTTCCTCACTGACCCGTCAACTGGTGGATAACTGTATGTACGTTTGTTGGGATCATGTCATCGACTAGAACCCCCACCCCCGCGGGCCCCCGGGGCCCTCGGCCTGTGACATGCCTTTGAACCTTGAAAGTCGTGCAGGCAATCTCTCATTTATACGGCCTGTGAGAAGGACGCTATTCAGCGTCCTTCTTTAGGAGACTGGGATCTAAGTGAGACACTACTCGGAGGCTGAACATCACCGGTATTTCCATTATCTAGCTCAACATGTAGGTGAGTACCTAGTTACTTGCGAATCCGTAGACTCGGGCCATCTTACGGAGTACATCCAGGCGAGTGCAGACCTGGAGCACTATATTTAAGCGGAGGGGCGTGATCCGTGATTCGTTGTCACTTCACATGCGAAACATTATGCTATTTGTGTTGCCTTGAATCACATGAATCAAGAAAGAAGAGCTCTCTCTGGCCCAATGATAACAGATGCCGAATCTCATGTTCTCGAAGCGCTTTGTCCACGACTTGGCGGTGCTAGGACGACGGCCCTGGAGCGGCCCTGAATTGGCCCTGAGACTCCCACGTCAACATATGTGCCAAGAGAATTTTTTGGGCTGATGCATTGAGTGTGTTCATTCTAGGCCACGCCACCGAGCGGGACAGATTCCGGCTTTCATGTTTCTCAACGTTATCATGTGATTCATTGACCTCGTCCTGCAGTACATTCATGGATGATGCTATATGTATGTGCATAGTGGGGATTGCTTCCGTCTCTATGTAGTATCTAGGTATCTGTGTTATACTATGTCGGGCATATGCATTACTATGGCTTTTGCCTATCTAGACTCCACATATACCTACCTAGTAGGTAGTCTGATACGCAATGGCAATTCCGATCGTGGTAAGTCCATGGATTGAGTATGACGAGGTCGAAGTTGCAGGATTATCTAAAGTATTCAGTTAGGCAAGATTGTTTACATGCATGATTGACCAAGCTTCCAAGGTTTGGTCTTTCACATATTCGGGTTTCGGGGGAATTGACTAGAAGCATATCTGTATTATGAACATCGAAGTTCAAACGAACACTACATTGAAAAGAACTAATCCCTGGTCAAGTGTATTCGGTTGATGGAGAGTGAAATCGTAAAACACCAATTCCAACAAGAGGTGAAAATGGGAAAGCTATCTCATTCCGACGAGGAACTCATGGCAGACTAGCAAGACTCTTCCTGGGATGGGAACGGCAAGGAAATCTGAGAAGCACCTTTAGTGTGCCAACGGATTGAGTTTCCTGGCGAAGAAGAAAGAGCCAAAGTGCCCAGAATGGAGAATGAATCATCTCTCTCCCAGACTGCGCACAGAGTGGGAAATAAAAGCTACCTTCATCTGTCCGAATGCTAACATCAGCAAGTAAGTATGGCGGTGTTGGAACTTCTTGGACAAATCTACTAGGCAGATCACCGATGTTCTGGAAGTTTTCTTTGATGCGCTGCCACTCGACTCGATAATACTCTTTGAAACATTGAGTCCATGCTGGGTCAGTGAGGCTACCGGCCAGTTTTGCCGACATCTCCCATATGAAGTAGTCGGCGCTGACCCACCTACTTACACTAAGAGGCGTGGGGCGTTGTAGGAGATTGTCACGGTGCACTTCGCAATGCATTGTAATGGATGGATTTGCGTGTATTGCGAGCGTGGGAATCCGGTAGTACCTGTGCACTGAATCGTCAGCCCATTTTTCGTTCGGGTGTTCATGAATGGTCTCCGGGACTTCCAAACTTTTGGCACCTACCCCCCTTTTTCGTGGCGCCAAAAGCTCTGAGTAGATGTATATCGGCTGGCATTCGAACGGGTATGGCATATACCAAATATTTCCGTCGGTTTCCATTGTCATGAGTCAATGAGTTGTTATGATGTTGACGTGCCTTTGCAGAAATGCGAATAGATTCCAAGGTTCAGTAATATAACAACTTGGGGGGCTCGGGACGAAGCTTTATAGGCATTGGGAGAGATAATGGATATCAAGAAGGCCTTTGTCTGGTCCCAAAAGTTCAAGTGATGAAAGGGCGGGCAATAGAGGTCATTGTCAAGTCTTGCAGTCACAAGTTGAACTAAGGCTCATCGAATCGATGCGGCTCTTTGTTGTGCTGTTCATGGCTACCGAGGTAGCTGGCAGAGCGCACTGATGCTCTTTCATCATAGAGTAGACGTCAACAGCCTAAATAATGATCGATCACTTGGTATCTGAAAATATTGACGTTTGATGTCGAGTCTGACTTGGAAACCGGATGCCCTCTATGTGTAACCTTGAAACGCAGAGCATGTGTCTTGGCGGGGGTGGGGTTCATCGGACATAGACTATATTTGCATCGTCAAGAACGGGGACCGAGACCTAGACCTTTCGAATCGCGCATGGTATCCCCCAGTGTTGATGCCGCTTTGATCTGCAACTGCTGCGGTCCCGATTAAACATAATTATTTGGACTTCAGGCTCCGGCTAGACATGGGGAAAAAGAACAGGTGTAGATCTACCTAAATATGTCCATGCTGCGCATGTTCCAGAAGTGCAAGGTCACGATATCAACAAGTCAAAAGAGTTTATATTAGATCTATACCTCGTGACTACGAGGTCATTCATCGGTGATCTGCATTGAGATCTAGACCAGAATCCAGACCGAGGAAGGTAATGTTGCGATTCACAGGTAAAGACAACATTGATTTTGAAGTAATTGTTCATTTTCCATTTCATTCAGACGGACACCAGGTATGGAAGTGGCGCCCCTCGTTAAAACTGGAGTTCATCGACACAATCCCGAATCTGATTCCAGCTATGGTATATGTTTTTCCATCCCATGCTCGCAGGGGACCGGATTTGCTCGATGGTTTTTCGACCTCGCCTTCACCTAGACCCGTGCGCTCAAAACGACAAAACGCCCAAGTAAACCGTTTAGAAACCTGTAAAATATCAGTGATTGAACCCAGTAGAGGACAAAATTCCGGGCACATACGCAGGGCAGTGAAGAACCAACGGTTCTTTCCGCTGGTGTAACGGTCCTCAAGAGCCTTCTTGATGGTCTTCTTGGCGTCCTCGCGCTGGGAGACCTCCTTGAAAGTGTCGTTGGAGACGGTACCCTTGAGACCCTCAAGCTCGAGAGTGTAACGGGTGGGCATCAGGTGGTTGTAGTTGACGACCTTGATGAAAGGCTTGATGCGGCTGCGGCGGTCGACGAGCTTCTTGCCCATACCACGGGTCACCTTGAGAGGGTAACGCTCGATACCGGCGACAATGGCGTAGGAGAAGGGGTGGGCCTTAGAGCCAGCATCGTTGGGCTGGACAATGACGACCTGTTGCGAAAAAAAAATGCCTGATTAGCATTCTGAAAATTTTGCGCATTTCATTCCTTCTTTTCAATCCCCTTCTCATGTTGCGTGCATTTGTCCAAGGTCGTCGCTTGCATCGCGTCCATCTCTTTCCGGGTTCATGTTCATGTTCGGGGGAGGATCTCGTCGTACCTTCTTACCGGCGTAACGGCCACGGGTGATGATGGCCACACGGCCGACTTTCATGACTGTAGCATTTAATTAGCATGCAGATCGTAGAGCAGATCGAATGGTCGTAACGTACACTTCATTTTGAAGGTCCCGGGGGCGGCGAGGATTGGTGGTTGTCGAGATACGGAACGGTCAAGTTCAAGTGATCGGTTTTTCGAGGTAGAGGGAGGGCAAACTCGCGAGTCGCTCGTTGTGGGGGACTTTTGATTGGTCGACTTACCGACTGATGGTCACTAAACCTCATTGGGACTAGCTGCCCAGGTGCAATGACATAAGCAGAAGATGTGGCGGGGTTCACCGCCTTTGGGCCTTCGGGACCCACTCTTGGGCTGACTCAGTTTGTTTACCGGGTGATCGTAGTTGCCCCGGTTGCTATGGGCGTGATGTGTACGCAAGTTGCTGGCTCCATACACTAGCTCACCTTGTTGACCTTGTTTTGTTCTTATCAAAGCTGATCTCCCGCTTGAAGGTTGACTTCTCATCTCCAACTTTGGGATTGTCAGCTTTTGCTTTGTTCTTCCAGCGATTTCTCCCTTGAGTTGATATGCCCTTGACGACCTTACTTGAAATTTGACTTGATCCGCATTCTACATTACCTCACGACATTCCACCCATCATATCATCAATACCTGCCTGAGACAAACTTTGGCAATACATTCACGACATCATGCCAGGCCAGGACAGGGACGCTCCTCGTGACCGCGAATTGGTTAGGCATTCGATGTCGCACTCCGACTCTAAAGTTCCCATGTAAGTTGCGCGACGGACCCACGATTCGGCCCACTGAGCTCCATGGGCGATTTTAAACACAAGCTAAAACGCGGTCTGCGCAGGTGGGATAGTTCCGACCCTGAGCGTGCGCCTCCGCCGCTACCAATGAATCCTCGTTCGATGAGCCCGTCAATGAGCCCAACGACGAGGTCTCATGTTTCACCCAACATTCAGGCAGTTGCCGCAAAGTTCACAGAGAAGCCTAGCGAGAATGCGCCGAGCTCTTACACCACAAACCCCATGCCACCCAAGTCGTCCTCTCCGGAGAGGTCTTTAATAAAGGGTCAACATCACAAGCGCATGCAGTCTTTGCAGCCCGAAGATACCCGACAAGACGCGCGCAGCGAGTTTATGACCTACCTAGAAAGCCGTTCTCCAGAGCGACCTCTTCGCGCGACAATTGTCGATGGCGCGAAGCAGCGTGATACCAACAAATCAGCCAGTTCGCCATCACTTCGCCAGGATGCAGAAAAGGACGTGACATACTCGCTGTCAAGCCGCTACCTATCGAAACCAATTCTAGGAGAGAGCACTCCACCGTCTGCTACGATGTTAGCGTTACAAAACATGCAACTGCCAATGGAACCCGACCCTCCCTCACCCTCCAAGCCCCCTAAGATGATCACCGGCCCCTTCGAACCTCGACCTCAACCTGCTCAAAATGCAAGCATGGATTCTCTCGCGAACCAAATCCATAGCTTGACCGACATTGCGAGCGGCTTGCAACGCGAGATGATGAATTTGAGCCGACGAAGCAAAGATAATGCTACCGATTTGGTTAGCCTCAAAGCTGCCACGAACGCCCGAGATGAAGACATTCGAAAAAGCCTCAAGGATTTGTCCTCTCATCTCACAACCAAGTACCTGGATACCGAAACCTCAAGGTTTGATTTCAGTAATCTATTCAAGGGTGGTGATGGGCCTAACCCCAAGGATCCGGATAGTCCCGTCTCAAAGAGAAGTTACTCGGTACCCCGTATGCCTAGCCCTAATCCGTTCGCTTTTGATCGCGACTCTTGCACCTCACCCGCACCGATTTCGGATGGATCTGCGGCCCTTGCTTTGCTCGAAAAAGTGTTGCGCGAGATGGCAACGAAGGAAGGTGAGGAGAGACTGTTGGAGCTCGTTGAAGAACTCAAGTCGCGACCTGCCGCTACAGCCTCCGACAAAGAAGCCGATACCAAAGTGACTGCCATGCTCGAAGAGATCCTCAACCTCGTGAAGGAAGACCCTTCCAGCAAAGCCCTCGTTCGATCATATGGTATTGCGAATAACCTCAACGCCCCCGAAGATGAGGTTAATGATTTCTCGCGGTCACGCTCCATGGGATCGGTCGATCCTGAAGTTGTACGTGCACTTGATCTTTCTAAGTCTGACAAGGGTGATACCCTTAGCGCGAATTCCGAAGAAGTCTTAGCAGTCCTCACAAGCGTGAAAAACAGCGTCGCTGAATCCGGTGGCATGACCAATGGTGTTAAAAACCTGGTACGCGAATTGCGAGGCGAAGTCCTGGGCATGGGCCGGGAGCTTGGCCGCAGACTCGACGATATTGAAACGACTCGCGCGAGTGATGAACCAGATGACAAGCCGCGAGGCGCTGGGCCTGAAGAAATCTCTGCTATCGTGAACCGCAGTCTCGATGACCTCAAAGAGCAGCTGGCTGCCACAATTAATGAAAGTCGACAACAATCATCCGACCTATCCGAATTCCGAGCCACCATGAACAGCGCTGCAATCTATTCCGTGGTGAAGAAGGCTCTCGACGAGCTTGAATTGCCGGAACCACAATCCGAGCCCCGTGGTGCTGAGATGGACCGAGAAGACATCCTCGAGACCGTTCGCGAAGCCTGGGAAACTTACAAGCCCGAGATTGAATTCAACAATTTCGGCTTGGAGCGTGAAGAAATTCTTGCCTGTCTTGAAGAAGGGCTCAAGTCCTACCAGCCGCAGCATGAAGAGGCAGTCACCTACGACCAGGTCCTTGCAGCTGTTGAGGATGGCATGCAAAAGTTCAACCCGCCAACAATTGAAGCCCCCCCTGGAATCGGTCGCGACGAGATTATACTGGTCATTCGCGAGTGCTTGGACAAACAGCCAGAGCCTGCCGCACAATCCCTGGACGAGGAACACGTCGGCCATTTGAACTCTATGCGTGATGAGATCCTCGAAGCAGTAGCTAAAACCATGGCCTCTCACCACGAGAGCGCAAAGGTGATGGACGAGGAACATATCAACCACATATACGGCGCCCGTGACGAGATCCTCGACGCAGTGAATGGCACCATGGCTGCCTCCAAATCATTGAACGAGGAGAACGCCAATAACTTGCACTCCGTCCGTGATGAGATCATCGAAGCCGTGACTGCAGCGATGGCTAGCCATGCTGCCGGTGCCAAATCCGCAGACGAAGACCAGACCGCCAGTCACCTCACTTCACTACGAGATGAAATACTTCAAGCGGTCGCTGGTGCAATGGCGACCAATGACACAGGTTCGAAGGAGCTGAGCGATGAGCACGTTAACCACCTTTACGCCGTCCGTGATGAAATCATGGAAGCCGTGACCGGCACTATGGCGGCGCATAACACCTCCAGATCCGTGGATGAGGATCATCTTGCACATTTAAATTCCATTCGCGATGAGATTCTTGGTGCAGTTGCTGGAACGGTGGCGCAGAGCACACTCAGCAACGATTCTGGGCTTGGGCGTGATGAGATTTTCAGCGCTGTTTCCGATGGCCTTGAAGCACATTTCACCACAGCGAAGGATATGGATGAGCCGCGTATCTCTCGCCATGATGTTGTTCAAGCCGTCAACGAAGCCTTCGATGCCCAGCAATCCGCTCTTAGCGCCACTAGTGGACACTCAAGCGTCTCGCGGGACGAGATCTTGAATGCAATCGCTGAAGGAATTGAGGCATCGATGAGCACCCATAATTCAGCCCTCGTTGCCAATGCTCCGCAATCCGTGTCCCGAGAGGAAATTCTGGGCGCCATTGTGGATGGGATTGAACAATCAAGAGCTTCCACCAGCACGGATAACGGGCCTCCTCTCTCTCGGGATGACATTCTCAGTGCCATGGTAGAGGGGCTCGAACAATCGCCAGGCCGCCAAGAGCCAAGTATTTCTCGCGATGAGATTCTGAGCGCCATTGCCGATGGCATTGAGAACTCCCACAGCAACTCGCGATCTCTCGCCCTGACGGAGCATGAGCACGAGGATGAAAACCCCTCTATCTCCCGAGAAGATATTCTCAGTGCGATTGTTGATGGCATCGAGCACTCTCGTGCATCCTCAGCCAAAGAAACCCCGCCAGGGATTTCGAAGGAGGAAATTATGACCGCAGTAACTGAAGCGCTCGAGACCTCACAAATAACCCAGCGCTCACTGATGAGCACCAGCGAGCAGGAACCTCCCATTTCTCGCGAAGAGATTCTCAACGCTATCTCCGAGGGTATTCAAAACGGCAATTCCGTCGCTCGAGAAATCGAACTCAACCAGGAAGACCTGATGGAGGCAATCACCAACGGTTTGAACGAGGCTTTGGGCTCTACAAACACTCAAATTGGCGGTGAAGTTACTGATCGCCTGCAAAACCTTGTCGAGGACATGAAGGAGGAGTTCAAACAGTACTCCTCGGCCAACGGACGGGACACCGAGCAAGTCTTGGATGCTGTCAAAGATGGTATCGATGTTGTTCGCAAGGAAATTGAGACATACGTTGCTACTTCTGCCGACATTTCGGGCAAGGAGGAAATAATTGACACGGTCAAGGAAGGATTCCGCCTTCTCCATGCCGACATGGAGAAGACAATCACAGATACGGCTCTGTCCAACGGTCCCCGGGGCGCCCCTGATACCCCCGAGCTTCTCGACGCCATGGAAAAGGAGTTTGAGCACCTGCGGGGCACAATTACCTCTCTCCTGTTGCGAGACAACGCCCCTGGAGACAAGGATGAAATATTGGACGCCATCCGCGAAGTCTCTGAACAGACCAAGGGCTCTTCTGGAAACGAAGACGTTCTTAATTCCATCAAGCAGGAGTTCGAGGGCCTCCGAGAGCGGATAGACATGAGTGTTGTCCGCTCCGAGGGTAGTGCTGAGAAGGGTGAGATCATCTCAGCACTCCATGAGCAATTCGATCGTCTCCGCGAAGAAACCGCACAACGAGATGGCAACGAAAGTACGCTATCCACGACATGTGAAATCTTTACCAGCGGCGTTGACTCCATTCGGGAGGATCTGAAAAAGCTTATCGACAAACCGGCCGAGTTCGACAGTACAGAGATTCTTGAGACCATCAAGGATGGTCTTGCGGACTTGAAGCTTGAAATGGAAAGCCTCCGCCAGACTAGCAAAGAACCGGATGAGGCTGCCTCCGTTCGTGGTGGTGAACTCATGCTCGCGAACGAGACACCCGGGACAGCGGAGACGGCTGAGGCACCCAGCATTGTGCCTGACATTGATGGCCTTAAAGCCCTCATCACCCAGCTTCATGACAAAGTCGAAGTCATCGAGTCTACGCCTCGCTCAGTAGAGCCTGACGAGCATGCCTTGAAGCGCTCTCACCTTGATGAAATCCTCTCGGCCCTTCAACAGGTGCATGAAAAAGTCGAAGTCATCGAGTCTACGCCTCGCTCAGTAGAGCCTGACGAGGATGCCTTGAAGCGCTCTCACCTTGATGAAATTCTCTCGGCCCTTCAACAGGTGCATGAAAAAGTTGGGGTCATCGAGTCTACGCCCCGTTCGCCGGAGCCGGATGAAAATGCTCTAAAGCGCTCTCACCTCGATGAAGTTCTCGCGGCTCTCCAGAATGTTCATGAAAAGGTCGAGACTATTGAGTCAACTCCCCGTTCGGCAGAACCAGATGAAGATGCCCTGAAGCGCTCCCACATAGATGAAGTTCTTCTTGCTATTCACGAACTCCAGCTTGCTATGGGGGAAATGAGTGCGCAGAAACCTGCCGAGAATGACGACACCGCGAAAAAGCAGGATACCGAAGCTCTTGAGCAACTGATTCTGAGTACAAAAGCCCAGATCGAAGAGCTTGTCTTCCCCTCGCCCGATCAAGTTGCTACTGCTGAGCATATTGGAACACTTGAGTCAATAATCCGGGAAGCCAAGGACTCCATAACAGAGTTCTCCGGTCGTATGGAAGCCGAAGCACCGACGAAGGCTGAGATAGGAACCCTGGAAGGTCTCATCAAGGATGTCTGGGTTGTCCTGGAGGAACTCAAGACCAAGGCAAATGAGACCGAGCAGGAAGATCCCTCCGAGAAGATTCTCAAGTCTGATCTTCAAACTGTGGAAGCCATGATCTTTGAGGTCAAGACCCAAGTTGACGAGCTCAAGCTCCCTGATGTCGAGACTCTGCCAACCAAGACCGACATTGAGGATCTGTCTGGAATGATCAACGACTTCCGAGAGAAAATGGAATCGAACAACGAGTTGACAGCACAAGGCTTTGATGCTCGCAAGGTCGAGCATGGCGGTCTAGCTGAAAAGATCGATGAAGCTAAATTTGTCGTTGGCGAGCTAGGCGATGAGCTTAAGAGCAAGCTTGATGGTAGCACCGAGGGCTTGGCTGAGCTCAAGCAACTACTTGAAGGCTTGGCTATCACTGCCGAGAATTTCTCCACTGCCGACAACATTCAAGAGGTCACCGATCTTATCAATCGCGAGTTTGAACGTTCTCGTGGCGCAGAAGATGCGGGTAAATCTGAGAAGGAGGAGCGAGACGCTGCTGCTATGATAAAGCATGACGAAACTCGGGCCGCCATTATCGTCGAGCTTGGCACCAAGATTGACGAAAAGATTTCTGAAGTCCTTGCCAAGTACGAAGATGCCCATACTGCCCTCCACGCCAAGTTCTCAGAGACAGAGGACCGGGATGCGGCACACACTGAGTCCTTGTCAAGCACGAAGAGTCTCGCTGAAGACATCAGACTTGTCATTGGGTCTATGGGTGACAGTGTCAATGAAACCTGCGAACGCCTCAGCGTGGACACGAAGGCCCTCATGGAGCAGGTTGATCAGTCCCGTCAACAGATGGAAGAGATGCACAACGATGTCAAGTCGCAAAAGGAGCAGTCTCAGGCCGAAACCGACAGAGCTGTCGCTGCCACTGACCGAGTTGAAAGCAAGCTCTTAGAGTTCCACCCTCAAATTTTGGAATCCGTGCAAGAAATTCTCAACATCGTCAACCAACATTATGATCACTCCCAGAAGTCAGCAGAGGATTTCAAGTCCGAGCTTTCTGCATTGCCTGCCAACATTCCCGCAATGCTGCCCGCGCTGCCTCCCCCAGAGCCAGAACCAGAACAATCGCGCACGCTGGCCATTGAGGACACACCCCTTCACACCAAACTTGATGATATTCTCGAGCATGCCCGAAATAGTCAAGTCCATGAGATCTTGAACACTCTGCTTGACCATTCCAAGAATACTCAGGTTCATGACACACTGAATACTCTGGTTGAAAACTCCAAAAACGACCAGATCCACGAGATATTGAACACTCTTCTTGATCACTCTAAGGACACCCAGATTCATGACACCTTGAACAACCTAGTTGAGGCCTCCAAGAACGATCAGGTCCACGAAGCTCTCAATACTCTTCTGGAGGCCTCGAAGAACGATCAGATTCACGAGACTCTGAATACTATACTAGAGAATTCGAAGAATGATCAAGTCCACGAAAAGCTCGACCGAGCTCTTGAGCAAGGGTCCAGCTCAAATGATCAAATCCACGAGACTTTGAATGCTTTGATGGAAAGTTCCAAGAACGACCAGATCCATGAAATTCTGAACGCACTCCTTGATCACTCTAAAGACACCCATGTTCGTGACACATTGACCTCTTTGGTTGAGAACTCAAAGAACGACCAAATCCACGAAACCTTGGGCACTTTGCTGGAGAACTCGAAGAACGATCAACTTCACGAGAAGCTGGATCGGGCTCTTGAGCAGGGTTCTGGATCGAATGATCAAATCTACGAAAAGCTCAATGAGTTGCTTGACCATGCCACCAACGGCACTGGCCCCATCCATGAGAAATTGGACGCCTTGCTCAGTCGTCCCGAAAATCCACCCGAGTCTGATAATTCCACGGTTCAGATGACGAAATTGGACGAGATGCATAGGGATATCATGGAGAACTCTCGTAAAATGAACGAGATGTTTGCTGCACAGTCAGTGCTTGTTGCCGAAGACACCGAGCGGAAGCGTCGCGAAGCCGAGGAAGCCGCGGTTGCTTTGGAACGCAGAGTTTCACAGCGTGAGCAAGTTGAAGCCGAGCTTGTTGGCTTGCACGAAGAAAAAGACTCCATGCTCAATATGATCCATCGCCTCAGTGCCGAGAAGGAAGAGATGATCAGACAAAACAACAGGCTCGCCAAGGATCTATCTGGCCTGGAAACCGCTCTTGAGATTCGTCATGAGGAGATGCGACAGATGGAAGATCGCGCCGATGGCCTCGAGAAACGCATCCTCGAGGGCGTTCTTGACCATGCGCGAACCGTCCTTCTTAGCCGTTCCAACAGCTTACAAGCTATGAACTTGAAGCGGAACCGCAGCACCCGAAGTACCCGTAGCTCGCGTGCTGGTGCCCGCAGCCCCAGCTCAGTCAGCTCAGCCAGTACTGCCAAAGAATCCAAAGATAACCGCACCCTTGTCGGCAGTGGTGTTGGGATGGCACTGAAGCGCCGAATTCCCAACTCACTCCATGCTGGAACGGTCGCCGTGCAGCCAAATATCGGCAAGGAGCGCCGCATTCTCAGTCTGAGCCATGTGACCGGCAATCGTGGTGTTGACCGACAGGTCAGCGGCAAATCTGGCATCACGAATATGAAGCGCAGTCACTCTGTGAAGTCCAACAGTATTCGCAAGGCCTCATGGGCCGGCCCCACTCCTGTTTCCGACAAAGAAAACGAGCCTTTCCAGGAGGAGGATGAACTTGCTAGCGATACGGAGCGGGACGCTGGTCCTCGGCGCCAAACCAGTCACGCTGGAACGAATCGCACATCGAGCTATGCGGGAAGCATCGCCCCTTCTGACCGCAAGACAAGCTATGCCGCAAGCAATGCCCCATCGGAGCGCAAGACTAGCTATGCAGGATCAGATGCTGGGACTGAGCGCAAATACCCCGAAAGCAATGTTGGCTCTGACCGCCGCACAAGCTACGCGGCAAGCAATGCTGGCACTGAACGACGAACCAGCTATGCCGGAACTTGTGTCGATAGCATCGCCGAGAGTGTGGTGACCGATGATTCAGATCCCCGTCGTGTGAGCGGAGTGAGCTCTAAGGCTGACCAAAATGGGGCCGAAAGCTCCATTGCTGAAAATGACGGCGAGGACCGGGATGAGGATATCTCAATCGATGGATCCGAGCCCGGCGATGACACTCACTCAACCCACGAAGACGCAGAGAAGCACGATGAAGACCACCACGAGCATGACGAGCATGACGAGGATCATGAGATGTCTCGTCAGATCAGAGAGGCCAATGAGGCGGCGGAAGCTGAAGTCATGAAGCTGTTGTCGCCCACGGATAGCGGACCCGCCACGGATGTTGCGGTTTAGTGAGATTTTATGCTTTGGATGGAGTATTTGGGGGTTTTTGTTTTGTGTTTCTTTTCCTGTCTCCTTTCCCTTCTTTCATATACCACTCTGTGTTCCTTCCTTTGCTTTACCCTGCCCATGTCTTATTACGATGTTTGATTTTGTTCAATGTTCAATGTTTGCTTCTTTTGGCTCATGTGATGTAGTCCAGCATAACTTCATGTGGCCAAGGTCACGTAATAGTACTGTCAATCACACGCTATCCTTCATCTCTATTGCATTCCGTAAAATGTCTCTTGATCAAACTCCCGAGGCCCTGACCTGTTCGTACAGATGTATATAAGATCGGCCGAGTACACAGCTGATCATGTGACGGTCCCAACAAATGGCGGTTGCCTGAGGCCAAGCCGAGGCCTTGACCGTGGATCCTCTTATCACCCCATTTTCCCATGGAGCTACCCTTTCTCCTCTATACTGGGCGCTCGGGGGTTTCTTTGCTCGCAAAACTTCTTCTTTTCTTATGGTAGACCGGCCAGGGTATCCCTCCTACATCTAGATACTGTCCCCCACATCGGGTGATAGCTACCTGAGGGGACTCCGGACAATGTTGGACCCTTTCCCGCCGCCGCCGGCATGGCTACGGAACTTCATTGAGCCCTACGCTCTGTACTACAACAGCCCGACACTGCCTGATCACATCCACGAGGTGATCGGGGCGTTCGTCTTCTACCTCGCCATTCATGCGGTCGTCTCGCCATGGCTGTCGCCGATCCTCTTCCCGCAGTCCTACAAGAGCCTCAAACCAAGAACCCGGCTGAACTGGGACATCCATGTTGTCTCGCTTACGCAGAGCGTGTTGATCAACGCCGTGGCCCTGTGGGTTATGTATGTTGACCGCGAGCGCAGCGCGATGTCGGCCGGTGAGCGGGTCTTTGGGTACACCGGTGCCTGTGGCCTCATCCAGGCCCTCGCCGTGGGTTACTTCATTTACGACTTGATAGTCAGTGTCATGTATGTGCGCATGTTTGGCATCGGAATGCTGTTCCATGCTATTAGCGCCTTGTGGGTTTTCAGTCTTGGTTTTGTAAGTTGCATTGTCGATCTTTTGATCTACTGCGAGACCCAATGATCGTCATTGCCTCTCTATGTATGCATGCGCTCGGTTTCCACCTTTTTCTAACAATTTGACAGAGACCTTTCCTCAACTTCTACGCGCCAACTTTCATTCTCTACGAGCTCTCAAGCCCATTCCTCAATATCCACTGGTTCCTCGACAAGGTCAACATGACTGGTAGCCGTGCCCAGTGGTATAATGGAATGGCCCTGCTTGGTTCATTCTTTGCCTGCCGTCTTGTATGGGGTACCTGGCAGTCTATAGTGCTTTACTTCGACATGTGGAACGCACTCCAACACACTTGGTCGGCTGCCGCGTCCCCACTCTCCGAGCCCGCCAACGTCAACGCAGCAGTGTTCTACCCAGCCCGTGACGGTAATCTGTGCATTGATCAAACCTGTGCTCGTGCCAATGCTGAGATCACCAAATTCAAGGACTTCACTGCCGGGGGTGTGGCTACATGGATGGTCGTCACTTACGTGGGATCGAACATGATCCTCAACTTCTTGAATTATTTCTGGTTCTCCAAAATGGTTGACACGGTGCTCAAGCGCTTCCGTGGACCCGCGCAAACCACCGAGAAGAAGGACACAGACAAGACGCAGCTGAAGGAGGATATTGTGCACGAGGTCGTTCTTGAGGCCGCCTCGCAATTGGAGCAGGACGAGAGCGCTGTCATGCAGGCCGATCTTACTTCCTTGAAGGAGCAGGTCTCTTCGGCTGTTGACTCCGGTCTATCCGACGACATTCGAAAACGTAGGGCAGACCTTGTTGCAAAGGTTCCCTTGCCAGGTGCCTAAGTGACCTTGCATTTTGAATGCGAGTAGGACTCCAAAACGGGGCCTAGAGTTTTCCGAACGGTCCCCTCACTTTTGCTTTCCTTTCCAACCGCCATTGGCCAAATTATGTCGCTTTCCTTGGTTTCATGCATCCCTGTTATGTAAATCGCTCTTGCTGGCCTTTGCCTACTCTACCTCTTGAGGTTCATCTCGCAGTTCGAGGTTGTTAAGCCATGTTGATATTAGGACAATTTCCATGTTTTTCTCATGAGATCATGTTTGTGATGCTTCGCCAGATGTTGCTAGGTTTGTGTTTGACAACTAGAACAATGACAATTACAGAAAGAAGAAAAAGAAAAAAAAATCACATTAACCAAAGCACAGTTGCAGAATCACATTGCTTCATATCAGATTTGCAGAAGACATTTAAGAATATTCAATCCCACCAGTCATATCAACGACCAGACCAAACACCACACAAAACACCTAATATTAAAGGGACAAAACACATGGCTTATCCGCAGGGCAAAGTAAGTCAAAGTTCATTCACGAGATCTATCGAGCAGCCGCGGCCTGCGCCTCGGGCCTAGCCAGCATATACCGGACTGCTTCTTTGGCAACCTCGGAATCCCAAGGACCATCAAGACCGCCAAATCGGAACTCAGGTCCACTGCCATCTTCACCACCGCCACCACGGGTAGCTTCGCCCACGATGGTCTCCAAATCACGGCGCTGAGAGTTAATCCAGCGACGGACAAAGCTAACTGGGTCTTTACTCAAGGCAGTGTAGAATGAATGACGGGCTCGGGAGTGAGTGAGAGCCTGGACAATCAAGGCGATCTGGTCATCGAACGACGAGATCTGGCGCAGACCAGCCGTGTAAGCGGGATTCTGGGTGAGAGCCATCATCTTAGTGCGCAGCGGGTCTTCCACCGCGACCTGGATATCGTAAATGGTTGGTGTCGGGTCGGCATTGAACTCCTCATCAACACGAATAGTGTACGGAAGCTTGATTGGCTCCATTGGGCTAGTGTGAGGGCCGACACTCTCCGGAATCTGGGGGAAGAACATTTGCTCGCGTCCAAAGATCTGAGTGCGTTAGTCAACGAGAAACAACCGAAAGAATAGAAACATACCGAGCGCAAACGATGGTCGCAGCGCACTTGTCGCTTCTCTTCATCTTCCTGCAAATCCATTGCGCGAATATAGTCCCAGATTCCAAGCACAATTCCGCTCCGAGTTTCCTCTTCGACATCCAGGACCTCGGCCAATTCTTTGCTCAACTTGTATCGCTCTGGAACTTCGTCTCGGACGAGACTGACAGTAATATTCAGGTTTTCTTGCGAGGCCCGAGAGAACTGTAGGCTGTCGAATTCAGTGCCAGGGGGCGTGGGTGTGTTCGGGTGAGGGACGGCCTTGGACCAGTTCACTGGCTTGACTTCCTCTGGGATTGCCGTAACAGGCTTATCAAAGTCGACATTGATGGCCTTGAAGAAGTGCGAGAAGCGCTGGGTGGAGTTCTTGGAATCGGACTTGGTGGCCTTGTCCCCCTCGCCATCATGGTCCATCGCGTCTTCGGCCTTTTCCTCTTCATCGGGGACTGTGGGGTCTGTCTCATCGTCCAGCAGTCGGCCCTCGATGCGTACCTTGTAGCGACCGGAGCCGGGGTTGTTTCCCGATCCTTGCCAAGGCTGGTTCTCAACGGTGTTGGTGATCCAGATGCGCATCGTTCGGTATTTTTTCACGGTCTTGGTCATAGAGTCTTGGATGTCGAGTCTCTTTCGGATAACGGCAGCGTCCAATCGCTTTTCCAGGTCGCGGAGGTTCTTGTATTGTTGAACGCCCTCGCCGATGATCACGTCCTCAATGCCCTCCGGGAGATTCTTGTCGGTAGGTTTGCGGCTTCTTCGAAGCGCAGCATCGTTAGGATGGGGCATAGGGCGCGTCATGTACTGCTGTGGAGGCATTTGTTGAATCGGGGCGTGCATGCCTTCGCAGATGTGACGTTAGAGAAAGGTAATTGAGGAGGCCTGGAAGGGAACATACCTGGGCGACGGGGCGCAGCTGGAGACCGATGCGCGGTCGGTGGCATGGGCCGAAATCCTTGTTGCATCGGAGCTTGCATTGTGAGGTGTGCCAAGTGGAGTAGTGGATAGATGTGAGGACACCAGAAGTTGGAGATGCGAAGTCGCGATTTTGCCGTCGCGCTTTACCCTTTTCGGAATATCGCGACCAAGCCGCCATATGACTTTGGACTCGTCAAGGGACTGAGCTAACGAGATGAGATTGAAATCTACAAATGAATAATTTGTATATTATGGAGTAGACTTGCCTCATATACTACGCTTGGGGATCCCCATCAAGGGGGATTCAACGTTCATGATGGTGATCGTGCAACTCTCAATTATTTCCTATCAAGTCATAGTCTAACAATAATAGCCAAGATCTCCTTACTCCAGGAGAGATGCCTGGTTAGTATACAGCCCCTCCACGACATTGCCGAGCTTCTCAATTGTGTCTAGCGCGGCATCGTAGGCCTGGTCCCGTTCTGTCTCCTCGTACACAATCAGACACCCGGAGCCCTGATCCAGTACTCCGATGATGACCTTGTCCAAAATCATCTGGGACAACTTGCGCTCAACCTGCTGCGTGTCCAAGCCAACCATCTTGGCAATGTGATCCAGCTCAACTCGGCTGAAAGGCTCAATAACCTTGACCAAGTTTTGTTCCAGCATGGCGTCGTAAAGGCGACGAAGATGGTTCCGAATGAACACATCACCGCCAAGTTCGTAACGGTAGTCCGAAAGAGCCTTCTCATATTCTTCCAAAGAGCGATTGGCGTGTGCTCGGGCTACGGCCTTCATTGCCTCGAGGCGTGGGCTGGCGTACTTTTGTGCTTGCTTCGACCCCAGCAATTGTGTGACATCATCCACTAAATTCAACATGATCTTGCAGAGAAGCATGTATTGCAGCGTCGCTGTTGCCAGGTCACTTTCGTCGAGCGAGTTGTATCCTTCAAGTGCCTCGATGAAGTAGGAGAAGGAAGTAGTGAAGTCCTTGTCTTCAGCATGGAGCATACCGCTCTGCATATCCAGACCGGCCTGCAAGTTTGGCGGCGTGTACACAGATGCAGCTGATGTACGGGCTGCGGTGAGAGCAGCACGTGCTTTGGCCTGGTTACCCAGAGCGTGGTAAACACGCGACTCGAGCAGTTGTACCTCCACCAGCATCAGCTTGTCGTCCAGGCGCTTCAGTTCACGTAGAAGGGAGTTGATGAGAGTGAGAGCATCGTAGTAGGATTGCTTTTGCATGTAAATGGCAACAAGTCGAGCCTGGAGAGCCTGGCGCAGGAACGATCTTCGCTCGGAGATAGCCCATTCTATGCATGATTGGATGACGCTGCCTTGAAGCTCGAGTGTGTTGGGGATTTCGCTAATCAGATCCAGCAGTTGACGGACTAAAGCAATCATTATTAGCCGCAAGATACCAACTTAAGATGGCGCGCAACTTACCCAGTTTGGCTGTCTTCGCTTTGGCAAATGACGAGAAGGTGTCACGGCTGGTCTTGATGAGGTCTGCGATCTCTTGTGGCTTCTTTGCATCACGGTATGCCTCACCAAGGCCAATCAAAGCATGTTCATAGTCTCGTGAGGAGGCTTCTGTGGATCCGGGACCCTCTGCGAGGATCTTCTGGTAACTGGGCGCGGCTTTCGAGGGATCCTGCTTCACCAGATCTCGGACTTCTTGGATCCGCGGCGACACCTTAGAGGACATGATGTTTGGTGGCAAATAGTAAGAAAGCAAGATAAGGAGTTTGGGAGAAAAAAACAAAAGGCGATGGTGGATTGAAGGATAGGTTGATGACCAAGTCGGACGGGGAGCTCGAAGCTGGCGGCAGCTCGTCGTCCTTCACCGCCCGGTTGGCAAATCAAACAGAAAAAAAGTTCCATCGGCGTTTTCTTTCCCTCTCTCCAAAGTTTTCTCTACAGCACCATGGTAAGTAATTTTGCTCAAAAATTAGCTCATTCGATCGGTATGCTAATCGATTATAGAAAATCAAAGCACTTTCTCGGTCGACTGCATCGCAGCAGGCCCCCGGGTCTTCTACTGTTCGCCAGGCGCGGAATCTGGACCCGACCCAGCATCCTTTTGAAAGGGCCCGTGAATATACTCGTGCCCTCAATGCAATCAAAATGGAGCGCATGTTTGCTGCGCCTTTCCTCGGACAGATGGGCAACGGTCATGTTGACGGTGTCTACACTATGGCAAAGGATCCCGGTTCGCTTAACCGCTTCGCAAGTGGCAGTGGCGACGGTGTGGTGAAGGTGTGGGATTTGCCCACACAGGGTGAAGTCTGGGAGACCCAGGGTCACGAAAATATGGTCAAGGGTCTATGCTGGACACCGGAGCGGAAACTTTTGTCATGCGCAAGTGACAAGACGATCAAGTTATGGGATCCTTACAACTCGTCCAACGAGGCCCCACCGATGGCAACCTATCTCGGAAACAGCGCTTTCACCAGTGTGACGCACCACCGAACCATGCCCTCATTTGCTGCTGCCTCTGGTGTCATCTCTATCTATGATCTTTCGCGACCATCCTCCACCCCGTCACAAACCCTACACTGGCCTACTAGCGTTGACACCATCACCTCGGTTGCTTTCAATCAGACTGAGACATCAATTCTGGCTTCCACTGCCCTCGATCGCTCGGTGATCATGTACGATTTAAGGACCTCCCAACCGGTGCACAAGACAATTCTCAGGTTGGCATCGAATGCTATCTCTTGGAACCCCATGGAGGCTTTCAACTTTGCAGTTGCCAATGAGGACCACAACGCCTACATCTTTGATATGAGAAAGATGGACCGCGCTTTGAACGTTCTGAAGGATCACGTGGCTGCTGTGATGGACGTCGACTTCAGCCCTACTGGTGAAGAACTTGTTACTGCCTCTTACGATCGCACAATCCGCCTGTGGAACAGGTCAACAGGACACTCGCGTGATATTTACCACACTAAACGCATGCAGCGCGTTTTCTCGGCAACCTTCACACCTGACAACAAGTACGTCTTGTCCGGATCGGATGACGGAAATGTTCGTCTCTGGCGTTCCACGGCATCCGACCGCAGCGGAATCAAGAGTGCTCGTCAACGATCCAAGCTAGAATACGATCAGGCCCTGATCAAGCGCTACTCACACATGCCCCAAATCAAACGCATCAAGCGCCAGCGTCATGTGCCCAAGCCTATCAAGAAGGCTGGCGAAATCAAGCGCGAGGAGCTCAATGCTATTAAGAGGCGTGAGGAGAATGTGCGCAAGCATACTAAGAAGAGCGAGCTGAAGCCCAGAACCCACGAACGTGAGAAGATGATTCTCACCAGCGAGCAATAAACTGGCCCACTCGCTCTGTCAATCCACGGCCAGGCTCAGTCGCGGATATCCATCGAAAGCCAGCCGAAAGGAGAAAAAAAATATGTTCAATGGAGTGATATCTCCACTTCATAATACATGCTGGAGCGGCAGGCCCACACCCCCTTCGCATCTCACGCCAATATATACCACCAGATCCACTTCAGTCTACTTTTGAAGATGTTTCCTGACTTTGAGTAACCGCATCATCTATCCCGCTCAGATACCTCGCAATCCGTTGCACTGCAGCGGGTGCCACAGCATACCAATTCACAAGTATTGCATATGCGGGCAATCTGATTACTCCTCCTCGACCACTGTCGATCGCGGCAACCATCTCTCGGGCAACTTGAACTGGCTCAAGGACTGGTGCAAAGAACTGGTTTGGCGCCCTAACCCAATCAAAGAGCGGCGTGGACATTTGTCCGATCTCTATCAGTAGTGTCTTTATCGGCGATCCTCGCATCTCTGCCTCTATCGTTCGATGCAGCGCACTCAGTCCAGCTTTGCTTGCTGCATAGTCCGATAGCCCCGCCGCAGTCAGCTGGCCAAGCACGGAGCTGACGGTCACAAGGGTGCCTCCATTCTCTGCAGCAACGATGCCAGGCAAGAACATTTGGTAGAGATGGAATGCCGCGATGAGATTGGTGCGGATAGTCTTTTCGAACGCGCCAGCCGGCAGCTCGAGTAGCGGAACACCGTTGATTCTCGCCGCAGCACAGTTGATAATGATAGTTGGCCGTCCTAGCTGCAAGACATTAGCGAATCAATATCTCTTGAGGCAAATCATCAAAACGGAGTTCCTACTTATGAAGCAGAAACCATGGATGAAATATACATACCGTCTCAGTAATCTTCTCCTTAGCCCTCTCCAATGCCCCCCGATCTGCGACATCACAAGGAATATAAAGAACCCCGTCTCCGAAAGCTCGACTGGCATCCTCGTCGAGCTTCTTGATGTCAAGTACCGCCACACTCGTCCCACGCATTGCATAAGTTTGCGCAATCAACAGCCCGAGCCCGCTCGCCCCACCCGTCACAAGCACCACCTCATCCTCCGAGACTGTTCGTGGCAATCCGTATGCGACGCGGTCATTGATGGCTCGTGCGACAAAAATGACCGTCAGCACACTTGCGTAGGCAACCGTCAGGATCCAGGCGAGGTCTGTTTGGGGCGTTACGTGGGCACGTAAGCACAGGACCAGGATCCATGCGAGAAATGGGTTAAACAGATATTTGGAGAGCACAGTCAGAAGAGTGTCAATTGTAAAGCGGGTTGGGCGAACAGCTGGCTTGGACACTTTGGCTGTTGTTTTGATTATTGGGGGATCTGCGTCTGACATGGTTGAAAGCTGTTTTGGGCCGCTGCCGGAGAGGATGAGATATGGTTGGAGACCAGTATACTTCCAGGGTCACTCCTCCGATGCATATGAGTAGCAGGATCTCGGTGATTTCGAGAAAACTTGCAGGTTTGGACGCGACGTTTGCCCAGGTTTTGCGGGGCCGATAAGATAATCTATTTGGGTGCCCGCGGGCTGCCCAGGTGGCGGCCCCGGGATGACGCGGGATACACCACCTGGGCAGCTATTTATGGATGTTTACTTACCATTTGGGATATTATGGCATTGGAATAAGGACAATTGCATTTTGTAGCTGATTTTGATATCGAAATTAAGGCATCTACCCAGGAAAAACCATGAAAATCAGAGAAGGATTTTTTTTTCTTAAGACACAACATGTGAATTGCAGATCACTGCTGCCGTTGAGCAAATGGGTTCAAGATTTGATCCGGTATCTTGTGTGGGCCCCGAATAGAATGGCTGAACGTGGGATAGTGCTCATCCTCGGCCATGATGTCGAGGTCGTTCACAGACATGGGGAGATGGAAGCCCTGGCCAGCTTCAGGGTATGTGCGATAATCCTCCGAGTCATAGTCATGGCCATGGTGAGAGACGCCTTGAGAAGGAACAGGAGATTGGAGCCGGGACTGCGTGTCAGATTCACCGTCGGTGAGTGGATCAGAGCCTGACGATTCGGCATACGAGATACGAGCAGGTGTACGCGCCCCTAGCGATGCAAGGGGGAACAGAGACTCGGAAGTGGATTTTGCGGCAGGACTCTGAGTCTGACCAACATCTGGAAGAATGTGTGGCTGATCTGTGATCTTGTTGAGATCCACGGGGGCCATTTGCATGCCGGGAGGAAAGATTGGGACGAGGGGCCACTCCTTTGAGATTTGGAGCAGGAGTTGCACCAGCGCATCGTGAGAAAGTGATGAAAGATACGCACGGCGTTCCTCCTCTGAGTAGGTTCGGTTCACTGTTTGGGGAGGCATTGTGATCTTTGCGCGTCCGGGCTTCTTGGTGGGTGGCATCTTGGTTTTGGACTGGCGCGGTTGGTTTGGGTTACACTTGTTGCAAAACCAATCCATGTCCGCTATTTGAACGACTTCGTTTGCAATATTGGGCGAATGGCACTTTTGGTGCCATGGTCTGTCACATCCATCACACAGCACAATGAAGTTGTTTGAAGGGCTATTTCCTCGATGGCAGACTGTGCACACTATATTTATCTGCCGTATCAGACGTTTTCGCTTAGTCGGGGCCTTTGACCTTTTCGTCTTGGGTTTGGTGGTTATTGCTGCAGATTCGGCGTCAAAACTCGTTGGTTGAGTGGTGCGACGGGCAGGCCGAGTTCGGCTGGAACCCGGTGTTTCCGCATATGCCATCAAGTTATCCTCTAATTGAGCCTGGGCGGAAGCTTGCCATTCTTCGGAGGCAGAGATATCCATTGAAATATCTGCTGGCAGTAATTGGCCCTTGGAAGAGCCTGGGGTGTCCATTATATGGCTGTCGGGGACACTCTGAGGGAGCTCTGGTCTGATATTTGGGTCAGGGATGTCCATGGAGGCGGGCATGATCTGCATCTTCTGGGGTCCCTCGATAATTCCCAGGAGTTGTTGAATAGTAGTGATCCGGGTGTTCCTCTTGCCGAAACTGAACTGGTCAATGTAGTAGGAAGGACAATGCGAAGAGACCCAAGACTGGAGGGTAAATGTGATTATAGCCCTGGAGCTCTGTTCGACAATTCATGTGTTCCTATTGGACACGAGACAATGAATGGCTATATTCTTCCTTGGGAGACAATTCAGCACAGTTGACTTCTTTCAATTCCCTGGATTGGCGGGAGAGTTCAAGCGAAGTCGTTCTCAGATAGAAAATGTATAGAGATCACGTGAGGCCACCGATGCAACCAACGGCGTGCAGTTCTTTAGCCCTGAATAGTACGAAGTATTATCTAGCTTATGCCAATTCTATTCTGTCTTCCATTTTTAGACCTTCATAGCCCTTCAGAGCACAGGTGAAAAGCCGAATCCCGTTAGTCTCCATCCTCAGAGCTTCTCACACTCCCTCGACAATAGGATCGTCAATAGAAACCAAACGAACGCCTGCGGTGATGAGTTCCTTTTTGACGTCATCCCAGCCAGCAGGATCAACACACTTGGTTCCCTCCTCGACAATATAGGATTTGAATCCAGCTTTGGCGGCGTCTATCGCAGTATCCTTGACACAATAATCTCCCGCCAGCCCAACAACAAACACATCTGTGATGCCTTGTTGAGTGAGCACTGCCGCAACATCCACACTGACCGAATGCGAATTTGTTCCTGGGTCACAGTTCCCAAAGGCATCTGCAAAGACGGAGTACATTTCAACATCGAAGCGCATGCCTTTATGCACGACCAGATCGGTGCTCGATATGTTCATCTCAGGAATAATGGCGGCTCCGGCAGTTCCGGTCACACAATGAACCGGCCAGAGACGCTGTGCTTTTGTCTCTGATCCCTTGCCCGACGCGGGATTCTTCATTTCGATACATGATTCGAATGGCTTGTTTTCAGGACCGGGATGGTTGGTAGCAAAGGATATGTGGTTTGCTGGGTGGTAGTCTTTGGTGAAAACGCGAGTCGCGAATCCAGGTTTTGCTAGTAGACGATTTATTACTGAGGCGATGCTGCGGCCATCCTGTACTGCGAGAGACCCATTCTATTCTGATCAGTGGCTTTTGAGATTGATACGGCTGATGCGAACGATCTCACTGGAGGACAGAAGTCTTCTTGCATATCAACCACAATCAGGGCTGGTTTAGTAGTGCCAGTTGCTGTCATTTTGAGTCTCGGGAATTTACTAGTCCAAGATGGATTAGAGCTCGCTAGCACCCGAGTTCTGCAATGGGAATGATAGAGTCAAGAGGGTTGGTTGAAGCACAGAATAAGTAGCGACAGATTGCATTGACAGCAGCAACGACTGCCATATGTCGGGCAGAATCGTCACCCACTTAGGCGGAAACCAAGGGCGGTGGGAAGCTCCTAAAAACGACGGCGCTCGGTAACACACAACTCAACCTTCGCGTGTCTTCAGGGCCACGGCCCCATATCGAACCTTCAAATCCACCGGATCATGAGAATTAGCAAGGTATGTGTCTGCTTCTACTCTCATTTTCTTTCTTTGCATGATGAACCACATTATTGGAGCTGTCTGAGCTTTCGCTATGCGGACAAACTCATTATACGCTTTTCATCTTTCTGAATCTTGTCACCTCCACCCACAACCTTACCCAAAAATCTGCCAGTCAGTCGCTAACTGCTTCTGATAGTCAACAGCATATTGTAAACTGAAAAAACCTCCATGATCCCTAGAACCCCTTAGTCTCTACCTCTACCTCTACATAGTCTTCAAAATGGCATATGATCCACGCCGAACAAACTCGGGGACCTCAACTCCCCAACCTCCCCCTCCCCCTCCAGCATCCGGAATGGCTCCAGCACTAGATCCAGCAGACTCGTACAAGCTCAAGTTCTGTACCGTCTGCGCCTCGAACAACAATCGCTCTATGGAAGCCCACCTCCAACTCTCCGGCACTGCTTTCCCCGTCATCTCATTCGGAACTGGATCTCTCGTCCGCCTCCCGGGCCCCTCAATCACTCAACCAAATGTCTATCACTTCAATTCGACCTCATACAACCAGATGTATGAGGAGCTGCACGGCAAAGACGAACGCCTGTATCGCAGCAACGGCATCCTCAACATGCTTGATCGCAACCGCCAACTGAAATGGGGCCCTGAGCGATTCCAGGACTGGGTCCCTGGGATCCCGCGCGTTGATCACCTAGCCAAGGGTGATAAGGGTGCCGCGGGAACAGAGGGTGGTGTCGTCGATGTCATCATCACCTGCGAAGAGCGTTGCTGGGATGCTGTGGTCGATGACCTGATGAACAAGGGATCGACTCTCAACTATCCCGTTCACGTCTTCAATGTCGATATCAAGGATAACCACGAGGAGGCCTTGACAGGTGGAAAGGCGATTCTTGATCTTGCGAATCGTTTGAACGGCGCCGCTGTGGACAAGCATCGGATTCATGGCACTGAAGGCTGGGAGAATGGCACTGGTGCTGCGCGTCAGAGCTTTGACGAGAACGTTCCTGGCATTTTGGCCGACTGGCAGGAGAAATACCCCAACCTGCCGGCTCTGTGGACTGTCGCTTGGCTCTAGGTTTCATCTCATTCTGTGTTTATGATTTAGGTGCAGTGCGTCAGCTTGTTCAAAGCTGGACCCGTCTGGATGGAGCATGACATCTCGCAGCCATGGAAAGCATTTGATTAATCAACCGGGGTATCAAGCAAGCAGTATAGTAACAAAAAGGACCCATCAAAGGGCTGGACTCTCCTCTTTCACCCCTTCCTTAACTTCTTCCTTGAACTCATCTTTGATCTCATGTTTAATTTCTTCCTTGGCGTCGCCCTTGGCAGTCTTTGACAACTCAGCTCTCCTCTCTTGATACCATCGGTCGAGACACGACCGGCGCTGCGCCTGCGTCATACTCTCAACGACAAGAGCAAACTCCGTAGCATTGGCGTATCCAAAGTGCTGCGCCATACTGCAGAATTGACGTCGCATAACACCCTCTGGTGGGTGGTATTGGAACCCCAAGGGCTCCTCCTCGTCCACTTCATCAAATGGCCCTTGTTGCGTAGACACGAATACTTGCTGATCACCTGTCGTATCCTCGGGGGCAAGCTCGGCGCGACGACTGAGGTTTTCTTCGACACGCGAGGACCCAACCACCTCATTATTGAGATGAGTATATTCGACGCCGGCACCAGCAAGGATAGCATGGACCGGATCATGCTTGTGTGGCGTCGCAGGTTTTCTTGAGGGAGTCGGCTTTCCTTCGTCACCGCAGATCATAGAGGCGAGTTGGCTCATCGCCTCGTCTTCCCCTTTCATGCCCTGCTCGCCTGAATCCTGATCCCCGGCGGATGATTGGAAGTCCACGTCTGCGACCTGAACACCGGCACGACTTTCAGCAACGTTGGTTCTATTGACAATGTCACGCAGAACAATGTTGTCGTCTTGGTATTGGAAAAAGTTCTGCAGACCAAAGATTTCGCCCTTTTTGTCAGACCTTTCTTGTACACCTTTGAAGTACCGACGCTCAGAGCTTGCGTTGTATCCAATGTTTGCCTGTTGTTGTTTGTAGATTTGTCGGGCATACACAATCTCCTCAATTGTCCCAGCCGATATCAGACGGAAGACTTCCACGTCACGATTCTGCCCGATACGATAGGCTCGATCCTGAGCCTGCAAATCGTATGAAGGGTTCCAGTTAGGATCAACAACAACGACTTTGTTGGCAGAAGTGATGTTCAGGCCCACGCCACCGGCCTTTGTGGAAATCAAGAAGACGAACTGCTTAGAATCGGCATTGAACTCGTCAACGACTTTGGCGCGGCTCTCATAGCTCATAGACCCATCCAAATAGCTGACATTATAGCTGGTATGATGGAAAAGCATCTGCAACATTTTCAGAAGCCGAACGCTATGAGAGAAAACCAGGACTTTGTCTCCATTCGAGTGCCACCATTTGAGGAGCCTGCGAAGGACCTTCCACTTGCCACAAAACTCGGGATTGGCATAGTTGATAAGTGAATCACGAGAGCGGTATAGATCCTCCCATTTATCAGGGACAGCAACTTCGAGGTAGTTCCTGTCCTTTTCTTGTTTTTCTTTGGTGTCCGACCTTTGGGGAATCAGGATGGCGAGGTGGTTGCTCAGCTTTTGCAGCACTGCAATAGCAGGGAAAACATATGCTTGCCAAGCCGAAGGATGCCTATGAGGAATGAAACGTTTGCAGCACCAGCCTTGCTTTTTATTTGACCCGCAGTCGCATATCTGTGTGGAGTTTTTGATATAATCCACAATATCACTGTCGAGGAAGCTCTCATAGGCATCAGCCTGCGTTTCGGTCAAAGGACAAAAGACGACACGGTCAATCTTTTTAGGCAATTGGTCGGCGATCAAGGTTTTCATTCTTCGAAGGAAGAACTGGGGAAGAAGGTTCTCAACCAGCTTCTTGGCTGTTTTGCGAGCCCTGCTGAGCTCACTCAATGTTGCATCGTGCGATTGCCCAATCTTCAACGGCTCAGCTATCTTTGCTTTCCAGGTATTCACTGGACCTATGGCCCCGGGATTCGTCCAGTTCAAGAGCGTCCAGAGCTCTTCATACTTATTTTGAATTGCCGTGCCCGTAAGCCCTATTCGACACAATGCGTTGATCTCGTTCATGGACAGCGAGGTCTCCGACTTGCGCTCTTTGATCTTGTGGCACTCGTCTGCAATCACACAATCCCACTCGATCATATTCAATGTCTCTTTGTTGGACATATAGGTGTCGTAGGTGGTGATCAGAACTTCAACTCTCCCTGATCTTGCTGCATCAAGCGCAATGTCCTTGTTCTCACCATGATAGCTGTCAACGTGCCACCACCCCCATCTTAAAAACTCGGTCCTCCAATTTGCTATCAGAGTCCCGGGGCATACGATGAGTGTGCGGGGGTACCATGCGCTATCATCGGCTCGGCGGACCTTTCGCATCCGCTTTGCATCTCGTTCATCTCCCGTTTTCCCATATGCAGCGGTCAAAAAGGCAATCACCTGGATCGTTTTACCCAGGCCCATGTCGTCTCCCAGAATTCCTCCCCTTTGATAAACGAATAATTCGTGGAGAAAAGTAACTCCCTCCACTTGGTATTGACGCAGCCATTGGGCGATTGGTGCAGGTATGACACCAAGGGAGTATGGCAGTTCAATATCCTTGTATTCCTTCTGTTTTGTCAAGGTCGGAAACACTGGTCGTTCTTGGAGCTGTTCCAAGCGTTCATCGTCCGAGAATTCAACATCCTCATATGTCGGTGGTAACTTCAGTCCCGATTCTTGCAGGCGCTCATAGTTCAATTTGAACTTAGCACGCCGACTTTTCAAATACTCGGGCAGCGTGGTCTCCATCAGCTCATCCTCCGAGGATACTTCGCCATAGCTTTTCAAAGGTCGCTTAGGTCGGGGCGTAGGTCTTTCTTGCTTGACTCGACCAACAAATTCATTCCCTCTGGGGGTCTTGCTCTTGCGACCAACGGCAGCGGTTTGCTTTCGCTTGAGAGATTTGCGTTCCTTGAATTTTTTGTAGGCCAATTCGCCATCGTTCACATCATCGTCACTATCCACGGGCTGAACCTTGACTGCGCTTGCAGCTTCAGATGAATTATGCGTTGACACTGATCTGACCGGAGTCGCATTCTCCATTTTCACGCCGGAAGGTCTGCCTGTGGGTAATGTGAGCTGCATGTCAACGCGTCGAGAATGGTGTCATACTTCGCGGCGTGGTATAGTGCGTCACCTCCAAGTCATCATCAGAATCAATGCTTATAATCTCCGGATAGTTGTGGCTAGTCATTTTCCATATTTCAAAACTGATGTTCATAAATCAAAAGAGTGTTCGGGGGTTGTGAAGTTAGAACCGAGTATCGCGACACCAGCGCTACCGCGGGCGTTAGCGGCCACTCGAAACCTTGACATTAATAGATGCATCGCTCATGTTCACGGGTAAAACTGAACAAGGAAAATACTGACTTATGCGATCATAGTACCTAGTTTATTTTTTGAACAATTACCTAGGTAGGTTCCATTCAGCAACATTGGAAAAAATACATAGGCCCTGAGATTCATGGATACGGTATGACTTCTTAGGATAGTAAGCTGATACACCAGCGAGATCGCGCAAATAGTAAATACGGTATGCCTATTAGCATCAATGTAGCTTCAGATACGTGTATTCTTCGATTGAGCTTCTTGATACCTTCCTGGCAGGTTGGAAGACTGGCATTTCCACCGTATAGTCCGGGTGATCACGTGCCATAATATAACCAAGAAAAAAAAAGCCGCTGGGATTCAGATACCTCACTTACCGATTGAACCAACACGTTAGTATCTATTCCAGCAATTGTGAGAGCAGCATTCTGATACCTAGTTAGCTTCCTGCTGAGCTTTATCTATTTGTTCCCACCTTCGCAAGCTCCATTCCACACTACTTTCACAATGCCTCTGGATACCGCGACAACATACCCGCTCACGAGGCTGCGCCTTGACGGCCGTCGCTGGAATGAGCTTCGTCTCCTTCAGGCTCAGATCTCCACCAACCCCGCCAGCTCGGGCTCCTCATATCTCTCCATGGGAAATACATCAATCATGTGCTCCGTCCACGGTCCCGCAGAGGGCCGCCGCGGGGATGGTGCCGCAGGAAGCGGCCAAGCGATTGTGGAGGTAGATGTTAACGTCGCCGGTTTTGCGGGCGTGGATCGCAGGCGCAGGGCCGGAGGAAGCGATAGGTACCCAATCTCCATTCCAGACTCCCCGCTCCAGCCGCTAATATGGTATACAGGCAATCAACCCGGATCGCTACAACTCTTCGCTCAACCTTCCAGTCTCATCTGCACACTTACCTCTACCCCCACAGCACAATCAGCATCCACGTCTCCATTCTGTCGGCCGATGGCTCCGTTCTTGCCGCTGCCATCAACGCCTGTACCCTTGCTCTCGTCGATGCTGGTATCCCCATGCCGGGCCTTCTCACCGGCTGCACTGCTGGTATGAGTGGAAGTGCTTCCACACCGCGCGACCCGCGACACGACGAGCTCGACCCACTGCTTGATGTTTCGCTGCCCGAAGAGCAGGAATTGCCGTTCCTTACGGTCGGGACGACCACCGCTTTGCCTGTTGGCGAAAATAATATGGATGAGGAAGAAGAGACAATGAAGGTTTCTGTATTTGCGATGGAGTCCAAGGTTCATTCGACATATCTGGAGACGATGACAGCGGTTGGCATTGACGGATGCAGTCAAATCCGGGAGTTGTTGGAGGGTGTTATCAAGTCCAGGTGAAAAAACACATACTCCGAAAAGATTACCGTGATACCCAAATGTATTTTCTGCATAATGCGCTCAAACCCTCTCTCACTTGCTCTCTTAGGCGTCCAAGTCTGCTGCTCATTGGGCTTCAGACCTGGATCACTGATCTGTTTACACTTTCTCTTTCTTTGCCTCTCTCTCTGTCTCTTGACCTTTACAAAGATCATCTTCTGTTCAACATGGACATGAATATGCCGACCACTGCAACCTCGATGATGGCCATGACTACCGGTACGCAATCCGGGATGTCCATGGGCATGGGAAATCACACAGGCGATATGCATCAGTGCAAGATGTCGGTTTGTAAACCCCGTCTCTTCTATCCAGGTCGAAATTAACCACAATAGATGTACTGGAACTGGTACACCATCGGTTCATGTACGCCCCCATCCCAAATGTTCTCTCACCGCTACTAAGTTGACAACACCACAGGCTTCCTGGCTAAATCCTGGCACGTCACTTCGCGCGGCATGTTCGCTGGCTCTTGCATTGGCGCAATCTGCCTCGTCATCAGCCTTGAATTTCTTCGTCGCGCCGGCAGGGAATACGACGCTTACGTCGTCCGTCAAGCTCGTTTGCGACAATCTTCTCGTGGCTCTCTACTGGGAGATACCATTCAACGTACATCCCCCGATACTGAGAATGATCCTACTATTTCTGCATCGTCAAAGCAGGCTGCCTCTTCCGCCACTGATGGCTCTGTCAATCGGTCTCCTATCCTCTATCGTCCTTCACTTGCCGAGCACACCGTCCGCTCGTTGATTCACATGGTCCAGTTTGCTGTGGCATACATTGTCATGCTGCTGGCTATGTATTACAATGGATACATCATCATTTGTATCTTCATTGGCGCGTTCCTGGGAGCCTTCTTTTTTGCCTGGGATCCCATCATTCTGTCCCAGGAGTGAGTCGCCCAATCTGTATTCTCTGAATTGCCTCTAATCGCCCCAGATCGGACGCTACCTCGGTCACGAAGTGTTGCGGATAGACACTCGCATGCTACACTGAAAGCTCTGCAACAAGCCCAACATACCACAGCGGATCCAGTGACTTGACCCATCTGCAGAGTTATTTCTGGAGTAATCATCATGAGTGGTCACCTAGGGTTAGGCAGAGACAGATTTGGGACTGCATGCTCAATGAAAATGAGATTTGGCTGGTTTGAGATGGTCTTACATATGTTCCGCTACAGCAATTCAATCAAGCTCTAGCTCACTTCGTCAATGTCCTAGTGGCTGATTTGATTGCTATTTTCGAGGGTACTCAGAGAAATCACTAAATTTGATGCAACCTTCCAAGGTTGGAAGAATACCCATATGTAGACATGCACATGTCGCTCATATGTGCGCTGTTTCACGGCTGATATGTTGCAGAACTTGGAATGGCAATGGAAGGCCTTCCACATCTGTATACCTAGGTATAGTGTCAAAAGAACGATGGCAACCCGAGAAGTCTATATCCATAGGCATAATCCTTGGTCAGTTTGAAAGCTCAACAGAACTGTGGACCTTGGAAACAATATCCTGATATCTAAACACAGCTACTAGAACACGCATTTAAGAAGAATCAACATCAGCAAAGTCGGGCTGCTCCCGAGGTCTCAGTGACAGACGGCGCAACCTTGGAACGGATATACAATCATGACCACGATTGCTATAGGAATTGGCGACGCGAAAATCCAGGCTCCGGGGAGTGTCATTTTACAAGGCATACAGATGAGAGGATCAGATGAAGCGGGGGGTGTTAATCCCGAGTAGCTTTGTACTAGTACAGTACGCACGGGCAAGGCGGAGGGTGCCCGAGGACTAGCACTAGACTTCGACGATACTGGGGGGTTGGGGTGGAAACTGAAACCCCCGAGACAAAGACAGAGAAAGCCAAAGGCTCGAGACACGAGCGCCGACTCCGTACTACGGAGCACTCAGATCCAGGACGGTGGGTAAATGCACAAAGACATCATTGGACATGTGCATGAACCGACACAAGAGGGCAGAGGCCCGCGGGGTAAGATGCGCGATCCAAGCGGCTGGGAACAAAGCAGGATTTCCCAAGATCCCAAGATTCCCAGGTTGAGGGTTGAGGTGATATCATTCGCTTTCGAGACTTTAGTCTAATCTACGGTGTCTGCCCCGGTGGTTATGGGGGAGACATCAAAGCAACAAAACAGTGGTAGACGAACTAGTTCGAGACTTTATTTTACAGGGCGCAAAAGTGAAAGCCACCAATGCAGGTCATTGCAGGAACCTAGTCCTTGACATAGGGAACGTTAATCTGAACTATTGCTCAAAGAAGCTTTTTAGGAGCTGCCGCAGTCGACGATGGTGGGCTTGATGGGGGTAATGATCTCGCCTCTGCTGTTGCCTGTAGCCTGGAGATCCATGACGATCTGCAGGGACGCATCATCGGCAACCTCGCCGAAGACGACGTGCTTACCATCGAGCCAAGAGGTGACGACAGTGGTGATGAAGAACTGGGAGCCGTTGCTAGTAGAAATGTTAGATTGGATGAGGCAAGCGGGAGTTCGAACTGAACATACGTGTTGGGGCCAGCGTTGGCCATGGAAAGGAGACCAGGGCGGGTGTGCTTCTTCTGGAAGTTCTCATCGGGGAACTTCTCGCCGTAGATGGAGCGACCACCGGTACCCTATTCCGAGGAAAGTAAGTTAGAATACAGCCCAGACCATGATGCGCGGGAGATTACTCACGTTGCCGCGGGTGAAGTCACCACCCTGGAGCATGAAATTGGGGATAATGCGGTGGAAGGAAGAACCCTTGTAACCCTGGCCCTGGGGAGCCTGGCAGAGCCCAGCAAAGTTCTTGGTGGTCTTGGGGACAACGTCGCTGTAGAGGTTGAAGTTGACCTGGCTAGTGGTAGCCTCTGGAGAGCAGTCAATATCAATGCGCAAAGAATTGGATCAGATTGAGGGCAGAGGGGATCTGGGGGGGCAACAACATTGCCCCGCCACCAATCATAACAATGGAAACTTACCCTTGCCGGGCAGCTGGTAGTGGATCTTAAACCAAGCCTTGGTAGCTTCAGACATGACGGCGGCTGATGATGAGAAAGATCGGGTAGCGGGATGGATAGAACTGCAATTGAAGAGAGAGGAAGAGAAGAGGGAGGAAGGTGGGGTTAAGGTCCTGAGGCGGCAGAACATGGTGAGGGGCAGGGCGGAGCGGGTGAACTCGGGTACCGGGCTAGTTTGGGGTTAGCTTTTCTGGTGACACAGAGAGACCTTGAATGCAGTTTCTGTCTGAGGCGCTAGTGTCGAGCTTCTCCGGACTCCAGGGGGAAACAACTCTCCCATCTCAACGGGTGTTGTCGGGAGGAAAAGTATCAAATCCAGAAACCGATTCAATTCGATCTGACAGGGGGTGTGGTATACTTACAAATGAGATAAATTGATGAAGATTGGATTACAAGGAGTAGAAGAGAGGGAAAGCTGAAGCTCAATGCCAGAAAACGCCTAGGTAGAGCTTGACGCTTACATAACCCGGGATATCCCTTCCGGGCGGCATGGAGCTGAACACACTAGTGACTGGACTACAGGGGAATTGGCTAGCACGGAGTATGGTGCATAAAGGGGTAAATTTGATTTGTTTATTGGTATCGTTGTGCAGAAATCATTTTAACCCAGGACATAATGCGAACAAAATCAACCAAGTCGTGAAAGGAGAGATTGGCATGAAATCTGGTCGAGGAATCTAGATAGGAAGAGGGCTGAAATAAGATACAAAGAAGGAGAAAGAAACCAGAAGAGAAATTGACATAAACAGAAAAAGGGAAAGAAACCATGCTAGAGACATCATTTCACATTGTCCACTCATGGGGGTCGCTGAAAAGAACAAAGCAGTGAACATTCGGAATTCAAAATTGAAGATCCAGCACTCGGTACTCGACATTACCGGAAATCATCTTCTTCGGCAGAAGTAGCTTCGAGGCGCTGAACAAGATCTTTTGTTTGCCGAGCAATCTCAAATGCAATCGGGGGCAACTTGTTGGTGACCTCCCGCAGCTCTTGGGCAGACATGGCATCCTCGCCTTCATTAATGGTAGTCTCGAGTCGGCTGCGACATTGACCTAGGGCCAGGATTGCTGGCTCGGAGGCTTCGCGGAGAGCGAGGTCGGCGCTCCGCTCGTGCATGAGGTGCTCTGTGGCGCCGACGACGTTTGCAAGCACGCCCAGGATAGCAGAGACATGGGTCTGGACAGTACGGAGTTTGTCCTCGGCCCGGATGCTGGCAACCAGGGACTGGATTGACTGGACCATGCCGTCGGTTTGGTCTTCAACGTAGAGCTGGGCAAAATAGTTAGCATGATGTCAGTTGAGAGAATCGAGGTTCGATGCTCACCTTCAGCTCCAATACGTCGTGATCCTCTTCCACGTGTCCCCAGCCGTTATTGATACCATTGTTGACTCCGTTCTGCACGGGGAATTGATCCTCGTCCGGGCGGCTCATCGCACTGTACACAGAGTTATTGCTCATCCGCTTCTGGCTGGCGGATGTATCAAAGTAGTCAGGGAATTGCTCCTGTGACACATCCGCCTCGTCATATTCGTCCTCCAGCTCATCAGCCGGTGATGCCTGGATCTTCACCACTCGAATCAGCTCGATTACCGCGGTGCAAAGATGGGAGGCCGCCGCGTCGAGAAGCGACACGGGCGAGAGTCCACTGGAGTCGACAAAGTTCCGCGTGGCGACGATCATGTTGTTCGCTGTGGTGGACACTTGACCCTTGGCTTTGGTCCGAACGGCAGCTGACCCATCCACTGGGATCGGGGAGTGGTCCGCGTCCTGGAGAATATGGCGAACTGTCGCAATGACCATTTTGATCTGCTGAAGCGCGAGACGCGAGTCCTCGAACCGAGCAATGCGCAGAAGCTCATCAACCGACATCTGGAACTTGGTCACATGGATATCCTTGACCAACCCATCAGCCTGTACCAGCTCATGCTCTTTGGTGAGAATGCTGGCATCGGGGCGAGAGTCGGCAAAGCCACCGGACGAGGTACGAAGATGTCGCATTTGTGACTTGACCTTCGCATAACGATTTTTCCAATCATTGGCTTCTGTTTCAAGTCTATGAACCTCATTGGAGAGGTGTTCTTCGCGCTCCCAACTGGTATGACTGTCCGCCGTGAGAGCCTTCATTTCCTCCAGGAAGACCGATGCCTCACGACGAACCTCATCGGTCACTTGTTTTTGCTGTTGCAGCTCCGACTGGAGGGTCTGGTGCTGGTGTTCCAAATCCTGATAGCGGACTTGAAGACCCTTATCTTCACCCTCCCGGGAGGATTCGTCAAGCTGGCTGCGCAAATCTCGCTCCATGGTGTCATGCTCCGTTCTGACTCGGTCAAGCTCGAGCTGAAGCGAGCTGTTCAAGTCCTCTGCTTTTGAGACCTTGCTCTCAAGCTCATGGCGCAAATCATCCCACTCCTGCCTTTCGCTGTGGCTGATGCCAGAGGAGTCCGCGTCCTGTGAGGAGTGCGCAAGCTCCTCGTCCTTGGCGCGAACCAGTTCTTCCAATTTCTCAATCTTGTCCTGCAAGGCTGATACCTGCGTCTGACTTTCCATTAACATCCTTCGCTCACTGTCGCCCAAGGTCGTGGCGGTGCCTCGTCGACTCAGGACGGCGTCCAGAGCGAAGGCATCGCTCCGAGCGTCATCCTCGTCATCCGGTCCCATGTCATCGCTGTCTTCGACCATTGTACTTTTGTTCGGGACCATCGTGTTACTCTGGAAGGACCGGGGGAACGGACCGTCTCCATTCATGGAGGGTGGGCCTCCCATGGAGCCACTTCGCGGCGGGAACGGACTGCCCGGCGGTCCACCAGAGGGATATCCCCGTCCCATGCGCGACGGAGGGCCCCGAGAGGACTGCGAGGTGCGAGCGCTGGGAGGGCCCATATTGGGAGGCGGTCGACCCTGGTGCTCCCGACTGTTGAAATGAGGGAACCGGCGTCCCAGCTCACAGAAGACATCTGTGACCAGGTCCCGGAACCGACCGTGTGTAAGCGCCGCGAGCCTCTCGCGGGCCGAGTTGCGCTTCTCGTGGAAATCCGAGCGAGGAGGAAGGTGAGGAGGCACATCCGGACGAGGTGGTCGACCGGGAGGCGGCGAGGCCTGCTGCCGCCGAATTAATTCATCGTATACGTCGGTCGAAAGTTCGTGGAACTGGGTCGGTGACAGGCGTTGTAATTTATCGCGAGCCTTGTTCGATTGGCCCCGGTCGTCGCGAGCGGTACCGGCGAGGAATCGTCTCAAGACCACATAGTGTTGCCCCAGGATTTCTTCCATCTGGCGGTAGCGCCGTCCATCGCGTGGACCATCTCCCAGGGTTCCGGAACTGGATCTGGCTGCGATGGAGCTGGGCGGGGAGGGATTGCTGCTCAAATTCGACGGGGAGAGAGAGGGAGGTGGTCCATTGGGGCTCAAGGGTGCGCTGGGTACGCCGGAGGTCGGGGGTGTGGCTAGATTGGGTCGGGATGAAGGGAATGTGGGCGAGAAGGGCGACTCGGACTTTCCATACTGGTTCAGGCCAGACCAGTCGCTTCCATCGACAGATACAGGCGACATGGCACCTGAACCGCCATTCATATCAGGACGCAGAGAAATGGATGCAATGCTCGTCACGGATAACCGATAGGAGCATTCACGTCAAACAATAGTCCCCCGTATTTTCTCCACCGAAAATTCCCAACGATCTGAGACAAGCCGGGAGTGATCGACCACGAAGAGGACAAAGGACAAAATCCAAATGAGTGAAGGATTTGAACCTTTTGGAAGGGGGAGAAGTCCAAAGTAGGGGAGAAATGAGATTGAGATCGAGGTTCCCTTACGGGCCCGTTTTCCTTACAGCGGACCTGGTATCGCTTCATGCACTATGATCTCAGCGACTCGTTTTTGTTGTGTTTCTCTTTTTTCTCTTTTTTCTTTTTTTTTTTGCTTTTCGATCTCTGCGCTGTGGTTGGCCTCATCAGTCTTGCAGGTCTTGCAAATCTGGCAGGTCTTGTCAACAGACAGGTCGCTTGGTCCATTGCTCTGTTCTGTATGCTTGTATTTCATACTAGTCGGCTAGGCCAAGGGGCTAACAGGTGGTCAATTTAAAGGATGCAGGGATGTCGCCTGCATACAAACCCAGAAGCACATTAATTCTTAAATCCCGGGTTTCTACGTAAACACTGCACTCGAATACTCCGTAATTCGGACTGGTATTCCTCAAGAGAACACACGATGAGATCCATGGGGTTCAGGAGTCAAGAGATCTAGGCCCTCCGACGAATTACAATACCCACTGGTCTGGCGCTGATCGCTCGTATTCTATTCCTTCCGCCTCGCTTACTCGAAGTTCTTGTATAGTTACTAATATTGTAGATGATTTCTTTATTGAAAAACAGTAAACACTTTCATTACAGACTCTATCGCTTCGAAGCGTTGAGGTTTTGGGAGGGCTCTGCCTGCCTCATCTAGATCATGGCGATCTGAGCAGAAAGGTCCGCTGCCGAGGTCTTCCGACAGTACTCATTCCTGGAGGTCTCGATAACCCATAGCCACGCCATATTTCGGCATCGGAGAGGAAAAGGGCCACATGTACAATCGCCCGGGACATCGCCCGGGGAGGGGTGGGTCATGTCATCGTCGTTTACTTGGAGGTCATGGAGAGGCCGCGGGCAGCACCGACAGCCGAGGACACCGGCGTCGAGGACCGGGTGGGCGCTGCGCTGCGGTTGTGCGCCATGTGGGCCTTGACAAGGTGACCGGCCGCGAGGGCAGCGCACAGGCTGAGCTCACCGGCGAGAACGGCGGCGGCAATGATACGGGAGAGTTGGCGAGCGTTCTCACCGGGGGTAGTGGGGTGAGCTCCACGGACTCCCAGGAGATCCAGCATGGCTCCTTGGCCTTCGAGGATGGTACCTCCGCCAATGGTGCCGACCTCGATGGAGGGCATGGATACAGCAATTTGAAGGTTGCCGTTGTTGCTGGATAGAGGTTAGCTTAACTGATCGTCAAAGAAAAGGTGGTTGATAGCTTACTTCTTCATGGTGGTGATACAACTGCTGCTCTCGACGTTCTGGGCAGGATCTTGGCCAGTGGCCAGGAAGATAGCAGACACAATGTTGGAAGCGTGGGCGTTGAAACCGCCCAAGCTGCCTGCCATGGCACTGCCAATCAAGTTCTTGCTGACGTTCAGCTCGACAAGGGCGTTGACATCGCTCTTGAGCACGCTCTTGACGATGTCACCAGGGATGATGGCCTCCGCCACAACAGACTTGCCACGGCCGTCAGTCCAGTTGATCGCGGCGGACTTCTTGTCCGTGCAGAAGTTACCGGAGAGAGAGATAATAGCCATGTCATCGAATCCACATTCTTTGGACATAACGTCCAGCGCCTTCTCGCAACCCTTGGAAATCATGTTCATACCCATAGCATCACCAGTGGTGGTCTTGAAACGGATGTAGAGGTAAGTGCCGGCGAGGGCAGTCTTGAGGCTCTGGAGACGGGCGAAACGACTGGTGGAGTTGAAAGCGGCGGTAATGATGCTGCGTCCTTCCTCGGAATCAATCCAGACCTTGGCAGCGGCGGCCCGGGCCAGGGTAGGGAAAGTCACGCAAGGTCCACGAGTCATACCGTCCCCAGTCAGAACGGTTACTGCACCGCCACCGGCGTTGATAGCCTTAGAGCCACGGCTGGTACTAGCCACCAACACACCTTCGGTTGTGGCCATGGGAATAAAGTACATTTGTCCATCGATGTTGATGGGACCAGCGACACCGAGAGGAAGGGGCAGATAACCAATAACGTTTTCACAGCAGGCACCGTGGACGAGACCGTAGTTGTAATCCTTGTAAGGAAGCTTGGATTCTTCCAAGGTGGCAGTGATGGCAGAGGTAGCGGGAGTACGGGCAACGACGGAACGGCGGATCTTCACGGCGCGGGTGAAGGCATCAACACGGCTCATGAGAGTTTCATCTTCCATAGACTTCTCCAGGGCGTAACCAGGAAGCTTTCCGCGGAGAGAAAGGTCGATCAGTTCCTCATCGTTGAGAGTGGGAGCACGCTTTGCCTTGAGCAGTGCCTCACACTCCTCGGCTGTCCGGTTGGACTCGGTCTCGTTGGGCTCAAACTTGGGGTACACCTTGGGGGCCGCGACGGGTTCCACGGGAGCCACGGGGGCGGCCTCGGGCTCCTTGATGCTCCAGCGAGCAGCGTTGAACAAATAACCGTTGAGAATGATGCTCAGAGTCAGAGCAGCAATAATCCACTTGCTGATGAAGGGGTCCTCGACGCTCTTGAGCAAACTTTCGAGAACCTTGCCACCAACGGCATCCAAGAACTGATCCGAGTATTCGATATCAAAGGAAGAGGACTCGAGAGCGGCAGCGTAGTGGACAGATGGGTATTCCAACTTGTACTTGATGGGAGATAGAATCGTAACAACAGTCTCAAGCTTTTGGCTCTTGGCTGCCACGTAGACGGCATCCAGACCATTCTCGGCAACCTTGAAAGGATCAATGGGGGTAGGAGCGAGGACGCTGGAGAAACCAAGGACCAGGCTACCGTTGGCAGTGTTCCGGAAAGGAATAGCTGACATGTTGATGACATTGACCAGGATCAAACCACCAACCATGAGGATCTTGAACCGGCGTACATTGCTAGACTTAACCTTGCGTCCGAAAATGCTGGTGTCAGCTTCGATGTTGCCAGAAGCTGCGCCGGGCCAATCATTGCTGGAAGCAACGTTCTCAGCGACACTCTGGGTAATGCCATCCTCTTCCAAGGCCTTGCGAAGCGCCACATGGCGCTTGATGCGAGTGATCTCAAGCTTGATACAGAGAATAGTGGTATAGAAAGTGAAGAGAAGAACACAGTCAAAGAACAAAATCAATGCAGCGAGGAAGCAGAATTGCTGAAGGCCGCCCTGGACACCAGAGGCCGCGCCCAAAGCCAGCAAACCAATCTCAATGCAGTAGTGCTGAACAATCTCGAAACCTTGATCCTTAATGGCAGCGGTGATGGAGTCCTGGATGGATCTGGGGGCACTTGACGCCGAGGCACGTGGGGCAGCACCGGGACGAGGACGGCGGTTGTCCGCAGAAGCCTTCAACACAGCCCGAGTCAACATGATTGGCTTCTCAAAGCCAATTGTCACCACCAGGAAAGGCAGACCCTCGGAGAGCAGAAGCAGGTTGATAGGCACACCGAGCTTAGTGGTCACGTGTAAACCAAACAGGAAAGCAAAGGCCCCAGAAAGGAGGACAGTGGCCGCGAGCCAGAAGTTTGAGCCCAATCGGCGCATTGAGAAGAAGAGCGACACGAAGCTCAGATGCATGGAAATGTATCCGAGGGCCATGATCACGATATCAATGGTTTCGGCATGCTTAATCAAATCCACAAACGAGTTCCAGGCATCTGCAAACCAAAGTTTCACAGCTCGGCCGGAACCGTACGCAGGGCCACGAGCAGCGCGCATGATCCATTTCTTGGATTCCTCCTCATCCTCTTCGGTAGAGGCATGGGGAATCTCCTGCACAGCTCTCAGGAGCTCCGAGGCCTGCTCAAAGGGCACGGTGTACGCCAAAGAAGAGTCGGAAGTGAATTGCGAGAACAGGTTTGGGGTGTAAGGGACCGATGTGGCGGAGACGTTGGCGGGAATGGGGACATCCTTCGCCGAGGGAGCGGTGGAAACTGAGTTGGAAGCAGAGTCCGGGAAGATAAGGGTGGCCAGGGCCAAGTGCTGGGCAGCGGGCTTCTCGGTCTACGGTTCCAGGGAGTCAGTACTTCAGTCGATAGTCCAGGGCACATGTAAGCTCACCTCGTCAGTCCAGAGGTCGTCGACCTGCCACTTCCACGAAGTAGATTCACCAAGTCGCAAGTTGCGGCTTCCTTGGAGCAGGGCGTCTGCATCCACCTGTCCGGCAACACTGTGACTATCCCGGGCAGAGTCCAGCAGGCTTCCTTCTAGAAGACCCACATAAGTTGTACTAGCGAGAATGGCGATCACTACGAGGGTGTGGATCGGGTGAATGCAGGCCCGGCGAGAGATGGACTCAAGCCCGGAAACGACCTGGCGGCGAATCCAACTGGGGCGAGCCTCCGGGTCCTCCTCATTGGTGCGAAGCTGCCTGGAAATGAACGAGGTAGCCATGGTGACAAGTTGCGGGAGCGGTGAGGACGTCTGTTGAAGGCGCGATTGTTTTTTTTTTAAGACGGTCCGCAGGGACCAAAGCCTGCGAGGACAACCGCCGGAGGGGTGTTTTGGTTTTACACCAAGCTCGATTGGAAGAAGACTGGGTAGAGCGACCTAATTGTCGGACCGCATATGGACTGGACGAGTCGGTGATTCAGGGACTGGCCGTTCCACGGGGGGACTTTTTTCTCTGCAGGCTTAAGAAGTTAATTGGAGCTCCCACAATGAGATGAAGTGAGGGCATACCGAGAGCTGGGACAGCGAAAAATCTCTAGGCACAGCCCTTTGCAATTAGGAAAAGGGTAAAAGCGCGGGTAGGGCCCCTGAAGTAAAATAATAGCCCCCCGACACGACTGGAATTAAGTAATGCCGACAACGGGTCGCCAAGCCGGCGGTGGGGATTTTCGATGGTAATTTCGAAGTTTGGTAAATTACGTGTCGAGTTCAATGGAGAACAATATGAACGCTCAAAGAAACAGGAATCAGCAGATGCTCTCGGCTCACAGTCAAAGCAAAGTCTTGCAGAGTCAACCCTACGGACTTACGTGGGAAACTCACCCTGCGTACGGAGTACTCCGTACAGTATAAGGCATTCCTCAGGGTCCCGACTACTGTTCCAGGGCTCTCGTTGGGGTTCTTATTTGTGGCAACCTTGCAATCTGCACGACGTTCCAATATTCCTGCGGCTCGTCGATCGTTCATGTAGCTGATCTCATATTCTCTCCTCCGGCCGATCTTCAGATTGGACGCTCAGGGCTTATCTAGGTACTCATACTTGCAGCGATTCCTGTCGTGTTACCCAAACGTATGGAGTACAGTATGTCGAAATACCAGCTGGGTCCACTCGCTTCTTCCAGGACTAGCGGCTTGGAGCACAAAGGGAAAAACCACCCAAACAGAACCCAAGACGGTTTGTCCCGTCCACGTCAGCCTAAGTCGCAGAGGCAAGCGAAATCCAGGTATTTAGCTACCCAATCCTCGGCTTTAGGTCAGAATGGAATCCACTTCCATGTCTCATAAGAGCAAGTGCCAGGACGAAAGAATCCACCAGGTGGAGTCTCGGCGAAATCAGATAAAAATCAGATAACTCGAGTCAAATCATCGCCTCCGGTTGCTCCGGTGTGGACTCCCAATATCCATAATAAACTCGGTAACCGAGCTTGCCAAGGGAAATTGAAATCAAGCTGCGAGATAAGATCGTTTCGGAGTGCCCCGTGTGAGGCATTTGCTCCGAAAGTAATAGTCATCTGAAGGACGTTTCTGTATATCAGTACAGGTAATAGCGGTGTAGGCCTCCCTTGCCGGGGAGACCTCGAATCGTAGCTGTACGGCCTGAATATGGACAGTGCTCTTCACCTCTACTGTAGGGTTCAAACCTGGAAAACACTGCAGAAACGCGGGTAACATCCGAGTCAGTGGAGCAACCGTGAAGGGCCACTTTCTCGACCCCGGAGGTATGACAAGACCTCTCTGCACGGAGTACCTAGGTACCTAGGTAGTATATGGAGTATATATTAACGTGTGACTGCAGCACGGGGACTTCGTGCATTCCAGGGTTTATATATATATGATTCTATACCCTGGGGATCGGACTCGGGGTTGTCAAGCGAAGCGCCAGGGGCTCTGGCCAGCCAATGACCGTGCGGCCTAGGGCGATGGACCTGCAGACTTGCAACATACGCATCACTCCGAGGTCTGAGATCGAACATCTCCCGAGATTCATGCATCTGCAGCCAGACAACGACTACGCGCCAGGCCCTGTGGAACCTCTGTGTCTCAAAACATCACTTTAAATATCTGATGCAGTAATCCCCGAGAGCCAAGCCCTCCCATCCAGTCATGCAGTCCTCGGGCGATCTTCAGCAGCCGCCGGTCTAATGAGAAGGGGATCTCGGCCCATTTGCAAATGAGGCTTTGAGGGGACTCTCATTGACCATGTTTGGAGCCTCTCCATTTAGCCGCGAGGACTGGACAGTCAAACAATGGCTCTCTTTATATGGAACAGATCTTCCTCTGTTTCAGGCTGTCACCGTCTTTGTTCACTGGGGTCAATGGAACAATTAAACCCTCTTTGTTTATTCATGCCCAAACACCGCCAGCCTATTGACCCTGTTGAGGTCTGACTCTTCTGAAGTTCCTATTGTTGGCGCCCTCGAGCACCGTCCACTTGTCTGGATTCAAATACCCCAATATTTTCTGAACCTTTTACCCTCTCTCTCTCTCTCCCTCCCTCTCTATACCAAGCAAGACACCCCCGACGACGCTGCAGGTCACCGTCCTCACAAAAAAGCCGGTCCTTCTTTCCGTGTCTTTGAATAATACATACATGATGCTGGTCATCATTTTGATTCTGCTGTTTGCTCTGCACACCCCGGTCAACGCACATTCGTGGATCGAACAGTTGACCCTCATTGCACCAAATGGAACATTCGTCGGTACCCCGGGATACCCCCGAGGGAACTATCTTCGCTCTACGTCGGGTTACAGCGACACCACCATGACTTACCTCATTCCACCGGGCTCTAGAGCGAACGTGACCCAAATCCTACCAACCGACAAACTCTGCAAGGATACTCAGCAGGAACAAAAACAGTCCGACGGAAGTCCTCGACTGGAAGCCAGCGCTGGCGCTGCGATTGCTCTCCGCTTCCAGGAGAACGGTCATGTCACTCTGCCCCAGAATCAGCCCGGAAAACCGCCCAACAGGGGCTCCGTCTATGTTTATGGCACGACCCAGCCCAAGACTGGAGAAAAGCTCCTTGATGTTCATGGTGCATGGACTGCAGACGGAACTGGTGGGGATGGACGGGGAGTCCTTCTCTCCAAGCAGAATTTCGACGACGGCCGTTGTTACCAAGTCAACTCTGGAGAAATTTCTGGGACTCGACAGGCGAAATTCACCCACACAGCGAATCAATTGATGGGAGCGGACCTCTGGTGCCAGCAGGACATCAAACTACCCTCTGATGCCCCAAATGGGAAGCCATATACTCTTTACTGGGTGTGGGATTGGCCCACCGCCGCAGGAGCTGATCCTACCTACCCCAATGGCAAGGCTGAAATTTATACTACCTGCATGGATGTGGATGTGATCACCGGGGCCAACAAACAGGCAATAAAGGACGAGTACGATGTCGATCAGGATCTCAATCAGGCCGCCATTCCGGCGCAGTTTGATTCCCTCGGAGACGAGGTCTCTGCCCAGGCTTCTGGAAGTATCCTTGCTGTTTCGAGTACTCCGGCCACGACGAACACGATGACCACAATGGCTCGTTCCACTACAGCTGCCACGCCTCGCCGAGTCACCGTGACCGACTGGGAGACCAGTACGAGCACCGTCTACATGAGTCTCCCCACCTGAGAGCCTGGAAGCACTTGAGCTGTGGAGGGCGGAAAGCACAATAGTTTCAGAGTCCAATTGATGAGTGACGACCACGGTATCACCAGTAAGCGACCGTAGACATCTGTGAACAGCCGTAGACCGCGGTAGACGGCCGAGAGCCCCCTTCGACGATAGTAGACGACCGGTGACAGTCGAAACCGAAACGGGAATAACCTGAAACACACACGTGACCGTGTCAAGCTTCAGCAATTCACGATGAACACGATGACTCGAATGTCTTCTCTGGTACTCGGCAAATCTTCCTAACTGGCGACCATAGCCCCGATTCAAAGGCACATATGCGCTGATCATTACTCTGCCGAAGCCTAGACAGGTATGGCAATCTCCGGCGCTGCCTCACAGCCCATTTCCTTAATATCCCAATCCCTATTCCCTACCCCGAGTTCCTATTATTGGCCTGTGTCTCCTGAAAGATTCCAGACGTACCTGGAATTGAGAGGGGGGGTTCTCTAAGCGCCGTTGAGGAGTATCTGACATTGGGGACTTTTCTGCAGTTTCTGCTATATTTAGCAATTTCCGTCGAGATCGCGGGACCAACGTCTGGACCAACGGCTCCGATTTCGCGAAATCCCACTCTCAACCGCGCGGACCTGAAGCCCTTGGCTTTGCTTTTCCTGCAGCTTCATTGATTTGCATCCGTGTTGCGCTTGGGTGTACCCACTCCACAACCCCCTCTCGTGCCGACCCATTCACACGTCTCCTCTGGCATATCCCTTCCGATACGCTTGACATCACTCGAGGCTTCCAAACCCCGGAGAATCTGACCTGTTCCTGAGTACTTGGCGCTTCCTGCATTGCGCCCAGAGCCACCGTCTGCACGATCGTCTTGAGGGCCTCGATCCTGATCTCCGATCAGATACCCTGGGCACCGAGTGAACGGCCTCTCGACGACCACCGGCGCCACTTCGATTGAACGGTCCAGCAATCGCAATGCGAAACTAAGAGCGAAAGCCACGCGACAAATGAGCAACCCCACATCGTTTCTGCTGAGACCTGACCCGTGATTCCTCTTCAACCCAATTTTGGGTGCCCTCTCAAACCATGATGTCCTCGACGGAAAGCAACAACCTGTCCGTCCTGCCACCCATCCTCACCGATGGCACGGGCAACCCCAACCCCAAAGATCGCCTGTCAACCTACTCCAATCTGTCCCTCGCATCACAAAATCGCTCGCGCCCAGGCTCCCACGTCTTCCCAATCTTCCACACCAGCCTTCCTTACGCCCTCGTCCGGGACTTCGCCTACCCCTCCACCCATCCGCTACACTATGGACCCCCTCCGCCACGGGCTTCAGGCGTCTCCACGCCCGCAAGTGAATCCCGGCGCCTCTCCGATCCACCTCCCTCATGGGACACGCGCGGGTCCTGGGCACCCCAACCGAGCTCAGAGCCCAGCCATGCTAATGTCCAGCAATTGCCCGCGATGTCCTTTGGGGATGGACCTCCATATAGCGAGGATGAGGACTTGCATAGCCCGGTAGTCACCTCGCGGCATCGCAAGAAATCATCCGATCTGAACGGTCTTGTAGACGAAAGAGTCATGTCCGGGACGGGGAATGATCGGGGAATGCTCGTCGGTATCAATGCCGATGGCAGTGAAACTTACTACGTAAATGAGGGCGATACCGCCGATGACGGCCCCGGCGGGGAATATGTTACATACCCGGCGAATGAAGGGCGGTACTCTATCATGGGATACAGCGGCCCGGGCGGCCAGGCTTTTGACCATGACCCGGGCTTCGAGTCGGAGGATGAGATCCCCGGTGTGAACCGCTACTCTAGGGACTACCAGTTCGCCGTGGGCTGTCCGGATGAAGAGATGCATGGAAAAGCAGTTGCTCTCTTCGATTTTACACGGGAGCACGAGAATGAACTCCCTCTCACTGAAGGCCAGGTGATTTACGTCTCTTACCGACACGGCCAGGGCTGGCTCGTCGCAGAAGACCCCAAAACGGGCGAGAACGGCCTCGTCCCCGAGGAATTCGTTCGCCTCCTGCGAGACATCGAAGGAGGCCTCACATCCCTCAATGGCGACTCCAACCCGGATACCACTGGTATCGCAGATATGAGTTCAGACTCTCATGAGTCCGACCAACTACCCACGCCCACTCAGACGGAGCGCCCCTCGTTCGATGAAGAATCGAACAAACCCACAAATGGCGCCTCCAATTCCAAGACAACCCCGAAAGCCGAGTCCGAAACCACCAAAACCTGAACCAGCTCTTAGCCACTTGGTGGCTTTGATACAAATCCTTGGCGCGCACGGCTCACCTGTCTGTTTCAAGTGAAACGGCCGATCATCCAAGCTTGGCGCCCACTTCCCTGTTCACAGGGGAAGACCCAACATGAAACGGCGGGGTTTCTTTTTTCTGTGCGTACAATGCGTTTCCATTGACGCCAGATGACCCCAACCCCTCCAATACCCCTAGAGCCGGCTCTGAAACGTCCTTGGCTCGATCCATCCGACCTGTCACCTTTTCCAATTAACGTATATCCCTTCACGATGCAATTCATGTCTCTAATACATGTGGGAACTGGGAGGCCTATGTCTTCTTTGTTTCTTTGTTTTGTCTTTCCAATGCCTATTACCCCCCGCCTTCCTGTATCTAGCTTCCTTCAGCGCAGGCGTTATACCAGCATCAATGAGCATCAGCGTAATGCCTACTTAAATCTTATGTTCTTGCCCAATGAGTACCCAGGGTGTGTAGAGATCTGTCAAGGCGTGCATGAGGTCTTTTGGCAGGGCGTTAAGCTCGAGACTTAGGTCAAAGAAACGTTGGTGTTCGTGGCCCGTTGAATCGTGGCTCAAATTTTGAGACTACCTAGGTATCCATGGTTAATTTGGAAAGCCTCGCTCTATCAAGAGACATGAACGTCATGCTTTTCACCATCACAGGCAGAGTGCCCCGCATATGTCGAAGCATAAGCGGCGGTTTACTTGAAATGAGAAGAAAGCGAAAGCGAAATTTCAACTGCTGGCACAACGCAGCGAGATGAAATGGGAATATACAAAACAGAGAAGAAGATCCAAAGAAACTTGGAATTGTGAATGCTAAATGACCCAGATCGCAAGTTGAAGATAGAAAGAAGAAAAGAAGACGAAAAGCCAATGTATCCGGAGAGAGATTCGCTGATTAACCAAGCAAATCATCAAAAGCTGAACCGGACGGCTTCTGCTGATGCTGCTGATTCTGGCTCGTGCTGGCAGCGGGGGCACCCCAGATACCGGCGCTGGCCTTTTCCTTGGCCATGCTGTTGAGGTTGGGTCCCTTGTTTGTGCCTGTGTTGGCCTTCTGGATACCAGCACTGGCACTGGCGGTGGACCACAACGAGCCAAAGGCATCGCCGGAGGGCTTCTTGGCTGCTGGCGCGGCGGTGGTTGCCGTGGGGGATGTCACAGAAGATAGAGATGAAGATGCAGCATGGGAAGACCCGGCTTGGGGGTTGATGGAGACGGAAGTGAAGTAGTTGGGAGTGGCAGCTTGGTAGCCTGAGGGCTTAGACTGCTGGATCGGAGCCTGCATGGGAGAGGTAAGCCCGCTGGACAAGGGGGTGGGGGGTGCCGAAGTGAATCCAACCAGGCCGTTGATGTTGGCGCCCTGCGAGGCAGAGATTGGCTGAGGCGCCACAAACTGTGTGTTTGCAGTTGTGCTGGCCGTTGAAGCTGGCGGGGGGATGGCGAACTGGTTAGACGAAGACTGGGCGGGCTGCGGTGCCGGAGTTGCCGATTGGAAGTCGTCAAATTCATCATCATCCGCTGGCGTTGGGTCAAGCATGTTGAGGGCACTGCCAGCGGGTTGCTTCCCGGCCGCGGTTGAAGTTGTAGTGACAGGCTCATCGTCACCAAAGTCAAAGAGGTCTGCGACAGGCGCAGGAGCTGGCTCCGGCTTCTTTGCCGGGGCCTTCGCTCGGGTAGCAGTGGCAGGCTCACGCGAGCGTGCGGGAGCATCCCCTTCGTCATACTCGTCATATTCCTCGAACTTGCTGGCCCGTCGTCCGGTCTCCTGGAAGTCGCTGGGAGATTGGCCGCCAAAACCGCCACCATCTCCGAACACACCTCCGCTATAGCCACCATAGCCCATGCTCTCGCTTCCAAAGCCCCCGTATCGTCCAGAGCTGGACATGCCGCCGCCGCCGACGCCCATCCCGCCCTCGAATCCGCTGAATTTGTTGCGATTGTTCTTGGCCTTCTTCCTTTCGGCGCGAATCTGATCAACATCGCCGAGAAGCTTGACCAACTCAGAAGATCGATTGCGCACGTTAATGCCCTGGTCCTTGCCATTCATGTCGATATAGTGGAATTGCCGAAGCATCCGGATGAGGGAGAGGTGGGATCGGGCATCGTCGACGATTCGCTCGGATCCATTCTTAACGAGAAACTCAAGAAGCTGAAGACTCTGCCAGGAAGAAGGTTGTCAGTATCATCAAGCCGCTTGTCTAACGGACGTTGCGTCCGGTACCTTGTAGATCTGGCGCCATTCCTCGGCCGCCTTGTCGGTGAAGCGCTTGTAGATGATAGGCATGATCTCGTTGAGCAATTGGCTGCGGAGACAAGTCAGAACATGCGCATTGATGCGGTAAAACAATCAGCCCAAACTCACTAGCTGTGTGTTCCATTGGCGATGTCCTGCATCAGTGTGGTCGAGGCACCCCAGGGCTCATTGTTTGTAGCCTCCCGAACCTGGCTCGAGTCAGCATTACACCGAGCGTGATATCCGCATGTGTGCGCAGTTCTGCGGGTGGTTGCGCGAGGAGTGGGCGCATACGAACCTTGGACTCCATCTCGGTATAGTTCATGACGGCTGTGACGAAGCGGTCAGTTTTCACGAATCTCAGACATGCGCGAAGCCAAGTTGCTACGCCGGATATACTGGGACCAAATGTGGCTCACGTACCATTCTGCACCTTGCGAACACCGGCCTTGAGGTCATACAAGGACATGTTGCTGACCTGGTCTTTGAGGCTAGAGAAATCCATGGCGAAGGGCGGAGTCAATAGGACAAGTGGGAAGAAGAGATGTGTCCAGAGAAAAGAAAGAAAGGCACAGGCAATTTCAGGCAAGGCCAGGGAGAACGGTCACAGATCTCTCACTGGTAGACAATGGTTGGAGGGGATGCCCGGTTTCCAGCTGGCAACCCGATGCTAATACGTCACGTGGCAGCCCCTGACCTATAGGCGGATAGTACATCCTCGAGTCCATAATCTTTTAGCCTCCGGGAGTGTTGGAAATGCAGATGCATGAAGATTATATGAAATTTGTGTTTTACAAATCGAATCATACTGTGTACATGCCATTCGCCCATGTAGACCGAACGCTAACGCTATCAAAACACAATACCCAAGGTATCTCAAACAAAATAAAAGAAAACAAAAACATAATATCGATAAGAATGTACCGTCATCCCTCATATCCATAAATCCATGACGCTCACTCATTATAGAACTTTTTCATGATCAGATGCAAGAAGAGGTTCACATTGACCCGCATCTGTCCGTCGAAGAAGTCCATGAATTGCGTATTGTTGAACTGGGCCTGCAGCAAGTCGTCCAGCGGTACCTGCGCATTGGCTCCAGGGATCATCATGTTGCCACTACTGCCGTCGATGGTGAACACGCCCACCTCGTTACTAGAGACGGTCAAGTCCACCCGATCCCATTGTCGTTCGGCGTAGCCCTTCCAGGCGACGAGGACACCGCGATCAGCCATCGTGCGGGCGGAGTACTTGAAGGATCCGAATTTGAAAACTTTGCCCGACTTTTGAAGCTCACGCTGGTGGTCCCATTGCTTGGTAAATGGCATCAGGAATCGCTTTTTGCCTTTCTTGTTCTGCAACGTGATCATGGCCTGTTCGATGTAGTCGTTGTATGTCTTGAGCTGCTGGTCAAGGTAGACAGCTTGGCCACTGAGACGTTGGGAGGTCAATCTAGCGCCCTCCAATTCACGTTCGCGTTGGATTCGCCGACGGTGTTTGGTTCGTATGTCGATGGCAATGGCGTTCAGGAGATCTTGGTAATGGTTGTGACGATTGATACGTCCAGTTTGCTCTAGACGAAGGATGTTCTCGAGTGCAATACCCTTGAGCTCTGCATAGCCCATGGAACCAATGTCGATCAAGCTGTTGGCTTCGGAGTAGGCACCCCGACGAGGGTTGCTGGTGCTCAACTCCTCCCTGACCAAATCGTGCCAACGTTCCTCGTCTTCGGGTGTCGGTGGCTTAAGCATAACATCCATCAGGTTGGTGCCGCTCTGGACACGGATGATGTAAAGGATGCAGCGCTTCGTTTCCATAAACAGTGTCTTGACCTCTGCCTCGGGGTCTGCGGTAATCACGTTAGCCAAGTCTTGAGACGGGGTCTTCGCTGCCTACCTTCCATCTGGGCCATCTTCGGGCTCAGCGTCAGATTAATCTCAGTTGAGCTGACTCCCATCAGTTCGTTTTCATTGCTCTTAACGTTTCCAAGCTCTCGGACTAGCTCTTTCAAAAAGTCGTCCGGATGAGGACACATGTAGTTGATCTCGGAGGCCACAAGTTGATGGATGGAGAAGATGTCAGACATCTTGATGTATAGCGTAGGCTTAGCCTTGGCATAAAGGTCGTTGAATTCGTCGATGTCAAAGTAGGTCTCCGCATCCTGAACCGAGATCACTGCAGGGTGTTAGTTAGATCTAGAGGACGACTATGTAAAGATAACGCTCACTTTGGCCCCATATTTGCCCTAGCCGCTGGATCGAGTCTGCAATGTAGTTGTTGAGCGGCTGGAGATAAACATTTTCGGCTCCAAACAGTCTTCCAGAGGCTATTTGGGCAACAACTTTCGAGATTTCTCCGAGGTTGCGCTTCTGTTCTTGGGTCAAGCCCCGGTCGACCACTCCATATTTCTCGGGCTCTAGGACAGCAGGCTGGAAGTAGTTCTTCCACACCCAGTGCCCCACAGTTTGGAGAATGAAGCCTTGGTCTTCGCCAGAGAACTTTTCGAGGAGATTCTGATACATTTGCTGGGCGAGGTACCTGATACCAAAGGGCATTCGATACAGGAAGTCTTCAAGCCCCAAAAAGAATTGGTCAACAATATCACGAAGATCTTGTAGATGTTGAATGAATGTGTCTCTGGTCTCGGGGTCCCTGATTGCTTCTTCGCGGGGTAAATCCGGTTGCCGGCGACTTCTTTGGCCTGTTTGAAGCTCTTCGTTGTTGATTGCAGAACGGTAAATCTGAATGGGATCACTCTCCAAGTCAAGGTCGGGGTTGTCGATCACAGACTCCTTGACAACAGTTCCCAATACGTCGCGCATGAACTTTCGATCCCGTGGCGATTTGGCATATGAGGAGAAGAGCTTGTTCCAGAAGGAAGTGCAGCGCAAATACTCGGGAAGGGAAGTAAACCCTTCGATGTCTTCCTTCACAGAGCGGGCTAGAAGTTTGATGAGGTAGTACTCTTCACGTCGCTTCTGTGAATAACCAAAGAGACCCATCATGAGGTGTCTAATCCTTTCATACTCCTTGTCTGAGGTATTAGTCTCGCGCATTCGCCGGAATAGGCGAGCGAGGTACTGTGATTGGGTTTGGAGAAGGAAGAAAAAGACCTGGTATTGATCCAGCTTCTTGCGCGAGGTTTTGTTGAGGGCTTTGAGGTCGTAAGGGTCTTTCGAAGAAATTTCGGTGTTGGATAGGAGGTTGCCGATGTGACCACCAAAGTGTTTTTGGTGCTTAACAACTTCGTCCAGTGTGATCTTGTTCTTGACAAGGAGGGCAATTTTGATATCAAGCTGGCTAATGTATTGCTCAGCAAGCTCGTTTTGTCGCACTTGCTGGACAACAACCTTGCGTAACCGCTCGAATTCGATCTCCTCATCAAAGTCGAAATCGCTGTCATTGAGAAGATGAACGAATCCCTTGACAGTCCCAACGGGCGGGTTCTTTCCACTTGTCAGGCTCTTGTATGCCTGGCCTTGGATGCGGCCTCGAATGACGCTCTGGGCCTTGATGACCTTTTCCATGTTTTCGTTATAATGCTGACGTCTTTCTTCAAAGCGATTGCGTACGGTCACTCCCCGGATTTGCGCTTGAAGGTCCAGAACGAAGTCTTCTTCTGCTTCAAGATCGGCCAAAATATCACCAGCTTCAAGGCGTGCAATCATAGCCCGAGCCAAGGACTGAAGCTGGACCACTTCCTCCTCGCATTCCTCCAAGCTGGAAAGAATACCTCCCACCTCAATTCGCGAGACAGCAGCGCGGGCCAGTGCCTGAAGATCGACGATGGCGTATTCCTCTTGCTCCAGAGCGCTGCGCTCTTCACTCAGGTGCATCCGATGAATGAGTCCTCGAGAACGGGACTGAAGATCCAATATGGAAGATTCTTCGTGCAGCAAAGAGGATCTCTGCGCGTCCAAAGATTCTCTAGTGGCCTGGCCGCGCAAGATTCCCTGGAGATGAACCACTTGCGGCTGGTGTTCTGCAAGCTCACTGCGGATGGCGGAGGTGGATTGCCTCACGACACCGGCGCGCAAAATAGCTTGAAGTGCGGTACACTCGCTCTCGGTATATTCCAAGGCGTGTAGCAGCTGAGTTTGACGATCTTTGGCGATCAGAGCTCTGATGTGTGATTGGATTGTGGTAACTTGGGATGCTTCTTTGTTCAAGGAAATCTTCATGTCCGATACGTTTTGGCGCGCAATTGATCCCCGAATAACCGACTGTAGGGATTTGACTGGGGTGTCAATTTGCTTGACCTCATTGGACTGATTGTTCATCCTTGTTCGTTGCAGGGCACCCCTCATCGCTGCTTGAAGGGATTTGACAGCAATACCAGCTTGGCTAACTTCTTGAGACTGGGCTTCAAGTTGCTTACGCTGCATAGCACCCCGGATGACAGCTTGGAGTGAGATAACTTTGCCTCCAGCCTGCTGCACGCGCTCGTATTTGTCGGCAACGGTCATGCGTTGCAAGGCACCACGAATGGCAGCTTGGAGCATCATGACTTCACTCCCGGTATCCTGGTACTCTTCGTATTGATTGGCAACGTTGTTACGCGACAGTGCACCTCTTATAGCAGCCTGGATTTGCTTGATGCCGGACTCTTCTCGGCGAGCTCGGGTTTGCAGATTCTTGGCTTGGGTGCGTGCCTTCGAGGCGCGAATGAGACTCTGGAATTGTAGAACATCTTCTTCTTGAGCCTTGCGCCATTGCTTGTCGCCTTGTTGCTGGCGACGCAGAATGAAACCTCTGCTGATTGCTTGTAGTCCAACCGAGAACTGGAGCATATTCAATCGGTATTGGCTGATCTGACGAGCCCAATCTCCACGTAGGCGAGACTGTAGCTCGATCAAAAGAGGCTCAAAGTCCCAGAGATCTGCCATTGTATGTCCGAGTTTCAATCGCAACATGGCACCTCGGATTTGTGATTGGAAGTCGCTTATGGCACTCTCATTCTCGTGAAGTTCGCGGTCGATACGCTCTTCTTCTGATTCAACTGGCTCAGGCTCTGGCTCTGGCTCAGCACCGAAATTAGCAGCCATGCCTGCAAAACTGGGCATGCTAACACCTGACTTGTCCAGACCCTTCTGGGTTTTCTCAAGTTCGTGGTGTTCGAATTCAAGTTGACCGACCAAGTTGCCCATTCTGAAGTCTAGCATGCCGTTCTTGAAGAGTGCCCATGATAGCGCGTGGATGCAGTGTATAACCTTGGGAAGGTTCTTTTTCTCGTACAGGTCGATCAGTTCGAAGCGAAACAGTTCCGGCAATTCGATTTCGTCGAGGAATCTGAAGAACAAAGCGATATTGTCTGAGTGTCGGTATTGTAGCTTTGGGTTTCGGAAGATGCGCAATGGTTTTCCTGGGTACATAGCTTGCACGACCTCCGCCAGAGTCACGCCATCTCGTAGACCTTCCTCCAATTGAACGATTGCCGGGATTTGCTTGTTGATAACGTCTTCGATCCACTGTTTGGCCTCTCCAATATGGCACAGATATTCATAGGCTTGAATAAACTGCCGTTGCTGGTCCATCCAATTGCCAGCGGCCCATGAAGACACCTTCGGCTTCACGGGCGATACCGCCCCATCCCTTCCGGGAGTCGAGTCTGCTCTCTTCAAGCGTCGCCGGCCTTCGAGGCCCGTTACCGAGCCAGCCGGTGCGTTGAGTTGGAATTTATCGTTCTCGTGGGATTGTGCAAACTTCGAAAGGGTTCTGAGATGGCCTGTGGAAGACTTTTGGAATGTCTCGAGTTCAGGAGCTGTTAACGCAGCTGTTAACTGTGGGTGGTGAGGGCTGTGGGGTGTTGTTTTTTGAGGTGACGAAGGACGCGATGTTCCAGGTACGGGGGACCAGTGCTGGGGAGAAGTGGGTGTGGGGGTTTGTGGATCGTAGATTGAGAGCCTGCGGGTCGGTGCCTCATTTTCCTGAAGTCGCGATTCGGGAGTTGCCGGTCGATGTTCCTTCCACGGTTGGGTTTCGTCGACCGTGTAGCTCCTCGCATGCCGATAGCCACCGACACTCGATGCAGGCGATGTACCATTGGGAACTTGCTGCAGCGGGCGCAGTGACCGACGAATGTTATCGTATGTTGTCCCGGCATTTGATCTATTCCCCCGTTCCATTGCGTCTGTCACGGTTGATCCAGAGTTTATGCTGCTTGCTTCACTCTTCCCGCGGAAATGGCCTAGATTGCTGGAGACTGACCCATGAGACGATACCGTGCTTGTGCGGCTGGGAGCAAAAGAGCTGGACGCGATGGAATAGGCGGTCGAGTTGGTGGACGCAGTGGAGTCTTGTCGTAGCGGGCTAGTGGACTGCGCAGGAAGGTCCGTCTGGGCCCGTCTGAGCGATGGGTATTGAGCTGACATCACTTAATCTCGAGTCAAGTATGGAAAGATAAATTGGAGAATGACGCGCTCCTTTGACCGCATCCCTGCTCTGGTGGCAGAAGTGGAATGCGCGGGTCAAACAAGGCCCCTCAATTCCTCTGCAAGGATACAATTGGTGTTGAGGATTGCGACAATTCGAGTGATAGTGAATCAAAAATTCCACCTAGACCTGTCTTTGATCGCGCGACACAAGATGATATCCGATGAGATTGTTAACGGTGGGGGTGCAAGTGCGACCAAGATTCCCCAACGCCCACGCAGGGGGACACAACAAATCTCCGGATCCGGTATAGCGCGATCAGGTGATTGTGGCTTGTCGATCTCTCTATCACTTGCATCGACTCGCATCCTTCTCGACATGTCCATTCTAGCTCCTGGGGTATCTCTGCACTGCTCACGAGGTGGATCTTATCCACCTGTGGAGATTAGCACGGCCTTCTCGTCGCGTTTGGCAATATCTGGTCATCCTGGTCTCATTTTGGGTGCATATCGAGCAGAATACTTCTAGTCTTGGCAAAAGTGGCTGGTGTCCGATTAGCCAGGGTCTAGTGTCTCCGTAGCCCCGTGCGACCATCCCATCTCTGCTTCACCTCATTCCACTGCCTGATATCATCTTTGGTCATATATATCGAGCTATCCGCTTTGGTTCTAGTCGGCAGCTCTTGCTCGTATTCTTCCATGTCAATTGTTCGCGGCCATTTATTAGGACTCACTGATTCTGTGCTGATCACCGTTCAGATTCGGAGATCCATGGATGTACCTAGGTTTGGAGAAAGAATCACACCTAAGTAGACATCTAGATCGGTTACATCCATGGATGTGATGTTCTACCGCGACGCTTCTATATGTAGATACATGTAGATACTACCGAACTACCTAGGTATATTTCACTGCTCCATTTCAAAGTTGGTAATAGTCTTACCGAAGCCAATTATGGCGCCCAGGTGCCAAATTTGAAATGATTCAACCAATTGGAATGATATCCCCAAATCATAGGTCCGTACAGAATGAATAGTCTGTAACATGTCGTTGACTGTGTGGGTACCTAGTACAAAAAGCATCCCCGGATGAACTACTAGGTAGAATTAAATAATATATTCCGACTTCCAAGGTTGGCTGGTTTGAAGATTACCAATGTATGGAATAAGTATAGTGTTTTTTTGCCACAGCTTCCCCAAAATATGTTTCCCGAGGCCTGCATCTTGAATTACTGCTATGTTATAGGTATTAGCAGCACCATGTATTTTAAACTATCTATTTACAGGATCTAGAAATGCCCACTTCAGTCTAAATTATCCAAAACACCCCAAAGGCACGCCAAAACACACCTACGTTGTAAACGCACCTGGGCGAAAGGCGAGTTGCCGGCTAGACCGACCGACCCCGCCATCAATGAAACCCGACAAACCTTCGGTCCATTTCTTTCCTGGTGCTAAACGAGCTCTAGATTCGGTGATTTTTTTTCTAATTATCTCTCATCCACACCAACAATTTCAAGATGGCTTCGCTTGCATCCCAGCCTCGTTATATCTACAAGATTGTACCATCTACCTCGCCAGTGCGCGAACCAATCCCCGAAAGGCTTACTGTGAGCGATCTCGACGAGGGTTCCGGCTTTATCCACCTGTCAACAGCGCACCAAGTGGCAAATACTCTGAAAACATTCTTCACAGAGGAGCCTCTGGTGTATGTGCTACGAATCGAGTATCACCGCGTTATCCAAGACATCAAGTGGGAGTCTCCGGATGGAAGAGTGAGCGGCCCTCGTCCTGGAGAAGGACTTTTCCCTGTGAGTACAATTCTATGAATGATAGCCAAGCTTAAGTCGCTGAACAATCGGACAAAGCACCTCTACAATGGACTTAGGTTGGGCAGAGAGGAGGTCGAGAGTGTTGCCATTTGGCAAAACGACGAGGGGTGGGATAAAGCCCTCGCCGGAGCAAAGCCATGGCTCTTGAACTAGCTTATTTATGTTATCCAGTTGCATTTCAATTTGATACCAATGACTTAAGTACAACCTTAGAAGCATCCACCTTGGCATAGACGCAGTCTACCCCCGGCCAGGATTTTGGGCGACATTCAGTTTGCAGGGGCTTTTGTGTAACTGTTCCACCTCAGACCCTTAGAAGTCCAACCTAATTGCCCATTTAATCGCCAAGAGGAAAGCAACACAGTATCTGCCCATCTAGATGTAGAAGTTGGGTTAGAAAAAAGACCGAGGGGGGGAAATGTGGGCATGGTCACTTCTGGGGGGTTTGACCACTCACAGTACAGAGAAGCATCTGCACTAGCCAAGAAAATGAAGCTTGTTGCAACCTCACTCGGCTCGCCCGGTCGACCTAGACCAACCTTATGGCCCCATCCTTCCATCTGCTGAGCATCTCGGGTATCGACTTGAATTGGGGTATATATCGCCCCGGGGCTGGATAAGGACAGCGTTAATTCAAGGGCAATTAGATCCAGAAATAGTTTATGCTTACGCCACTGCATTGACCCGAATGCCTTTGGGGATCAAGTAAGTCGCTAAAGCTCTGGTAAAGCTTATGATGGCTCCCTTGGTCGCAGCGTAGTCGATCATAGTACCGGAGCCACGCAGAGCCACGATGGAAGACGTGTTTATTATGCTGCAGGTGGTTAGCAACGCTGGTGTGATATACCATTAGGTGGTATGTGTATGAACTGACGAGTCCCCACGGCTCATATGAGGGAGAGCAAACTTGGCCATCGCAATCATCTGAACGATGTTGGTCCTGAATATGTCTTCGGTCTTATCCAGATCGATGTCTTCAAAAACCTCACACATGTACTGCTTTGATGCATTATTCACAAGTATATTGAGCTTGCCGTGTCTGGGGATTTTCAAGAAATTAGCCAACAGCCTTTGCATCAGATGTACAGGGTGTCTTGACCTGGGGTCCTTGGTACTTACTTCTTTACATGTTCATCAACCGCGTGGCGACACAGGTTGCGATCTCGTAAATCCCCCGGGATGAGAAGACATGTCCGCTGCTCTTCCTCTACCGAAGCCTTGGTCGCCTCTGCATCCGGTTGTTCAGATGGTAAGTAAACGATTGTGACATCTGCACCCTCTCTGGCCATCAGGATCGCCACGGATCGCCCGATCCCGGAGCTAAAACAAACGATAAGCAAGGAGCAAGGAACGAGGGCCAGGCGCATACATACTCTCCACCAGTGATGAGAGCCTTCTTGTCTTTCAATTTTCCGGAACCAGCGTACTCATAAAAGCCGCCCAATCCTTCTAACTTTGTTGATTCACTGGGCTTTGCCATAATGGCCTCCAACCTAGCCGACGGCTTTAGTGGGAGTATCCTGCCCAAGTGAAAGCATTCTCACCCCGGTTTATTTTGGGCTTGTGCTGTTGGTGCAGGCTGGAAGGCACCGTGTTGGCCCATAGAAGATTCCATCTTGGAATGCGGTCGAGATCTCACCAAACAACAGAAATTACACTGCTCGAAGTGATATCAGAAGAAATACACATGGGCAGATTGACTATTTGGCCTAAAATTATCAACGCCTCTTTGCCTTAGCTAGTGCTGTCATATTGTCGTCATGATACCATGAAGGCGCGCGGGACTCAAAGCCGCCGACTGGGGACTGGCAAGGTTGTGAAGTGGGCGTTGCTCCTCAGGAACTGCGTAGCTGATCATACCGGCGAGATCTACCCTTATGAGCAAATTGAACGCAGTATTTCGTGTATCCACCGTGATGATTCCTACTAATGATCATTCGCCTTGAATGCCATGCTTGAAGACCGCAATCTAAATATGAGTACACGTTAATGAATCGATATTTGATGAGGGTTTAGTCCAGTGACGACGCTGGTGGGAAGATGCATGCGTTCTTTTGTGAGATTTCAGATACTACATACTACTTTTGGTGCATGCGCGGTACTCTCCCGGGCGACATCTCGAGACGTCCACTATCCATGAATCCATGATGGCCCCCGGGGGCCATGACGAAGCTGGTTCACCGCCCTGAAAATGCTCGTTTACCAACCAATCAGAGATGTAGACTGGATAAGATGGTAGGCTATGCCTAGATAGGCTTAGCCCCCTACCGGCGTGGCCGTGCACGGAAGAGAAAAGGAAACAATTTTTCGTCCGACTTTTTCTTCTTCTTTCTTTTCTTTGGGAAAGCCCGACTTTCTCCATCAGCAGATCGTTTCTTCTCTGTTGATTAATATCCATCTCAAAGTCGTGTCTCACCATCTGTTTCAAGACATCCTCTCATTTTCATAATGCCTATCACCGCCAGTGACGCTGCTCCCGGTGCCGCCATGAAGGCTGAGATCACCGACTACACCAAGGCTTTGGAGGTTGTTGAGACCTACAAGACCCGTGATGGCCTTGATGTGGATACTCTCATTGATTCTGACAAGCACGGTGCTTTGACTTACAATGATTTCCTCATCCTGCCCGGCTACATCGGTAAGCCGAACCCCGCGATGACTCGGAAAAATTTTTGGGGACCAATGACTAACTGGTTCAGGATTCCCCGCCTCTGATGTGTCTCTTGATACCCCCGTTACCAAGCGTATCTCTCTGAAGACTCCTCTTCTGTCTTCTCCCATGGACACCGTCACCGAGCACAACATGGCCATCCACATGGCCCTGCTCGGTGGTCTCGGTGTCATTCACCACAACTGCTCCCCCGAGGCCCAGGCTGAGATGGTTCGCAAGGTGAAGAGATACGAGAACGGCTTCATCCTTGACCCCGTTGTCCTCTCTCCCAAGGCCACCGTCGGCGAGGCCAAGGAGCTGAAGGCCAAGTGGGGCTTCGGTGGCTTCCCTGTCACTGGTAAGTCTACGAAACTTTTCTGTTTGCTTTCTCTCGCACCTCAAACACACACCCCTTTTTATGATGACCAAACTCTTTTCAAAATAACTTTCGTTCCACTGCAGCGACGAAAGTCGCATTGTAGAGAACCAGATATTATCTGAACATTTTGACTATCACTTATGATTTCACATCCGTTATTCTCAACACAGAATGCTAATGGTTGAATCCAGAGAACGGAACCCTCCGCTCCAAGCTTGTTGGTATGGTCACCTCGCGTGACATCCAATTCCACCACAACCTTGACGACCCCGTGACCTCCATCATGGCCACTGATCTTGTTACCGCTCCTGCTGGTACCACCCTGGCTGAGGCTAACGAGGTTCTCCGTCAGTCCAAGAAGGGCAAGCTCCCCATTGTTGACTCCAACGGAAACATCGTTTCCCTCCTTTCCCGCTCCGATCTGATGAAGAACCTCCACTACCCCCTTGCCTCCAAGCTTCCCGACTCCAAGCAGCTCATCTGTGCCGCTTCCATTGGTACTCGTGAGGAGGACAAGTACCGCCTCAAGCTCCTTGTCGAGGCTGGCTTGGACATTGTCATCCTGGATTCCAGCCAGGGTAACTCTATGTACCAGATCGAGATGATCAAGTACATTAAGAAGGAGATCCCCCAGATCGATGTTATCGGTGGTAACGTCGTTGTTCGGGAGCAGGCTGCTTCCCTCATTGCTGCCGGTGTCGATGGCCTGAGAATCGGCATGGGCTCCGGTAGTGCCTGTATCACCCAGGAAGTCATGGCTGTCGGTCGCCCCCAGGCCGCCTCCGTGCGTAGCGTTTCCTCCTTCGCTGCCCGCTTCGGTGTTCCCTGTATCGCCGATGGAGGTGTCCAGAACCTTGGACACATTGTCAAGGGTCTCGCCATGGGTGCCAGCACCGTCATGATGGGCGGTCTCCTTGCCGGTACCACCGAGTCTCCCGGTGAGTACTACGTCAGCAACGAGGGCCAGCTTGTCAAGGCCTACCGTGGCATGGGCAGTATCGCCGCCATGGAAGACAAGAAGGCCGGCAACGGTGCCAAGGACAGCAAGGCCAGCAACGCTGGCACTGCCCGCTACTTCTCCGAGAAGTCCAACGTCCTCGTTGCCCAGGGTGTTGCCGGTTCCGTCCTTGACCGCGGTTCCGTCACCAAGTTCATTCCTTACCTTGTTGCCGGTGTCCAGCACTCTCTGCAGGACATTGGTGTCAAGAGCCTTACTGCTATGCACAAAGGCGTTGACGACGGTACCGTGCGCTTCGAGATGCGCAGTGCCAGTGCTATGACCGAGGGTAACGTCCACGGTCTGCACAGCTACGACAAGAAGCTCTACGCGTAAAGTGTAGACCTCTTGTCAGTTGGTCTTGTGAATAGATCATCGGTGTAATATCCGATGATATGGCCTTGAAAAATAAAATAGGGGTATAGGATAGGAGTTTACGATTTGAAGATTTACGCCATTTCTGTTAATGAGCAAAGACGTTTTATTTTTTCTTTTGAAAACATTCCTTAGCGTTCTGAATTTAGACCGTAAACTAGCAAACACATGCAGTCCGCATGGCGCCGCGTTCGGCTAATCTCAATGAGGTTAAGTTGTACGCGGGGTAACAAGGGACAGCCTAGGCTCTCGGGTGTATGCCCTTTCTATAAACTACATTTTCCTCAGGAAGTAGAGATGTTCATTCTCTGCCAGGAAGTACTTTGTCGTCGCACAATACTCCGACTAGGTTCGCGGTACACATTGGGCCAGCTCTCTAGCAAGTCTCGCCCTCAACCTATTGCCTCGGCATCGCCTTTTCAATACCCGAGAATCAAGGTTACTACAAGGAGATACACAACAACAGACCATTCATCAACTTCAAGTAAGATGCCAATGGATCACAGCACCCAGAAAAAGCAGCCCACAATTCCGCGGCCTAGTTCGAGGTAAGTTTGGCAAGGGGCTGACAAGCAGCGATGAGCACGCTCTGTGCCTCCCAGCGAATGATTGAAAGAACGACTAGCTAGAACCAAAAAGCTGACACCCCTAGTGTACTCTTGGTATCATCCAAGAACGAACTCCTTCTTCTCCACCGAGTTAAGACTTCTAGCTCCTTTGCTTCGGCCCATGTCTTCCCTGGTGGCAATTTATCCACCCAAGATGGGCCCTGTCCTCCACCCGAAGATCTAGGTCGGCACGAGGATTCTCCCAGTTACAGGCGCGCAGCCATCAGGGAGCTATTTGAAGAAAGTGGCATTCTTCTAGCCAAAAATCGCAACTCAGGCAAGATGATTGCCGTCGATGAGCCTACCAGAGAGGCAGGCCGACGGTTAATCCACCAGAATAAGGCTACCTTCGACGAGTGGCTGAAGGAGCAAGATGCCCACGCGCAACCAGATATAGGTTCGTTTGTGCATGATTGGTGGACGCTGACTTGCTAACTCAATTAAGATCAATTGATACCGTTCACTCGTTGGATTACACCAACCAATGTACCCAAACGATATACCACTCAGATGTATCTTTACTTCTTGCCTTTACCCACCGACGTGGATAAAAGTGTGCTTGCTGAACTCCCGACTGAAGGCGAGCGTGATGAGCTGGAGAGTCCGACCAGCGACGGCGGCATCGAGGTCACAGAAGCCCAATTTCTCCCTGCATCAGAGTGGATTAACCGTGCACAAAAGGCAGAGATAATCCTCTTTCCGCCTCAGTTCTTGCTATTGCACTTGGTATCCGCATTCCTTGATAAGGAGCCTCGCGTGGGAGCCTCTCTAGAGATGCAAAAGCGTCGTCAGCAGCTTGTTGAGTTCGTCCATTCCGGGTCTCCTTCATGGGCTCAGAAGTGTATTTCTCCGAAGATGCTCCAGATGACTGGTGATGGTCGCTCTGTTTTGGGATTGAGTGAGCCTGGTCCTGAATTGAAAGGCACGGATCGGAAAGGCGAGTCTGAGAGAGTTGTGATTGTACGATTCAAGAAGGGAAGTGCAAGGGAGGTGGAAGTTGGATGGAAGAAGGACGTTATGCAACAAGAGAGGCAGAAGAGTAATTTGTAGAATAGTACATGGGCTACATCTAAAGACGAAAGAGAACAAAGTGCATTGAGAGAATGGAGACTGATCCCGGAAAAATGGGCTCATGCTGGTTGATGCTGGCTTCCAAGGGCTTCATGTTGCTCTCATGGAAACTCTTCCCAGGCGATAGACAATGAGCCGATTAGTCTTGTTGGTAAAGAAAGAGTCCATTGCCAAATTTGCTGTTACTGTCTTCAAACTAACATCTGTAATTTGAAGTTGTAAGAAACTGAATTATTCCATGAGACTATCAGAATTGTACCTACTCCAGACCTCGAGAGACCTATGGACCGTGGACCTGATGAGTACTGGATAAATGAAGGTATGAGCCCTGGAGTACCGAAGACCCTGTATAGTATCTAATGAGCAGGTTCTTCGTTGAAGATATCTTTGAATTTACTCGCATGTGTACATAGTCAATGGTGTACTGGGGACTTTGTGGATTGTAATCTGAGAATAGGGGCAAGATGCATGAGAATGCGATTTCGATATCAGATATCACAGCTATGAAGTACATATCCCAAAATATCGACCATCATCTTGGGCATGAAGATCCCAGACCCGAAAATCTATTGCCACGGCAAAGTGGGAGAATACTCGTAAAGCCACGCACCTACCCACACTAGACACGCCAGCCCTCGACAAACGGTCACATGACCCACAAACGGAATTATGAGTCTTGAATTTAATGTGCGGCAGTACAACCCTCCACCTCCAACCTCACCGTCGCCCGTCAAAACCTCACCACCAAACCCGCCAAAATGGAGAACGACAAGGGAGAGATCGTCGATCTGTACGTGCCACCACTTCGTTTCCAATGATCCAAAGACCCCGTCTACCCTGTGCTCCGTGTCTGCGTGGCCGAGCAATTCCGCACGCAATCCCACGGTCCCCAACCAGAATGAACACCACTGGACAGGATTGCTAGAGCGCGACCGCGGGAAAATTGCGAAGACCACAACGAATCGTCGGGCACAGCAGGAGTCGGATCACTGGGGACATCATTTTTCGCGAAGAATCACAAAAACTAACGACTTCCACAGCTACGTGCCCCGCAAGTGCAGCGCCACCAACCGCATCATCAAGGCCAACGACCACGCCTCCGTCCAGCTCTCCGTCGGCAAGGTTGACGAGAACGGTCGCTACACCGGCGAGAACCAGACCTTCGCTCTCTGCGGCTTCATCCGTGCCCGCGGTGAGAGTGACGACTCCTTCAACCGCCTGGCCCAGCGTGACGGTTACCTCAAGAACGTCTGGACCGCCTCCAGCCAGCGGTAAATTATTCACAGCGATGTGGTTTAACCGGTGTTGACGGGTTGATTTGATGGTATGTCGGGATCCCGGTTCTTATACATTGTGCTTGGCTAATTGTCATAGAGGAACCGTGGCTGATGGTCCGTGTTCAAGGAGTTGGTCCCATGACCTCAAAAAAGGACCAAGGGATATGAGTTTTTCCTTAGTTCTCCTTTTCTTTTTCTCCTCAGAGAAACTCCTGTTTTCCTACCTATCTATCGAAATGAATAAAATATCGACGACTTGATGGTTCAGGTTTTTTTTCTCTACCAATCACAATCCCGCCTTTGCGATAGACGCTGTCAACCTTGAACTCCATGGCTGCGGACCCTGCAGACCAAAAAAAAAATCGAATCGATATACCCTTGTACATTCCCCTATCCTGCTGTATTTTTCTTATTCCCTACTCGGCGCTTTCAGCCCCCTCATTCTTTGTAGATAAGAAAACTAGATCAGTTCGCTGGTCTTGGTCTTCTGTCTCCAATCCCGTGAGCGAGGAGGCAAAAATAAGCATAACTTGCCGAAGATCACGCTTCCAAGCCCCCGCCTGCTGAAGAGCCACTGTTGCAGAGACCCATGCGCTGGGGCACAGATACGGGCAGGACATCTCTAGAACAATATATCACATTTGAGGTTAATTTGAATGCTATTCTGGTTCAATTTTGGATCCGCTGTCGTCCTGGTCGTCTTATGCTCTCTTAGTATATACAATTTGTCTGTTGCAACCACCGAATCTGCATCGGGACCCTTAATGTTGCCCCTAGGGTAGAAGTGAGAAAAGTTTTTTTTATTCACATCTAGTCCATTGTTGACATGCAATACGTTTCCTTGCGCATAAACTCGTGATTGCGAGTGAGGTCTGACTTGTTCGATAACCCCACAGGCAAGACACAACCCAGAGAAATCTTTTTGTTTTCTATACATGATTGTACCATCTCTCCATTTAGTCCTTCTCGAGGCGGACAGCCGGGTTGCTCTCAATGAAGTTGAGATCGACCTTGTGGCCAAGGAGCTCACGGATATTGCTGACAGCATACCTGGACGCAAAGGTTAGTAGATGTATGAATGATAGGGTGCGTTGGTACATACTTGATCATAGTAGGTCTTTCCAGACTCAATCCCCATCCGTAGACTCTCAGGCCCTTGGGAAGACCCATGGACTCCAGCATCTCCGGCCGGAACATACCACTGTTACCGATCTCAACCCATTTGCCCAAACCGGCGTGGTAGCCGAAAATCTCCATGCTGGGCTCGGTGTATGGGTTGTAAGCAGGCTTGAAGCGCAGCTGGTGGATACCCATCTTGGCGAAGAAGACTTCCATGAAACCAATCAGACCACCAAGAGTCAGACCGAAGTCGGCGATAACACCTTCAATCTGGTGGAACTCAGCCAAGTGAGTAGCATCGACTGCCTCGTTACGGAAGACACGATCGATACTGAAGTAGCGAGCTGGCCGAGGGTTGGCAGCCAACTTGTGCAGCATGTAGGTTGAGATGGAGGTGGTGTGAGTGCGGAGCACGAGGCGGAGAGACTCATCCGCGCTCCAGGGGTAACGGTAGCCGATGGAGCCGAACTTGCCGTGCTCGTGGACCTCGCGGACGTTGTCCCAGTACTCTTGGTAATCGAGGGGCTTCTCACCATCCTTTGACTTGGGGCAGTGAGGGTCGTTCGGGGCGTCTGCGCGGGGACCGTCGGCCACGGCAGGGTCGGAGATATAGAAAGTGTCCTGAAGATCACGGGCAGGGTGTTGCTGGGGCACGAAAAGGGCGTCGAAGTTCCAGAAACCAGTTTCCACGAAGCGGTTGGTAGGCATCTCCTCGAAGCCCATTTCGAAGAAGATGTTGCGGAATTCTTGTCGCACCTTGTTCAGCGGGTGGAAGGTACCAGACGGGGTAATTGCACCCTTTGCGTTGAAGTTCTTGGACTTGAAGGCCGTGGTCTTCCACGAGCCGCTGGCAATCATCTCCGGGGTGAGATCGGTCTCCTCCTTGACGAATTCCCGGGCATACTTGGGGCCCTTGAAGATTTCATAGTCATGCTCCTTGGCAAGAGAGACAAGCTTTCTTCGTTTCAGGTCCTGCAGGGCCTTTGCGTCGCTCAGGGCCTTTGTTTTTTGAACTCCGATCAAGATTTGTTGCGTCTCGTCGACAATTGATTCTGTGGATGCCCGCAGCAGGTCCTTGTCCTTCTTGATCCAGCCACGCTTGAAGGCATTTCCCTGACCGACTTTGGCGTTGTCCTTGCCCACAATGTTGGGCAGGTCGGCAATCTTTAACCCATCCATGGCAGCAACGACGGCGGCGAAGACCTTGGCCTCATGACTACCATTGGCGGCAATCTCCTCACCTTCCTTGGTAAGGGTAACAATTTCCTTCTCCAGAGCCTTCCAATCGACCATCTGCCGGGAGCCAAGGCGGTCGAGCGCACTTTTGACCTTCAATGAGGGGATGGAGGGGAAGGCTTTGCTGGCGAGGATGGGCGCATCGGAGGCGGACAGGGCGTCCAGGATGGGGTTTGTCAAGTCGGTCTCCATGATTGCAGCCTTGTCCTGCAGACTGGGATTTTTGTTGGAAGTGCTTTTGGCGTTGGGGTCAGACAATATTTCGCAGAATTATGACTCGGCGGGATTCAAAAGATAAATGCGGGAGGCGATAAAGACCACTTCCGCTATTCCACCCCGCCATGTCTTGAATTCAACTGCCAGCAGTAAACATCATCTCGTCGGCCTCGATACTTCATAGTGGCATATTTGACATTTCCTTTCTGCCCCATTGGATGCCTTTCTCGTGACACAGCACCAGATCACACATCTCGTTCTATAACTTTTCGAATGTCCATCTACATACCCCTGTCCCAGACTACTTCGTATAGTATAGAGTCCCTACCATTAACAGACTTGAGACAAGGTTTTCAGATCTCCTATTCCACATTCCACGAATCTAGGAACCGATGGAAAAAAAAAAAAAAGTAGCAACCCTGAGCACGAGGGACCGAATGAGCCACACAACGAGACGCTAAGCGGCTCAGCCACCAAAGTTCGTACCGAAAAGTAGCAATCGAACGGAAAATGGGACTGAGACCCTGACTTCCAATGACCGCTTTGAACTCCTTTTCTTTTTCTTTCCCTTTTTCTTTCCCTTTTTTGGTGCTCTCTACTATATGGTGCTCAGAGTATGGAGTACTTCCTAAGTAGGCACCACTGCAAAGGGCTATCAACATCTCAAACGGCTTTAAATGATCGCCACTAGTCCCATAGTCGATCATCACGCTTTTGGGTCTTGGTACATCGATAGCAGGTGGACCACGGGATATGAAACAGCTGATCAAGACGGTTCCCGCTTTATTCTATATTTTCTTTTTTTTTCTCTCTTTCGTGTACAGTACAGTACTTCGTAGGTACATATTCTCGAAACCTAAACAAATCAATCCAGTCCGTGCACACATGCAGTCATGGTGTATCGTAAGAAACAATTGTATTAAAAAAAGACTGGGAGGGTCAATTCATAGAAGCTAGTATATCCCTTTGGTGCTCAAGTGCTGTTCAGTGTGGCGTCGTCGAGAGACACGAATCCCAGCATCACCGCCCCTTCTGAGATCTTTTCTATTCCCTCTCGTGGTCCCTCTTGTTCTCTCATATTCTCTTCTCGGGTTCCTTTTGGTGTCTTTGCGATCTCTTTTCCAGTCTTGTCCCCCGCATACTTCTCAAGGCGGATTACATAATTACCGGGCGCCCTTTTCTCTCCCCCCCCCCCCCCCCCCCCCCCCCCCCCCCCCCCCCCCCCCCCCCCCCCCCCCCCCCCCCCCCCCCCCCCCCC